GAGAGAGAGAGAGAGTGAGAGAGAGAGAGAGTGAGAGAGAGAGAGAGTGAGAGAGAGAGAGAGGCTATTTACTAAGGGCGTTTTTCAAAGTTTGGATGGAATTATGCATGATACGGTGATAGATGAAATATAGTCTAGGCGAGGGTAATAAAGATATCCTACTTATGTAGGTAATGGACACTGGTTTTATTGTCGGCTCGTATGATGGATACTATCTGATAACATTTGTGTCCGTGTCTCACTCTGTAATCTCAATGTATTTTTCGCTAATCTTGATATGTACAATCGTCACTCACTCACTCACCACCTCACCTCAGTATGGTCAAAAGACACTCAAAAACCACTCTCGAAAAAGTAGTGCTCAAAGGTAGTCGAGCCAGGTAGTAGTAATTGTATTCTACACACCACCGGTCCAAGTTTCCCTCGTGTCTTCATTCTCGTTTTCTTCACATTCCCTTTTCTTTTTGTCTTTTCCATGGACCCTTGTCCTCAACGCCAACTGAGAGACATTGGAGGCAGAAGGGACCATCGGTAAATTGGTTGACGATTTTTTTGTTTCCTTCTTACTTCTTCCTTCCACCGGTCCTACCCTTGAAACTACCTTCGAACCCGGGTCTCTTGACCTTCTTCCCGACACCACCACCACCACCACCGGTCCTGGAGGACGACGAGCGCTTTTCTTCCTTCCTCCTCGCCAGGTTCTCGGTCCGTTTCTTCTGTCTCGCCTCCTGGGCCTTCTGGACGCCCTGGATCCGGTCGGTCCACTCGCGCTCGCTCTTCTTCTTCTGGCCCTGCTGCCTCTTGAGCGCCTTCTTGAGCAGGCTCGTGTCGTCCCGGACGTGTTCGCCGTGCGCGCGCTTCTTGGCCTTCAGCCACATGTCCTTCTGCTCGATGTCGCGCCGCTTCTCCTCGTCGAGGCCCGAGAGCTTGGTCTTCTTGGCCAGCGCGATCTTGAGCTGCGCCGCCGTGTCGCGTGGGCCTTTGCGCTTGTGCTCCCCGACCACGTCGGCCGCGGTCGGGTCAAACTGCGTGCCGTCGGAGAAGGCGATGCGGCCGAAACTGAAGTTGAGGTTGTCGCCGCCGCCGCCGGCGGACGACAGCGGGGACCGAGGGGACGCGAGGAGCGAGCCTGAGCCGCCGGGAGAGAAGCGCCGCGCGATTTCTTCGTCCTGGCGTCGCGCTTCTTCTTCCTTCTCGCGCCGTTTCTGTTCCTTCTTGGCCGCTTTGCGTTGTTCCTCTTTGCGTCGCCGCTGTTCCAGAAGCTCCTGTCGGTTCTTGGGGGCGCGTCCGTCGGGGCCGTCGGCTCTGCGTTCCGCTCGACGTTGCTGGATCGCGGCTTGGAGTCTTTCGCGGGGTGTTTGGGATGATTGGTGCGTGGCGGGTGTCGAGGTTGTTATGGTCGTGGTAGTGGTGGTGGCGGCGGGGGCGTCGGTGAGGGGGTCGGTGTCGGTGTCATTTGGCTTATTGGATGGCTGTAGAGTGTCTTCGAGGGCAGATGGTTGGAGGATGGATGAGGTCGAGGATGTGCCGGATTCATGTGGAGGTGAAAATACTTCGGATTGTTCGTCTTCTGAAGAGGTTGTCGAGGATTGGTCGGAGTCTTCTTCTTCGTCTACTTCTTCGTGCTGTGATAGTCGCGAGGATACCTCGAGAGTGCTGGCTTGTTTGGCGTTACGGTCATTTGCACCCGCCGTGTTGCCTTTTACTTGTTCCGACTTTTTTTTGGCCTTGAGTTCCTTCATTTTCTCCTTTTGCTTGGCCTTCGACTCGTTTTTTCGTGCTCGCTTTGCGGCCCTTTTCTCTGCTTTCCTGCGTCTTCTGTCCTCTACTGACTCTTTTGACTCTGCTCCTTCTCCTCCAATTACTTTGGTTGTGCTTGACATCTTTTGCTTTTTCGACTTCGGTGGTTGAACCTCGGGTTCGCCCGACAGATCCAGATTCACCAGGCTATCATCATCATTACGAAAGTCCTTGTTCTTTTCCCTCTCCATCTCCCCTTCTTTACGCTTGCGTTTCTTTGCGGCCTCTGCAGCGGCTATTCCTTCAGTGCTTCTTTCAAACAAGACTTCCTTGGCTGATTTGTGGTTGTCCGGGTTGAGTTTGGCAATTCTTGCCGCCCTCCTCTGTTCGGGCGTTTGCTTCTTCGCTTTCCATTGGTCCTGATACCGTGAATTAGCGAGACGACCCTGGATCTGGCAGTGACGCAGCAACGGCGACAACACATACGCTATTGTCTTTGGCAAAGTAAAGGTTGGCCGGGATCAGAGACAAGAGGGCGTCAAAGGAAGCCGCATCGCGTGCGAGCCGGGCCTGTGGAAAAGTGAGCATGCCAAACTAGATCGTCGACAGAGGCGACGGCAAAAAAAAGAATGCCAAATTTACCTGAATGTCTTCTGGCAGGGTAGATGGCCCTTCTTGCACGGTTGCCATCTTGGAGATCTCTCCTGGTTACGAACTCTTTCCCCTTTCACCGCTGGATGGGAGTTGGTCGAACGGCAAGGGAAAAAAGTTTCCATACGAAAAGTCGAGCGAGGGACGACAGGCCGCTGACCGACTTGACCGATGCTGATGTGGGGAACATTTTCTGGAGCATCATACGAAATCTTGGCGCAAGTGCACACCGACGACTTTGTGCTTGGCCGTAGCCAAAATAATAGATGCACACTCCTTGCTGCCTCCCTGTAACTTACTACATGGTCTATCTACTATCCGCCAGCTCGTCAATCTATGTGCGTGCATACACACACACCTCCCGGGCGCGTGCATTGTCCATGTTATTCAGCACATACAGGTATGTGACTGGAATCAACACCGCGAAACCAGGAATGGCCAGGAAGCTTGAACCACCTACGTTTACAGAAACCCTCCCTTGTCTTATGCGGCATCTTTGGTGCTGAACCTTTACAAGTACCAATGCTCTCCCGATAAATCCTGTGAATGTGACTGAGGTAGGGTAGACACCGATACGCGTGACAAGGTCCTTCGTTTTCCCGAGCTCTCCATACTCCTAACGCCAATATTTCACAGTATTTGCAGCGTTCCACGTCGTATACTTAACAGTGCATCGGCCTTCGTATCACATTGGTACCTTGGTTACACTCTGCAAGCGACACCTATCGTGACTTTCGGAGTGCACGAATCACCAGACCAAGAGGAGTGGGTATCAGCGGCGGCTTAAATCCAGATTTGGACTTCGGCTCTGGTTCCGTGGCAGACTCTAGCCTGCTCGTAGACTCAAGGGCGATCTCGCTGTCAGGCGACATGACAGCCCGGTGCTGCTGCATATAGATGACGGGATGAAACACCGCGAGCGTGGCGAGCGCGATGGCTGTCGGCCCTGCCTCGAAGACGTACAGACACCATTCGTTAGTCATCAAGTACGCATTGTCGCCCATGGCGAACTCGATCAATCGGTAAGCTGTCCGGATCTGGTGTTTGGGAAGTTCTTCGTTAGCCAATGCCTTTTCAACGCTTGGATGGTCGTTCTTCGGGGGATAACAAGCAAAAAAGGAACCGACCTGGATGAAAAAAGATGCTACCCAAACTGCGCGGATGACCCTCTTCGCACCCGGTTGCAGAATCACGTCGTCCCTACGATTGACACGCGTTTGGAAGATGGCCAGAACAGCGATGAACGCGGTGAATGTCAACAGCTGCAGCGCGAGGCCAACGATGATGATGTCCATTCCAATCGTACGCAGGATGCCTTTCCAGCCCCCGGCACCGGCGATGCCGCTGCCTCCTCCTTGTGTGCTGAAGCTGGTAAAGTCCGATATGAGGAAAACATAACCCAGCCTCTTGGGCGAAAGTCCAAAGAAGACTTGCGGGCTTTTGCCTCCGTCTTTGTCCGCCTCGGGCAGGTTGAACCGTATCATCCGCGTCAAGAGGAGATACAGCGTTGCACAGAAGAACACCGGCGCAACGACGATCGACGATTGCGAGATCGCGTAGAATATGATACTCAGTGGCCAGGTGTGCTGGAAGTGGATCGACACAATACGCCAGGTCCAGCCGGTGACAGATATCCATCCCGCGATCGACAGACAGATTGTGTATTTGTGCGGGATTGCTTGTGTGCGCGCGTATACAAAATTGAGGTACAAGTGCCGAACCGTGACGAGCCAGAAGATCACAGTAAAGGCGATGGCGACAGCCATCGAAGGGTTGTACGCGTATGGGTCGACTTCGTCGGGCGGAGGAGTATCGCGTCTGATACTGGTGAAGGAAGACATGGTGGATAGGGATCGTGCAAAGGCCATGGAGGTCATCATGGTAATCCTTCGAGGCTCAGATGAATGATCACTGGCGGAGTTCAACGTATAGTTCTGGGGAAACAAAGCAAGACGAGGACAGTCTCGCTCTTGGAATCAAGTAGCGCAACTCTGTCTGCGCTGTTGTCGGGGTACAGAGAAGCAGGATGTTGGGCAAATGGTATGAAAAGTGCGACGAGACAGAAGAAATACCACGTCGAGAAGGCTATGAAGGGAAGCAGCATAGCAGAGACCAACCAAGGCGTGGCCGACCGCCTATATATGCCATTATGAATGATTTCAAGTTGACAGGAGCAACACAAGATCTGTGGCTGTGAGAGAATCCACTCACCTAGAGCCGTCGGTATCTGATGCGAACGGAGGACTACCCCATATTGACGAGTCCATTCCAGGACCGTTAAAATAATGGGTGCCTGCTCCAAGGAGGGAGAGTGCTGTCGCAGCCACTGTGTATGCAGGACGAGACTGGAAAGACCACCAGGTCAAAGCGACTGCTGGTACATTAGCAGTCGAAAGGAATTCCAGCCAGAGGATGATTGACTTTCTTCCTTCGGACTGTATAGCGATTGGTCCTCGCGTTCGTCGGGTTCGTCGCAGATCAACTTGTCGGCTGTTCCCACTTGTGGCTAACCTCGAAAAAGGGTCGATTGACCCACTGGCACCCTCAATACTTGTATCAGCCAGAACACAAGACACAACATCTGTTCAGATAAGAAAGCAATCCAAAGAGCGTCGGGAGGGAATTTTATGTAGAACCCAGTGACTTCCATGACGCCAAAACCTGTGGCACCTCCTCAAGGCTGCGTCAGAAACGAAAGAAACCTACAGACTTGAATTGATACACATCTCGCAGAAACCCGAGCAGGAATACCTCTAGATTGGATTCTTGGACTTACAGGTGCCCAAATCTAGGGTCGGCTTGAATACATGCACGGCGGACAGAGGAGGCTTGGTCCTGTGTTAAAACAGGTAGTGGAACTTACAGTAATTGATTGGGAACGAGAAGCTCAGTTGCTAACCTTTCCCTGGATTCATTGGCCCCAGGCTATAGCCCTTTTGTGCGGTGTTGGAGCCTCTTGCTGTCGATGTAGAATCATGATCTAGCATGATCTACACCACCAATTGCTAACTCATACTTGCTCAAGCAGCGTCGTACCAGCCGCTGGTTTCTACGTAACGCTCCCTCCCGACGCTCTTTGTCTTGCTTTCCTTGAGCTTACCTGCCTTTGTCTTGGGTGATTCCAGCGTCCGCATAGTTCCTTTCTTAAGCCAATATCCTTGATAGTTGTGCTTGCGAGTAGCGCCCGGAAGCACACGAAGGTCTGGCGCCGAAACATATCTTCTACTAAACCCCGTGGTGAGTAGGTTCGATACGACCCTGGACGTCAAGCGTCCAGGTCTAGGGGAAATGAACGGGCTTGGAGGAATTCTGGAATCTTGTGAAGCAGGTCGCAAAACATCATCCGAATTCCCTGGGGCATTGTATGTCCAGGCATCGCTGGGCGCAATGTTGGAAACAAAAGTCGATTCAGAAGAGCAACGCGAGGAAGAAGATGTGTGGTTGTTATCCCGATCCCGGGATCTGATAAACTCTACCAGTTGGTCTGTGGTTTTGATGTTGGATGGCAAGTGATGTTCTTGCAAAAGTTGTGACTCGACCCTGCCGTACCCATTGTCATATGTGAAACTGACCGGGCTTACTGCGGCACTCCGACCAGGGACAATTCCATGAGCTGCCCGAGTCCGAGGTTGCACAAAGGAGCTGTCCGCAGCGTCGGGCGAAGTGTGACTGTCAAATTTTACACTGGAAGGACTTTCTGGTTGGTTTATTCTGCGGAAGAATGGCATAGCTTCGGTGTGTTCGTTTTAGTTTTGAAGTCGGGGGGTGTGGGATGCGGTTTGCATTTAGTGTTCCGGAGTATTATAGACCCTGGGAAGCTGGGTGGGAATGCACGAACCAAATAGGTGCCAGGTACTCAATCGATTGACACATCGGCACCTACAAAGAGATCTTTATGTTCTTCCATTGTCCATCGACGACCTGTCAGGGCAGGGATAGCTACCGTGACAAAGGGGCTCACATTGTCAACTGTTTAGCGTTAGTGGGCATATAAGCTCTAGTGTCGAAAGCCCCTGAGATTCCGTCGACTCCCTTGAGAGTCACAGGCATGTCGACATACTGGAACGATACAGAGTGAGTGTGATGGCAAGATCCAACCTTCAGATTCCCCGTCCAGGCTGCGAATAGTATCGCCACGTGACTAATCCGCAAGGCTAGACTTCCTTCACTACCTCGGAAAACCTTCTCCATCTCCGTCGCATTTCAACGAAAGATCATTCTCATTCTGCCTTTTTCAACTGCCACACTTCAGCACTGTCTCCGGCAAGGGTTCTCACTCAGTACACCATGGCGCAAGGCCTGCTCAAGAAATCCTCGTCTAAGACTGCGAAGCCCTCTGCATCGTCAAAGAGCGCTGGTGTCACGAAGAAGGGCCGTGGAACCATCACACCGAAAAAGGCAAAGTTGGTTAAACAGGCCAAAATCAACAAAAAGTTCACTGCAGGGTTGACAGCGAAGACCGAAGCCATGCTGGGAGCCCGCGCAGGACATCTGGAGATGCTCGGCCAGGGAAGGAAGAAGAACGCAGGGACAGAGCAAAGCAAGAGTAGCGGAAAGAAAACAGGGAACAAATCGTGAACTGCTTCTGGTTGTTGTTACACCCGAAGCTCTTCGACAGCAGGTTCCTGTGGACTCATAACACTGAAGTACGCTGGCGTAACAGAAACAGCTTACTCCCAGCCGTCCGTTACGCGCTGAGCGCACATCAATCGAATAATAGACGGTCCCGCGAGGGGGCAGAATCCGGGACCACGAGCTTTCCTTGTCGCCAGAAGTAGCAGCTCTCCTTCTGTCACATGCGGTCGTGTGAATTATGATACGCGCTGTCAGAGAACAGTTCATGGACGAGTAAAATTGAGGAAATCCAGGACATTTCCTGCTTGCTAACTCCATACTCCAACATCGCACCACTTGGTATATCTACGGGCATGAACCCCAAATCAATCGACACGCAATATCCATCACATACCACCCAACGCTCGAGCGGCCTCTCCGCCGCCAGATTGGAGCATTTCTTCTTGTCCTAGGTCGGCCCTCAGTTTACCCTTATTAACACCACCTTCGCCAACCCCCATTCTTTTAGCGACGTATCTCTGGGCGACGACGCCCACAGCCAGATTCAACGTCTCCTCTACCCATTCGCTCACCCATTCCCTAGGATCGATGCCACCACTTGCGATAATCTCTTCAATAGCCTCGGGCAATGTTCCTTCTCCGCCGCTCGGTGCGTCTAACCACTCCATCCACACCCCCGGCACAGCTTGGGAGACAGCATGGAAGGCGATACCGTGAATGGGATCATGCAGATAGATAGCAAATATAATCTCTTCTGCGTCCTTGTCATCTTCCGCTTCTCGAACTTGTCCCTCCTGCTCTGGGCTTGGTGCTGCTGCAAACAGTTCCTTTGAGATGGGCTGCGAAATCGCTTGTATAGCGAGGAAGATCTCGCTATTCCTTGTGGGGTTCGATTCGGAGAGGGTTTCGGTAGCCTTTTTCGCTGCTTCCTCTACACCACCTCTTGCGGCAAAGAACTCTTCGGCATAGCCCTCTGCGGATGCTCTCACCAACTTACTCCCCTCTACCATGCCCTTGATGGCGTTGATGCTCCGTCTCTCGCCGCTTCTCCACCAGGGTCCATCATGCCACGACCCTAGCGGCCGGCTCGTCTCTGTAGAATCACGCCTCGGTCCAGCCTCATGGCCTCGTTGTACTACCATGAGGTCTCCACCCTCCACCTGTGCCATGACTCTGCTAAAGACTTGGTAAATGAGAGAATCCAGGGTTGGATAGTTGGTAAGGTCGTGCGTAATATGGATTTGCAGTCGTTCGTGCGAGGAAATGGGCGGGGCGATTGTCTGGAGGATGTTTTGGAAAGTAGGCATTGCGATTGATCTCAGCTCGCCGCCTTGGCCACCATTAGATATTGGTTAATGTTTTGGAATGACCTGTACTTACCGAAGCCTCTAAGTATTCCTACATTGCCTCGAACTTGATCTGCCCACTTTTGTGCCTCCTCGTTCTTCTGTATCTCTTTCACAGCTGCCTGGGCCTGATGGACTGCGGCAGAGGCGGTCGAGAGTAGACCTCCCCACCATCCGCCGCCTTTGGAAGGGGCAGGTGCAGCTTCGGGTGGCGCATCGGCGTCTGCTGAGTCTTCAGTGGAGGTCGTTGCCGGAGTGAAGCTTTGATGGTATGAACGCATACTGTCACCAGACTTCCGCTGACCATTGCTAGACTTTTCCTCACTCGTCCTTCCAGGAGGAGGGGTGGCAGTAGATGTGCGCTTCGGCGATCGAGCGCCGGCGGCAAGGGAAGCATTTAGCTTGAGAGAAGGAGTGGCAGGTCGGCTGGCGGGTCGTTGGGCAAGGTTATCCAGCTCTGCCAGCAGCTCTTGTTCAGACTGCGACGACTGGGCGGGATGCGTCTGTTTTGTTTTGGTGGCCGCTTTCGAGGGACGAGATGTGGCTTTACTGCCTAGATCATCAAGCTGGGCCAACAGTTCATCGTCTGTAGGTGCCGTCTTCTTTGTAGCCATAGCTGCGGTCTAGAGGATCAATTGCAAGGGATGTCAATCACTTTTTTGGTGGAGAGATGGCTCTTGCATCCCTAAAGTACCTGACTTGGGGTGAGGCACATGCGTCTGTCACTAGCCTCACTAGCCCATGGAGATCTCGGTCTAGCCTAATTGGGAGAACACTATGTACAATAGTGCTGCCGGGGATTCAACCAAGTTTCGAACCCCGATGTCCTTGTAAGAGCATTAGACATCATCTCTTCCGTATGTGCAGCTGCATGTTCACCACGAATCTGAGCGCAGCCAAGTTGCTCGAGCATACGAATCTCTGTCTGCCCCATCGTGCCTGCGTGGCCGAGCTCTAGCTGTAGCCAGCCCCTCCTCGGCCCGTCTTTCGAGTCCCTACGACGTTCCCAGTTCTTCTAATGCTTCTTCCTCTCCAACAGATCTGATGTAGTAACCGCCGGCTTTGTCAGTCGAGTGAAGCATCTCTCGAAGCCGATCAATCTCCTCTTCGAACAACCTGTCATCTGTACAATCTGACACACATTCGAAGTCGACGATCGTAATCGTTTTGACTCCATCAGCTTCACGAACCAGAAAATTGTGCCGGTTCACATCACCATGTAAAATGCCCAACCGATGCAGCTTCCTCAATGCGTTTTGGCAGACCTCCACATCATCCGGACCAGCGTGACGCGAATCCTCAATGTACTCGATCACGAGCCCAATAACTCGTCCCTCTTCCGTCAAGTGTCCTAGAAATTGCGGCCCTATGGCCTGGCCATCTATGCGTTCATAGGCCCGCGTCTCGTCCTCGTAGTACTGCATTTCCCACGGAAACCTTGCGAATTTGATCAAAACCTCGTCAGCCATGACTGTTTGTCGCGCACCTTCCTTGAATTGAGCGGTGCGGACATTGGATCTGAGCCACTCCGCTAGCTCTAGTTCAAGCCAGTCTATCTGTCTAGGATGCCATATGCTAGAGACCGTCGGAAGTGTAACCTTTGTATGCTGGGAGAAATAAGGTCCGCCATTCTCTGGGTGTTTGGTGATGTGTCCTCGATTCCAGTCTCCTTCGGGGATAGGAGGCATCTGCGGAATGATCGCTTTGTCAAATGTCATTTCGTCGGGGTTGTAGACCCCTGGGTCAATGGTGATGTATTTGAAGGACTTGCCGTCAACCAACATACGGTAGTCGCTCACATCCTCACGGTCAACCTCAATATTGAGTATCTGGATTCGGCTGTAATTTGCCATGCCAGAAGCACCTCGGGGTGGCCAGCATGGAGGTCGGGAAGCCGGGCCGTGCCGTCAGAAGGACCAGGAAAACGAGTTCGAGGGCGCTTGCAACAGTTGATAACTTGATAGGATCGGTGACAACAGAAGCTCGGGACACTGTCATTGGATGTGACGAATGTGACAAACAGGCCAGCACCGGGTGACTAGATATGAATAGCAGGTGAGACAAAGTTTAGGAAGCCAATGTGAGAGAACACGGCAGGTTAGAGAGCTAGTGGCCCTGGGGAACATTTCATTTGATGGGAAAAAGTCCCTCTATCTACGCTTAGCCGCCAGACGTCTTCGACGTGATTTAAATAAGCGCTGGCGCATACACGTTCCATGCAGGGTGGTCCAAACCCGGGGCGTCTGCCAACCCTGCCAGGGCCTATGCAGCATCGGATCTAAGCTCGGAAACAGACACATATCTGAACCATAGCCGAATTTGGGCGAATAAAAGTCACCAGCGTACTATCACATCACCTCTTTCGAAGACTTTCTGGAACTCGGAGGACTTTCAGAGAGATGGCTTCAAGAACGGCGCTTGTTTCTCATGACCACTGGCCGGCAGATTACTATATAAACAAGAGCGACCTGCAACTTCGACTTTCAGAGTCCGCATCTCAGTAAGAACAATTAACATCGCTCGGAGCTACATTTGACATTGCTCGACTTTCACTCGGAAACAGCTACCAAAAGGCGTGACTGGTCACCACATCACTCTTACCGATCCGTACGGTGTCCCCTTTACAGATGTCTTAGTTGAAATATATGCATCAGCTCATATTGACTAGCATTGTGATCCAGGGCAGACTATAGTGTGACAAAGTGTCCGATTTTCCTGGCGCATTGTCATCAGTATGTGTTTCCAAGACTATGTCGAGCATACTTGCGGTTGCAAGAAGGAGAGCGAGTACCGCCAGTGTCCAAAACGAAACGGTACCAACGTCAGGTGTGATCCCATTCAGAAGGGTGCAGCCAGGAAATCGATCCATATGTGCAAGCGCCACATGATTAAACCCGGACAAGACGAGATGGTCCGCACTGCGGAGAATCCGGGAGGCTAGGCGTCCTAGACAAACCGGAGACGTTAGTGATTTGCGTTCATGACGAAGGACGCCCACCCTTTGATTCTAAGGTGACGTTATGTGTTCTTCTGATCATCCAGAAAAATGAGGAAACAGGCTCAGACTCTGCGTGCAAAATATGGTAGATCCATCAATGTCGGTTTGAAGTAGATTGAGAAATTAGACATTCAGTATTGTCATTCTTCTGGTGGTGAACATATACCATGTGCATTTAAGCTGGCGTTTGTCATGATGCCGGAAGGCCCTTTTCCTTTGATATGTTTCACTCGCCTCGTCTGCTCACTGTATCGATGTGCTTATCATCAATCACCTCGCCACATAGCCGCAGATGATCTCGAAGTCAGCCACCAGAAATCGACGTCTGGAGTGCCTGTGATCCTTGAATTCACGACGACAAGCGTAGCAACAAGAGCCCCAGTATGCGCTTCCACTCCGAATCTCGAAGTATGGGATCTCAACAATGGCCATAAGCCTAGTTGGATCATACTGGAAATCAATACGAAGTTCGATAGCACTTGATGCGCTTGGGCCCTGCTTCGCATCCTCGTCGTATATCTGAGAGACGGGTTCAAGGGAGGCTGTAATGATGGGGGTAACGCATGCAGATAGACAGCGAGCCATCTCAGAAGCACTAGCCCTGATACTCGTTCCCGCTTGTCGAGCAGTCGCAGAGTCAACCAGAATAAGTCGCTTCCGGCAGCGTTTTTCATTTATGGTATAGTGACCAGGGATGCTGTTCAAGTGAGGTAGTCGGCGTATATCTTTCATAGACAGTCCAAACCGACGACAAGCGTCAAGCCTGAGAATCGGTCGATAGTGAGAAAGCTGTGTGAAACAGCGAAAGCACACTCGCGCTAATCCTGATCGTTGAGAGTCAAGTCTCGGACAGCTCGCATTGGATACCAAGCGACATTCTCCTCTGCTGGTGTGAGCGTCCCATTGTGCTTGTACATGACAATCTGGAAGAAGGAGGTAACAATCTTATTGGAGCAGCGGCCACATCGTGACTGTAGAGTAGTCATTTGCTGGAGGCATTGTTTGGATGTCAGGAACCTCACCGAGGAAGGAGTTGGGTAAGTGACAAACCAATGGACTGTCAGTCGACGCGCTGCGGATAGGGCTAAGAAGAGGTTAAGCTGACTTCCGAACGGTCTGAGACAAACTGCGAGTACGAGTGGTCAGGTGAAATGGTGCAGATAGGGGCAACCAATACCCGTACTTTCAAGGTACCTCAGGTAGTCGACAACGCCCGATTCTGGCGATCAGTCAATTCCACGTCGCGTTCACAAGGCTAGTGGGCAGACGCGTCAATGCAACGTGCTTCTTCGTCATCGCTCCCAAAGTTGTAGGCCGCATTCCTAACTTGGGCCCAGGGACCATTTTTCATTAGCCAACATCGAGAATAATGGGGATATATAGACTCCAAGGAATCCCACCATCCGACTTTGTCTTTCTCGATTATTTCATTTGTCCTCTTCATTCAAGCAAGGAATCCCACGCCCCGTCACGTCTGCCAGCACCAGAACTGCAATGGGGCAACCTCCACATCGTGAAGATTTGTAAACCGGCAAGATCATAATACCAGCAGACTTCGATATATTTGACTCTAGCACTACGTTTGAAACCGCTGCTAATATGCCCAGGTCAGTGAAGGGCCATCTGGAAGCTCGGTTGAAGCTTTATTGGGAAGGTAGGATCATGTCCAAAACGCTACTCGTTTGCCACTTCCAAGCGTCATTGCTCAATTCTTATAGTCACCTCCAACACCAATCCGGTTCTAGAGTGTCAAGGCTGTGAATACAAGCCCAGTAGTGACTATGTCTCAGACTCTTGGGACGAATGACTTTTTCTACAGTTGAAATGCATACTCCCTTCGCCCCCCATTGATCTGCGTCTCACATTCATGAACCCTGCAAAAGACCTCAAAACTCAGGTACATGCATACAGCATGAGTGACATTACCCGGTGTATTCTTGTCCTTGTAATGCTCTTGATGAACATATCCCAAGGCATGGCTTCCAGCTTTCTTCACCGCAATATCCGCGACCAGTCAGCGACAAACAAGGCAAAAGAGACTTGCCCAGATGGTTACAAATGGTCGGTCATTCCTGGTTCGCCTCCTTCGACTGCCTGGGGGACTTGTTGTCAGAAAGGATATCAAGCCAGTGCCGCCAAAGCTGTAGATGGGCTGGACTTACTGACGGTGTATTGTTGCGCTGTTGGACACATTGAACTTCCTTGCAGCAAGAAACTTCCACTCCGTCCTCTTGTTTGTCCCGACTCTTGGATCATGGTCGGAGTCCAATGCCAGACTCCATAGCTACTGTATGGGGGATGAATGGTATGGTGGCTTGGTGGCACACTACTTGCGTCAAGGACCGAAGTTGAGAACTCAAATCCCACTTCCTTTTAAGTCCAGCAATGCTCAGTTACTTTTCGAAAACAGAAACATAATCATTCTCATGCCATATCGACCGACCGTTCCCAGCGTCATCAAACCTCTCGGTCAAACAGATCGAAATCTACCGACCGATGAATAGAATACAGTACCACATTATTCATCAGTCTTGGGCCAGTTGGAACATGTCAAGAACTCAACACGTCCACACTGTAAGACTGGAACCCATGACAGCACTCGACCGACCTATAGCGTTTAGTTAGCTAGTAGGTAGTTCGATATCACACTCCCAGCGGCTTTCCCTCTCCGATGTACATACTATCCCGTGCTGGCTCTACTACTATTGTGAACTATTCAATTGGCCAGGGGGGCGGTATGCTATACCATTGTCCGTGGTGGGGCGTGAGGCCTTCTCGTATTCATGGCGCCATACTCCTCCTAACAGAACAGAGAACGCCACAGTACGGTGAAAGTGGAATCTACCCGTCTCCCCTTTACTGGGTTCTGACGTTAATGCAGACCTGGTCGTGAATAGTCGTTTGTTCAAACTGTTAGAGAGAACATCTGGGAGTTGTTCGATCATCTTTCTACCTGTCCCTTCATCGCCCTGTAAAGCTGAGAGATGTCCATGGCACGGTCAGCACCCGGGCTCAGTCCTTCTTCCGTGCCACGGTCTCTACAATCCACTCGAGACGACCGTCCGCAGCAACCTGGGCAAACAGAAATGTCTCCGCTTTCCCGACGGACCCGTCTGGTCTTGTCGTTGACGATGAATGTCGCTCGGCGAGCTGTGCGCCGTCACGCAGGAACTGGGTCGTGGTGAGGGTGACGGAGGGTAGAATTTCTCGGAGACGACGAATATGAGCCACGAACGCGAGAAAGTCCATCTTGTCTTCGTCTGCTCGAAACGTAAATGTCGGAGTGAATAGTTTGGAGAGGTCGGTCTCGGTGCTGTCTGGGTCTCCTGAGAACAAGCTCATAAGCGCCGCCTGGAACGTTTCTGCTTTGTCGGCAAACGTCGTGGCCGCGGTCGTGTCCGCCATAGTGGTTTGGTTCCCGTATCTGTCCTATGTGTTGCTGAGTGACGATGTAATGGAGATAATACGCAGAGAGAGAGAGAGCCTTGGATATTGCTCATTTCGAGGATGAGTCGTCAGTTTATAAGCACCATGAATGCGGCTGCCTGCCGAGACGAAGATTGTCCCATCACATCCCACTCATTATTCAGGAGACACGAAAGATTCACTGCTGCCTCGAGGATCTAGCACGCAATCAACCTTGACCATTGCGGCATCATCGGCAACTTATGAGTTGTCGAGGAACTGAAAGGGGGGGGTAAGGGTTGGCGCGAGGACAGGATGAGCGTCTGGTAGAAGCCCAGACACCATCGATGTTATCTGATACCAACATGGCTAGTCAGAGTTTAGAGTTGAAGCGGCGTGATCGTCGTCTTTCTTCCACAGCTCAACCCGACTCCTTTACTCCGTACTATGCATGTACCTCCTTGATACCTATACTTTTACTCGTACATATTTTCCACTTAAATATTGATACCTGAGCCCTTCTCTCGGACCCATTCTTCTCTTTTCCTGGCCAGACTCACGCCTCACAATCACATTGCACGGATTTGGCTTCATCGCAACCTTGGAAATCTTTCGACCACACCTCACCCAGGTCCCGGGTCAACACGCTCCTCAATCTCGTTAGAGGACGGGATTCAATGAAAGTCTAGAACATACAGCTACAGCTACATCTACAGCAAGAAATCTCAGATATACTTTCAGCGAGTACCTCTCAAGCCAACAAAAAAATAAACCAACAAGGCTCCCGCACTCTCTTTACGCTTTCGTCAAACACACTCTCTATCTCCATCTCCATCTTGCTACGTGCCGATCTCAATGGCTACTACTACTACTACAACTACCGAAGACCCTTCTTCGACACCCTCACCGTTCAACTACGTCCTTTCGTTTCTCCTGGTCGGTATCTGCTGGGGCTTCACCACGCCGTTCATCCGGAAAGCCGCCGTCAACTACACGCCGCCGTCGCACCCGTCCATCTCGGACCCGTCGCGGTCCTGGATATCGCGCCAACTGGCCAAAGCATTCTTCACCGTCGTCGGCCTCCTCCGGAGTCCAGGCTACGCTGTTCCGTTGGTCATGAATCTGACGGGGAGTATTTGGTTTTTCTTACTGGTTGGACAAGCAGGTACGTGTGGTAGAGTAGTAGTCCTACCCCCAAGATATCTCCATCTACCTACCTTTTTATCTACCTGATCTACCTGATCGACCCATCCATCCATCCATCCGTTCAAAGAAACATTCATTCACCCAACCTCTCCCTCTGCCCATCCTCTTCCACAGCATAACCACTTCCTTCCTTCTTTTTACTACGTCAACCTCCTCGTCAAACTTCGCGACCTCCGCTGACAACTCTCCCATCATTATCATCGACGACCAGAACTCTCCCTGACTGTCCCCATCACCAATTCCCTAGCATTTCTCTTCACGGTACTGGGAGAGTGGTACGCTGAGGGTAAACTCATCTCCAGAGATACATGGGTCGGAATGATTCTCGTATGCGCGGGGATAGGGCTCTGCGTGTGGTCCAAGATTTAATTGAGGTTATGTAATTAGAAGCTGTCTAAAAAAATGCTCTCTGATCTATCACAGTGACCCACATAGTAGGAAGTATAGCACAGCATAGTATTTGACAGAGCAAAACTCTCATCGTTAATACAGGAATACACATATGTATACATTAGTACGCGATCATCATTACATTGACAGATGCATCCTGTATATATATCTTTGACAATCGTCTTCCTTCCAATGGCAGAAGACCATATTAGTATCCATAACACCTCGGCGGACCTCGCATGAAAATGTGTGCTTCTCTTCGTACAAAACCCATACACAGGGTATCATGCCGGGCAGCTGATTGTTCCAAACAAGTGATGACTTTATAATGACCCCCGTCCCGACAACCAAAAAACACGGATTGGCCTACCCAACCAAAAACGCAGAGGTTTTTACTAGGTCCATTCAAAAACTCCCTAGATACCTACCAATGTAGGCAATTCCTCGTTGCTCATAAGTCATTCTGGGCGATGGATCTGATTATACTCCACGGAACTGTGAATGGTTAGAAAGGAAGTCCCAAGTACTACAACAAATAAAGAAGATATACTCACCAGTCTCACTATCAAAAACCAGCAAGCTCCAATAAACCGGAACAATGACAATCCAGCAACCGACCACAGAATAACCGCCAGATATATGGTCGAGTTCTGTTGCTCCGTATCGTTGGTATTGATTCTATCAAACCCTGCCGTGTTCAAGACTGCCGCGACTAGAATGAAATTTGTGACCATCCATGCCGTAACGACGTTGGAACGGAAAGACTTGTAGTAATCTTCCTGTTTGTCCGCAGGATTCTCCTTCTTGACTTCCTTGGGAGGCTTGGTGGCAAATTTCTGCAATTCGGCATCGTATTGAGCATTCAGATCACCGTCGTCTTGCGGAATCGCCACGTCAAGCTTCCCGTCCGCCTTTATCGTGACACTTTCAAGCTTCTCGGCTTTATCGTCACCCTTGGTACCCCATGTTATGTCGTGAGTGTTGCAGAAGGCGTAGATGTTGAGAACGTTGATGTAAGTCGGAGTGAGAACCAGGTACTGAATGAAGCAAGTGAACATGTGCCAAGGGTCGAAGAACAAGAAACTCGCCACAAACCAAAGGACGTAGGTGCTTGCCAGTGAAACAATCAAACCAAAAAATGTGCTGTTATTGAAAATGGTGGAGAAACTAAAGTCTTTTTGTTGGACCTCATTCTGAATCGACCTGACCGTCAAGAAGATCGAAGCAAAAGTCAACCAGCACATGAGAAGTGACCAAAAGATGACCATCATTAGGTAGGACTTTTTGGAGCCAGTCGGTCGATTTCCCATGGAAAGGATGAAGCAGTAGAGAAGTGTACCCAGGTAGACGAATTCGAAGACGACGCCGAGAATGGTTCCTGCTCTACCAAGAGGTCCGGGCGACCCCAAGGACGAGGTGAGGAGTCGGAAAACCAGGAAGAAGTTGCCAATGGCAAACCACGCAAACAACATGTTAATCGTCTGGTAGGTGAACTCGATCAAGAACATGAACTTCCGTATAGCACTATGATCACTGCGCCAAAGCTGATACACGTGTGCAACAGCGTAGACCGCCGCGAAGAATGAGCCGTTGAGCCATCGTCGTCGTTGCAGAACGAACTCGGGGATCTTGTCCGGAACATCGGTCTCACCTGTGGCTGATTTGACATATTGCAGAATCCAGCGACAGTTGCGCTTGCTGACCAGCTCGAAACAGAGAATGCGGTCTTCGGCAAGATACATGTTGGCGGTGAAGACACCTGCTTCAGCGTGCATGAACTCGCCCTTGAAATACTTTTCAAGAGGCCCTTCGCCATTTTTGTCATTCTGTAGAGCCACATACCGATATGCCGAGAAGGCACCAGGAAGCACCGAGATGAAACCGAAGGCGGATTCGAGTGGCTTGTCCAAAATGTTTGACATTTTGTATTCAAAGTTTTGGGTGGCAATCAGTGGGTTGTAGAGCTTTTTGCCATGATCCAGCATGACCTTGATTTCGCCGCAAGCTCCGCCACACATAGGTTCCAAGTCAAAAGCTTTCCACAATTGATAGATCGAGTCCTTCCCGGGCTTGGTTCCAGCATCGATGAGCACGCAGATGTTTGGGTCCAGCACTCGACCAAAGGCCTGGAAGAACCATCGATGTGAGTTGATCTTTTTCTGATTCTTCTCCTTCAAACAAAAGAGTAGTTGTACAGGCGTGGCCGACCTTGGCTTCAACGACACCTGCGTACCTTTGAGTTCTAGCCCGACTTGAGTCGTGTACTCGTAAATATGTGCTGTGACATCCTTTCCATTGACCTGTTGCTTGGCGATGCCGTCCTGGTAAACGCCTAGGCCAGCTAGGACTGCCCTGGTTCGAGGATTGATCTTAGCACGGCCATCGCTGACAATGCAAACCACGATTTTCTTCCAGGCTTCTTTGCCCCAGGTCTTGCTGCTCGTACGGCTGCACATGTACTCGATGTTCTTGAAGACACCAATCATTGTACGTGCAAACAGGAACTCATCCTCGTTGTACATGGTTACGACGATGAAAAGCTCCGTCTGTCGAGGCTTGGCAAATAGCCTCTGGCGAAGTGTGAATCGTTCTTTGTAGAAGTCTGCAGGGTCACAAGTTGCTGCCGAGTATCTCATATGCGTGAATTCGTCTCTTTCAGGTGGCTGCGCATGGGGAACTTGTGCGAGGAATTTCGGGGGCAGAGGACAGTCGAGGACGAGATTACCGTTGAACAGTTGTACTTCCTTGACAGTCTTCCATCTGCGAATTGGCGCCGGGGAAGGGGTAGGGCGAGGTTCGTCATGACGAGGTTCATCATGATAGCCGTCGTAGTCCATTCCAGGTTGGGAATGAGGATCAGGCCCGTATGCGGAATCTGGTTGTAGAATAGGTGCAGTATCATGATCGCTCCGGTAGGGTTCACCAGGAGTCGGGTAGGGATCTAACGCATAATCGCCTTGTGGATGGGGGGAGTAGGGTTGGTTATAATATGCATCATGGTGTTCCTCTGGCGACACGATATAATCATTCCTCCCATACCCCATGTCTCCCGCCGCAGGATATTGCTGATCATACTGCTGGTTGTGGCCATGCGAGTTATGAACGTTTTCTACCGAATATGTTGGCTGTATTGCCAGTCGATCATTGGAGGCTGTTGGCATTTGCAAATGCAGAGGCTGTAGTTGTCTGGAATACGATTCCTCAGGATGTGCGTACGGCTGCAACGGCCGACCGGGAGAGGGCGATCGGGAATCGTACTGAGGGTTGGCCGATGGAGAATAAGGCCCGTCTCGCTGCGGACTGCCTGGGCGCAATAGTTAGTATGTCTTTGCTAAGGAGCATGAAGTGTCCCAGGTAGATTTACCGAGTCGGTTGTACGCCATGGCCGGCGAGGAGGAGAAAAGGAGGGAATATGACCAGGTAACGGTGGTCTGGGACCGAGGGATGGAATGCGGCGGGGGCTACGAAATGTATGAAGGATGTTCTGATCGACAGCGATATTGCTTTCAGGTTGGGTTGCCGCGCAATCGAGACCTTCGTGGGAGAGGCTTCGAAGGGGCTGAGTGGTGAGTTACGTGGAGATCTCTGTTTACTCCTGCGACTGGACTTGGAAGTGGACCGCGGGGAGAGGAGTCCTGTGCTACCAAGGTTTTCGGACTCGTAGCACTGAGAAGAGGAGTGGAGAGCGACTTTGTGCGATTGAGATGAGTCGCAGGAGGGATTCAAGGCTCTGTTCGATGCCAGTGAGCAGTCCGGACGACGAGCATTGCATTCTCACCAAAACCACCAGGGGCAGCGCGGCTTGTGATTCTCTGACGGGCCAAGTCGCCGCAGTAACAAGCTAAGTTCATCGCACGCTGAAGAGGGCTCAGTTGCAGTGGCCTGCTTATTTGCTGCAAGGCATCCTCGACCTTCTCCAGAGTTTTGTTACTATTTTTCTCCTCCTCATGCCATTTGCCATCATCATCATTCCAGATTACCCATCACGTCGGCTCACGTCCGAACGCCTTGCGTGGCCTAAGGCTTGGTCAAAAAGCCTGCAGGGATAACAACAGTGACCACATGTTTGTTTCTCAGCTTCCTGCAATTCTCGCGCTCCGGAATCTTTGAGTTCCGGTCAATAGTTGTTACGAGCACCATTGTTGAGCCCGTACGAGGCGATCAATCTCCTTCCAGGCCAACTGGGATGAATCTGTGGCTAAGCAAAGCGCGTTTCAGCTTCCCCAGATACGCCACACGCCCACCGCTTATCAAATCAGCCTGTCCGCGAACGAGGCACACTGTGGCTTTGACTGAGGAGGGCTGCTAGCCGTCTTCCGTACACCTGACGCAGTGCCACAGCCTTCAGTCCGATGATGATGCTCTGTATGACGTACCAATGTGCCTGACCTTGGTGGTGATACAGTCGAGATCAGTCCCGAAATAGTCTACATTGGCATCCGCAGGCGTAGTCTTATAAGATGGTGATGATGACAGATAGTCTATAGTATCTATAGTACAGCTCGATTATCATGATGCCCAGGATGCGCATCGAGGAAGAAGCTCCGGGAACCCAAAATGCCATACCAAAATGCATGAAACCACTATGATACTCTGCCCTAACCAATCTTGGCCACTCCTTTATTAACGCATTGATCTACTTCTTTGCCTTGTCGCGATCTTTACTCCCGCCCGCTCTCGACACAAACTTGCCCAAGCCGCCCGCGAGACTATGTCCACGCTTGTGTGGAGTTGGTCTTTCCGAGCCCAACAAGCTCTGAGCTGACCCAGTGTTTACTGTAAGACCACTACCCGCCTTAGCAAGTCCGCCTTGACCGGTAGGGCCACTGAGCATGCTCAGGGGTCTTGCATGGCGCGCTTTGCCTTCGCTCTCTTCCCTTCCACCAGTCCGGCTGATTCTACCACCGCTGGCGCCATCGAGGAGACTGTAGGTCAATCCGCCGGCTAGAGGTATATCGGCGTCATCACCTCGAAGCAGTCGCTCATTCCGGCGCCGCGCACGTTCTTGTGTTTGTTTGAATTTGTCGAGAAGTTCCGGCCACTTGACTTCGTTGGCCGCATTATCGCGATTCCGGCTCAGACGCCCTGCAACAGCGCCGGTGGGTGCGGGTGGCATGTTCGACGATGCCATTCCGGATACGCCACTAGACCATGGTTATTAGTTACTAATCTCTCGACACGACTATACCAGAATAGTGTGGGGAGCAGTGACATACGATGGCCTTGCCGACGTTGGCATAGCAGCTGGCGTATGAAGCAAGCCTATTGCCGAGACACTGTTGAGACGATTTTTCAAGGCGCCAAAGGCCGAAGACTGAGGAAGAAGCATGAGTAGTCCGTATAGACATTTGTAAAGATACGGATATCTGTCTGGTTCGAGGAGTTGTAGGCGAAGATCTGGACATGCGTTAGCAGAGTTCGGTTTGGAGAAGGCGGTAACGTATACAAGTAAAAACTGGGCTTTCCAGCAATTGAACAAGCTTGTCAATCTGAATAAGCATGTTCACCGTCATTTCAAGATCCGCAAAAATCTGAAGCAGATTGTATGCCTGTTCATATGCCTGTGCAAGCAAGCACAGTGAGAATGTAGCGACAGCGTTGTAACACCACGCACGGAACAATGCAACAAAGAACATCTGCCCATCTTTGCTTTCAAGATTTCGAAGCCGTTTTCGCAGCTCAGCTAGCTCTGGGGCCGTGATGAGGTTATTGTTCAGATTCTGCACCATGATGCTGGCGAACTCGATGTCTTCGTCCTTCTCAATGCAGTCCGCTAATGTTCGGTAGATTCGTTCTGGTTGCAGGTTGATGCATAATTGACGGATGATCAGATTGCCTCTGATCTCGAGGAGTTTGCGGTCCGTGGAAAAGAGTTGCAGCAGCGCAACCATGAATGAGGCGAAGTAGCTATCCTCGCTGTTCTTTGAAATTTGCGAGAGAAGTTGCAAGTCGCGTGTTACAACGGCTTCAGCTGGATCCGAAAGTGTCTTCAGCAAGGCTGGGAAAGTTCCGTCGTTGAAAGCCAGGACTTTCTTTGGTGCTTTCTTGTGAAGCATTATCAACCAATTCAAGGCTGCGACACGTGTTTCCTCATTCTCGTTGAGAAATTGCAAAGTCAATGTGTTGACTGCCGCGGCGTAATCCATGTCAGCTGGCGCTTGCAGTGAAGGTGCGACGCTTGCTCTTGATGTGGCTTCAAATGACCTCTGATCAGCGTCGATCGAAGCCTCAGAGCTTGGCTCGGCTTCTTTTGCTGATGGAGCAAGGCTTGCTTTCGACGCCGCCCCAGACTGTCTTCGGTCCGACGAATCTTCATCTCGAGCGCTGAGCACGGAAAGGTTGCTCGGGGCAACATCACGGTCAGTCCTCTTGTCGTCCTGTAGACTCACAATATAGTCCATTAATGACCTGTTAACTTTGCTGGCCGTGGTTCGGACCTGCTCAGACTGGGATGATAAGGACGGTAAAACTCGCGACAGGAGGCGTGGAACAAATGGCAGGATTTCCTCGGGACTGATTTCGAAGAAGCTGTCGATCCATCGTAGTGCCACAATTCCTATCTCCTCCTCTTTTTGTTTTGAAAGCCCCTCGAGACGAAGATTTGTGTTGCTTTCTTTGCTAGAAGAGACATCCACGAATTTAAGGAGTATGTCAAGAATGGCGGCATGATCAACCTGAACATCCTGCCCAGGTATCCAATCACCACCAGTGTCATCGTCGTCATCAAGTATATCTTGAGCTGTGCCTGACTCGGAATCTTCAATAGCGTTGTCGTCTGATGTGCTCGCTGCCGTAGCGCTGCCGTCTTCGCTTTCTGTTTTCGGCTTGACATTGCTGACTCGACTCTTGCGACTTTCCGCGATGCCTCTTTTGATCTTTGCAATTTTCTTGATCTCATTTAAAAAGCGCTCCAGCAACCCTTGAGTTGCTACGTAAACGTCCCGATTTGGATCGCCTAGAAACTTGAACAGGCCGCCAAGAAATGCTGGCAGATAATGTACGAGTTCTAGATCAGGGATCGTATCGAGAAGTGTTAGCCATGAGACAAGGAATGTCCTGGTAAAGGGGTTGAGGACGTGGATTCGTTCTTCCAAAAGTGGAATGAATTTGGCGAGAGAGAATGTAGTGGGGTAATCAGAGCTCTCCTTGTCTGAGTTCGTGTTCTCGCCGTCTTCGTCCTGGAAATTTAGCACTGATACGTACGAGGCAGCGGATTCCGAAACAATGTCTTTGATGAGACGATCGAGGAGCTCCGCCCCATTCTTTACGGATAGTTCCGAGTCGGCCGCCAGCTGCTCAGAGGGTCAGTACATGCCAGGGCAATTTACTTGTCTGCTGACCTTGCACAATGCATCGAATATATCGTTGAAAAAGACTAGAATTTCGCCCTTTGCCACTTTGGCGATATTGTACATGGCTTCGCAGGCATAATATCGCACACGGGCATCTTGGTCGGTGAAACAGGCCAATACAGGTGGCACTATCACCTGCAGATATCGGGCAACTTCATCCTGGTGGAATGGTTGTCAGCTTCCCGGCGTTCATTGCATTCCACAGAGACTTACAGAGCCTAGCGCGATTGAAGCGGCAGCTAGCCCGATGAGCCCTCCGTTTCGAGCGTGCGGCAGATGAACAGCGTAGGCATAATCATGACATAGTTGATCGAGAGTTTTTCGAATCTTGTCATGTTCTTTATCGGCAATGGCCTCTCTGATAAAGCGCTCGAGCCTTGCGGGAAGTCAGTCCAGGCATCGCAGACGGAAGCATGGGTGTGATACTCAAGGGCCCCTTGCTTGCGTTTGTCATAAAGTTTGTCGGTCAAAAGTCGCTGGACTGATGGATCCATGTTGATGTTTCGACGTATGGATGTTGAGTCGCGCGATCATCATCGGCGGTTGACGGAGCCTGGAATATCAGGGCCTTCGAATTCTGTGCAGCACCCTCATCTGTGTTTAAAGTCTAGATTGCTGGGTCTGTGTTATCGTCTATAATGCGGAAGAAGAAAAAAGGAAGGAGTTCATAATCGGGTCATGTTTGATGAGGAACGCGCGCGTAGTTCGTAGTTGGAGGTTGTAGCGAGGTTGCCAACTTTTGCGTCTCCGCGAACGCTTGATACGATTGGCGGAGAGTCAACCACCACTTTGGTGCAACAGCCAGACTATGACCGCTATTATCTTGACCCCTTTTGTGTGGTGTAGAAATGTCTCAGTTTATCAGAAAAGAGAAAAAATTACAATACTATAAGATGGCGCCGATGAGAACATTCTAATAGGGCACTTGTGAACTTTGTGACATTTTTACACAACTTTCGTGGTTATCATCATCTCCAATGTATCAGCGACCGTTCATGGCCTCCATATGTTCGATAACAAGACTCAAAAGTATCCTCTGAATTGAGGATCAAGTTGTGACCTCCGGCCGTCAAGCCGCGAATTCTGTCTGATTTGACTTAGTGGCTGATATATTGGAACACGGCACTGACTGCGTCTTCTGACGTTTCCTGCCGAAGTAGCAAGTCTTGTATCTTGCCCATCTGGCCCTGCTCACCATTGTTGACAAAGTGATTCCAGGAACTCGTATCTCCATATAACATAGCAGGAGCCTTAATCTGCTGCACTCCATCTGGCTTGCATCGTTTGCACTTGAACGTGTCGTGAGTGTCACTTCTCGTGTCGGGTCGGTATTGGAAGAGCTCCCTCAAAGAGTCCAGCGTGAAATGCCGTTCAACGTCCTCCGCAGAGTCGACCACTGTCGAGGACAGTGCTTGCTTGTGAGACTGACGCTGGAATATCTTCTCCTCAATGGTCCCGGTACCCATGAATCGGTAGACGAAACAGTCTTTCTTCTGGCCATCTCGCCAAACACGGGCGAGAGCTTGCTGATCGGCAGCTGGGTTCCAGTCTGGATCAAATAGCACCAGACGGTTGGCCCCAATCAAATTGATACCACACCCACCAGCCTTGCTGCTCAGTAAGAAGACAAACTCCTCTCCATTAGGGTCGTTGAATCTGTCCACGAGCTTCTGGCGTTTGTTAACATTCATGGTACCGTCGAGTCGAAGACAGCCATAGCTGCGTGCGCGACACAGCTTCTCAAACACATCCAAAGTTTGGGTATAATTGCTGATGAGCACTATCTTGTCATTTGTATCTTGTCGAATGCGAGCTAGCATGCGTTCGAGAACGGCGAATTTTCCAGAATACCAAGATTTGACATCTCTGTCTCGACCGCGAGATTCTTTCGGCACGTAATCGTGTGGCCAAAACTTTTCACTGCCAGGCAGGTCCTTCTCTAGATCCAGTAGATCTGGATGGTTGCATAGCTTCTTCAAGATGCCTATGGCCTTCAAAGGCTGACTGCCTTTTCCTCGAAGAAGACTCTTGATGTCAGGACTCTGTATGAAGTGATTGTAGAGATCTTTCTGGAACGGGGCAAGATTGCAAAAGACGACATGTTCATACTTGACCGGCAAGTATTTAGATAGAATGTCGTTTGTTCTTCGGATGATGAATTTATTGACGAGGGATCCTAGTTCGGCATTGGCTGCCTCTCCTTTCTGTTTATCCGTATCGGAACCAGCAGCATCGCGCCCACGAAGAATTGGCAACTCGTATTTCTTGCGGAAGTCAGCCTTGGTGCCTAGGTATCCAGGATTGGCAAAATCGAGCAAGGAATAGTACTCAGTCAAATCGTTTTGAATGGGTGTTCCGGACAGAATGACTCGGCGGTCCACGTTGAGTCCAGTCAGGGCCATGTAGGTCTCGCTTTCGGCGTTTTTTAAGCGGTGGCCTTCATCGCAAAGCATGAGGCCAATCTTGACGTCTTTGAGCTCTTCAATGTTCAGACGCAAAGACTCATATGAAACAATCAACACAGGTCTCGCCACACTCCTTCCCGAAGCAATCGCCCATTGTTTCAGTTGAAGGGTGAGTTCATCTTTTGTGGCCTTGCCGTCAATGGCGAATGGGTTGATAGCACCTTCACCAAGCCATTTGACCAGCTCGTTCGCCCAATTCTTGACTAAACTCGCAGGGCAAGCAATGACACATTTCTGAATGGTTGACTTGCCTGCTTCGGGAGACTGTTTCAACAAGGTCCACATCAACGTTATGCACTGTAGTGTTTTTCCCAGACCCATTTCGTCGGCCATAATGCAGCCCTTGGCCTTATCATCAATAAGCCCCGTTGTACATCGGTACAAGAACTTGACTCCTTCGACCTGGTGAGGCCGGAGGACTTTGGCCAATCTGGGGTCAATCACGACGGGAACTTTTGGTCTCTCGCCTTCGACTTGTTTCTTGATTCCAAGTATTTCTGCCAGACTCTTGTGCATCAGAGGCGTGTCCAATTCAGGCTTCTCTGCCTCCACCTGTGCCTCCTGCTTGGCTGCGGACTTTTCGTCAATAGTAGGGTCGTAGAGTACGATTGCAAACTCGCCGCTCGGATCATGGAGTGGTTTGTTAACGAAAGTATTACCTCGGCGCATTCCCAGGCTGGGTGCCGGTCTTGAGGGATCGAATGCATTCTTGTTGATCAATGGGATTGCGAAGCGGCTGCGAAACGTGGCTTCCTTGTCCTTGACCTTGAAGACGGGGAATCTATCTTTCAGGGCAACGCTTTCCCCGTCTATGCTGAAGCCACCGCTCTGATCGTCGTCATTTCCGCCAGCAGCTTCGGCATAGTTGACTTTTCGCCGCTTTCGGGTAGGTTCGCCGCTGGATTTGCGAGCGTTGGCTGATCCTGGGCACTTGAAGGGCTTTACCAGTCGGTCCAATGCCGCCGGTGAATTGCAGCTTAGTCTGCTAGCCTTGGCCGGGGGGATGTTTTCTTTGTCATGGACGGCGACGATTGATTTGGTACGAATCCTGCGAAACAGTCAATAGAGGGTGCCTGGCATTCAGTTGTACACTCACATCGCGAACCGCTGCAAGGCACAGATAGTCAAGTTGACGGACTTTGGAGATATCTTCTTAATGCGAGTGATACTATGCCATGGTTCACAAACATGCGGTGGCAAAGGCAGCCTCGAACTCGAGGGACGCGACGCGCGCCTTCCGGGATTGCGCGCCAGGTCGCGCAGTCACGTGGGGATGTTTCGCCCCAAGGTAAGTTAAAAGGACCTAGCTAGGTATGGGCCGTGTCCCCGGTCTTGTGCCTTGTGGGCTTGCTTGCAGAAAATCACCCTCTACCGCCCGGACGGAACTATTCTGCAGGATCTGCACGGCAGGACTTGTGCGAGCCTCATTCCCTCGATTGCTGCATCAAGAGTTCTTGTTGTAGCTGTTAGCTTCCGCCCTTAGAACTTGTCAAGAACTCCCTCTCGCCTGCATGGAGGCTTTATAATTTCGTTGCGAAAATGGTGGAAGCGTCCTTTGCATAAGTCTATCTTGGTTTCCCCCGATTTCTGGCTGGCAAGACCGGGTCAGAATGTCCTCTGATTTTTGGGCCAGTTATGCGTCAGGTGCATTCGGCATTCTTATTGGCAACCGGTTGGACGTCCTAAAAGTCAGAGCCCAAGCAAGTGGTGGTAGCACGACACCTGTTGGGCTCTCCGAGCCTGCCACGAAATTTCAGCAATTCACAGGCCTTTTCAGAGGTGCAGCTGCACCTATTCTGGGCTACGGAGCGCTGAACTCAATCTTGTTCGTGACTTTCAATAGGTCCTTGATATGGATGGATCCAAGCATCTTTGATTACACAAAGCTTGCAGGAGTTGACCTGGGCAAGATCTGGGCGGCCGGTGCATTCGGAGGACTGGCCACCTTCGTGGTGTCTGCACCCTCCGAGTTGATTAAATGCAGAGCCCAGCTGGTTGTGGACGGCCAGGGATCATCCTTTGGTGTCTTTAAAGAGATTTGGAGACACAGAGGCATCAAAGGCATGTATTATGGTGGGACAATCACTGCTATACGAGATGCAGTAGGGTAAGTCACGCCAGAGAGCAGTTGTGCAGTCTTAGAATTCATCACTCCCTGATCGAACCTGCCAGGGATGTCCAGCTTACGGAGTAACAGATATGGCTGGTATTTTTGGTCGTATGAGTTAAGCAAGCGCTTGCTACTGTCAAGACAGCCGGACCCTTTCCTTCCTCCTACAGCAGCAGACGTGCTAATAAGCGGTGGCATCGCTGGAGTTATCACATGGGTGTCTATCTATCCATTGGACATCGTCAAGACTCGCCTTCAGACTCAACCCGCCTGGCAGCCAGAGAGACAAGGGCTTCTCGCAACTGGATGTGCGAATACCCGACAGGTCCATACCTCTGTGGAACTGGCTCGAGAGATCTGGCAAAACTCTGGCATTGCTGGCTTTTACCGGGGAATCGGTGTCTGCAGTTTGAGAGCGTTCATCGTGAATGCTGTTCAGGTAGGTGCCCTCTCTCCGGAGTCTCAAGCAACACTGACATGGAACTCAGTGGTATGCTTATGAAAAGATTATGGATCTTTTCGCAAAATCTGGATGACAGATTTCAAGGGTGGCAATCCGCTAAAAATTGATCCGCATTTTGGACACTGTATGACAGAATGTTGGGGAGAATTGACGATCTTGCCATCGTTTGGAGTGCCCGTCGTTATGAACTCGCGGAATTCTTGGGGTATCGCTTGTGTTGTGCTGGGTACTTTGATTCAGGTAGTATCAATGATGACTTCAATCGTCCACCAACATTTCGTTCTCCGGCTCGTGCTGGTTGCGTCGGGTTTCTGTGCTCAAGCCCACGGCTGCATCTGCCATCTTTTGTGTGTGCGCTTCTTCCTTGAGCATTCGCACTCTAGACCCTGCCGTCAGCATGTAACTTGCATGATCCTGGAAAAATTATTGACTACCTTCTCTTGTGATTCTTCCCTCGGCGATGCTCGTTGAGGTTATGACTGTCGCTAAAGTATTTCGCGCATTCGACGCAGTAAAAAGCGCCTAACCCAGGTAGGTCTTCGGAGGCTTTGTTGCTTTTGTGTTGGGCAAGGTGTTTGGGTGACTTCAGATCGGCCTTGACCTGATCAAGGTCGCTGCAGTTGGTTAGCCATGCGCACTCCTGGCTGCTCAGTGAAGGGCTGCACAAACCGAGTTCGTCTTTTCGTTTTGCTGCGCTTGATGCTACCCATAGTGGCGTATTACCCGCTGGCAACAACTTTAGCTGGGACAATAAACAGTACTGGTAAATCCGGGCTCGGATCCTAGAGTGTTGTTTCGCGAAAAAAGTCGGAATCGTGTCCAGCACATGCAAGGCTCCGGCCACCAGTGGAAGGTGGGACAATTGCGACTTCTGCTCCGTATTGTGGGCCAGTGTTCGGAAGCGTTCTCGTTCTTGGCTGGAATTCAGTTTTCTGTGCCGCGGCTGGCTGGCAATGTGCAGCCAATGAGACGAATTTGCTTCGTTATTGACCTTTCGAGATGCCCGGACAGCTGGAACTCCAGATAAAGCACTGCTTCCAGTGCTGTCGATTTGTGGTAATCAACTTTGCTATGATCATGGGCAGACATGATGGGCTTCGGCAAGGCGGTATTCAGCGGCAAGTCCTGGCCGGTATTGACGACAAAGTGACCCAAAGGATGCGTCTGTTTCATGTGCTTTGGACTCCAAAGTAATCGTCTCCATGGTGATTGGCTGTGCAAGTGGTCTGCAGGTCAAAAGAAAAAACGAGGCATTTGCTCGGAGCTGGGGCCCTGGTGGACACCTCCATTGGGAGCTGTGTATTTCTCGGGGCGGTAACATCGGACGGGTGGAGGGCCATATAATAATAGTAGACTGTCTTCGCGTGCTCAATTGCATTTCCTGTATAGCACTCATACCAGGTGCATAGCTCGTGAAAGCGATACATCCAGTGCGGGAGGAGCTGCAGACGTAGATTGGTGTGTTGTGCCATTTCGCGTGCAGTTTGACGTCGTCCAAGGCTTATCGTTGTTCTCCCTCCGAGGCGATCAAATCACAGCCGACACCTCATCCGGGCGAGAGCTTTCAACCCCATTCCGTCCACTTCGTCACAGCTTTTCCAACTTCAATTCCTTTCCCACTCTCCACTCCCTGCGTACGCAGTATCAGTCTTTGTCGAAGCTTGTTCCTTTCGCAGTCTCTGCTAGAGTACAAGCATCGTCGCAATCATGATCTCTACGAGGCCAATGGGCCGACTGGCCTCGCGCCTGGTAAGTGTCCTATCATCATACCCTTGCGACTTGATTGCCCGCCGCAGCTGAGATCCTGGGCTCCTTGTATCTCTTCAACCGGACCCATGCCGCAAGATGGCCTTGAGATCAATTGCTAACAAGTGGGTGGTTTCTAGGGCTACAATGTCGGAACTGTCAGTCCTCTATCTCTACCTCATTTCGCAAATCGGACGATGAAGCTAACGCACCTCCTAGCCCTTGCGTATGTCCAGAATGGGCTATGCTACTGTCTCTGACGATCCTTTGAGCAAAAATAAGTGCCATCCTGTGCTTCCGTGGCTCGAGTTCTGACAGCCCTGTACAGGTTGAGATGACAAACTGGGAAAAGGGACATTACATCAACTACAAGTACGTTGCCAACCTTTGTTAGCATTAGGCTGGGTTTAGAGACAGCTTTTCTAGCCATGCTATCCAAGATATGGGACAAAATCGCTCACCCGGTGCCTCAGGAAAATGTCGGAAAACCTCTCAGTTGTCCGCAGCAGACTCAACCGACCTCTTACATACGCCGAAAAGATTCTGTATTCTCACCTTGATGATCCCCACAACCAGGACATCGAGCGCGGTGTTTCGTATCTCAAGCTGAGGCCAGACCGGGTGGCATGTCAAGATGCAACTGCGCAAATGGCTATCCTTCAGTTCATGTCGGCAGGCATGCCTTCAGTCGCTACGCCAAGTACCGTTCACTGTGATCACTTGATCGAGGCCCAGGTTGGTGGAGACAAGGATCTTGACCGAGCGAAGAGTATCAACAAAGAAGTGTATGATTTCTTGTCAACCGCCTGTGCCAAGTACAACATCGGTTTCTGGAGACCAGGCTCTGGCATCATTCATCAGATCATCCTCGAAAACTACGCCTTCCCTGGTGGTTTGATGATCGGTACCGACTCCCACACTCCCAATGCTGGCGGTCTGGGTATGGCTGCCATCGGTGTCGGTGGCGCTGATGCTGTCGATGTTATGGCGAATCTTCCATGGGAACTTAAAGCTCCGAAAGTCATTGGTATTAAATTATTGGGCGAGCTGTCTGGATGGACTTCGCCAAAGGGTAAGAGTTTGACGAGCTTGTAAATTGGTTGTACTGACCCTGGTGTCCAGATATCATTCTCAAGGTTGCCGGAATTCTTACAGTAAGTCGAGCTACATCTGAACACACCGGGACAAATACTAACAACTGTTATAGGTCAAGGGTGGAACTGGAGGTGAATCTCTCCGTTGATATTCAAATTCGTACGGCTTGCTGACATTTTATAGCTATTATTGAATATCATGGTAAGTAGTGATTTTGTGTTTCGCATGTTGGTTGCTGGGAGCACACTTTTGCCAAATGTGTTCTTCTGCGCAGCGTCCTACCTCCCACTCATTGAGCGTATGTGCTGCTTTCGCCCTGGGGTGAACCTCCAGGGCAAACTCCAGCAGATGCTGTGCGGGCGGTCGTGAGTCAAGAGCCACGTTGTCCGGACGGGGTGCTTCATTCGTAACACTGGACTTGATCTTGGACTGGAACACCTCCATCAAATACCGCGCCATATCCACGATATGTCCTGGATCTCTTTCTGTTCCTGTGGCACGTCCTCGCACCATGGATTGGATGGATTTGTGGAATGGATCTTTCGCTCTCCTTCGGAGGTATTCTAGATCTTGTCTCTTTATTCTGAGACACCATTTGGGGATGCATCCTTGGGTTTGCGCTTCCCTCGGGACATCGTCTCGGGAATGGGTTCCGGATTTGCTACCCTGCCTGACAAAGGCCTTCCTGGGACGGATCCTCGGTCTGCTCCCCTTCCTGGGACGCGTCCTGGATCGGCTTCCCTTCCTGACATACCCTTCTGATACATCCTGCCTGGGACGGATCCTCGATCTGCTCCCCTTCCTGAAATACCCTTCTGATACATCCTGCCTGGGACGTGTCCTCAATCCCCTGGTAATTCCCACATATCCTCGTTACGATACGTCTTCCAGGACGAGGTATACTAGGTGCATCCTACATAGGACGTGTCCCGTAGATCTGGTCTTGGGACACGTCCTCATCCTGGCCTTTTATCCTCAACCACATTTCTTCGACGACGCATTCCGACCGTCTTGAATATACACAACACTGGACCCAGGAAGAATTGGCCATATCTGTGCTGGGTATTCCTGCTTCATCATGGCCTCTGTAAGCAGGGACAGCCCTCTACGCTCGTGCATTCATTGGTTGGGACCCCTCACGAGGTTCCTGCCGATGATGCTCTTCTTTCCCTTTTGGGACAATTTGAAAGCGCCTTCCTTCTGGAAGAATGCTTCTCCCATCAGAATTTTCACCACCCCAAGAATTTCCTTCTACCTGGGCTGTCTTCCTGATGTATTCTCTGTCTGCACAACAGCATTGAAAATCACCTATGGCCTTTGCATCAAGCACTCGTTGAGGAGTGTCGTCCTTTCAGCTTTTGCCTCCCTGCTCCTGTCGCCGGCTGGTTAGCCTCAGTCCCAGGAAGCCCTTCTCAGGCTCCATTCTCAGATATCACCTCCGGCCATTTCGACGGCGTCGAAACCACTCTGCTCCTGTTGTCGGCTGCGTTGGCCTCGGCCACAGGAAGCCCTTCCTCAGACCCTGCTTCTAGAATCACCTCTGGCTATTTCGATCACCATGGCATTCGAGGCAACCTCAATGCTTCAACTGATCATCCTGCTTGTCTGGTCCTGCCTCAATACCACTCCTAAGAATATCCTCAACACGCTATTCACCAAGGTTCTGTCGAGCCAGGAATTCGTCGAAGAGCTCCTTTCGGCAGTCTCCATCACCTTCGCTCCTGGGCTCTTTGAAGTCTTACAAGCTGCCACTCCTCCGACCATAGCCTACTTCAAAACTCTCCCGTGCGAACTTGGGAAGATATGGGCTGTCTACTTGTTGGTACTCGAAAAAGCTGGCTGCATCCCCAAAATATACATTGGATCAGGCACACGTTTTAAAGGTAGAGTCTTTATACGTCTTGGTCAGTATGACAAGCGTGACTGCCTACCTATCTATGTGGAAAAGGCTTTGGACGATGGATATGTCATCGTCCACAAAGGGCTTCTATGCTGGATACCCATTCCTGCTGAAATCGACGCGGTCGTCTATCGGGTACTCTTCGTTACCATTGAAGCTGTTTTCACCTTTTTCTTCTGGGCTGTCAACTGCAAGACTGAGTATGGCTATGGCATGTCTGCATTCTGCCCTTGGGATCGCAGTTCCTTCGAATACGAAGGCCTGTGCAGTCACCACCCCCTGGGCGAAGCCCTGCGAGGCGAATTCCGCTCTGAAGAAGAAATAGCAGCCCAAAGAGCAAAATGTTTGGCGACTAATGCTGCTAGGAGGCGCGAACGCCGTGCTAAAGAGAAGGCAGAAGATCCAGTCAAGTACAAGGAGCAAAAGCACAGGCACTACCTAGCATATCAGGAGAAAAACCCTGGCGCCTCCAAGGAGCAGAATGACAGATGCAGAGCAAGGGCTGTCGCGGAGCAAAGACACTACTGCCGCGTTTGTGATTATGCCGCTCCCACCACCAAGAGATTGGAAACCCATCTCCGCTCACAACAGCATGCTAAGATTGCTGCTGCTGCCGAAGCCGGCAAGCTAGGCTCCCTACGGCAGCAGGAGCTGGAGCAGGAGAAACAAAAACGTTACTTCTGCGAAGACTGTCAAATTGGCTTTGACAAGACATACCACTGGAAGAGGCACCTGAGAACCCCAAAGCACAAAGCCAAAGCTTCTGCTCTCGGGACACCTCTGGAATCTGAGTCTTCGGACTCAGCTTCCTCCACTTGACCTCCGCCGAAAGGCCTTTCTGGATATATCACCCCTGGTCATTTTCGACGCTGTCGATTCCATCGAGTCACTTGTTGGCAGGCCTTCCTCGGACTGTCATACTAGGATGCGTTGTCGACCTTCATGCTGGCCATCTCTGTTCTGGACCTTCTACCACATTTGTTACGCATCTGGACTTCTTTGATTTTACTCTTCGTTTTCTTGATCCGCGATTTGAAATCACTACGACAGTACTTCTAACATTCTATCACTCTACAGGTCCTGGTGTTGACAGCCTCAGTTGCACTGGCATGGGCACGATTTGCAACGTAAGTTCATCCTGTTTACCTCATGCTTCTACGTTTTCTGACCTTCTCGAAGATGGGAGCTGAGATTGGCGCTACCACTTCCCTTTTCCCCTTCAACGACCGGATGTACGACTACTTGGCTGCTACTAGGCGCCAGCACATTGGAGACTTTTCTCGAAGCTACGCTGCTGAGCTTCGCGAGGACGAAGGTGCCGAATACGACCAGTTGATTGAAATCAACCTCTCGGAATTGGAGCCTCACATCAACGGGCCGTTCACCCCTGATCTGGCTACCCCAATCTCCAAGTTCAAGGAGGCCGTTAAGGAGAACAACTGGCCCCAAGAACTCAAGGTCGGCTTGATTGGTTCCTGCACCAACTCCTCATACGAGGACATGGCAAGAGCCGCAAGCATTGCTCAAGATGCCATGGACCATGGCGTCAAGGCCAAGGCGTTGGTAAGTTTTTCCAGTTGGTTCCTTTCTGTGGAGATTTCCTAACGTTTCTTAGTTCTGTGTTACCCCTGGATCCGAGCAAATCCGTGCCACTATCGAGCGTGACGGTCAGCTCAAGACATTCGAAGACTTTGGAGGTGTGGTCTTGGCCAATGCTTGCGGTCCTTGCATCGGTCAATGGGACCGAAAGGACGTCAAGAAGGGCGAACCAAACTCCATCATTTCATCCTACAACCGAAACTTCACTGGTCGTAATGACGCAAACCCTGCCACCCACTCATTTGTGACGTCTCCAGATCTCACCGTGGCCATGACCATTGCTGGAGATCTTGGCTTCAACCCTCTCACCGATACCTTGAAGGACAAGGATGGCAATGAGTTCAAGCTCAAGCCACCCTCCGGTGATGCTCTTCCACGAAACGGATACGACCTCGGCCGTGACACCTACCAAGCACCACCTGAGGAGCGTTCCCAGGTTGAGGTCAAGGTTTCCCCTACTTCCGACCGTCTGCAGGTTTTGCAACCTTTCGAGCCTTGGGATGGAAAGGACTTCAAGGATCTCCCTATTTTGATCAAGACAAAGGGCAAGACCACCACCGACCATATCTCCATGGCCGGTCCTTGGTTGAAGTACCGTGGTCATCTTGACAACATCTCTAACAACATGTTGATCGGTGCCATCAATGCTGCGAACGGTGAAGCGAACAAGGTCAAGAACTTCAAGACTGGAGAATGGGATGCTGTGCCAGCCACCGCTCGTCAATACAAGAAAGATGGTATCAAGTGGGTTGTCGTTGGTGACTGGAACTACGGCGAAGGTTCATCTCGAGAACATGCTGCTCTTGAACCGAGACATCTTGGTGGTATCGCTATCATCACCCGAAGCTTTGCCCGTATCCATGAGACCAACTTGAAGAAGCAAGGCATGTTGCCTTTGACCTTCTCCCATCCCGAGGATTATGACAAGATCAACCCGGATGACAAGGTCGATCTGCTCGTCACTGGACTTGCTGTCGGCAAGCCTTTGATCATGAAAGTCCATACCAAGGATGGCAAGACATGGGACTGCGAACTCTCTCATACCTTCAACGAGGGCCAAATTGAATGGTTCAAGAACGGCAGTGCTCTGAACACCATGGCCAAGAAGCACGGCGCGAAATAGGTGAAGATAATTAGGTGGACTGCAGTATGGAGAATGTATAAAGTGATCAGAGCGAAGACCCGGCTGAACGACGACGCTACTGGGGATGCTCTCAGAATGGTGCGTAGCTGGGCTGCTCGATTTAGGAGGGTCTGTTGAAAGCACGATGTCATGTATCTTTCATAGCAGCAATTACAATATCGCGTTGTGTTTCCTTGGAAGTGTAAGCGGCCCAGATCACCGGCTATCGTGGCATTTGTGGCATTCTTCCTGGTGGTAATAGTGCTGGTGTGGATTGACCGCACCTTCGAATAGTCGTTAGGCTTCGGATCCAGAGTGAACCTCGGCATCTCCAACATGCAGAGAAAGGCAATCAATCTACAAAATGCGCCGCAAATGCCATCACTGCTTAGGTAGATGGTGTCACCCGGAGTAATCTGCATCTCTGCTTCGACATACACCCTGAATGCTGCCTGAATTCCTTTGGAGTTGTATCCACGGCACTGGCATCGTCCACACCCCTTCGGAGTCACGGCTGACCTGCACCTCGCAAGATGTTTACGACTGCATGAGAAATGGTCGAGTTAGCCTAGTGACAAGAGGAAGTGTATGACCAAAAACCCCCTCCATCGTCTTTGGACTCAGAGTCTTTTCCTCGGTAACCTCCTACATCCTGTACACTACGGGGAGCGTATGCGCCTCACCAGCCCGTTCCATCGCCTAGCCACAGCGTCGCACGCCGCGGACCCTCACATCAGAACATTCAGACACAGAGTCAGGATGGCGCAGCATCTACCACATCTTCCTGACTGGGAACAGGTCAGCACGAACATCATCCGTATACTCGGCGGCAATCCAAGCAAGGTAGGGCTGTTTCCACTCCCCCACCAATACTTCGTTTCGTCAGTTCGACCCTTTCCTTTTTTTTTCCCCAACGTCGGCCCCTCAACCTCCAGCGTCCAGTACAGTACCGTGTTCCGCAAGCGCAGCCATGCTGACCATGCCGTACAGTTCACACTCCAAGGCACAAACACATACCTCCTCGGGCGTGGCGCAAGCCGCCTCCTCATCGACACAGGCCAAGGCGAGAAGCGCTGGCTCGACAGCCTCGCGAGCGTCCTGCGCCGCGAGAACGCGACAGTGCAGACATGCCTCCTCACGCACTGGCACCACGACCACGTCGGCGGGGTGAAGGACCTGAAGTCTCTCCCTTCCGGGTCCGAGGCTGAAATATACAAGAACACACCGACGCTCAACCCGGACAACCTCCTCGACCCTTCGCAAGTCCGCGACATCACCGACGGCCAGCGCTTCAGCACGCCGTCGACGCCCGAGGAGCCCGCCACGTTCGAGGTCGAAGCCGTCCACACGCCCGGCCACGCAAAGGACCACATGTGTTTCCTCGTCACGTCGTCCCCGGACCCGGACGAGGTTGGCGCGCTCTTCACCGCGGACAACGTCCTGGGCCACGGGACGGCCGTCTTTGAGGACCTCGGGCAGTACCTCGACAGTCTGAACCTGATGAAGCGCCGTGTCGTCGAACTGTCGTCGTCGTCGTCGTCGTCGTCCAAGAAACCGAAAAAGGCATACCCTGGCCACGGCGCCGTGATTGACGACGCAACGGGCAAGATAGACGAGTACATCACGCACCGGCGCATGCGGGAGGAGGAGGCCCTCAACGTGCTCCGGTACGGCACCGTCAAGAAGCCCGGAAGCTCCGAGGGCGTGGTGCACGACAGTGTCACGACGGTGGGGGAGAGCGACAGCGAGACCGAAGCGTCGTCGTCAACCGCAACCACAACCACGGCCACGACCTTGGGCAAGGAGGTCGCCGTCGGCAAGGAGTGGGAGAGCATGGAGATGGTCAAGGTCATTTATCGCCATTACCCCGAGTCCCTCTACCAGCCTGCCGAGTACGGCTTGCTTATGGTGCTGGAGAAACTCAGGCGGGACGGCAAGGTGGTCAAGACGGATGATGCGAAGTGGAGGGTCAGCGAAAAGGCTACATTGTGATTTCAGTCACTCAGAGTTACGACGCATCTGGTGGCTTGGTACAGCAGGCTACGGAGTTCCTGAGGCCCGAATTCTACTGGAGCACCCTGATGTATTTGCGGTCGCCTGCCTAGCTAGGTAGCCACAGTATTCGTATGGAAGCCGATATAGCATTTAAGACAGAACTGCATTTCACCCCGGAGCCAACCTGAGGCAGTACTCCTTTGCGGAGGGAGTGGTTTTTTTCTTCGTTTTAAGTAATTTTGTGTGCAGTACTGAGGTCTACCTACCTCGGGACCGAGGTACTAGGTATATTCTTCGACTGTAAAAACGCAATCAGTGCCTCGCCCACGCCTTGTGGACTAGGCTTTTCAGCACACACATCTGCATCGAAGCCGTACTTATTCTTCAGATGGTCCCTCGTCGTAGGTCCTATGGTGACAATGACAGGTTTGAGTTCGTCAGCATCGCGTCTAGAAGCGGGGTTGGTAGCCTCTTGCCACCGAAGGCGCGCCGTATCAGTCAAGGCGTGTTCGTCGTCGATGAAGCCCAATGACTTAAGCATGGCTTCGCACCCTTGCGGGCTAAAGACGACCACAACCACAACGGGCAACCCCTGGTTCCTGAACCCGTCCACCGCGACCCCAAAGTCCTGCTGAAACGAATCCATCGTCTCGGTCTTGTACACTTCGACTTCGTCCACGTGGATTCGCTCCTGTGGGCCCAGCTTACCGTCCTTATCCATGAGTGTCTTGGGGATGATGTCCCGCCGTTGCTCACCTACTAGAAACAATAGGCCTCTCTTCTGGATCCGGCTGTCGTCCGGTTCCAGACGCTCACCGTGCAAAGGGCCGAGGACCGGCGTGAATGGTAACCGCGGCGCATCATAGAATGTGTACCGCCTCCGCGCGTGGAGCTGGTTGTAATGCGAAAGTATGTACTCTGCCAGACTGCCACCGTTACCTGTATGTTCACCGAGGACGGTGGGACGCAGGCGAGCGAACGGCGAAGACGACGCCGCCGCCGCCGCCAGAGTTTCTGTCTCCACCAGGGTCCTGAGCGCCCGTGACGTAGCAGGACCAACTGTGTAGATTGGAAATTCAAAGTCGTCTTCGACCAGTTTGGAAGGTGGTTCCTCGGTCGCCATATGCGCTGTAGTCTCGCTAACATGATGACTCGAGTTGCTCAATCCTATCGTAGTAGCCAAAACAGGACTTTTTGTCAGTCTACACTCAGATCACGGTTCATTAATCATGGCTCGGGGAAGGGGTACGATTGCGTCCTCGCCACAGTGAAATCCGAGGGCATCAAGGACCAAAAGAAGGTCAATTCATACCATTGTCATCGACAGTGGGTGTCTCTTGCGTTGCATTCTCTCGTCCCCGATCCCGTTCTATTCGCACTCGCTGGACCACATCCGTCCAAGCCTCGACAGCCCTTTGGCTTGTGAATATCATCCCACCATATTTATCTTGCAGATTCCCACTTCTTAGCAACTCGGCCAGTCCTTCCAAGTTGGGCGCATTGGGTCGATGTTCCAGGACCGGGATGAAGTGAGTTTGGAAGGTGCCACTTCCGCCATCCGCGACGGAAGGGGAGGGCGAGGGCGTGCTACTCGTTGGCAACAAAGAGGAGGACGCAAAATACTCTTCGTATGCGTCGTAGGGGCTCGATCGAGTCTTGAGGAGCAATACGGGGATGGTCGAAGGTTTCGGCATTGTCGTCTTGAAACACGGTACCCTCTTTGAGGAAGGCAAATAGCATCAGCGGGGGGGATGGTACTCCGTCCTCCGCGCCCAAAGATCCTCAGAAGAAGGGATGCGCTTCGAATATCCCTACAAGGTTACGCTGCGCTCTGTCCTCGTATCTGTGCCTCTGTATGGAGCACAAAAATCTTTTCTTAAAATAGGGCGATGATCTTGCTTCGAACCTCAAGCGAGGCTTAGGCGAACAGCCCAACAACAGGGCGTCCCAGTAGAGGTTCCAAAAGTACTCGTAAAATTTTGTACGGAGCACGAGCAAACGTTGTCCCTAAGCGATGGTGGTCCCTTGAGTTGACAGTGTGTCAGGCTGAAACATGCTTCATGTCTACACTAGCAATCAAGCAACTCGTATCGTAAGAACAAGGCTCAAACTAGCGAGGATCCGGGGTTGGACAGGGGGAGGGCGGTTTGTTCTTTGAATCTTCGCAAAGTCAAGCTAGCTTGTTGGACTCCTTGCTTCGACCTGGTTAGTGCCGTGTCAACCCAGTAAACGCCCTTGTTTCAGTCTGAGGGAAGCAGGGAATAAATAATTTCACTAGAGCAGGGAGGGACAAGACGAGCAGAGAAAAGGTATCGGACGTGGGAGGTGAGCTGAGAGCATCGTCAATACGATCGTCGATTAGTCGTACGCTGAAGAAGGCATGGACTTTTTGTTGCAGAACGCGTTTCAGAAGTATTTTGCCGTGGCTAGTGAGGCTTAAACTCCAGCACAAAATCTGATGTCATTGGCGTGTGAGATTTATTCGTGTTGTTTGTTGTTTGCTCAATGTTTGGGCATCCACCGTACACAAGTACCTCGCTACGTTGCTACTTTGCTATGTCGCTACATCCTCCGTACTAGATTCACAGCCGTCTACTTCATGTCTGAGTACGCAACTACATAGCCAGACGCACCGGCTTCGGATGTGGAAATACATCACTCAAGCAACATCTCCTGATCAAAGAACGAAAGGCTGTCACACCAGGCGTAAGGCCGTGGATCCAAGATCACTCGCTCGCTTTCATGACCATGTGGACCACCGACTGCAAGCAGCCTCGTCCTCCATCAAAAAACTTGGCTTCTACCCTACCTCTTCCGCTTCGACATGAAACGCAGCAGGGCTTCAAGCGGAAGACCCGTTGAACCGCTGCACTCGGGTGCACTCCGTCTCGGGACTTGCCGACTTAGTTTTCAAAGATGACATGCGTCTAGGTTTCATCAGCTCTCCATTGAAGTACTGTTGATTTGAAACACCGGGAGAGCTGACCATTACATAAAATGCCTTTTCCACCAAGTCTCCATTTTAGCCCAGTATTGCTGATCACGGCGAAAAGAAAGAGTATCGAGGGGAGAAAGTCTGCCTGACTTTTGCTCCGAACAGGCAGGGAAATGATAGGGTCATGCGTCAGGCACACGTTCCTTGCCAGTCTTGCTGATAGACTAGCCCTGCGTCACACAGATTGCGAACGTGGTGGCGCATTCGGTCCCACTGCATGCAAGGCGGTTGCGAACGTTGTACAGTCGGCAGGCATTTGGACAGCTTCCACCGCGGCAAGAAGGCAGCCAACGTATGCATGGAAACTTGAACGAAGTAGTGTCTTGCTCCGGCAATCTCACTGGCTAGGGGCAGACTCCAACTTTCCACGGGCCCAAGGCCTCAGATATTCGCGAACGTGAAGCACAATTACACAATCATAGAGAAATTGACTCTTGGAGGAGGGCACATTGATTCCCTGATCGCTTCGAGATGCACATTCATTGGAGACATCTTTCGGGCCGAAGAATCCTTTGAATCGATGTCCTTTTGTGGAAGAGTCAATGGAGATAGTTCGTTCTCGGTGGCTCTCCTATGTGTGCTCGACCATACATGAGACGACGTAGCAAACATCAAACCCTGTTATATACTCGATTTTCGTTGCCATCTCAAATCAGGCAAACGTGGGCAGCAGATGATTTTGAGCATGATGAACAAGGGCCGCCGCTGTCCGTAACACAACAGCTGTCATATTGCCTTCGAAACTAAGCCGTCCAACGATGAATAAGTACAGCTCGGAAGCCGCTCGGCAAGCAGGCTGATACCGGGGAAGGACTTGCGAACGAGCAAAGACTGTTAGGAAGTTTCCCGGAGCCCTTCTGGTCCGAACCAGTGTATGAGATTGCATGCAGCCCCGCGTATCAGGGGTGCCAGACCACCATCTTGTCTCAGCATCCACGGCGAAAAAGTAGAGCCTCCCTGTGTCGCTCTTTGCTGCATCAGAAGGTTTTGGGCGAGGAGTCTTCGCAACTGTCCCTGAATTTTCAATGAGGCTGGCGGCGTCGGTTTCCATGCATCAAGGCAACGCTTAGGGGAAAATGCGGCATTATGGATGTCGTCTGGTTTGGCGTCGAACGGTCCCACACCCATAGAAGACCACGAGGCGCCCTTGCTCGACGGCTGCATGCATATGTCAAACTCGCTAAGCCTGCTGTTGCATGCCATGGACGGCCAGATTTGACTTCAGGCTCAAGTGGTTACCAGGTGCTGGGCGAATCCCATCATCATTTTCCAGACGCAGCCGAATGTCCGGATTTGAAAATAGGCTTGTTCAGATGCCCAACTGAGGTGCGAGACGCGTGCAGGCAATCGTCTTGCTTAGTTGTATCTCATGTGGATCGATGATATGTTTGCTTCTCTCGTCTTCTTTTGCCCAGCGTGAGGGTTTCGGCTCGTGATATATAGAATGAGCTCAAAGCAAAAGCTCACGCACAAGTCTGTGACACTCACTCGTTGTGCTCACGAACTCGTACCATCTTGCACATACATTTCGGGCTGTTTCATCGACCTCTTTTCTTCACCGCCAGTATGCCTCAAACACAGCCTGTAGGACCGAGAGCTCCGAAAGATGACTTCATGAAGGCTCTTGGTCTAAGCACTACCGACCCACGACACGAAGGATACTATCGAGCCATGAGGGTATGTTCAACCGCTCGAGGAGTGAGTGGATTGCTCGGCTAGGCACTGACTCGTGGACAGGAAGAAGCAATTGCCGTTTACAACAGCCTGAATGCCGACCGATCAAGTCTGATAGATGAGAAGCGAAGCGACAAGTCAACCTCGCCCCCATTCTTCTGGCATCATATCCGTCAAGAACGTCGCCGTCAAGCCATCATCGACACCTGGCAGCAGGCAAAGCCAGGCACCATTCAGCGTACTCTGTTCGACCAAGGAGCCACAACGGGAGAGCACGCCCCAAATTGGGTGACTCTTTGGCTGCTATACAGCGTCTTCCGGTCCAGAGACATCCGTAACAATCGGAACCGACGAGCTGGTGATGGTAGTAGCGGTGGCAGTGAGTGAGCCCTCGCTATTTCTAGTCTTCAGGAGCTGATTAGTCCAACAGGTCATTCATCAGGAGGTTCGGATTCGGCAATATTTGACCCAGCAAGGAATACATACGTACGCCGCTGACCTTACCGTCAGACTTGACATTGGTCATATCCATGTATTTTGTACTAGTTGAGGCATGGGCAGGTACTAGGCGTCTGGTCAGGCAATGGTTAATGTTAATCGTCGTCTTCACCCTCCTCTTTGTCGTTCTTCTTCGGGCCCTTTTCTTTTTTCCGTTCTTCTCGCAGAACATTGCTCACTTCTTGGCCATGTTCGTCTTTGGCTTCATCCCATTCGACGTCATACTCGGCTGCAACGGCCTTGACTTCTTTTCTGATAGCATTTGCTTCTTCGACTAATGCCTCCCACTTCTGAATGTCGAACCCTTTCAGCTCATATAGCTTGCTTTGACGCCGACTGATGGTCAGGTTCAATGCTGATCTGTATGACACCTCACGGTTATGGTACAAAAACCACATATAGCCGCCGATGATGGTGCTGAGCCCGACAAGGTAAGTTACTGGCTCCATCTATACCACATTAGATCCTGGCGAAACTCCACACGGACGTTCAGAAGGGTAGAGAGACTAACAACATCCCAGCCTAAGTCCGTCTCGAAGGTCAATCGATACACCACGTACCACCAACCAATCAACAAACCGCAGCCACCCATAGCTAGCCTTTGCCCACTCCTGTGAGCAGCAAGGTCACATTCCTTCTTAATTGCAGCCATGTCAGCGATTTGCTTAGACGTCTTCCGAAGCCTTTGTCGCAGATAGAATGTTCGGTCGTTGAAAGACGGTACTGCAACTTTGATTGCCCGTGGACTTCCTTCGATCTCGACCTCGAACTCTTTCGCTCGTGCTGCGTCTCTTATGAAGTCTCCAATCTCTGTCGAAGCACTCCACCTTACGAAATCTCCTTGGTCTTCGCCCTCTCCTTCTCGGCCGGCACCACTGTAGCTCTCAACGCCCCCTTCGCCTAAGGACCCTTTTTGAGATTCCTGATCGTCTTCCTTTTCCGATGGTAGCTTTTTCACTGGTTTGATCTCGTCTGTTGTAGCTTCCATCGCTCTGAATGACACTGAGGGTACCTTATTGTTTCCATCATCAGTGCTGATGGTAGGTAGTTCTGACTGGATTAGTCTTTCGAGATAGGAGAGGGGCTGCTGAGGATGGACAAGAAGAGCCAGAGGAGCGACATCTTTTCTGTCAGAGTTTTGGTCAATGGTAGTCAGGGGCAGGACAAGCTTAAGCAGTCTCGAAGGGGTCGTTAACAGCTTTCCTACCTCCGGGTTAACATGCGACAGGGTGTGCGGTCGGTGGTAGATTACTTGCCTTTAGTCATGGCCCCGGCAGAGCGTTGCCTTCGTACGGGGGGTTCTTGTGCTCCTTGCCGATGCCATGGGGCTCGCAACTGCTTGTCTTTTCCTTCTTCGGCAACGGTAGAGTCAAACTCGGATAGAGCTTCGTCGATTCCCTGCTGGTTCAAATCCCTGGCAGTCTGTTCACCAGAAATGCACCGTTGTGGATGTTTGACGACTGTGACTCTGGCAAGACGGTTCGGCTTCCCCTCCACAATCTGCTGCCTCCATGCCAGCCTCGTGTCAGGTACATAAGGCCTCAGTGACAAACGGGTCGAGACATGGTGGAGCTTGCGAGTCTGCGCCAACAGCCTGGCGGGATTGAGAAGCCGCATGGCGAGCGAGAAGGTAATGTTATTGCTTGAATCGCACGCCTAGCATGATGCCTGGAGATAGTCAGGCGTAGGCTTACGAGACAGGTTTCAAAAATGACGAGATTTTGTCAACCAAGTCGACAGTGTTGATTCCTTGCTTGATCACGGCCAAATTACAATGTACCGGCAACGACGTCACTCGACAACAGCTGGACTTGGCGCTACAACCGGCATTTGGCGTCACTAGTTAGCCTCATGCAGTCAGTGAGCGCTCAACTCTTCCGCAGGAAAGGAACAAGGAGTTCAAAGTACCATGCCAACCTCCTCCGAACTCCCTACTAGACTCCTTATGTAGGTAGTGTTTTAGTTATGCGAAAAGGTAACTCAGTTGCCCGTTCTCAATGCTAATTTCACCGCTACTTCAAGAGCCAATGGTTTTTTTCGGTTCTGCAATCTAGAAAATCATCTCAACAACAAAATCAATCATACATCCTTCCACGGTTGCTTGATCAATTTACGCTCGTAGAGCCACCATCCGCCGCTATGCCTGAAAATCATGAAGCACAGAAACCCACACAGTTGCCTGCATACATCTCTAGAAGCAGGGCATGCAATGGAAAATGAAGTGGAGGAGTGCACAGTTTCCGTGACGTGAAGAAATAGCCCTCCCCTGGGATGGTCATGGTCGTGGTCGTGGTCATGGTCTCATGAATCGTAGAATCGTTACAAAAGAAACGTCATTTCGTGAAGACGCAACGATGCTTGCCGTCGCCCGGACGCCGACACCCAATAACATGGATCAGCTAATAGCGCTGTGGTCCTCTTCTGTTGTGGTGGTGCGAATCCGAGGATGAAGACGACGAGTATGAGCTTCTGAAGCTTGTGCCGGACATTCTTGCTGATTGACGAGACTCTCGCCAATCAGGGCTGCTACCGCCACTTCTGCTGCCCGAGCTGTCGGTGTCGCCATATCGATACTCAGACCGCGCATCGCTTCTCCGGCTGTGACGACCGGAACCAACTGGGACAGGGTTACCCTGGATCACACCTCCATGAGCAAAGCCAGTCGGGTACATGCCATCGTTGGCAGAGAAATTCCGGCAGATGTTGAAAGCGATCAAGGCAGCTCCCTCCTTCGCAGAAGATTCTGACGGGTGAGAGCCAGAAGTCTGATATTCCCGGTTGTTTACTCTCACAATGCATCTATAGCCGGATGGACCGCAGGACACTTCATACGTAGGGTCGGGCCATCGACGGCGTTGACATAGACCTGAATAACACTGGTCAGTCTCTGTGGGGCCTATCGAAGAAAGCCGAAACAAATCTGTGGTGGAATTGCTATCACATCGGTCATCGTAGGAAAATTTGTGGCTCATAGATGAGGCTGAACGACCCCTGGCCGCCTGACCCAACAGGACTGCACATGAAGAATCCAACAAGAAGAACATCGTCCAGGAATTGCAGGGACAATGTGTCGACAACACATGAACGCAAGCTACGCTGGAATAAACGTACTGGCCAGGTAGACGGTATGCAGCATGACTGCACCGCGTTTGCAGAGGGTTGAAGCCCAAAAAGTGGTGCATCCAATTGCTGTATAGAAACCACGACGAAGGCCAAAGGGCTGGTGTGCCAGCAACGGCAGGCCTTATCGTTGACAGTATTTGTCCACAACGGAGTGGCCACGAACACACGAAAGGCGCGACAGACTTTGTATCAGGCGAGTAGCCTCAGACACAGAGATAATATCATCGATATAGCTGGATTTTTTACAGGCGAAGTACGGCGGTCGTTCCCACATATTTCATGGCTTCGTTGCAGAATCCTGCGATGCCAGCGAAGCAAATGCGAGACAGGCGGCAATTGCGTGGGGCATGGCCAGAGCATTCCACTGTGGCCAAAATACTTCTGACGAGCGGCTAGGTATTGGTCGATCTGCGGATGCTGAACGATTTTACTCCTTTCCGTCGTCAAAATGTCATTGATGTGTTGGCATCCGTTTCAACCAGTACCGATTTGAAAAAGTCGGGACCGTTCTCAGCAACCAACTTGCCTCTGTCGGGAGGCTCGTGCAGATTGACCGGATGCCTGTGATTGGCAACCGCATCTTTGTCGGGTTCCCCGCGCAGAGCTTCCATGGGAGAAGGATGGCCCATCGTCATCCATTCGGTTGAAGACCAATGTTGGCATTTTGAGTTCTCTCATTGCTGACGTGCACAACCGGTGAAGCTTGTCCAGGTACAACTTATCACGGAATTTAAGGCAATCGGAGTAGGTAACATGCCGATGGCCATCGGAAACCTTCCCCATCGTCATGGTGAATGTCATGCAGAAACACCTGGCAGGTGGAGAATGGGCGTCTATGATGTTGCAGGGTTCGGCGGATGGAACACATATTGCCTTGGAGAGCTTTTGCCTGGAGGACTGCATATCTCAACAGGTAGGCTGGACGCGAAGGGGAGAGATGCATCCCCAGTGATAGCCTGGTCGTAGTAGCATTGATCAATTGTTCATTCTTGCGCCATCTGTCTCGGCTGACAGTCAGGCAATGGATTCCGAGCTCGTTAGAAACACCGGCTTTTCGGGCGGCGGGTAGCGAACACGCGCTTGCTGCAACACATGTAGGTCGGATTAGCTGACTGGAAGACCAAGCCAACGGGCGAAGTAGGAAAGTCCTGAGGTGGACCTGGCCCTCCTCCACTGCAGTAATTGCATGAATGCGCTGTCAAATAATGGGTTGACGGGCATGGCAAGATCTTGTTGGACCGAGCTGCGTCAACTCACGGCTTATCCTGGCTTCGATGCTTCATCCACGATAATCAATCGCTTGTTGCTCCCTCGAATGCGCTGCGTGCACAGGTATATATCTTGAACAACAATCACAGCCAGAGGCCATGGAAACAGTCACCCAGCATAGTGACCGTCGAGGGGCACAAAAGAGTCTAGATGCAGGGAAGAGGGAAGAATAGGAAGCGGATGGTCTGGGCTCAACTTGGCCGCACATGTTTCAACCCGAGGGACAGTGGCAACCAGGCCGAAAGCCTGTCGACTTGTGGGTTTCCGCCAGAGACTTCGACAACTAGAAGTCTACGCGCCTGCATGCAGGGCAATTTCTGCAACAGCGGTAAATACCTCTGGCTGCATTAGGACCCCACTTGGGGAGCATGAGCCTTCGCAAGCTTGTTCCGAGTGAAAGTCAGCCAGCAGTGGAAGAAGCGGTGCTTCTACCGCGATAAGAACGAAATGCGGGCAGCTGCAGAAATGCACACGCTTCACAAACGCGTACTTCAGATTTAAACGGTGGGAAAGGAACAGCTGGCTTGAATGGGCCAAGTGAGAAACGCATGATCATCACCACATCACCAGTAATGATGCCGGGTGATAGCCATCTTCTTTGCTCGGCGCACCTACGAGCTGTCCCATACCGAGCAACACTTTCGTCGATGAATCATCTCATAAACACTACAGTTCGAGAACCATGCTAATGTCGAGTCGTTCATGCAACATGCATTCCGTAGGAACCAAGCCTATCCAAGTCTGAGTGTTGTACCACCTCCTCTCCTCATAGTGCAGTCTTAAGTGGCCTGGCAGCTGTCCATGTGCGCATCTCAAGGACCCGATTATGAGGTATCACGAAGACTGGGTTGAGACTTCTGACATGAGCACCGGTGTCGAAAACGCTACCCGGGTCACTTTCACTCGGTACTTGCGCTCTAGCGGCTTCCCAGGTGAAGGCTGATGCAAAGGGCTCTGAACTTCCTGGGTTCTCATATGTGTGAGCGTGATCAACGTTACTCAGCCCAACTAGATTGTAGCAAGTGTGGTAAGAGTCTGGCAACCTTTCATCATGTCAGCCTTGATCGTAGTTGCATCGAGGAATGCTCACTTTGATGGTTTGTCTCTCAGTCCACCTTGAGGACCTTGGCAACAGCAAAGTATATATCTGGAGAGGCCTTCGCTGCTGTAGAGGTTCTCACTCACATTTCTGCCCATACCTTTAGGAGTGTCTCGAGGGCCATCCAAGGCTGCCTCTACCAACGGCCAACAAGTTCCTACCCAGTGACTGTAACAGCCATCAACGAGCTTGTTGGTCCGTCCAGCAAATCCCCCTTCAGGGGCATATTGCCTGGCACAAAGCCACGAAAGAAGTCCGTCTATATCAACATAGCAAGACATTTCATGGGGGGCTGCATGAAGACACAGACAGGCGATGGTGCAAAAAGCATAAGCCCCGTGCGCTTCACTGCCTGGCGAGCTCGCAATCCCACCCTCGTAGGTCTGACAACGGGAGAGATACTCGCCCAAACCATCCGTGAACAATTCAAAGCCTGCCTCGCGCGCAGGTGAATCAGGCGGCAACGAAAGAGGCAGGCTTAGGAGGGAGAGAGCAACCAAGGCGCAATACGCTCCCCGAACGTCTTCCTCACCCTCCTCACAAATCCGGAAACCCCCATCCTTCTCTTTCAATCGCCCTAGCCAATGCCACATTGCCTCGCGGTCGATCAAAGAGTAGGCTTCCTGCCCACCGACAAGTGCTAGACTTAGCAAGCCTGCATATGTTCCGGCCAAATGCGAATACTGCCCAAAGCCGCCTCCAAAACCTCCGCTCGCATTTTGCATTGAATAGAATGTTTTGACGACCCTGTCAAAGGTGTTAGTCTTTGCACATCACACGCATAAGCTCAAATGGTTGCGCTGGAAAGCTAATACCTGGAACGAAACGGAGACACGTCTTCTCCCAGGAGATAAAGACCTAGCAGTGCCCAATATACCATCCACGGACGGCTAGCATCGATGCCAACAAATGGAGGAGGAAATTCGCCAAGGTTCTCTTGCAAGAATTGGATATGCTCTTCTTTCTCCAAACTCGGCAGCCCAAACTCATTAAAGTCAAATGGACTTCGTGTGGGATCTTCCACGGCATTTAGCAACGGCAAACATTCGTTGATGGTTGCACTTTGGAGCCTCGAGGTGTCAGTTTCTAAATTGTCCAGGAGCGGCGCGGGATGGCGAAAGTATGCTGGAACCGCCGTCGAGAACGAGCCTGACGTCGCCATGATGAGCAGTTTGAGGCAATATACGCGTCAATGTGGCTTCCCATGTATACCAGAGTCTAATAAGAATAGACTCATCAAGCAAAGGGAGCCGGTGGCAACAACGCAATCCCCCCTTCGTTCTTGATATTGTTCTTGGAATTCCCAAGCCCCTTAGGCTAGTAGTCAATCATTTCCGCCGTCGATTGTCGATCTTTCTCGATGTCATATGTAAAGTTCAAGACAGTAAAACACTTTCGTTAGAGAAACCGAGTATTCGCAGGGGTCCACGGGACTGCACTCGAAGACGGACATCAGTTACTCTCTCGTTGAGGCATGATGAAGCGTAGGCATAAGAGCCATCTGTTTGGTCACTTCCAGATGCAGTCTTGGCACACGAATCCGCGTCCATCGGCTCCAGACGCGTCAAAACTGCCCAAACAGAAGAGACATGGCCAGAGTACCAAGTCGGTATTTGAGGCACCATAGACAGTCCTTACCTGGTGTCTAGACAAGTTCATGTCTTCGGGTACCTAGCAGTGATCTTCACTACGAATAGATACTTCACCTGCCCGTAAACCACAGTGCACTCCAATACCCATTGCAAATATGACTGCTTCCAACAGAAGCAGTGCATCATACTGAGAAGGATGCACAGGCATTCCCTCACCTATAGTCTACACAGTTACCTTCTCGGGGTTATTTCGAGAGGCGCGCTCAATGCATTACGGAGGGGGGAGTACTCGTGGTTAACAATACAGCGCAGATTAAATGAACTCACCCCGTGTACACAGGTGATTCCGGAGTCTGCGTCCACAGCCTCTCCTTACCCGTGCATGCGAGGTATCATTCTTCTGGCTCAAGCTATCTTTGTATCAAGGAAGTCTGTATTTCGTAAATCCTGGTTTCCACCCAGAGTCGGAACTGGGAACGCCCATGTTTCTCCAGCTACACCGCCCTTTGTCCGCGCTTTGCACAAGAATAAACCCGGAGCTCCTGTGGTCAACCCTTCAGCTGAAACGAAATCTGGCCACACAACTTGCGTTCGAGAACAGACGCAGGCTCATGCCAAAATGTATCTTGAAGGGTGAACAATGGCGCTTCCACAACACATAGCGCCCATATCAACATCATCGAGACGCGGGAGGCGAAGCACATTTGTTCTTCTGCTCTGACGGCTGCACCGAACACGAAGCTTACTTAGGTGGGTACAGGTGGCCACGCCGTCAGCGATTACATGCATACTAAAGGCGTGTGAGCTTGTCCTGGACATTTGGGTGTCCAATGACAGAGACAGAGGGAACCCATCCCGGAGAGATGACTCGTTCTGAGCTGCCGACACTGCAGGAGGCCAACGACTCCTCTGCAAGCATCTCGACTGAAATTTGTCGGCTGTACGAGTCTGTGGCACCGTAAGGAGATGAGGGTAGTGCAAGCCCTGCGTAGACCATTTCACAGGTGGCGGAAGATGACTGCCTCGTGTGAGAGGCAAGGGAGCGGAGGAGCATACAAGGACTGCTTTCTCGTTGCTTGGGGGCGCAGCAGAGGGACACTTCTCGAGTTATCTGGATTATATTGAAGAGAGTCCCTATCCTTGGGTGCTGTGTTCATCATTGACTGTTCCCTGTTTCGCTGTCACCATTGCTCTCAGCGTTTCCGCCTGCCTACCTACACAACATGCGTCGAATGTGACGACGAAGAGTCCAAGTCCACTTGTCGGCACCCGGAGGCCGAGTCAACCACTGGGCCTGACCTTTACGCGAACATTGACGCCAAGTGAGGGCGGGTTGCGTGAGGACTGATGAGAGGACCAGTACGGAGTACTCGTAAGTCGCAAGTGTGCAGCACTTGGGCGTAGCGACGACCTGCCATCGACATTTTCCGGGTCAAGTGAGGCCCCGTGAGGCCCCTCAAGCCCTGGGCCTTGGGCCTAGAGCCTAGCGCGTGTCGCCATCGCCCAACGCCACCCTCCTATCACCTTCGACCTGTGCCCACCTGTCGAGCAGATACCGGGCTCTGCTTTGGTCGTCCGGCCATTCATCTGTCGGCATCGGGGTCGGTGGTCTCTTCTCCTCCCACTTTCACGCCCCCGCTAATTCGACCATCTCCATCTCTGGCTGCACCCGCTCACCGCTTCTTTGCTCCCTCAACCCGCCTCAACCCAGAGGCTCATCTCTGTTGTGCTGGCCTCGAGGCGGTCACTTCTGTATCTCTCGTCCTCGTCTCTCTCGACACCTTCTCACGGTCACCTTTCCACCTCTCCTGCTTCGACGTGCCCGGCAGGATCGCTCGAGACCATCTCCCGAACCATCATTTATCAGGGCTGACCGTCTGACAAGTCCTGCATTATGGCAGGCAATGTCAATGTCGCCTTGACCAGCGAGGACCTTGCTTACGATCTGGACGCAAGAAGCGCCTCATACTTCCGGAACCCAGCATGGCCTCTACACATGGACCAACTAGCGGGTGCAAGGCCAGACCAGAGGAGGAATATTTCGCCCATACAGACCAATAGCCATGGACTTCGACAGACAACAATGGCAGAACACCCCATGATGGATACATGGAGGTTTCAACAGCAACAACAAAATGTGGACTACTCCAACCACCAGAACCAGTATGAGCTACATTATGACACTCAGTTCCACAGCCTCCCGTTACATTCTGCGCAACTGGGCATGCTTCCCGTGTCGCAGCCTACGACGCTACCGCCGACGTTACCCCTCGACCATTCCTACATTCCTTTCGAGTCAGGAATAGAAGGCATGCCACAGAACTGGGCCGATTTCCAAACCGAATTGATCAACTACACCACCACTGATGTCGGACTTGCCGTCTCACCGTACCAACAACTGACGAGCTCCCCGACCGGCTCGCATTTGGAAGTATTGTCGCAGCCCAGCTCATGTGATGAACATGGCTGGACTATGCTGGAACCCCGATCCTCTTTCGAGTCATTCGAGCGACATTTTTTTGTTGACCCGAATCACACGGTCCACAATCGAACCTTGTCTGAATCATCGTACTCAGACTTGGAACCGCAGAACAATGCCAACTTCATCTCCAGTCTAGACATAAATCCCTCCCAAGCTGTCTACTCACCAACCACGCTATCCGACAGTGACTACGAATACTTAGGCCATGCTCATCGCCTGTCGATCGACCATGGTCCAGCACCAGGTGCCAATGTAACCCCCGCCGCACTCGTTCGTCCGATACCCATCCCTCCCAGCAAAGCCTCGAGTTCCTCCATCCGATCACCTAGCTCCCAAGGCTCTGCTGGCTCTCCTGGACGCAAGAATTCCAAGAAAAGTCCCATTGCAGCCAAGTCAACGGACAAAGTGACGAAGAAGTCTACACAATCTGGAAAGGCGGATGGAGAGAAACGTGTCGGACGAAGGAAGGGTCCTCTCCGACCCGAGCAGAGGAAGCAAGCCAGTGAGATTCGGAAACTGAGAGCGTGCCTGAGATGCAAATTCTTGAAAAAGACATGTGACAAGGGTGAGCCGTGTGCAGGCTGTCAGCCGTCTCATGCTCGCCTCTGGCAAGTCCCGTGCACTCGTATCGACATCAAGGAGATTGGATACTTCTTGAAAGACTGGAAGTTTGATTATGAACGCCACATCTCTCTTGGTTTTTCTGTTGGAAATATCAAGGGGTTTTCTGATACAGAAAAGACACTGTTCATCACTCATGGTTATGGCCATATGCTCCCCGTCACCGCCCGCGAGGTCTATGTGAGAGATGAATCATGCTTGAAGATGGATTGGATTGAGGCCAGCTCTGTCAAAAGGGAAGGCTTCGAGGTTCCTACTGCTAAACTCAGCGCTGGCATGGAGGGCATCAGCACCACCATGCTCAGTGATTACTTGGACCGTCATATCGATGGCACCGGTACCTTTGAGAAATTTGTCGACGACTACTTCGAGGGCACACCCTTCTTGTCACAAATGTTGAAGACAGCTTATCGATTCTACTTCAGGACGGGATCTAAGATTATCAAGAAGGCTCTTAAGCTCATGCTTGCTTACAGCCTGACCCTTCACATCACCATGGTCGAAGGCTTGCCGGTAGAGGAGTCATTCGTCGGCAAGATTGAAGAGCAAAATTCAAAGTTCTATGGCAAAACCATGGCCCCTGTCATGATCAACTTCCAAATAAAGTGTGCCATGGCGGATATGTGGCGTGAACTCCACAAAGACGTCCTAGAAGAGCTGTCAAGTCTGTACTCTAGTGTATACAATGGTGCCAAGCTCAAGAACTGGCCTACGATATTCATCCTCGCCTCGGTCTTGCTGGCTGTGTGGGAGTGCATGAACTTTGACTGCAACTACCGGGTCCCGGATCAGGCATCGGTGGATCGATTCTGCAACGACATGGAGACGACCCCCGTTGGTGTTGTCGTTGGGCTCTTCCAAGCCATTTCACAGAAGCTGCCATCGTTGTTGGAATGGGATACGACGAAGCATCACACCCTCCTAGCATCCGACCCTGATGTGTGCAGCACCATGACCGAAGTTCGCGAACATGTTACGAGATATGGTGAGGTGACAAGAGTCCGAGAATCGTGGTCTCACACTAACTGTCATGTCTAGAAAACTATCTACGAGGACGACCTAACGCAAAATTTGACCGTAAAGATTTTGATTCGCTTTCGAACAAGTTTTTGGCCAAACTTGTTATTCGAGCGAACTAACGCTGACGAATTTACGGCTGTAATGAAGCACTTGAATTACAGTTTTGACGAGCGATGGAGCATTTCCCACGAGACCACTCACTGATTATGCTATTTTCCCTAACGAGATCCGACCCGGATGATTTGATGAACTAACGAGAAATACGTGGCTTCATGACGATATACATCGATCTTTGGCATGAATTTAGCTCTGAATTTGGTTTCCTTTGTTACATTGCGAATGTGGGATGTGGATTGCATGGATATTGGTATGAGTGTGGGTGCTGAGAGTCAACGGCTTGTTGTGAGCATGGTGCAGTAGAGCCACTTCATGTACTGCTTACAACTGTGACTGCCACATGTCTGCATTAGAGTGAGGCTGGGTGGCTTGTCCAAACTCGAGAAGGTTGTGGCGACACGTAAGATAGATACGATATACCAAAAGCCGAACGACGGCATTCTTTTTGCACGACTGTACTACGCGTTGCTGTGTCGCTAAACAAATGATGAATCCACGCTCAATCATGTAAAGCGTTGAGCAGCAGTTAACTAGTCCCGTCGAATGTTCTACAGTGCGAGCGGAGGAGTCTTCCGGCGCCAAAGTGGAGGGTCTGACGTATAATCAATCATACCACGGCGGAGACGAACTTATTGGTGCATGAGGGAGCCCAAGGCTGTTTCCCCCACGTAACAGACGAGCTGGTTGTTGTCCAAGGCATGAAATAACATTCACACGTTGGAATCAGGAGGGAAGTTCCTTCCAATCGGCCAACCAACTCAGCCCTTGGCCTCACGCGGGCATTGGCCACCATCGAGCTTTTGCTCAACCTCAATCCTGCCTTTGCTGTGACTTCCATCATCTTCTAGCCAGCCAGCCAGACCCTGCCTCTCTTCAGCTTGTTCCAGAACCGAATCCTCCCGCTTCCATTGAAGCAACTCACTGTCTTCATTCTGTACAAGCGACATTCTGTCATCACCCTTGCCGTCAATTCTATTGAGCCGGCAAGAGACACCGCCGCCACATCATCCGTCGGCCCTTTGACTCTCAAAAAGAAGATATCCTTTCTTTGGTCGAGCCCCATTTCAGCCCATAACTAACTCCTCACCTCACATCGCACAGTCTGACGACGACTCTGACAATCACACATTGTCATCCTACATACTCATTCTGCGCACGGCTAAGATATCTCAAACCGAGCTCGACGTACTCTGTCATACTTGCGCATCTGCCCCTCATCTCCTCTGCTTGAACGCCTCTGGACCCTGAATCCAACATGCCTTCTGCCACAAAAGAAGCGCCCAAAGCCGAGTCTCGATTACTGTTGATCTCGAATCGTCTCCCAATTACTATCAAGCGGTCTGCCGATGGGAAATATGACTTTTCAATGTCATCCGGCGGACTTGTCACAGGTCTCAGTGGGCTGGCAAAAACTACCACGTTTCAATGGTATGGGTGGCCCGGCCTAGAGATTCCTCAGGATGAGATCGAAGACGTGAGTACCAAATTAAAAGATGAGTTCAACGCCATTCCCGTATTCATGGACGACGAATTGGCAGACAGGCACTACAATGGCTTCTCAAGTAAGCCCTTACCACTCTTTTGCGTCGTATTTGCAACTGACAGCCCCCAGACTCCATAATGTGGCCCTTGTTCCACTACCATCCGGGTGAGATAACCTTCGACGAGTCGGCCTGGAACGCCTACACCGAGGCCAACCGCTTGTTTGCCCGTACTGTTGCAGAAGAGGTCCAGGACGGCGATCTGATCTGGGTCCACGACTATCATCTGATGCTTCTTCCACAAATGCTTCGGGAGGAAATCGGCACCTCCAAATCAAACGTGAAGATTGGCTTTTTCCTTCACACCCCTTTCCCGTCTAGCGAAATCTACAGAATCCTACCCGTGCGAAATGAAATCCTCTTGGGCGTTCTCCACTGCGACCTGATTGGCTTCCATACCTACGACTATGCCCGGCATTTCCTCAGTAGCTGCTCGCGAATCCTAGGTCTGACAACAACGCCAAACGGTGTAGAATTCGAAGGCAAGGTAGTCACCGTTGGCGCCTTCCCGATCGGTATTGATCCGGAAAAGTTCACAGAAGGTCTCAAGAAGGAGAAAGTCCAGAAGCGGATACAGGTCTTGGAGGAAAAGTTCAAGGGAATCAAGTTGATCGTGGGAGTGGATCGTCTTGATTACATCAAGGGTGTCCCACAGAAGCTCCATGCTCTGGAAGTCTTTCTCACCGACCATCCAGAGTGGATTGGGAAGGTTGTGTTGGTTCAGGTGGCGGTGCCCAGCCGACAAGATGTTGAAGAGTATCAAAACCTGCGAGCTGTGGTCAATGAGCTGGTCGGGCGAATCAATGGTAAATTCGGTAAGTGCTTGCTTGGAGCTCGTTTAATCTATTTTGCGTTGAAAAGCTGACCTGAGCCAAAGGGACTGTGGAATTCATGCCCATACACTTTATGCACAAATCGGTCAACTTTGACGAACTGATCGCCCTGTACTCCGTCTCCGATGTATGCCTTGTGTCGTCTACTCGAGATGGCATGAATCTGGTGTCATTTGAGTACATTGCAACGCAGGAAAACAGACATGGGTCCCTCATCTTGTCCGAGTTTGCTGGTGCTGCTCAGAGTCTGAACGGTAGTATTTTGGTGAATCCATGGAACACGGAAGAATTGGCGGGCGCCATCCAAGAAGCCGTCACAATGAGTCCCGAACACCGTGCCATCAATTACACCAAATTACACAAATATGTTTCCAAGTACACCAGGTAAGAAAGCTACGCGCCCGGTGTTTGTTTGAACGGAAGGAATCGGTGTGCTAGTACCTCTTGCTAACGGCCCGGTTGTGATTAGTGCTTTTTGGGGTCAATCATTCGTGGCAGAATTGACTAGAATATCGGCCCAAGGCGAAAAGAAACTCAAGGCGAGGCGTGCGTCGTTGATACGGCCAGCACCACCAGCAACAACAACACAAGACTCGATTCCTCAGACCACCGAACCCGAGAAGATTCAGGATGCCGATTCGAAATCTCCTGGTAACGCGGACGGCGTAGATACCAAGAAGGAAGACGATATCCCTGAACAGGCTGAGCTATCGCCCCGATCAAGGACTACATGAAGCGCGATGTTGCGATCCAACGGCTGAACGATACGCTGTGCCTAGCTAGGTCAGTTAGGCAGGGAAATGGTATCTCAATATCCCTACATGATAGACGGATTTGATTGCTCTTTTCGGTGTCCACGTTACGTATGCGGCCATGGATGTCGGCGGGCTGTATGTGTCATGCAGATAGACGGAAGTAGACGGAAGCAAAGCAGACTAGAATTTTTCCTAGCACGACGGTTGTGATAAAGTGAAATGAAATACGACGTCCACACGGCTAGCAAATGGTTTACCCTACTTTTCGGGGTTCCCAATATACCAGTATCCTACACTCTCCAAGTAGTGAAGAATCCTCAAGAGCAGTGTTGTTTGTTTGTAAGTGGACATTCTATCGCTCTCGCTGCCCGAGAACCACCCACCGACGAAACATTGTGACATACCTGACCATACCTGACCACACCTCAGGCAACTAACTCATGGCACGGATTTCGGCCACCTATCTATGTACTCTACATCAGGGGCAGTACTGTCTTCGACCGCCTTGGGCCAGTGAGGCATGTTGCCGTACGACTTGGTAATTCGATTCAGATTCAGTGCTTCGTCTTCTTCTTCTTCTTCTTCTTTTTCCTCCTCGTTCTCTCCGGGATTGGTTGGTCGGCAAGGTGCGTACCTGGCCGCGGTTGGCCCTTTGACAAATCCATCAAGTATGTATATTCTTGGGAGACTCTCTCTCGTGTCCACTCCATCCCCTCGTACTGGTCACGAACATTGTCTGTAACAAGGACATGTACATGGAAGCGCCGGACCATGTCTGCCCATTTTTGCATAGGTTCTAGATTTTGATTCGAACTGGAGTTTTTCATACTCAATCTTCCAAAGTGCGATTTTATTAGACTTCGCAGAGAGAGCTTGAGGACGACCTTTGGTGTGTGTGTGTGTGTGTGTGTGTGTGTGTGTTTTGCCTCGCGCAGTCATGGTCGAAGGCGTCCCCCGATGCATAGCTAGCTAGCTAGCTCGTTCTTGCCTCATCGTCTCCCCTGACGACTTGTCATTTTTTGCCAGGATCCACAGAAACTAGGCGCACCGGTCTTCATTGTTGCTGGTGGAACGAAAGTTCGGCCTTAACGAGCCTTGGACTTCCCTCGGGCTTTCTGCCGCACATTGCCCTTCAAGACCTCTCCTGCCGTGCCTTCCCACCGGCCTTTGGGACTGCCGACGGTGCGTGGCAGCCTCATGTGGACAGGAAGCCCGAACGGCGTGATGACTTGGTGTACCACGTATTTGACGTTCTTTGTAGGAGCGGCCACGCCGATGCTCGTGCCCGTGACGCCGCCGGTGGTGCCGGCCGCAGCTAAACTCGATACACCCGACGGGGCGTAGGTGATGTTCACAGGTGCCTTTCCTTCGCCTTCACTTCCGCTTCCGGTGCTCTCCGGCACGGCACCGATCGCCGCGTGCACCTCGTCGCGAACAGAGGACGGTGCTTGTACTATCGAGGCAGCATGTGAGCCATACTCGACCACGTCGCCCTCGTTCAGAATGTTGAACGGGTCGTGCACCATGTCGTGCGCCTTCCGCTTGTAGTATTTTCGCAGGTGTCTGTCCCAGACCTGGATCGTGCGGCTCACGCGAACCGTCTTGTTCATGGTACCGACCCGAGACACCCGGCCGACCAACGTGTGGCCCTTTGCAGGCTTCGTAGCATCATCGGGGTTCTCTGCTGCATACGCGACCGGTGTAGTGGAATTGAAGGGGGTGTTCGTCGTTGACGACAATGGTATCGACCCAGCGGTGGCTCCCGAAAGGGGAGAGGATTGGGCGGCGCTGCTGGAAATAAGAGGATCTTCGGACACCGACGAGACGTTGTCATGGGCCCGTTGAGCTTCGCGGGCTGGCCGTAATGAAGAAAAAGGGGCCTGCTGAGACTGAGGTGCGTGTCTTCGATGTAGTCTCGACACGGAGAAGCTGGTAATGTTTGATGGGTACGTCAGGACGATGCAGCGAGTTGGTGCTCCGCGACACGCGCGAACCCAGGCTGTTGCGACGGGATTCATCGTGATTGTTGCATGGATATGTGGACCTTTGAACCTCCAGGTGTGTGAAGGATACAAATGGTGGGTAGGCAGGTGAAGCTGCACTACTTGGGTTTTGCGGGTGAGTTGTAGTAGTAGTTGTAGTGGCAGAATGCTGTAGCTCGAGAAGGTCGTGCACTGCCAAAATTTTGAAGCGCAGAGAGCAAGGGAAAAGTAAGTGGAGTATTTTGCTTGTGTTGGTTAGCGGAATAGGTATGTGCCTATGGAGTACGGATACCAGCACCATACAACTTGCAATCCATTCATCAACAATCAGTGAAGCGGTGCACATACTCTAGAAGCCAGGCTGCATAATTGCTTCTACTATTCTACATTTTGGGTCTGCAAGGATACTAGTGATGCGAAACTGCGCCATTTAATCGCTATAACACCATTCGTTGCCTTTCCAGGAGACAGCATGCGCCTCAAGAGGCCCATACATCCTTGCCGACACCTTCTATCCAATGACCCAGATCATTGACATTGCTGTCCCATTCCTTGAGGCGGTGTCTCATTCCTTCGATCTGATCTTGGCCAAGGACTTTAGGCTGTACCCAGTTGATCTTTGCAATGCCAGCGACCTGATCAATCTTTCCTCGCAACAGTCCCAAGCTCAGCGCTTTCATGATCAAGTGTTCAATCTCATTGGGCTGAACCTTGGTCTCTTGGCTGATGGTCTTGAATGTCATAGCACGATCATGAGGCGGTCGTTTGAACACCAATTCCGTCAATGCAGCCAAGTTGATCTTCTGCCATAAGAAAAGGCGGTGTGACTCCAGAATCGGGTCTTTGCTCAAGTTGTTGGACATCTTGTCAAACGCCGCTAGATCTCCTCGGTTGAAAGCGAACACCAGATCTCGTAGCCATGATTCCGGATGGGGCGCTTCTAGGACGTTGAGGATAGGATGTAAGAGCAGCTCGCCAAAGTTGTGGATACTATCTGATACAAGAGCAGCAATCGCCAAGTTGTATGCTCTATCTTGTTGTTCCTCTTTTGTCAACTCTCCCTCTTCCGTGCAAGCCAGGTAGAGTAGCGAATTTCGATAATAGGAAGTGTAGTCACCTTCGGCTTGAAAGTAATCGGCATTGACTCGGTAGAAGGCTGCATGGACGACATTTTCCACAAAGTCGAATTGGTCCAGCGTCTTTTGCGCGTTGTCCAATTGTTCCCTGGCTTTTGACTTCTCTCCTAACCGCAGATAGACGCTGGCAAGTTCGGTGATGGCATAGACGTGAGCTTCTTCCGAGTCTGGCTTGTCTACTCTTGTAGCGAGTGTCTGGAGGAAATGACTTCTTTCATTGTCATCTAGACAACATTAGCAATGCCCATGATGTCCCTGGAAAAGGCATACCTGTGATTTGCGCAGATGCACCCAATGCCAACTTGACCAATTTTAGCTGATTGATCTTGTCGGCGAAACTGATGATGAAGATGTTGTAGATGGGTAGTCTTTGCGAGGTAGTCTGCGGATTGGAGAAGTACTCTAGCAGAGTATCCGTCAACTGATGCCATAACTTTCTGTCCCATAGGTCCTCGAAAGTAAGAAAGGTATGTTGTAGGTCTACTGGGGCTTCGTCTCGTTGTTCGGCAAGGAAATTAGAGATGGCTTCTGGATCATGCTGTCGAGGCATGATGGAGATGATGTATGTGAGGAGAACTCGGGAATACGGGTCGAGCAAGTTATTGCTCTCGTGAAAGCGTTACAGGATTGCTGAATATGAGACTGCGTGCTTGCAAATGCGAGTTCGTAGATGCTGGCCTACGCATTACCTGGAACGCGCCGCCCGGTCCTGCCTGCAGCTGCTCTGAAGCAAGCGCCAAGATGGTTACCCTGTTTGGGGGCAAGGTTGACGCCGTCCTGTGCAGGACTTTAAGGGGTGCCTCGATGCGGAGTCAATGCCTTTAGTATGAGCGTTTAGCGCCTGTGTCTGGCCTGTCAAGCGCAAAAGCAGCGAGATGACATATACGCTTCTGGGGCCTCTATATTGACCATCCACTCCCGTCGCTGTCGCGGTTCATAACGAGAGTCAACATTCAAGACGTACCACACTGTAAAGCTGCCCTCACATCTTCGCCAAAATTTACTCTGATTAACCTCCCATCGTCGACGGCTTCTCATTTCCTCAAGTTTCAGAGGACGAACTTAAACATTTGAATTTGCTCTCGTTATGTTGCTCGAAACACTCTAAGTTAGTCATGAAAGAACCCTCTCGGAGCAGCCAAGCCGCTGCCATCTTCACCTCGTTTTCACTCACTTGGCCGGCGCTCCTTCGTCTATCGAGTTCTTCTTCTGCTTGCCTGCCTACCTGCTTTTGCCTTCCATGGCTACCCACTCGTCAAAGATTAACGGTGGCCATCATAGGCCAGTAGGCTCTTGATGTTTGCTCGCTACATACCTAGCACACTGTCCCAGAAGAGAGCAAACCGACTTATATCGCCAGGACTGTTAACGTCTACCCCCTCTCCGCCACATCATGGTCCTTGCGTTTCACCTCTTGTACGCCCTTATCGGCAGCTATCTAGGGTCATATATGTCGCACAGCACGACGAAGTGCGGCTGTCTCCGATTATTAAGAAGAGCTACACAATCAGGGTAGTGAGAGTGTCCCGGCATACAAAGCGATGAACAGCCTTGTGTAATTCAGACTTGAAGGCAAATCTCTCTTCGGGGTTTGAGGCGTTCTAGATCCCAGAAAATTAATGGCGAGACTACCATGACGGCTCTTCCTCGCGCCTCCAAGGTAATCGAGTGACCCCGATATCTTCTCCAGTCTGTAGTTGCTCAGAAGAATCACGGTCTCGAACAATATCACCAAATACGCTACACCAGAGCCAGAAGTTGTTCACGTACCGCCCCAGCAATTCGTGCGTGAGTCACTCCCTTTTGGTCGGACCAAGTGCGAAGGAATCTGAAGCGATGGTTGCCCTCGAGGAAGTGGTCGTACCTAGCAGTCTGCGTTTCGTTTCATCAAGCTTCCTTGAGTACTTGAGCCCTTGCTTTTCTATTTTAGGCAAGCAGATCTTTTCCAGAAGTACGCCCGGGCTCCTATCTAGGTCTATCGCACCTCAGGCTAGTCTGTTTCCCAACGCCCAAAGCATGGAAAATTTGTCCCTCGTGGGAGCGTTCGGCGACGGCTTAGCTAGGCGACGCATTGACCAAGACCATGAACGGGAGCAGTAACTATCCCAGAGACGACGCCACCCAACACTTGCGACAATGGTAGAGACAAACTCTCGCTCAGTAGAACCGTGTTATTGAGCTCTGAATAAAGTCTCTGGTCAAGACCATGCTTGGTAGCAATTACAAGCACATATGGACGCGTCGGCCAAAAGTTGCGGCCAACTGCCACTCAGTGTGTTTGATCGGTATATACGTACAAGTTAGGCTTAATCTTCCATTCACTACCCGTCCACGGGTCCCTGGCATAGCAAGGGCCTTGAGAGGGACGAAATACTCCGCAGTTTGATGGTGGCGAGAACATGCGAATAACACGAGATTTCCACGAACTAGACAGTACTGAAATAGAGCCACACGCATAAGTCTTTATGTGGTGGATGTGAAAGGAAGCCTCTTGTCTCTTCATATGCCCACTAAGCCTATGGACTTCCACGCTCATCGGGCATGTTACTTACTTTTAGCCCGTCGGAGAGTCTATGATTGAAGCAACTCGATTATGGGATCTCCCCTGAGCCCTCCTCTGTTCTGTCCTTGACATGCGACCTTCCTCTTCCTCTTCCGCTGCCGGTTCATACACGGCCCATGGCTCTGCTCGGCAGCACATTTCCGCAGCCTGCCTCAAGTGCAAGGCTCGCAAGTCCAAGGTGCAGTATCAAGCCCGGGGCCTACTGGGTATGTATCGCTAAAGAAGATAATAGTGTTCCGGCGATTACCCTTGTCGCGCCTGTAGCCGGTCCGGCCTCGAGTGCGTCTACGACGTAACTCTCGACAAACGACGCAAGATCCACCTAGAACGAGCGCACACCGAGTCTGCCCTTCAGAAGGAGCTGCTGACCCGCCTCTTTGACCTCGTACGCGGCAGTGATCGCGACCTTCGAAACAAGCTGAAGGATGACATACATATTCAAAACCTCTCTCGGCGACTGGGCTTCAGGGCACTAACAGACACTGGTGACCGCGTGGATCAGCACGAAGAGATCCGTTCCTGGCCTTCATCTCAGTCGTGGGAGGCCAGTCCAGAAGCAAGCGTTGATTTGATACAAAGCGAAGAATTGATCCGACGGCATCGTCTGTCGCCGTTGGAATATGAAAGGACAACAGCCGATAGAAATCTCCCGACAATCATGGGATTTGAAGGAAATGCGAGTATGGGACAGCTTGATCTCGCTGCATTGTCAAGGGAGAGCACACCGAGTCAAATTGACTTTGACCCTCGGGATCAATACCGGATCTTCTGCTCCAAGCACCACGACATTCCTGCTTTCAAATCAATAGCCATCTTTGGACAGCCGTCAGCTAACCTCGCCCAACAGCTTCATCTTGATCCTGCCCACCTACACTTGGATCTCCATGTTCCCGAATACTTGATACAGCCAGCTTTGTTTGAAGAGGAACGATGTCCCCTTGCGGCCGTGTACACCGATTTTCGAGATTATGGACGCCGACGATTAGCAGAAGGCCACTCTGCTGAAGTGGTGTTAGGCAGTCCTCGAGTTGAGTTGGCCGTGTTCTTCGGTGGCCGCAAATCTGAAGACCCTCACACACCAAACACATGGGCTTGCCAGTACATGCGTCTCCTCAGGGACATGGACATTTACGTGTCCCTTGCATGTGTCTTCACATATTCGCGGTTTATGCGGGTCGGCAATTCCGCAATTTGACCGCTCTGGAACGAGGTGAGCTAATGAGCAGCAGTGGGCTATTGCGCCGTCCGAAGAAACATATGCCTTACTCCCAGAGGCAATGAGGCCAACACCGCTTCAGAGACTAATCCCTCATCATCCAGGAGTCGACTTGCCCATTTTGTAAGTAGACCGCCTCCGAAACTCTACCTTTGCTCATATTCCTCTCCAGTCCAGAAATGCGTGATGGACTCATCCACGATATGCGTGATTATATTGTCGCCCTTCAGACGTTCGGATGCAGTGTTAATTGGCCATATGGCTTGGAGGGCGCGATCGAGGTTCGTCAAGGTACTGGTCTCATGACTGTAACGGATGCGTTTGCTGCCCATGTTAGCAACCTGCACAACTGGTCCATCAGCGAAAAGTTTGCAGGCATCTTTCCAGAACTGCGAGGCTTTTACCGCGTAGAGAAACTGGATACGATCCCAGTTTCAGAGGTTCAGGTCGACGCGTTCTTCAGACAGCACGGGATTGAGCACCTCTTGACCCCCTTCTCAGTAGTCTAATCGGACGCTTTATGGGAAGAAAGGGCAAGACGCTGCTCGCAGCCCGGACAACTGCGAACCATTATATGCCTCTACACTGCGAACAGCACAACAGGTGAAGGACTTTGATTTCCTCAGGAGCTGATTGGGGGAGTCGCCATGCCGGATTCTTTCTCCATTAGTGCCCGGAAGATTACATCCCCGTTGTCGTGTGAATCAGCATACGTCCAGCCTAGTTGGGCTGCACACAGGTAGTCTCGCTGGGGTTTTCCCCTGGAAGGCATACTTAAGAACGTATTAAGCCGCCGCGTTTAGGCCATGGACCACCCTGACCGCCCAAATCTACGGAGGATAGCCCCACGTCCACAAGCTAATCCGTCTCCTGAAGAGCCAGCTACTCCGTCAGATACTGGATCAAGAAGTTCTCACACTCCAAAGCAACGCAGGAACATATCGAGCGCCTGCAGGAGTTGCCGACAGCGACGGACAAAGGTGAATCAAACGATGTAAACGACCCAAAGCAACTGTCAGCCTTACTGCTTACACACTTGCTAGTGCGATGGCAACCGACCATGTTCGAAATGTTTCGAATCGAAGTTGGAATGTACATATCAAAGAGATCTAGACGGCCGTTCTTCGTCTGCCCTCAGGCGCAAGAACGAAGAGATACATCGAGATCAGAAGTTATTGAACGACCTTCTTACCACTATCCAAGATACTACTAACGAGAACGTTGGAGATATTGTCGGCCTCATCCGTGGCGGAGGACCTCTTGATGAGATTAAGATAACGATCTCCCACAAATTGGCAGAGATTGAAAATGCTGACGAGGGACTCTCTCTGGGCATCTCAGGTCTTCAAGACAGTCTAGAGTGGCTGGACTCACTTTCGTGAGAATCACATCTCGTGCTGCCGGGGACGGAGGTGGCTTGCCTCAATGAATGTGAACCCGGCATTTCGGTTCAAAATTTGAACAGAGGGGATAAGAGACGAGACTGCTCCTACACTTTCTCAGCAACGGTATCTTTCCAAAGCTCCACATTTAACATAGGACGGTGTTGATTTTTGATTTGAAGGCTCTCATGGGAAACCATATCAAGAGGCGAGGTGGATTTACTGGAAGTGATAGTCTCTACAATTTTCCATTGACAGGCATGAACATGGACTATCTGATTGGAACGCAATGAATAGCATCCACTATGCTTCTACTAATAGTGTGCAGTAGACCAGATCGCCAGACATGTCGCTGTTGAATATAGCTTCTTAGCACTCAGAATTTAAGCAGGGTAGTTTGACAGCGGGGACAATACCAATGACCTCCATCGACATAGAAAAGGAAATTTTTGCGTGCCGAATAGCGAGCAGAGCACCAGAAAACAGTCGGCAGTCCTCGGGCCTCAACTTGATACAAATGAGAAAGCTGTATGATCTTTTTTCCGGCTTGAGCATACAACGCAGATCATCGTGTGTCGTCGCCAACGAGTAGAAGTCAGTTTGTAAGCAACGAAACGCGGAGTCCCTAGTATGGGAACGCTGGGAGAAATTAATCACGTGATCATGATATTGCTGTAATGCCAAGTCCTGCGCTGGACCTCCGAGCTCCCCCATGCCGACGAGTCAATTGACTTTGTGAACAGCTCCTATAACACCGTAGCACCGCCCTCTCTATCTGAACACCATCCCAACTGTGTGGAGCGGTGTACGGGCACTGCACTCAAAATGCAGGCCTGTCAACCAACCACCCTCGCGCTACGCGCAGCTCGAACCTCTCTCCCGAAACGTATTCAACGACGAAACCTCCAAGACGTCGCAATCACCCGAACAGGCAAGCCAATTCTAAGAGTACAAGGCGGACGGTCGTCGTTAGGAGGCCATACGGCCACGGTTTTCGGAGCAAATGGATTCCTTGGCAGATATATCGTCAACAGACTAGCAAGAAGAGGAAACCAAGTGGTCATACCGTACCGCGACGATATGGGCAAGCGCCATCTCAAGGTCACAGGCGACCTAGGTCGAGTCAGCTTTATTGAGTTCGACCTGAGGAACACGCAGTCCATCGAGGAAGCCGTGAGACATTCAGACATGGTCTTCAACCTGATTGGCAAGAACTATCCCACCAAAAACTTTAGCCTGTTCGATGTCAACGTCGAGGGCGTGGAGAGAATCGCAGAGGCGTGTGCGAAGTACGACGTCGATCGGTTCATCCATCTCTCCTCGTTCAATGCGGATCCCGACTCGCCCTCTGAGTTCTTCAGAACAAAGGTAGGCAAGGATGCTTCGAGATTCCACCCGCGAAGAAGACCTAGAAACGCTGACCATAGTATCAGGCCCAAGGTGAACAAGTAGCGCGCCAGCTATTCCCCGAAACCACTATTGTCCGTCCGGCGCCATGCTTCGGCTTCGAAGACAACCTGCTTCACCGCCTAGCTGGTGTGAACAACTTCCTGACTGTGAACAACATGCAAGAGCGCTTCTGGCCTGTACATGTACGCCATTCCCTGTTCCCTTCCACTCCACCCCCACAACAAAGTTGTCGCTTTTGTGCTGATAGATGACATCTAGGCCATTGACGTTGGCGAGGCTCTCGAGCGAATCGCCTACGACGATACCACCGCCGGTGAGACATTCGAACTGTACGGACCCACGAACTACAGCATGGCCGAGATCGCCGAGATCGTGGATCGAGAAATCATCAAGCAGCGCCGGCACATCAACCTGCCGAAATGGTTGCTCAAGCCCGTGCTGCACTACCTGAACAAGGTGATCTGGTGGCCCATCCTAGGTGCCGACCAGATGGAGCAAGAGTGTTTGGACCAAGTCATTGATCGTAGCGCCAAGACGTTCAAAGATCTGAACATGGAACCGGCCGAGCTCAGAGACCTGACGTATCAATACTTGCAAGATTACCGGAGCAGTAGCTACTACGACCTGCCGCCGGCGACGGCGCGTGAGAAGCAGCAGGCGAAGAAGTATCTGCACGTCATTGACGACCAGTAGCTTTTGAAGTCATTGTCTTCTCAGGGACGTTTCGGAATGGGTTGCCGGGAGAGCAGTCGACCGAAAAGACCTGGATCTGTTGTTGTACATACATACTCCGTACGTGGCCTCGAAATGTTGGGTCTTTTGAGGACATGAAATATAAAAAATGGACTGCGCTTAAGAAACCAGACCTCGAAGTATCAATATCTTCGTGTGCTGGTGCGAGTAAACCGTGAAGTCATCAAGTCCGCTTCTTGTGCTTCGCTCCCAGGAGACATGTCAAGCCAATGTCTCGAGTTTGGACGGGTGAAGTATTAATACGGGGCTCACAGGAATAGTAATCACTTAAAGCAGTATATGTACACATTAGACTAATCTCAACGACCCAGCTATATACACAGTCGTAGAATATGATAATGATAAGACAACATCCTGCCGACGTCCCGGTCCTGCACAACTCGGGTAAGGTGTATCAGTCAGTCAGTCATCGTCGGAGAGACTGTACGCCGCCTGCGGATCCTCGCCCGACATCAAGATATCAACCAAATCTCGGCGGAACGGCCAGCGTTCGTACGCCAGAGCAATCTCGACCACCAACTCTACGGGAAGAGAACGCACCCTGATAGCGGAGAGGTCGTAATGTCCACCCTTGGTTGGATCATGGATACCCTGGATTGTCTCAATGAAGTCATCCACCCCGGCGTGAACAAGGGTTTTCAAGGCGTCGTAAACGGTTCGAGACCAGCTGAGCCAGAGATTCCTTTGCACGTAGCCAAAGTAGACCATGGTGTCATGGGTGCTGATCTTTTGAAGAAAGTCGACCCTGGGCGTGACGTCCAGCAGGGCCAGGTTCTTCGTCTTGGGCAGGAAATCGTCATCGTGGACGAGAATAGGTTCAGCTACGCGCTGGTTCCACGACATGACCGGAGGGTCCAAGTCCAGGGCTCGATAGTCGTCGATGGCCTTCTCCGCGAACAGCCTGTTCGTTCTGCTCAGTATCGAGATGCGAAACTTCAGACTCTCGCAATGTCTGCGGAGTTCGGCCTCCTTCTCGGATGGTTGCGAATGTTGTGAGTAGTTAGCTTGTGCTGCGAGATTCCGCAAATCTTGATCGACACGTCTTTGTTCTTTGACGAGTTCGACGGCTCTCATGTGAGTCTTGTGCTGGGTCAGCGCGACCTTGAGCAAGCTCTGCCACTCCTGTTGCTCGGGATTGACAATCCCAAGTTTCCGAAGGTGTTCAATAGAGGCCCTCTTGTACCATTCCGGATGCACTTCTCGCAAGTGATCGTCCAGCTCCAAGAAGCGGGCGACCCATGCCGCATCGGAGACGAAGCCTCCTCTTCGGATGTTTTCCGGGCTGGGAAACACGCCCAAGAGATACGTCGGCGAAATTTCGTCTCTTCTGTGCTCTGGGATTTGCAGGCCGGCTGCTTCCTCCATGGCTTTGACACGAGCTCGATCTTGGACCTCCATTTCACGCCATTTCTGGAAGAAGGTAGGTCTGTCGTTCGCAGGCCCGCCAACGAGCTCTTGAATCTTGTGACTTGCTTCCAGCATGACAGCCTGTGCACGCCGGACTCCCACAGTGCGCGGGATGTAGGCGTCCTTCTCTTCGTCCGGAACCCATGCCAATACGCGAATCAAGCCGTAACGATGAATGTCGGTCCGTATCCTCCACAGCGACATATAGAGGTCGGAGAAAAACTTCCGTGCGGGAGAACCCTTGTACAGATTTGTTTTGAACTGTGCACCAGAAAGGTTGACGGTCATCAACAGGGAATGGTTGGGTTGGAGAGCCTTGTCGACAGGATACTCAGACATGAGCTTGTTGTCCGGATTAAACGCATCTTCAAGGACGGCCGCGTGTCGGTACGTCGAGTCGTTCTCGGTCAAGAGAGGTTCGAGGGAGGCCGCATAGTTCCCATAGTTGGGTTCGACGAGAACATGGCGTCGAGGTCGTAACAGATCGTGCAGCTTCTGTGACCATAGGCCTTTCCCCGGGTTTATGTCGATGAGGTCGCAGGTGCCAGGCTCGGGGAGCGTGTCCCGAAGACGGGTGAGGGTCAAGTCTTGCGAGTAATCTTAGCAATGGACGCGAAAGTCGTGAAGAGACACTCACCACATAACTCCGGATTGACTATCTCAATACGAGATGCCCGTTTACGGGAGCTGCTAGAGGCTGCTAGAGGTCGAACAAATGTTTTCCCGCCCCGTGGAATGTGCCGAAGGAGGTGTCGTGTGTGCATGCGCAAGCGAGTGTGGGTGATACCGAGAGGGAGCCTGTCACCTTGGAAAGAGAATCTCCAACTTCTGGACCCTTGCCTAGATCTCGTAGAGGAGGTCGAGAGCGCTTCACGGTCGCGCAGAGAAATGTCAACAAGGCCTTACAGAGTTGTAAGTGCAGGAAGGCCGTAGACGCACGTGCTTACCTACGCAGGTAGTGTAGAGTGCCTCAGGTGCCTACCTAGGTATAGGCTCTGGTTGGTCGCCTCTCTAGCCTGCCGAGCCTGTTTCCGGGCCGCCGATCGCCTGGAGAGGGCGTTGCGTCAACCCCGCAAATGAATCCGGTTGATATATTCAAGCCTCTTCGAAGGGCAATCTCGTCACGGCCGTCGACGAGGCTCTCCTGCGCTACCCCTCCTTGTTCTTGATTACAAGTGAAACAGAACCTCTGAGCCCTCGTCGAGTACCCTAAATACACCCTTCGGTTTCCCGTATACATCTTTCATCTCACAAAACTGCGCCAGGTGAACTTCCACCCCTACATGGTGACGTTTAACATGGCGACTCCAGGGCAGCCTTCGGGGGCTGAGCTCAACCCTCAGCAACGCTTCTTCCATTATTTTCAGCAAGAAATTACTGGTATGTGCGTTTCCCCCTCTTTTTGAAGCCTATCCTTACTCTCCTCTGCTTCTCAGCTCTTCAAGATCAGATGAGTCGGTTGGCAGACACGGCAGTCACAGGTGGTGAGCGAGCAGATGCAGCAGACCATTGCTTAGCAGGCATTACCCGACTTTCCAACGAGGTCAAAGACGCCTCTGGAAACATTCCTGCCTACGACCAGAGAACATACGCGGAGGTACGTATTTACACCGAGTCTGCTGTACCTCGATCGTTGACCGAACTTTGCGCAGGCGATCAAAGCTTTACAGGAACGACTCGAGGAGACTCGCAAAGAATTCGCGCCTAAGCCCAAGTTCTCCTTCAAAACGGCCCACAGGAGTCCCTCGGCCTTATCTCTGAGCGACGCTGCAGAGATGGCAGCCGAGAAGCGTCGCGGCGTGCCAGGATACCTGGCTCCGGGCTCCGAAACAAGCTCGTCCTTTGCCAATACTCCTGCCTACAACACCACTCCCCAGAACGAAAGGGCAGACGACGGCCAGGAGGCAGGCGATATCGGAGAAAGCAAGAGACAGACAGATGGCGGCACCGAGACAAAGATAGACGCTTCCCAAGACCGGCTTTCTCTCTCCACAAGCGCAACCTCGATATCTATCACGAACCAAACACATAGGCATATCATCTTGCCCTCGTCTTCGTTAAACTCTCAAACACCTTGTTCCCTGTCAAAGCTCACGAACTGTGTCCTCGATCTCTCTGTCCCTACGACGGCGACAGCTCCCTTTGCGAGCATCACCATCACCTCGATCAACACGTCTCTCCTTCTTTGTGGCTCTGTTTCTGGCCCGGCGCATATCACTGGCGTCAAGAACAGCATCATGGTTCTCGGGTGTCGCCAATTCCGCATGCACGAGTGCCATAATGTCGACGTCTATCTCCACTGCACCAGCCGACCTATTATCGAGGACTGCAGCGGCATCCGCTTCACCCCATTGCCCAAGTTTCATGTAAGATGACCGTTTTCTGAATGTCTTCTTACGATCATACGATCATTAACCATACGCAGGCCGATCTTTTCCGAGCGTCACAAGGCACGTCTAGCCCGCCAGCAAACCAGTGGGATCAAGTAGACGACTTCAAATGGTTGAAATCCGGGCCCAGCCCAAATTGGTCTGTACTGCCGGCAGAGAAGATCATACCCGAAGAAACTTGGCGAGAAGTCGTGCCGGGTGGACCAGGCTGGGGCTTGAGTGACATCCTCCGAGCCGTAGGCCTGCCCAGCGAGGGAAGCAATGGCGACACAGATTAAAAGAGCAGCGGGACATGAATGATGAATTGACGAAAATAAAATAATCATCATATCGTAATATACGGAGGAACGAATATCTCGACGACAATCCCATGACCTGAACTGAGCTGAGCTGAAATGAAATACAAAAAGAGGACTTTGCTGCTGGCTGTAAGGAGGTTCCCAGTCAGTGCCTACCCACTACATCTGAACAACATTCCTCCCTGGCTGGCATGGGGGAGGAGAAGATTGATAAGGCGCAGACAGTACGATACCACGAAATAAAACGACAACGGACATCAAGACTTGTGGACGTGGAGCGAGAAATACGAACAAACGTTTTATTGAAAAAGAGAGACCAGTCTGGAGAGCTTTCTGGAGTTATAGCGTCGCGCAGTGTGAGCGAAGGAAATCGAGACTGACAGTTTCCTTTCAATACATACCTAAACTACCTGTCGAAATACAGTATAATAAAGGTAAACGCCTGACTACCTACCTGCCTACCTAGTATCTGTAACCTATCGACGCTATCCGGAGCAAAATATAGGTGACTACCGCGTTAAATCCAAGGTGGAAATTTGAAATAGTTCGCAGAAACGAGAACGGTAGGTGTGTCGTGGTTTAAAACGTCCTCGTCTGCAGGGAACGTCTCGGCCATACGACGTTCCTCTTAGTGGTGAGACGCGTACCGAACCCTGCCGTGTTTCGGGAGCGAGAGGCACGCACAGGGACCCGGAGTCCAGGGCAGACGAGAAACACCATTCATTCCAAATACCTGCATGATCGGTACACGAGGCTCGCGTCCGTCAAGAGATAACCTACGAGGCCACGACTACTCGATGTGGCCTGTGTCTCGCTCACGGCACGTGCAAGACAAAACGACGGCAACAGACGGTGAACAAAAGAGGCCATACCCAAAGATGGGACCAGAAGCAACGGTTTTGAGTCGTAGTAGTAGACTAGTAGTACAGGAAAAGAAAAATAGATATCTACCTAGCAACGAGATTGTTGACATATGACTCGTCATGTCCAAGTATCCCCCCGAATCCTCCCCTTCACAAGGCCCTTTTTCGTGTCCCCTTATTCCAAACCGTCATGGCCTCAGATAGAAAGAAGTACAAGTCGCAACACGTCTTGCCATTTTCCTTCATATTGCCCTGCTCATTGCAAGAATCTTTCCAACTTCTGTCCACGATAATAAACCCAAAACGATATTTGCCAACATCGGCGGATTAAGTCATTAAAATAAGGTCGGCAGAGTCTTCTGTGGTACACCTCCAAATCCTCCACATCTCCTTCAAAGCCACAAGACACATACCTGGGACACACGAGTCAAGCCTTCTGACGTCTGACAACGATCTGCTTCTTTTTTCACCCAAGTTGCCCTCTTCTCCAACGAGTCTCTGGCCGAAGCAATCAACGATGGCTTCCCAAACATTCACCCTGAACCACCAACGCCAAGCTATGCTTCGCCACAAGGAGAAAGGAGCGTGAGTGTGCTGATCTAATAACACCGTAATACTTATAAAGGAATGTAGGGGTTGAGAAAGGACTGTCATCATTTCGATTGTAGAGCTGAAATGGAGAAAGGCAAAGCTGTATTGTATATATTGTGCAACGGAGGAGATGGCTAATCGCAACTTCAATGTCGTGAGGGTATGTGACGACACGCAAGGTGCCGGGCAGAAAAATCGTGGCAGAGATCGTGATCAAGTCTAGGAGGGGCCGAACAGTCTTTCTCGGATGATGCCGCCGTTATGCAAAGTTGGATGTTCTCGAGTCTCGGTCAGGATTCCGTACCTAAAACAGCACATTAGGAAGGAGGCGTGAACAAGAGATTGGGTGTCCTGTACCTGTAATATCCTCCTGGAAAAGTCTCGCTCGTCAGCGATACTGCCAATGCTTTGACGGCGATGTGAGTAAATGGACGGGTCGAGCCGTTGGTCGGTGACGGACGATTTATCAGATTTGGCAGAGCCAATGGCGGCGTTGCGACGATGTTCTTCTTCGATCTCGCGATTCCTCTTACGCTTCATAACAAACACAACAGCACCAATGATGCCAGCCAAAGCGATAACTCCAACAACCACTCCGACAGCAATACCAACTTTGCTTGTGCCCGAAGACTTCCCAGATTTGGCGGCGGAGGTGCTGGCGCTTGCAGGGAGAGCACTTGTAGGTGAGACTGTCATCGTGACAACTGCAGCGGTAGTTTTGCTAGCAGTGTTAGCGGCAGCCGTGGAGGAGCTGCTATTCGGAGCTATTTGCACATTCCCAGTCAGACCAGAGAGATAGAGCTGGAAATAGCCACCAATACCGCCGCAGGTTTGTTGACTGAACCCTTTGCACGGGGTGTTGCAATTATCAATGTTTGTCTTCGCACTTGCAGGAGGCAATTCGTCGCCACAGAAGCAATTTGTGCCCCCCGTAGTGGCCATCACGGGCTTGTTGAGGGCTACACATACTCCTTTACAGTATCCAGAGCTCTGAAAGGTGTAGGCACCTTGATCTTGGAGATAAGAGGGGTCACTGAGCTGGTAGCAATCTAATGTTTCAATAGCTCCGGCAGCATCTGTCGTGGCGGTTGATTGCGCTGTGGAAGGGGTTGTGAGAAGCGCTAGTGCCCAAGTAAGCACCACGGCTCGAAGGAGTGATCGCGTCATCTTTTGAATGTTTGTTGAGTTGTAAAGTTGATTGGATTATACCAACAATCGGGGTATATCCGAAGTGTCGACACAAGATTCGAGGCCCGTGTAGTTCGTCGTACAAGATTTGCTCACACAAAGGCGATGATTCTCGTCTAAAGAGTGATCTAGGTTGGCGGTATCGAGCCGGAAGTCGGTGGTGTGCAAAAAAGGCAGAATGCACCCGAGTGCAACCTTCGACGGTGGTCACACGTGGTCGAATTCCCTATCAATGCTTCAGCAGCGACCAGCGCTGCTTCCTCTATGATGTTCTTTCAAACTCTCAGCAGTTGTCGAAGGCTCGATAGTCGTGTATTTCAATGGCGATTGCAAAGAACGAGGATGGAAGAATCGAGACCGCTCTCCTTCCAAGAATGCGTGGCGTTTCAAACTTGAGATAAAGACCCCTGAGATCAACGGAATCGGTAATATAGGTAAAGCGAGTGCGTGAAGCTGGAAATAAGAGACGTTGTAGCTTTCCAATCCAGCCGTATAGTTTTTTCTTGCCTCGATGGCGATGTGGTCGAACTGGCCGAGTGTGGTGCAGGCTGAAAGGAATGTGATCGTGTTTGGGTTGAAAGAAAGACGAAGAGTCGAGTTGACGGGCGCAGGAGGACGTAGCAGTGGACACCGACCACTTGGGAGGATCGAAGCGGGCCCCTGGGAGCCAAAGCGACCGAATCACAAAGGTGGGCGCAGTCGTTGGGGAGGGGCGCCTCAAAAGCCCAGTGGATGAAAGCAAGGACAAGGGCCCTGGAGCAGGGGATACACTGACACGGAGTGGTGAGAGGAGGACAAGGAGGGAAGAGACGTGCCAGTGTGGACAGTAGAACGAATTTGGAGAGTAGAAACACTCGCAGCGCTCGGAAATTGCAAGGTTGCCAGGCTAGGCCCAATGCAGCAAGGTACTACCAGCCCGGGGACCGTTAGCCAGGAACACAGTTTTCATTAGCTGCACGCATCCTGCGTCCTGGATCCTCAGCGTCCCACCATCCCAGACAAGTCCACAGCCACGCCTCATTGCAATCTGCCTTTCTCACCTGCTTGCTTGTGCAAGTTGTGCTTACCTGACGACGATGGCTGAATGCGTTTGACGAGTCTGGCCGCAAGAAGCTTCGTATCCTCGGTCGAGACTGAGGAGACTAAGAGCGCAGGCAGACAACGCCATCTTCTATCACCTCCGTCTTCTGTCTACACCAGCTGACCACGCCCTTTGTGACAGTGACTCCTGGCTGAAATCCCCAGGATCACCACTTCTAGCCCGCGCGCCGTTTGCCCGTTCCTGCGTTGGTACGGAGTATTTGAGCCAAGTCAAGTGCTTGGTGGCTCGCGCCGTCCGTGTGATTTGCTCGTTGCCAGCGACGAGGACCTAACCATTCAGTGGCGCCCTGCGAGCCTCCAATGAGCGCCAGCAGCTGGCGCCACCGCTGCTTCAGATGTTCAAACCACCGTCTCCGACCTGCCATTAAACTACTCGTTCAGCTCGTCAAGACACTCGGATTATAACGCGTCTCTTTTTGCCGAAGCCGTGCTCCTACAATACTGTAGAATATGTCCTCGTTAGGCTCACCAGGCCTGGGTTCATGATGCTTGCAGGCCGCATGCTTCCGCGGGACCGCTAATACCGAAACGGGGGCAAGCCATTTCCCGAAGTTTGGATACCACAGGCTTTCCACCGACACCGAAATTGAAGAGCCCATTGCTATTTCAAGAACGGAGTCGAGCATAAAGTGAGAAACTAGAAACTTCGGCTGACGATTGAAAACTACAAATCAAGCGAGGAAGATTTTTGAACCTTCAGGATGGAGTTCCTTGTTCCTTCTGCTGGCGCTGCTGCCTTGCATACAAATACAAGGCTTGATCAAGTTCGCGGATTACGACGTCGTGTTAAGACATTATTCGATAGTGTCTGAGTACCAAGCCATATCTGGACGTTGTTGCGAACAGCCAATTCCCATACTCTGAACTCCGTCCAGCGGTCGTCATACCTTATTTGTCTCTGAGATCCACTACTTCAAACTTCATACCTTTCGCCTCGACCACATGTCCCGGGCGAAGCGCGTCGGTATAAATGTTCTCAATCGCATGAGGGTGAAAAATCCCGGGTTGATCGCAGTTAAGGATCGCTTTCTTCCCGGGCGGATCCGTCAATCGAAAAGCTCCCCAGTCACCGCCGTGAGTGACATCACCTTTGCTAGGAGCACAAACAATCGCAATGCTCTCGGCTAGCATCATCTGGTATCCAGCATGAGTGTGCAAATCTCGACTGCTCATGAAGCATGTCTGGGTTGGGTGCGTGTGTATCCATCCTAAGACCATAAGGTCTTCCGTGTCTACATAATCGAAAAGCTGTGATTCATTTGTCATCTCGCACGTGTCCGATGTCGCTGTCTGTGAAGGGATGATAAGCCGACTGATAAAGAACGCATTGGCTATAAGATTGCCTGCGAGAAATCCGCATGTCTCCAGGTTGGCCAAGGTATTCTTGTAGGCAATTCTCAGGAACGTGGTACGGAGCTCTGGCGGCAGAAAGATTGTGCGCAAAGGCTCCCCATTCTCAAGGTACGCTGCCGGAGCGAAGACATGAGTCGGCTCCGGTGTAGCTGATCGTGATTCCACCTCGGGTTGTGCAGAAACTTTATCAGGGCGGGGTGGAGGTGCAGCTATCTCACTGCGTGGTTTTGGAGGGACCATTGGTGGCGACAGCGGGATATCTCGTCCATAACTTTGTTGAGATGGAAGTAGCGAAGAGAAGCTCGCTGTCGGGGGCAGATGCTGTGAAGGTACGCTGGGATAGTGATAGTGCAGACTTGAGTCTACAGACGGGGATGCCTGAGCACCACCTGAGTGCAGAGACTGAAGTCGACGTCCATCGACCCGAGCGCGTAGTTCCTGTAGTCTTGTAGACAAATCTTCGCCATCACTGCCCATTGTTGAGGCATTTTGTCTGTTTGCTGCTCGTCTTGAGATCTCTTTCTGAGCTAACCTGACAGCGAATTCCTTGTTCTCGTGCGCTTGCAGCGGTTGTGTGCGTTGGCTTGGGATAGCTGGAGTCGGTCCAGCTTGATACGGTTGTGTTTGTGCAATCTTTCTTGCCTCTCTTTCCTTAACAACCTTGATGTAACGATTATATCTTTCATTTATGCGAGGTTTCATGAGATCGAGCATCTTTAATACATCATTGACTTCCCTTTCAGCTTCCTGCATCAGTCCTTGGAGGTGAGTTGCTGTCTTGTCACGATACTGTGGGTGTTGTGGAAGCTGGGAGAGGACGAGGTGTGCATAACGGAATAGCAGCATATAAGTCGTCTCCTCATCACCTTCTCGCATGTATGTATCCGCCTGTAGCGATATAAGTGTCTGCAGGGCATAGTGGCATATAAGAACATACCTGCTTGAGCATTGCCTGGGCCGACCGCAGCCAGATGCGTAAGGGTATTTGGGCATCATACTCGTATTCTTGGGCCACTTTCGTTATCTGTTGAACGCTTCTCGGAGGCCTCGGAGAGGTTGGCGAGCCTCTGTGACTGGACATTGTACAGCAGCAGGTACATACAAAGCAGAGGATATCCTGATTCAGCGTTCAGTCTCACATGGAGGGGCAACGGTACAAATCAGCCAGCGTCAAGTATGGGCGTGTGCTCATGAATCTGCACTGTGCAGCCCGATAGTCCTTTGCTGAGGATACATGAGATCCAAGCTGTGCTAGCAAGGTGAAGCCGTTTGCCGTTCATCGTGCAAGGCATGGACACAGAAGTCAAGGACATGATCGGGCAGGCAGGCGTCACTCAAGTCGCCTGTGATCTAGGGAAGGTATGCCGGGTCCTGGAGGGAATGACTTCTCTACTATGATAACGAAAATCCCAAGTGTCGTAGCGATCTTTAGGTAACTTCCATCTCTCTCCGGATGCTCTTTACGCGACATAAGTCGCTAAGTCCATTGAGCACCACCATAGACCAACTATACGCGGTCGTATTCACCGTCAAATGCGAGAGGGGGGGCCATGTTCGCCGATACGACGTCATCCTCATATCTCGCGGCTGACTAAACCTGGAGCGCTTCAACGCCCTCTGTTCGTTGAGACTAACGAGTATATACGCGCCTTGTAAGGTTCTTGAGACTCCAACCACTATAAAGAAAGCCTGTGAAGGTAAGTCTATGCTTGTAGAATTCAGCACGAGAAGTTCGCCCCTCTACAGTGATTCTATCCATCCCCGTCATGTCTTCCTCTATCGAGCCATATACAATCTCTGTCCCAGACTCTCAGCTCCACGATCTGAACGTTAGACTTGACCTCGCCAGATTTCCAGACGAACTTGACGAAGCAGGGTGGGATTTAGGCGTACCACTGAGTGAAATTCGGCGAGTTTCGAGCTACTGGCGCGACACTTTCAACTGGCGGAAGGTCGAGCAAGAATTGAACAAGCTACCTCACTTCATAACTTCCATCCAGGCCGAGGGATATGAAAATCTGAAGATTCATTTCCTCCACAAGAAATCCAACCGCAGAGGCGCTATCCCCCTACTCTTCGTCCATGGCTGGCCGGGAAACTTCCTTGAAGCCACTAAAATCATCAACGACTTAACCTCGGATTTAGAGGAGTGTGTCTCCTTCGACGTCGTTGCCCCTTCTCTGCCGAACTTTGGCTTTTCCGAAGGCTCCAAGAAAAGGGGCTTTTCACAAGAACAATATGCCGAAACCCTGCACAAACTTATGCTTCGTTTGGGCTACAACGAGTATGTCACCCAAGGAGGCGACTGGGGCTGGTACGTCACGCGCACAATCTCAAAACTATACCCTCAGCATTGCAAAGCTACCCATTTCAATATGGACGTTGGTGCAGCGCCCGGATTCTTGAAGAATCCTCTTCTTGCCGTCGAGGCAGCACTGAAGCCACTCTCCGACCGCGAGAAGCAAGGCATATCCCGTAGTCAATGGTTTGACAGAGAAGGATATGGCTACAATCTTTTGCAGTCCACAAAGCCACAAACTTTGGGCTACGGCTTGGCTGATAGTCCCGTCGCTCTCCTTGCATGGATCCTTGAGAAACTGCATGACTGGACTGATCATTATCCCTGGACAGACGAGGAAGTCTGCACGTGGCTTTCGATATATTGGTTCAGTACCGCTGGTCCCACTGCGAGCTGCAGGATATACTACGAGATTGGCCGTTCAGGGCCTTGGGGCAAGCGTTTTACAGGAGACCAGCTGCGGGAGTGGCTACCAGGCGTGAAGATTGGGTACAGCCATTTTCCACGCGACATTCATGTGCTGCCGAGGACATGGACGAGGACTTTGGGAACGACCGTCTTCGAGAAAGAGCATGCTTCAGGTGGGCATTTTGCAGCATGGGAACGTCCCAAAGATATTGTAGCCGATGTGAGAGAGATGTTTGGCAAGGGAGGTGGTGCGTATGGGGTCGTGAAGGAGCGAGATGGATACGGACCATAGTCATGATTCCCTTTGGTCCGCATAGACTAGATCGTCTGTAATCCTTTCAAACTAGAATGACATGGTGCAAGTCACAAAACATCACTCACCCTCACTGCCTAGGCCTGGATCAGAAGCTTAGAAAGCCTTACGTGTGACAACTTTTGGCTCACTTTCCGACCAACATCATCACAATTTCTCAGCGAATCATTCCCTCAGAGCATTTTAATTTACATGTCGTGCCGTTCCAAAAGTCAGGAAACCTCTTAACGCCTGCTTGGGCCGGCGACAACCTCGTCGTCATCATCATCGTCATCGTCGTGAAGCCGGTCGAATCCCATCATACTCATCAAATTGGACCCAGGACCGGCCGTGCCACCTTGTGCTCTGAGACTCTCTAGCAGATTCCTGGCCAAGTCGATATCAATCTCATTGTCGATATCGTCATCCGAAGACAATTCATCCTCGACGGCCTGGCCTGGCTTCTTCACGTCCTTACCGCGGGCTTTGATAGCGGGTTGCTTCGCCTGCGCCGAACCGAGTTCCAGTGCCCCAGACCCTCGCAGCTCACGTTCCATCTGCTTCATAAAGGCTTGCATATCTTCGCTCTCATCTTCGTCTGAATCATCAACAACCTCCTCCACCCGCCGCCCAGGAACCTCGTCGGGCCGCCGGAGCTTCGCTCGCGCAGCGGGGTCGTGGGCATCTGCTGGGAGTTTTCCACTCATGATCTCCTTCATGACCTCGGGCGGCATTCCCATCATCTCCTGCATGATCTTGGTGAACTCGTCCTCACCAAAACTAGCCTCTTTGTCCTCTCCTTCCTCGTCGTCATCGTCGTCGTCCATGAGATCGTCATCGTCGCTGTCGTCGCCAAACAGGCCTTCAGCATCTGGACCTGTTTTATCGTCGTTAAGAAAATCCTCAAACTGCTTCACGATACGCTGCAGGTTCTCCTGGGCAGCCTTGTCCCCGAATCCGGGTTTCTTTCCCTTTTGGCCGTCCAGCTCTTTCTCGAGATCGTTGAAATCTATGTCGAGCCACTTCTCGTCGTCTTCGCGCTTATCCCACTGCTTAATCTCGTCATCTGAGGGTAATGATTCGTCTCCTGACTCCAGGTCATCCAGCAACATCTTCATCTCGCGCACGGCGGGTCGGTCTTGATATTGGCTGTCGGTGACCAACATCTCAAACCCACATGTTACCTTCATGCCCGTCTCCGCCTGCGCAAAGGCCTTGGACTCGGTCCTCGACGGCATGAAGCCGGCAAACACAGCGGGCGCGGCAAAATCCTGCGACTTGAGCTGCGCGTACGCGACTCGTGGGAACCTCACGCTGACGGTGACGGCATCCTCCGGCGGGAATACCATGCTGTCGTGATTCTCTTTCTTCTGCAGCGGCTTGAGCGCGATCGGATCACGAAGATAGAATGCCTCGACCGCCGGCGAGACATACGCCGGCTTCTGGTGGAGCAGGAACGCAATCTTCCGCGGCACCGTGATTACAGCATTGTGCATGTTCTCTGCTATTTGAGCCGGGTAGTTGCGCAGACGAAAGAAGGCCTCTTCCTCGATGCTGGCCGAGTGCATGATGCGTTTCGGCTCGCGGAGCAGCACGTCTCTAGCCTGCCCCAGGGTCAACTTCTCATCAGTTCGCCGCGACGATCTCGCGTTTGCCGCCGGCTTCACAATCTTGAGCTGGCCGTTGTTGATCCAGACGCGATTCTCTGCGACTTCCGGCTCCAGCCATGCGGGCAGTGTACCCGACGCCTCGATGAGGAGGAATTCACCATCGTTGTCTGTGACTTTGACCCAGAGGTCGTTGAACTTGCGCGTCAGCTCTCGCAAAAGCCATACCACGACCCATTCATCTTCGACTGAATCGCCATATTCGGTTCGACCGCGTAGAAGGCTCAATCCTGATGTGTCTGTGTTAATTCGTTTCCGCCTGTCCTCTCGAAAGCATTACAGACCTCACCATCTTCTTTATTGAGTTCTAATGAGAACCCCTGACGTTGCCATATGTAGTCTTTGAGATACTGTCGCTGCAGATCCGTCGCTTGCTTTTGCACGTCTCGGAGGCGCACCCGCGTTTCGGAGTCGTTTTCTGATTCTGACGGTGAGAGAATGTAGAGGGAGTACTCGATGGTATCGTCGGGAAGAGCAGGCTTCGGAATAGGATGAAATGTCGACCGGAACCAGGCTATGTCCTCTTCGGTTGGAGGCATTGTGTGTCTTTTCCGGTGTTTGGGAGTATTGAGGATTCGGTGCTGGCCTGCAGAACGCTCAGAGTCCAAGCCCGAAAAATGTGCCGCCTCATGAGATCATCGCTGTCGGTTAAACTACGGCGTAGTTACGCTGGCTCGGGGCACAAACGAGGCTGAGCAATTCATTCTGGTATCAGTAGTAAGTCCAGGCTGCGATGGAAGTACCAGTATCTGTCTCTACCTATGGCAGACACTTAGGTAGGCATACAGGTCGACAGAATATGATGTGCTCTGATCAGCATAGCGAACCATAAATAGTGAACTCTACCGCAAGAGCAGTTGCCTGATACTCATCTAACCCCCCGAACCGTACTGAACTGGACTGAACCTGCAGATTCCCAAGGAGACAGCAGGTTTTCCATACACAACAAGGACCCAGTCCTGCTGCTCATCCCTTCTTGTCGACGACTTGCTCCAGAAAGTTCTTGGTGAACCTAGCGACTTGTTCATAAACGACCTCGAAGCCATTGTCGGCACCATAATACGGATCAACCACTTCCTCAGCTTTGCCTTGCCTACCAGTACCGTGAAACTCTCCAAACATCATGACATTCGCGCGAACTGGATCCGTCTTCCCTTTGCTCTCGGCTCTACGTTGAAGTCTTTGTAGATCCCGTAGGTTGTACGCGTCCATTGCGAAAATGTAGTCGTAGTCGAAAAAGTCCTGCACAGATACCTGGCGCGCGCCGTGGTCGTAGTCGGAGATGCCGTGTCGACGAAGAGTCTCCATGGTTCGGTCATCAGGAGAGTCGCCGACATGGTATGCTCCCGTCCCAGCAGAGTCAATATCGCCAATGAGAGGGTGGGACTTTGTTAGTGACCGAAAGACGCCTTCAGCCATCGTACTTCGGCCTTGGTACACAGTCAGGGTTAACCATTACCATCAAGAGCCGCGATTCTTCAGCTTTCGTTGAGCACTTACAGATGTTGCCTAAGCAGACAAAGAGCACGGACAATTTGTCTGTCATTGTGCAGCACACAATCAAGTTGAGGATTGGCCAAGAGAAACGTGTATGTGTGTATGTACATCAACAAACCGATGAGATAGGTAGAGGTCGGTACTAGCATATACCTCGATACATAACCTCGGAGTCGTTGTGATCGGGGTTCTGTCTTCAAGGAGTCGCAGGGGTAGAAGAAAAATGGCGATAAAGTGGCGTAGATAAACACAATATAAATCCAGCCTCGTACTCCGCAAATCTGGCCATTGTAACAAACTCGATCTGTTCTGCCTGAAGCTCAGCAGAATCGATTGCACCAGACGTCCAACAGCGATAAAGGAAGACACTGGTCTGCTGCGAGTATGATATCGCCTATTTCTCAATTAAAGCACTGAAATACGAGTAGGAATACCGTCTACGATACGTCTTCGCTATTCTACATCGCCCTGAACAGACGAATGAATACGGAGAAGCCAAGTCCAAGTTAACCAAGACCATACCAAGCAATTCGCCAGTCCTGAAGCGACTTCGCCAATGTACATTACTGGAAAACTACCTTGGCCCTCCCCTTATCCATACATGATGCATGCTCTAAACCCCTTTTGCTGCTTTCCACGATGTGTACGATGTAACCAATCTTCGTCCGTTGGCAAGGGTACTTCAGTGACATAGTTACTGTGTTGCATGTGTATTCAACTCCGAATATGGCGCCCACCTTCATGATACAGTTGAGTGACAGTCATGGGCTCCGAATCCGATGTCTGATACTCAGAAGTATCGGACACTATACTTTTCCTGGCCTGGTCATCAACCTCGCGGGTCTTGCGCCGATTGACAAGTGCTGCTCGCAAGTTGTTGCTGCCTGGGCCCACATGGTGTAGGTGGGCTACCCCAGTTTGGAAACACGCATCTTCACCATTGTCCATGTCCTCATCGTAATCTGGGTCTGGAGTTATCCTAGTTTGGCTGTGCTCGAAGTACTCGGTCAAATTGTCTTCAGTCGGATTGTACGGCAGAGTATTGGAGTTAAGCATGTCCAATGCACAAACGCTATGCCGATACATCTCCCGGTCGGCACTCGCGACGCTGTCGTCAGACTTACGTCGCTCATCATGATGGCCTTCATTGTGTGGAAGGTTTGCTTCTGGTGCCGTCTGCACCGAAAGTTCTGGGATGTGGCTCAACACGCGACGTGCAGATGTCTGCCCGAGGACACTGTGTTTAAAATAGTCACTAGCTATCTGTGCGGCTGTTGGACTTGAAATGCACTGTGTGATCTCTGCAACCCGTGCGGAGGACAACCGGTGTGTTTCGGGCCGTACGGGAGGATCTGGAAGAAGTTTTTGAGTGTCAATAGGCAATCGAGATGTTGCACGGTTTTGCATCGCACTCAATGATCCGGCTCTGGGGCGGGGAAGAGTGAGAGCCGATTCGCCGGGGCTGCGACGACTGGCCGTATAGGCCTTCGGACCGCTTTGAGTAGAGAAGCCCTGGTCCGTAGAACCTAGATGTTGAGCAATAGGTTTGCTGAGTCGGGGAGCTTGCTCTTTGAATGAGCATTTCAGATCGGCAGAGTTTGCGGTTTCCGGCGCGAACGTCATCAAGCTCTGACTCGAAGCCAAAGACGAGGTAGACTTCGACTTATCTTTTTCGCGCTCCATTCCCAGAAATCTCAGTGCCTTGGAGGCGTTGCTATTTCGCAATGTTGGTTCCGGCTGCCGTGCAGATTCAAGCACGGCGCGAGTCTGGGACATGATGTTCTTGACATCTTCTCTTCTTGCAATGACTTCTTCTCGAGCACTCCCGAGCTTCTGTCGGAGCTTGCAGATTTCCAGCTCGCGTTGTTCCAGTTCCATTCGGTGTGCAATTTTCAAATTGGTCGCCTCATGGAGCAGCTCTTCGTAGCGCTGAGCCAGATCTTGCTTCTCGACATCGGCAAGCTGGCTCTGTATGAGAGCACTCTTCGTCTTCTCCAGATCCTTCATGATATCCTCCTTTTGTTGCATAAGCAGCCCCATTTCATGGTCACGCTCTTTTACTAGGCGCACCACGCCTTCGTACTTGCTCGTATACGCATCGAGATTGTGTGACTGTTCACGGATCGTGGCGCTTTGAACATGCAGCATTTTGCGGTACTCGCTCAAGGCTACGTCCGCCTCACGAGCAGCCTGCGCGTACTTTGAGATTGTGGTTTCAGGAACACGAAGGTAAGGCACCGGTCTGTCGTCTCCATGAGGCGCGTAATCGGAGACTACTTGAAGGACTTCTTGCGTTCTCGGGTCTTCGACGAAGTCGACCAAGTGAGGAATATTCTTCTGGATAAAGGTGCCCAAGATTCGAACGATATCACGAATGGTGTGATTGAGCTCCTCTATCGTCCTGCTTTGTGTGTCGACAACTTTCTGTTTGGAGTACATCGTCTTCAAACAATCTTCTATTTGACCTTCGAGTAATTCGAGGCGTTCATGGGAGATTCTGCTGTCTCGTTCGGCAAGCGACTCCGCAGAATCGACGATCTTTCGAAAAGAATTTGACACAAGTCGGATCTCGTGAGCAAAGTGGTTTAAGTCCTGCTTTTGTCAACAATGGCACTACTTAAAATTCGTTGTCTTTACCTGATTCAAGGTGATCTGATCAAGGCCTTCATCAACCTTGATCTCCGTAGCATCTAGTATCAGCGCCGCCATCTTGTCCATGTGAATTCGTAGTGCCGGTAGCCACAGCTCCTTCACCGTGTCGCTATTCTTGCATTGTGGTAGATAGTCCAGTAGTTCCTCGACGGTCATAGCAGTAAATGGTTTTGTGATGCGAGATTCTGGAACATTACGACTTCCAATGGTATAAGAAGGTATAGCGCTTTGATCGTTCCTTCTCGACGATGTTGTCAGGTTGCGTAGCGTCTCCATCGCGAGATCATCTGTCGAGACTGAGGTTGACTGAGTAGGCACGAGACTAATGATTGACTCTTGCGTGTCTCGGCGGCTTCGATAAAGTGAAGGCGGTGGTGATATGGGATCTGTCTGCGGAAATCCTTGACTTGGGAGAAGGAGGGATCCAGGCAGTTCTACCGGCGGTGAAGTCAAGTCAGACACCAGAGTTACTGGTGTCTCTGGAAGTGACTGGTACAAATCACTGGTTACGGCAGCATCCTTCGGCACCACTACCGGTAGTTGCAGTATTTTCCTGCTTTCTCCAGGAAGTGACTCTGCGCAAGTGCAATCTTTTGGCGTCTTCGGAGTCCATGGCCACACGTACTCTAACACTGACCCTGCTGAAGCCTTAACAGAAGTAATCGACAGGTCTGACAGGCTACGAGACGTAAGAATCGGCGGAGGCTTCTGTCGCCTTTTGCCCAGCACGGTGGCTTGCACAAAGCTTGCATTCGCCGCCATGGATCTTCCAGTAATGCCAGCTTTGTCAGAGGGAATCAGCCCTCCTAGACCACCGTTTGGCACGGCTCTCAAGGTTAAGTTTGGTGGCTTCGAAGTAGATTGCGGCGCCATCTCACGGAACTGCTTCTGGATATCAAGGTAAGAAGCACTTGGCTGACAAAAGGGGGGACGAGTGGCACTTGACTTCTACATACAGGTAGAGAGCACGACTACGATATACAATATCATAGCTTGCGGGGAGACCATTCTTGTGCTCTGCCTCTTTTCAGACTTGCCAGGCAGAGCAAGTGGCACAATGACGGTCTACGCTCTATTGGGTGCCGCTCGTTCTCTCGAGAGGCACCAATGTCCGCTCAGATTCTGGGTATCGCATATGCAACCTTGCTTTGGCCGGAAGCATACGGCTCCTCAAAGTCGCTCTGTCGGGGTGAGTCCGGCGCGTAAAGCCGGCCATCACCAGGTCACCTTGGGTAGAGGCATTCTGGGATCGAAGATGCGTCTCACTGTGACACAAGGGGCGCCTGCGGAAGGCCGAACCTTATCGAAATGCAAGTACGCCATGCCATAACCTCATCGCAAGGAAGTATTACGTGGAAGAAAATGTGAATACAAAATGGTGCTGCGATCTTCATGTCAAAGACTCAAAAAGAAAATAAGGTTCCCCATTATTTACCTCCACGTGACCTTGACTTCTACTCCCACGCGTAAATCTTCGTCACTTTCCTCGATGCCGTCGAAGTGTTGCAATGGCGGTTACTAGGGATCACAAATCGACTACTTGACGTCCACGCAACCGTCCACGGAGCTTTCAAGAATGGATCATGCACAAAAAGCGGCAAGTCTTGCCTGTCCTAACTCCTTGGTCGGGAATCGGTCGAAACGCAAGACGGTCGTTCTAACGTTCCTTGACTAGACCGCCCCATACGGCATTCAGAATGGAAAGGCAACAGGCAAAATAATTCGCCAGAATCGATCTTTTCAAAGACACGATAGCAGTAGAGGCAGAGATGCTCGTCCGATAGCAATAAGTGCATCCGGCATCCACAGCGGTGATCACGGTATCTTCGTGACCTGTGACAAGGGCCAAGAGAGGAAATGCCTGCAAGAAATCTCTGACATACTCGGCGAGGTGAATACCCAGTTATCATATTCCTGGGCGTCCAAGCCAACTGACCCCTACAGTATATCGAATCCACTTCTCAACCAGCTCAAGAACCAGACTTGGGCATTTGTGATGCAAATGTCGATATAGAAACTGCCATTTTCGCGGAGCTGGAGTCGTTACGATCCATGTCATCAACCACAGGCTCACAAAGTCCGAAATTGTCTTTCATCACGCTTGACATACCCTGTGTATCGTTCATCAGGTTCCCCACCAGCACTAACAGCGAGAGAACGCTGGATCCCGTCGAGATCGTACGACATATATGCGAAGAAGCCTCAAGGAAAGATTCGACAGGGCCCCGAAGCCGCTATGTTAGACGATTGACCCCCGTGAGCCTTGTGAGAAAGACTTTGAACAATGGGCTTGAAAGCTTGTGTGATGAAGTGCTTCCACCAGAATTTCGGATTGACGTCGTCGGTGAAGGTCCCTCCTCCGGTTGCAAATTCGCGATTCGGCCAACGATAAGAAACAACGAGAAATTCAACAGAGACGATGTGATACGAATGGTGGCTGATAGAATTGCCGCATTGGGGAACGGGAAACATAGCGTTGACCTGAAAGGTTATGATAAACTTGTACTCATCGACGTATACAGAAACATCGTCGGTATGAGTGTGGTTGGGAACGAGTTTGAAAGACTCAGACGTTTCAATTTGGCTGAGCTTCATGCCACTCATCTTGGAGAGGCAGACTTGGGGACCAAGGGGGAGCAGCTCAAGGCAGGGGGAGCTCCAGCAAACTCACAGACCCAGAGTACCGAGCCAACAGGCGATAGGCGAAAGCCATGAGACCAGCATTGCGACCACACTGAAGTATGTGCCAGGTGAAGTGAGAAGACACTATTTGTGTTGATCTAGGGTGAGTGTCAATTCAGTATGTCAACCTCCGAGTTGGTTTCCTAGGTAAGCTTCGGTTCCTTCGACCAATCTCCATATCCTGATATGTGCCATCGACCCCGTACAGACACGTACAGGCAGAGGCGGTAACCCAGCTCATAACTGCAAGATATGCGGCATCCCGTAATGGTGCTGGCAATATCCTTATATTGTCGAAACAGGGAGGAGGGATGGAAGCCTAACCCGCCACAACAGCGACTCATGTATGAAAAAGGTGGTGTGATCAGTACCGATAGTGGCTAAAGGCACCCATCTCACAATCAGCATAGGAGGAATATTTATCCGGAACAGAACACTCATTGATTACCTACCTTTTCTATACACACAAACCATTTCACAGCATTCCTGCGTCTAGACAATGAAACCGCACTCGGCGATGTTGGCTTTGTATATAACTACTTCAACCGCCTCACCTCCACACCGAAAGCGAACATTCCACCTTCGTCGCAACACCACAATCACGCAAGGAACATGTATATCCTGCTTCCGCATCGTGGCATCAGATCTTAGGACATCCCAATCCGGACGCCGTCAGGGAATTTGAGTTGTAAAGGTGGTCTTCGGAGAGGCCCGCAACTCAACCTGTTAGACACACCCATTCAGGGAATAAAGCCGTCGTCTTTGGTGAGGAATCATCGGGATAGCATTTCCTGGATGTCAGTGAGGTTGAGTTGCTGTCACTAGACTCATATATTGACAAGTCGCAGCCAAGTTCCATGTGAGAAAGGTCGACCATCTACCTGACACTTCTCTATCAACCAGTGAGAGGTGACCTCATGATGGGCAAGCCTCGCCGCAGAAGGTTTACGCATATCAACAACCTGTTGGATCTATATCATTTGCCTCCTGCGCAACTAAGCCTGACGTCGCTCACGCTCATTCGAAGTTGGCGCAGTTCCTCGTCAACTCGTCAAGTGAGCATGCCAAGGCCGCCGATAGAGTCATTGCCTATCTCTATAGCACGAATCACCTCTCAATCGCGTATAAATGTCACTCCTCTCAACACTCCCTGTGCGGGTCGGACGCCTCCTTCGCCGATGAGCTTGAAATACCTAAAAACAATGCGAAACCCTACGAAGCGACTCGCGCGCTGGATTGCTGATTTTTCGGAGTACAATCTTGATATTCGCTATCGCAAAGGCGCTTTGATGGTTACTCCTGATGCTATTAGTCGACGACCTGACCTCATGGGCAGGGGACCACGCAAAATTGCGGCTCAATTCAACGTCTTACGAGGATTTGAGGAAGACGCTTGGCCAAATGCAGTGGTACGTTTGCTACACCCCGAGACCAGGAAGAGCTTCCACGGCTATGTCCTCACGCTGTTCGGAGGGCCTATTGATTGGTGGTCAGAATGGCAAAAGACGGTTACAATATCCTCCACCGAGGCGGAGTTACTGGCTCTAACGAACGCCGCCAGCGAGATGATATGGTGGAAGAGGATGTTCGCTGACGTCAACCTAGACCTAGCAGAGACGGATGATGCTCCAAGTACAACAGAATGCGAGACATGTATACTCGCGAAATCCAGACCACAAATAGCACGGCGCCTGCACAATAATCAGGAATATCGAGACAACCCATTAAGCCGAGTTGCCTATGATATAGTCCATTTCTTTAAAGGATGGGCTCCCGATCAATATATAAGCCATCTCTGGGACTTCATGTCTATACTCATATAAATCGTTTAGAAGCTGGGGATATCATCCTAAACTGGCCGGCCATGGTGAGAACGCAATCAACAAGGCCCCAGTATTCCTCCGCCTAGACAATGAGGCGGCCCTAGGCGATGATTTCTATAGGCATATTCGGAGCCAAGGAATCATAGTTGAACACTCCGCTCCCCATACTCCTGCCCAGAACGGGGCCGCAGAACGGGGCCGCAGAACGTTCAGAGGCATTATCACTCAAGTGGCTAGGACCCTCAAGGTTCAGGTCAACCTGCCTCACTATATATGGTCAGAACTGGTCAAAACAGCGGGCTATCTCACCAACCGGACGCCGTCGAGATCCAGAGGATGGAAGACACCATATGAAGTCCTGCGTGGAAGGAAGCCTGTCCTCACGAATCTCCACCCATAGGATGCAAAGCCTTTAGTCACAACGAGCAAATCCCTAGGCTAGAAAAGCTAGAGGATAGAGCAATAGTCGGCTGGCTAGTCGGCTATAATGCAAGGAACATATGGCGCATGTGGATACCTATTAAACAGACGATCCCGAGATCAAGGGATGTGATATTCCATGACTCTTTTGTCTGATCCTTCCCAGGTGCAGACCGCGGAGCAACTACGGTCGGGACAACAACTCATATCTATAAAGATATTCATATAGGCTTATTGGACATCAGTGACCAGAGGAGTCTGCTCGTGTAACGCTTGGACGATTATCCGTATCGTAGACTAGTAGAGTGGTCGTTACTCTTGAACCTCCAGGACAAGAGTGACGGCGACGGCTCCGCAGCTTTCTGTGGGATTAGCTAGATGGTGATAGTCTCCAGTCGAATTATGCAGTTAAGCAGAAGAGGCCTCAAGAAGATTCGTGACCTCCTCAGGGCTGGCGGTTCAGACGTAGTTTGGCGCACGTGACTCGCCCCTTACTTGGTCCTAGCACTCAGAGCCTGACCAGCAAACCGTACGCATCAAGGATCACAGACCACCTCTTAATTCAACCAGCACATGAACCACATATTCGATGCTCGTCCTCCATGGATACTGACACAAACTGAACATAAATGTCTCCCGGAAAGACGGTAAGCAATAAACTCGCAACATCTGCATTCGTCTCATTTCCCAGCCTCGTCAATTCCTTGCACAGCCGGCGTGGCTGGGATGACAATCTCAGGGTGCTCCCATCATCATCATCATGATTCCCGCTATCGATGACCCTCCAGGACTCTTGGATCCCCGACATTTCACGCTCGTTTCGTGGTCCGTACGGAGTTCTATTTCTTGCACTTGACACAACGATAATCAAGGTTGACTGTTTGAGCGCTCGGATCATCCTGCAACATGCCCACGATACTCACTCCGCAAGGATGGGTCAAAGTCGCGCCAGCGCCACGGAAGAAGGTCGTCAAATCTGACCCTACGTCTGCGTTGAGGGGACCACTCGCGTACTTCAGTTGCCAACAGCTTCCATCCAGCAAGAAAGAGCCCATCAGCCGACCGCAATACCCGTACGACTTGTCGGCATCACCCGAGAAGCTAAAGCACCAAGGCGAAGGGAAGGCGAAGATCGCCGGCAAGAACAGAGTCATTTCCGCCCCGCAGCTAACGACATACGACCAAGACGACATCGACGGCGGCGACGGTCGTTACAAAAACTACGAAGCGGAAGGGCATTGGGCTGGAGGAGGAGGAGGCGAACTTTCACCACCATCGTCCCCGTCGAGGAAACACCACCACAAGACTTCGCATTCGAGAAAAGAGCGACCGAGGCAGGACGACGACGTTTCGAGTTCAAGTTCCGGATCTAGTACTAGTGGACGCTCGACGAAATCGTACACGAGGCAACGACCTGTCGAGGCTGCTCCGAGGCCTGCATCAACGACGTACCACCGTCCGCCTCAGCCTCCGCAAGGTGGATATTATGGGCATAATGATTATTATTCGCCACCCCCACCGAGGCCGACAGTATATGACAGGCCGCCACCGCCTAGCAATGCAAGGAGCATGTCGTATAGTTGGTACAACGCTACGACGCCTTTGAATTTATGATTGGGAAGCCCACGTGTGGAGTTATGGGAGGAGATGGAGATCATGATGTGAAAGCGTTCACATTGTTGTCTTATGAGAGAGATTAAGTGGTTGGAAATACGGCTGGCCATCGGCGCACATCGACTTCTCTTGACATTTTGTGGACCAGATTTTCTTTATTTCAGGCATTCGAGTTGAGGAATTGAATTCTATTATTGTACTGCGTGGTAGTGATTGAAACGATACGTATCGCGTTAAATTGCTATTTCCAAAAGGAGTTTCCCTCCCTCCTTCCAATGGAGTTCCTCATAATTCATGAACACTGGTGCCTCATCCGATGTCGCTGTCACATATCCATGCCGTCAAAATCTCACCCTGTTCGTGAAAATCATACTGTTGGTAAAAACCAAAGAGGACCGCACAAAGGTGCTTCCTTTCCATGGTTCTAGTCGTCGTCTTCCTCCACCACCAGTTTCTCTCTGCGGTAAGTCCTGATTCTTTCCCTCTTCGCAGGCGGAGGCCGGACAAAGACGCGCTGGCTCTTCGTGATGACGACCTTCGTCTCTCGCTGATTGCCGCCGCCCACAAAGGTCATCCCTCGGCCTCCGTAGGGATCGACCGGTCGCGGCCGCCGGCGACGATGGCGGCTATCCTCTGACGACTCGTCGTCGGCATAGTACGCGTTGCGCTGCCGGGCTCGGAAGCAGAAAACGCACAAAAGGAAGAGCAGGAACACGCCAAAGAAAGCGCCGATGACGATGCCGCCCACGACGCCAGGCGCCAGGCCGCCCCCGTCGTGGTGCACAATGACGGTCTCAGAAGAGCCAGTCGTGATGCCTGGTTCAGGCGACGTGGTACAGCATGGGGTTGTTATAAGCGTGGTGGTCGTACATGGCGTCGTCGTCGCGACAGGCTGCTCCCATGTGGTGCTCGTCGTGGCCCACTCGTCCCAAGCGCTCGAAGACGGCGTCCAGGATGATGGTGATGTCCATACTGGCACCGTCGCCGTCGTCGTCGACTCGACCCAAATCGAACTGCTTTCCCACTCGTCCAACGTCGCTGGCACTGACTGGATGAACTCTGATCCCGGGCTAGGAGATCTGGCTCGGATTATGGCCATGCTAGGACGACGAACCGAGGCCGGTTCTGCGCAGCGCAAAGGTGTATATACTTAGTATCAGCGTTGAAGCAAAGCGCGCGCCTGTGGGAGTACCGAGCGGAAAGGAAGAAGGCAAGTTTCGAACTGCAACCGCATCGGCATATCAGCTGAGGAGCTGCCTTTTGAAACGTGCATGACGCATGCACATGGCAGGGGATTTCTCCGAAAACGTTGATGACGCGGGAAAAGGCATCCAGCCTCTTCGTTTGTAGGCAAAGCCCAAAAGACTGTTGTTACCAGGGTACGTACGCATATGGTAGCAGGGCGTCTGCAAAGAAGGCGGCTGGTGGATGCCTTTTCTGTATGGGAGGGGGAAGTATATTTGCCCTAGCGGGCCTGTTGAGCCTAAAAGTACCTGGGCAACGAACCAAGCCTATTGAGTAGTCAAGTTAGCGAGCTTTCCGGCTAGTTTCACACCTGGAGACAAAGCCGGAGTTGGCTCTTTTAGGTACAACCGTTCGAGCCGATCGGCGCCTCAATAACAGGGTTTGGTGGGTGGGGTACCCAGAGGGCTGGCGATACGAGACGGTAAGTTTTTCTGGCAGACAATAATTAACAACGTCTGCTTCCTTAGTTCAACTGTCAAAAAAGATGAAAACATACCCATGAGAGAGAACGGTCGAAAAGAAAGCATCATATTGGTCCAACATGTTACCGTCGATGCGGCCGTGTCCTCTTCTGGTCTGAGGGAGTCTTCAGCACAGCCTACCAAGGTATTCTCCTTTGTCGATACGACATGTCTTCCTGTCTCAAACAGCAATACGCTGATTCTGATAACCTCGAATCCGCAATTGAGCCAATGAAAGCACTGATGTAGAATGTCAAGGCCCCGGGCATAGTTGGTACGGTCTGATCCTGTCTTTGGAACCATGGCAAGCAAAAGTGTTTGTCTTTATCTTTGTTCTTCTTCACTGTCTGCCTGGTACTTCAAGCATATTCTTTTCTAGAGACTTGCACCGCTTACGTGGGAAATGCACAAATCACAGAGGGACACATCACAGAGCGAAGACCGGGATTGGTGCAGTGGTCAGGCTGGAGGCTATAATAGGCCAAACGGAGAGCAGTCACGGGCACCCGACGTAGCTCTTCATGCCTGCGTTGTCAACTAGGAGTAAGGAGGAGGATCAATCAATCATCAAGAAATTGAAAGATGCTAGAAACATCTTCCAAATCTCAAAACAGTTGTTGGCCGTCCTTTGTCCTGTTTCTTCGTCTTCATATCCGGGATACTGTGAAAGGTGAATACAACCTGGAAGATGGAGACCCCATTTCCGTACGAGAGGTATACCTCCGTGGTTTGATATCGGTACAACCTGGGCAGAGGATGCTGACACTATTTCAGCTTCTTGAGTTCGCCCCCATTTCGTTTCGCCGTAGGTCCTGATAAGAAAGTATTCTATGTCCACTCGGCACTGGTCGCAAAGCATTCCGACACCCTTGCTGCCCTTATCACGAACGGCATGAGGGAATCGGAGCAGGGCCTTGCAGTATTCGATGATATCGACGAAGACACTTTCCTTCACTTCTTGGAATTCGCATACACGGGGGAATATACTGTCCCTCCGCCAGAAGTTATCCCCGAACCCGTGAAAGATATTCCTGATAAGCCTGACGAGAGTCCGCCCGCAGAAGAATTCACAGAATCAAGTCCCGAAGACCCTCAACCTGACCCTGCAGACGAGCTTATAGAAGTACCTGCACCTGAGTCTGCAGACTATCCTGAGGCAGAACCTGAACCCGTACCAGCAGAAGACATCTGGAACGGACATGACTGGGGATGGGGACATGCCAAGAAGAAGAAGGAAAAGAGTAAGAAGAAATGGTTTGACGACCCGTCACCTGAGGTGCCAGAAGATCAGCATGCTCAAGTCCAGACACGCAACAAAGCAAAAATTCGATCTGATCTTTGGCTAGAGTTCGAGGCTTCGGCTCATGTCAAGAAAATAACACCATGGAGTCCATACGTCAACGTTGAGCCCTGCGAAGATTGCAGTGTTGTATTCCTCTGCCATGCCAAACTTTACGTTTTCTCGGACAGATACACTATCCCTCCGCTTCGAGATCTCGTCTTGCAGAAGCTTCGCTTGACCTTATCAAGATATAACCTGTTTGAGAGTCGCACAGAAGACGTCGTCCAGCTTGTAGGCTACACTTACAGGAACACAATGGACATGAGCCCCGAAATGGACAAGTTGCGGGAAGTGGTCATGGACTATCTGGTCTGCCATGTCGAGACAATTGCGAAGGACAAGAAATTCCTCAAGTTACTTGAAGGACTGGGTGCATTAGCCAGAGACCTGGTTCTGAAGTTGTTGCCTCGGCTGAATTATGATTGACTGGCACCAGTTGAGATCTGGCCGCGAACAGTCCGGCGCATGGGTGGCACCGGGTCAGTGGTATGAAGGCGTCATGTTGATGAGGCTGGAATGACTGTGTAAGGGTACGGGAAACCAAACACTTTTGCTAGAAGAATGCTAATGATATGCATGAAATCGATAAGCCTCGAAAAGGCATAATTTTCTGGGGTTGCACCAACACGGTGCATAAACCTTACGCAGCCACACTGGATAGTTAACTAGTTAGCCAAGTGGCCCTTCCCACAGGGTGCGGTGTCCACCGTTAGCATAGAACGGATATGGATACTCCCCCCTCCATGGCCATCTCCGGCAGATGATACAGTACATTTGTAGAATGAAGTGGCATGACTCTCTATCTTCTTACGAGTGGTGGCCTTCAATAACACTATAGACGTCTTCTTCCAGTATCTTCACATTTGGCCTCTGATGGCTCCCTCAAGGATCTCGCCGGAGCCGGCAGCATCACAACCACCGCTGGGCCTCACTCCCAAACAAATCGCCTCGTTCTGGCGGGATGGCTATCTGATTATACCCTCGTACCTCTCCGCGGACACATGCGAGAGCCTCCTCTCGAAGACGCAGGAGCTCCTGTCCGAATTTCCGCTGGCCGACCACCCCATGACACGATTCACGACCGGCAAAGACGAAAACGGCGACTCGACCTCGCAACAGCACGTTGGCGACGACTACTTCCTGACGTCGGGAGACAAAGTGCGGTTCTTCTTCGAGGAAGACGCCTTTGACCAAGAGACAGGCGAGCTGGTCAAGCCTAAAGAACGGGCGATCAACAAGATCGGACACAATCTACACGGCCTCGTGCCGGAGTTTGGCAACGTTTCCCACGCCGGGGAGATCGGGCGCCGCAACGCCGCAATAGCGCGAGATCTGGGATACAGGGACCCGCGACTGCTCCAGAGCATGGTGATATGCAAGCAACCTGAGATCGGCGGCGCGGTGAACCCGCACCAGGACAGCACGTTCTTGTACACGAAGCAGCCGTCGGCCGTGGGCTTCTGGATCGCCCTCGAAGACGCGACGGCCGAGAACGGGTGTCTGGGTTTCGCGCCCGGCAGCCACCGCCGAGCACCGATACACGAACGATTCGTGCGGAACGAGGACAACACGGGAACGACATTCGTGCCTGTCCCTGCAGACGGGCAGTGGCCTAGAGATTTCGAGCACGAGGAGGCGCCCTTGGACGACGGGCAGGAGGAGTACGTGCTGGGAGAAGTCACCGCCGGTAGTCTGGTGTTGATTCATGGCAACATCCTGCACAAGAGCAAGAAGAACACGAGTCAGAAGGGACGCATAATATACACTTTCCATCTCATCGAGGGAGAGGAGCAGTATGACGGGAGGAACTGGTTACAGATACCTGGAGGCCCGAGTCGGTTTACCAAGTTGGACGGGACGGCGTAGATACTACCCAGGGAGGTGTTTTGCCTGGCCTTTCCAAGACAATATATACTATATCCATTGTCTAAAGACAAGTCTTTACGGGAGGAATCATGCTCCCTCTATGCCGGGAATGCCACCGCTTCTGTTGCGTTCTTTTCACCTACGGAGTACTCGTACGTGCACAAGCATCTCTTGGTCTCTCTAGATGGATCTTCGCTCGCCAATATAGCAGCAATCAATAACTAGATTGGCGGCCCGAATACCGACGATCCGCCCCCCATCGCGCGCACAATTCGCGAGAACAACGAACCAGGCAAACACTATGACGTATGACTGGGTAGTTGGGGTGAACTCTGACCATCGCACAACCTGTTTACACACATAGAGCGGTGTGTGGGAGAACTGTTTTGATTTCAGATACATGAACAGATAGATCCCTTTCAGAACACCCCTCCGTCAGCCCCTGATCCCTGCGTCCACCCAAGGAGTCTATCGTTGAGCGAACATGTCTCGCCCCAACCTCCTTCATCGGCCGTCCAGCGTGGCCGTTGTGAACAGGACCATCATTCTCGTGACTGGTAAGTCGAGGCCTCCCAATGCTGACTGGCAACGGGTAAAGCATCAACGCTGACGTGGGAGGAAAACCACCCAGGCGGCAACGCAGGAATAGGCTACGAGATAGTCAAGAAGCTGGCGCTGGAAAACCCCAGGTTCCAAGTCCTCATGGGCTGTCGGGACACTTTAAAGGGCGAAGAGGCGGTCGCGTCCATGGGGGCGCCGACCAACGTCAACCCGATACAACTCGACATCACGGACGACGAGTCGGTCGAGCAGTGCTATCTGGCCATCGCGCAGCACTTTGGCCGGCTGGACATCCTGATCAACAACGCCGGTACGGGTGCCAGGGAGCTTCCGCCCGACGCAACGCTACGCGACAAGTACAACTTGACCTACAACGTCAACGTCATCTCCACGGCTGTGCTGACCGACAAATTGATTCCCTTGTTGGAAAAGTCCAAACTGCCCAAGATCATCTTCATCTCCTCCGGTCTCGGGAGTATCGAGCGGACGCTGCAACGTGGCAAACCCATCCCCGTTCCCTGGTACAGCACAAGCAAATCAGGCCTCAATGCGTTGGCAGTGTATTATGCAAATATGCATCCCGAGTTCAAAGTCAACGTTGTATGCCCGGGTCTGCGGGCGACAAAGTTGAACGGAGCTCATCTGAGCGAGGAGACGCATCCCAAGCTCGGTGCCGTGCGAGCCGCGCAGCTGGTGGCAGAAGGTCCGGACGGTGTTACCGCGACTTATTCCAATTCCGAAGGACCGATACCGTGGTAGTTTGAAAACCTTTGTTGTTGTTTTGTTTTTCCGGCTCTATCGTGGTAGCAGAGCCTGATTCTCGTCGTGTGTCGCGGAATTGTTCTCCCTCGACAATGTCCTGTCACGACGCATGCTAGCAATATATGATGGGAAATGGTAGCTCCAATGACAGCACATGCCAGCAATGAAGCCAATTGCATCGTTTTTGAATGCAATAAGTAACCCTGCAGTCACGAGCATCACCGTCCACCTGTTCCTCCTTTCTTCATCTGTGAGATCGGGTGAAGATGTGGAACGAGCTCTTTCCTTGTAAAGATCTCTTGCTCGCGGTGTGTTGAGGCTTTCACCTACGCTTGCTAGCTCTAAGCCAGCGGCAATGATCATGACTGACAGCAATGCCAATGGGAATTTGCGCAGCAGGTCTGCGAGGCTCTCGCCAAACAGAATCCCAACGAGTAGCTTGAGCAGACCAAGGAATATTATGCTCGCTCCAGACCTTGCACCGAATCGGTACTGGGCAGCAAGGCCTCCAGAACCGTGACAGACGGGCATTGCGCCGAACCAGCACCCGAACAAATTCATAGCAGCGACGCTGAGCCCCACAGAGGTTACAGAAGGTGTCTGCACATCTGGCAGCAAATCCGCGGCGAGGTGTGTGACAGCGATAATCGAGTTCAATGTCGTCAACGGTAGCTGCCCCACGCCAGCATCAAGTATACCAGTCTTCCATTCCGACGTTGAAGGGCTTTGCACATATGGATGCCACAGCCGAAATCCAGGTAGATGGTGATGCGGATTAGCACTGACGCGAATGATTGCGAAAATGATGCCGAGGATAAACAAGATCAAGGCGTATGGTGTCCGAGGTCGTAGACTGATGGCAAATAGCACCAGAAATGCCACAATCATCCAGATGTAATTGTCCGCCCATGATGGTCCAGTCCAAGATAGAGAAGACAGCGTTTTGGATCCCGCACTTATGATCAGACTCAGGCCAGCTCCAACTTGAATACCTTTGACCACGGGAATGGGAATAACGCGGGTGAACCAGGAAAGCAGTCCAGTGATGCTGAAAAGAAGAATACAGGAGGAGACAAAAATGCCCGCTGCAGCCGTCTGTCCTGCCGTGAGGTTGTTAAGGATGGCAACCGCTGCAATAGCTTTCATCGGTTGGACGGGCAAGGGAATTCCAAAGAGAAACCCCGTCAAGATGTTGTATACCCCGGTGAATATCAATGTCGTAGTCAAAGATATCTGGTGCCCTCCGGTAAGGGCAATAACAATGGGAAGGAAAGTTCCCAGGTCGCCCAACGATCCTGAAATTTCCGCGAACGGTTGCCGGCGAAAGGTAGATAGGTTATGACTGGTAAGCTGCCGCATGCTTGTTCGACGGCTCATGATAGTCGAGGTAAGAATGCCTGCAAGGCTACGATATCATCCAAGACGAATGTCGAGCTGTTCCGGCCAAAGTTGGTTTTGATGTATCTCCCAATTGACCTTGCCTTGAATATGGAGCACGGAGTAGTGCGATCAAAGTGGCTCAGCAAAACGAGCCCTGCTAAGAGTAACGTCAACAGCACTTCGAAATGATGCAAATGGGCGAGAACACGAAGGGCCAAAGACAAGAGCACAGGTACTCCGTATGTTATCTTCTGTCGTAGATGGTTGTACAGAGGTGTTTATTCAACCTGGCTACTGCATCTTCGGGTCATCCGGCACATCACATGGGGGTGCAGATGCATGTTGCGTAACATTTAGGCGCAACGTAGGAAACCCAGGGACTCAAGAGGTCACGACGTCTCGTACGAGTATGGACTACGGAGAGTACAGGGAGTAGCTTTTCATAGGCAGGCTAGCGAGAAGAAACCGACTGTACCAAGGTTAAAGGCACCGCCGCAAGGCTCGGGTTGGGGCTTGCCTGCCAACCGGTTCTACAATGATATTGTAGATATAGAGTTCTCGAGAGACCTTGGTGTACATAATAAAGGTGCTTCAGTTCAGCGACCTCGTTTAGACTACCTCTGGTACAGTAGGTAGATACCTGGCACGCGGATCTACGGTTCACCTCTAAGTTAATGCTCGTACGAGTTTATGTCGGTGCGTCGAGTAAGGCCACTATTGTAGGCTGACAAGGCTCACTAGGCGCACTAGTCTAGTAAGTTTAGGCTCACTCTCTAGGCACTTTTAGGCGCTGGCTAGAGGCTGACGTTAACAAAACACGGGGTTTGAAGCGATTGGACAGCTGTACCTCATGTTGCTCAACGCTCACAACAACCACTTGACCAGTACATTGAGAAGCATAAGTTGTGTAGAGACTCAGATCAAGAAGAGGACATCAGCCTCCTACAAAATCCAAAATAGATTGTTCGCGCCAACCTGATACACCTTCATGCCTGTGCGCCAAATTGCATGTCTCCCAGCCATCCATAGATAGACGCGTAAATTCCTGTGGCTGGCGCATCGCCCACCTTGTAGCCCGTCAACACGGCACTCCACCTTTCATCCGATCCTTGACTCTTTGCACAACAATCAATGACCAGGACAACCCAAGTCAAGCCTCGACGAATTCGTGCATACCGACAACGACAGGCCCGTCCTTGTCCCCGGTTCGCCATCCCATCTTGCCGAGTAGAGCAACACCAACAGTCCGTCCTCGAATGCCACTCTCTTGATATACTGCCCGCCTGCAGTCCTGCAGTTTCGAAGCACAGCATTGCGTTGTAGGCACGCAGCTACAGGTTTTCAAAAGGGACATGGCTACCAAATTGAGAGCAGCAAATGCTGCTCACACTGCTGGCATCTTCGCAGACATGTCCCTTGACGGACCAGAGATTGGGACTCTCGTGGCAGTCGTGGACCGAGCGAAGAACCTTCCCAACCGCAAGACAATGGGCAAACAAGACCCTTACTGTGCCATGAGACTAGGGAAAGAAGCCAAGAAGACAGACACAGACAAAAGAGGAGGACAGACGCCGAGATGGTTCGTAGAAGAAGACTGACGCAGCCTTAGTGGAAGAATGCTGACGAGACACAGGGATCAAGAACTCCGCTTTAATGTCCACGATTCTCCTGACTATTACAAACTCAAGTGCTCGATCTTCAACGATGATAAGAAGACCGACCTTATTGGCGAAGCCTGGATCAATCTCGAGGGAGTCATCGTACCGGGCGGTGGGAAGAATGACCTCTGGCATCAACTGAACTTCAAAGGAAAATATGCTGGCGACATAAGGATAGAGTTGACCTATTATGACACGAGACCGAAACCAGAGGTATCTCCGGAAAGGAAGAAACAGAGAGAAAAGACTCATTCTCTCGTCACTGACATTGCCAGTACCGCTTCTGGCTCGCGTCAACTGGGGCCCCGGGAGATCAAGAGGAGACCACTCCCACCGGGTCCAGGCGGTTACTCGTCACCGACTTCAGCTGGAATAACTCCTGAGAGATTGCCAGTGGACGAGCCTCTTGGTTCTTGGAATAGTCAAAACTACACAAACAGCAATCCGCCGCCCCGGCCGCCAAAGCAACCGATGCCTGAAACGCCTGATGATGTAGGCTTCGGCCTGCCATCTCACTATTCTCCCGATCCATACGCACCGCCACAACCAGATACATACGAAACACCACCACCGCCTGTGCATCACTCACAAGACCAGCAACGGTCTTCCAACATTCCTTATAATGATGACCGCCGACAATTACGACTACAAGAAAGCCCCGACTATTATTCAACAGAAGATTACACGACAGCAACTCTGCCCTCGACAGCCCAGCTGCAGCCGTATGTCACTGACGAGCTGCCTCAAGTAGAGGCTGGACAAGTACCCAGCCCTCAGTCGCCATACAGCCAGTCAGCCCAGTCGCCATATTACTCTCCCCCTTCCAACAGAACCACTCCCCAAGCAACCCCGCCTTGGCCAGCGCAGAACCAGCGCAGGCAGAGCAGAGGGAGTGCGTCGCCCACTAAGCATGCTGTTTATCGTGATAGTCCCTTGCGGCAATCTATCAGCCAGCATGATATGACTCGGTCAGAAAACAGACACTTCGATCCACAATTTGACGAGGAAGAGCCCCCTCCACCGCCACCCGCCCATCGTGGTCATATATCCAGATCCTCTATGACAACCACAGCCTATCCACCACCACCTGCTGGTCAGGCCTCACCAAGGACTCCAACCAAGTATGAATCTGTAGATGAAAGAAGCCCTCTCCAGCGGTTGGAGCAACAATATGATACTTATGGCTCACCTTCCGGGCCAGACAGTACTCGTCAGCAACCTGCCGATCTAGGATATGGAAAGGGACCTGAAGAGAACTACAACCATCCTCAAGCACGCACACAGCAACGGACACCCGAGAGATATGAGGCGTACTCGCTTCCTCCGAATGTAAGAAGACAACCATCTAACGACAGCACGGCTCACCGACGTCCCATTTCGTCAGGCAGTAATCTGCCACCTTTCGAGGACTATCAAGGTCAGAGCTCAGTAGACCAAAGGTATGGTGGAATGCCACAGGACTCATTCAGGCGTTCTACTGGGTATGATCCTCCACGGAGAGCACAAACTTTTGACGACTATGGTCACTTCGACGATCGGCATCGTGCCTCAGAGCCGCCTATTTCACGTCCAAGAGCAGTTAGCCCGAATCCCCCTCGTAACATCCCACGAAAATCCATCACGCCCACACCTGCCACACCGGAGGACCGGAGACAAATTAGTGGGATACCTTACGGACCTGATGCATATGACGTGCTAAACCCTGGGACGAGCCCTACCGTCGGTGATGATACTTACGGTTCATCCCAGGAAGCGGCCAGACAGAGAGAAGTGGACAAATTGAGAGATCAAGGTCCTATAATCGGGAACGATGGCCGAGTAATTGACCCTTCCGACCATCTTCCCGCCGATACCTGGGCTCCGGAGCCAGAGAGGAAGAACAGGAAACCGGAACATGTCATCAGAATCCGAACGAGAGAAGAGGCACGCATGCAACAGAATACAGGTTCATCACCAGCATCAATGAGACCTCACTCAATTGGAACGTCACCACTTCAAAGTTCGCCCGGAGTGCCGGCTTCCTCCCCATACACAGCTTCTCCTACATCATCAGCGTTGATGGAGCCTGCTCCCCGTGCAGAACCAGGAAGTTCACGAAACAGACTGAAGAAATCCATGCCCACTCGGCCGTTGCCAGCACAGCCATACCCTCATGCACAGACTAGCCCGGCTGTGATGCCTGCTTCTCCTGACGCGAGACCAAGCTCGTCAGGTCAGCGACATTCAGCTAACTCTTCCCCCATTCGTCCGCTACAACGACAACCACTGTCAGAGTACCAATCTCCAGCCATGTACGACTACGGTTCGCGTGGTGGATCCAATTCCCACGATTATCCACCGACACCAACCAAGGCTCCTCATCATAGACCGAGCAATTCCATTAACTATGGCGGGTATGGCGATGACAATTCGCTTGCATTGGAATTAAGCACAATTGATATTGGACCTTCAAGGACAGGCAGGACCTCCTTGAGACCAGTTCATGGCTATAGTGCGTACTAGGACATCCTTTGATGATGTTCTAGGCTTCACCGAGAATAGTATACTTGATCTTGCGGATTTTCGCGTTGAACGTTGGTCGCCGTTACCAGGTAATATCCTGCCAGGAAAAAATTGTACTATAATACTCGAATCCGCACATAGATGATAAAAACTCCGCGTATATCGCGCAGAGACAAATGAAAACGGGTTTTGCGTTCTTCTTGTCGAGAGGACTCAATAAATCTCCTTCCCAAGCACATCCACCATACGATAGCTGGATGCAAGTACCTTTCATTAACGGTGTAATACCGCCTTTCTGATCCTGATTGGTCCTTTGACCTTGTCCATCCCCAGGTCAGGAGGTACGACTTCGCCTTTCTGTAGGACTTGGATCTCTCCCTTGTCGCGAGCCTCGAACGCCATCTCGCGCAGGCGGGGCATGAGGTCGCGCCATTCCGAAACTCCTAATCTGGCGAGGTCTGCGCGTGACAGGGAGCGTGCTATCTCCGACGGACACAAGGTCTTTGGGTGCTCGCGGCGTGCGACGTGCCGTGAGAAGACGAGGGAGAGGTCGAACGGGGCTTCCTCCCCCTTTGCTGATGAATCTGCATCAATTTCGACCATGGTTTGACATCAATACTCTGCAGCGAGTAGGCAGGGGGGGTTGTATGGTGGGTTACGTTCGGTATGTACAGATGGACATGGACGGAGTGCTAAGGTATATATATGAGTGAATGGGTAGAGCAGGAGCAGGGCTGCTTTCTAGATATAGATACATCATACCATGGGAAACGTCACTTAATAATACCTCTTCTACCTAGGCACCTACCTAGGGGTCGTAGATGTTAGGTAGCTACGTCAGGTACGTTACTGAGTACCTGGTGTCCAATGTACTACGTCGGGTTACGGAATGGGGTGTGAACTAAAGACAACAGAACAGGATCGGGCTATCCACGCAACGGAGACTTTTCAAAAGATATCACAAGTGGTCTATGCGTAGGCCGTAGATTTGTAGTCTAGGGGGGTGTCCAATGGAGCTGGAAAGGCAAGCGAGATCCCAAGCGACAGTAAGTGACAAACAAAAACTGCAAATGTCAGGGAAAACCGGGGGTCAACATTGAATCTTTTTGTCATTCATCTTGAGATAATTTTATTGACCCGTGGCATGGCAATCCTCGGCATGGGGTGCTGATCAAGATTGACCTCCGCGATCATGGTGGGCAGAGTTCAGGCTCATCGGGCTCGAATATTTCTCTCTCTTTTCTCCTTGCGAAAACAAACAAAATAGCCGTTTGTAGGAAAAAATGATGAGCCCATGACCATCGTCGTCGTTTTGTTGTTTTGTTCTTGTGGACTTGGGGAAAAAAAGACCACCTGCGCCGTGTCGTCGTTCGTCAAGTTTACTACCAACCACAAAGCTAACCCGCGTGGACAATAAACTTGCTGCTTCATATCTCCTCTCTCCCGACATACCACCAAGTACGTGGTGATGACCACACCCGGGCTCCCATGATTTCTGGTGTCTAGCGCATTTTGGTTTACACCTTGAAACCCTTTGATCGTCTTCGTCCTCTGGCCTTTTCGAATTTGCGACCCTTGCTCTCGACGTATGGCTTCTTGTGCTTGTGGGGGCCGAAGCCGAAGTGCTTGACGGCCTCGCGGGCGTTCTTGGGGCCTCGGAGCAGGACGACGTTGCTGCCGGTCGGGTGTCTCAAGGCGAGCTGGTCGAGGGTCAAGCACTCGCCGCCGGCCTTCTCGATCCTGGCGCGGGCAGTGGCCGTGAAGCGCAGGGCGGCAATGTGGAGTTCAGGCACGGTCAGGAGGCGGTCGTCGTCCGTGACGGTTCCAACCACGGCGATGGTCTTGTCCTTGTACGCCTTCTGTGCGCTCTCGGTGCTGACCTTGCTGGCGATGCGGGAGATGGACATCGGAGGCCGGTTGATGCGGGACATGAAAAGTCGCTTGAGCACAACCTTGTTGAAGTTGGCGTCGGTTCGGCCTTCACGAGAAAAAAAATGTCAGCGTCGATGTCTTCTTCTTCTGACTCGTCTCTCTAGGCGAGAATTCGCAAGGACAGAACCTACGAGCAAGGAAGCGGTACAGCTTCACCAAGAGCTTGAGGTAGACATTGTCGCTCTTGGGCGCCTTGCGGTGGCTGCCCTTGACGTGATGGCGATCGAGGTCGATACCTATCAAGAACGTTAGCACACTGATGCAACCTACGTCGATTCAAAAATTGCCATACCCATGATCGCTGTGGTTGTCGGATTGAGTGCTGAGTAGACAATGTCGACGTTCCAAATCACAGTTGTCGAAATTTCAGCGCAGAGCGGAATTCGTGGGCTGCAGACTTGCCAAGATTTGTCTGGCGCTAACAATATCGCTGCCTTGGCGCGATCCCATCACGTGATCAGACCGTCCTATCCATCGTCAGCCCTCAGGATTGGAATTCACAAAATGTCGTAATACTCCGTAATCCAATGTCACTTGATCGAATTGAACGTCTCATCTCGCGGGCTTTTGTTAATGGCATCAGTATTGACCCTTACTCGCTCAAATATTTGCCTGTGAATCTTATAACTCCTGGAAGATGCCGCCCCAGTTCTGTCTAAGCCTCCCCAATTCTACTCCATGAAATGTCCACCAATTCCAATATTGGGAGGACGGTGACGGGGACGCTGTGGCAACCCACAAGGCTGCTTGAACTCCATTGTGTCCTGTAATACGCAAACCCCTATTCCTTTCTTCCCCAGATTCTAGAACTGATAGAAACCCGCGTTAGACCAGATGATTGTAAAACTGCATCAAATCATCCCGTCTTATATAGGATCTGCTTTAGTTGGCGCCAAATCAACCAAGAAGTCCCTTGTCATTTCGAAACTGAGCCAACTGCTAGCCATGCTGGGCGCAACCTTCAATAAATTGGGCACTATGCCCTTGTACAAGCCCACAACCCCTTCTTGGGCGACAATGGTCCGAACAGCATCCCAAATGCCTTTGTACTGGTAGCCCATGCCGGACATGGAATTGATCTGAAACCGTCTTCGGAGCACGTCGAATGGATATGTGCAAGTCTGAGCCACAGCTCCTGATATTGCTCCCGCAGCGAGTTTGCGATACCACACGGGGTTTTTCTCACCGGGTTCCGTGAACCAACCTCGAACCGATTCGTATACCATGAAGTTCAGACCAACATATGGTGCAACGCCGGCCACTGTTGGAATAATTCCTCGATAAAGACCCAGTACACCACCTTCGTTCTTGTACATGTTGATCATTGTCTGCCACATTCCGGGTAGCTTACCTTCGTGTTTCCCAAGTGCCGCAAACGAGGCCGACTGGATTGAAAGTCGTGTTCGTACGATGTCGAGAGGGTATGTGAATGTCACAGATGTGATACCAGCTAAGCCACCACATATTAACCGTCGGATAGGATCGAGGTCTGCGCCGGGTGTACTTTCGAAGAATCTCTTGTAGGCATTGTAGGCTCCAAACTGAACAGCCGAATAAGGCACAATGCGGACACAGTTGGTGCCATTCCCCCTCATAAAACCCCTCCAACCCTCATCTGTGTACATTTTTCGGAGAGCTTTGGAAATGGGCATTTTGTACTCATTGCGACCGGCGCTTTGTACTTGATAGAGGATCTTCAATCGTTCCAGGGGTGACACGACGGTCCGCGAGACAGCTCCCGCCACTCCACCTGCGCAAAATGCAGCAGTGAAGGGGGTTGAGATGAACTCACGCGACCTCGTAATCAAATCGTTCGTTGCCATGGCCGCAGGGGTCTAGACGACATTAGATCATGCTCGAGACAGGATTATTGCACGGAACACCAACCTCTGGTAAATTGGGCAGGCTGCGAAGCGGAGAAGAGGTCTGACCAATGTGACCGTTCACTGAGGCAGGCTCCTTCTCTCCTAGCCTCATGACTTTGACGCGCTTTATGCGCAGATATTGAAGGCGGACAGCACAGCAAGGAGGTCTGCTCTTTGAACACAAGAGGAGAACAGGGACGCGGCAGCACTACAGGTAGTTTTCTGGATTTGCCTGAAGCTGTGGAGTCCATGGAAAATTTTCACAATCTTTGTTTGCAGGAAAGCATAGTGTGTTGGTACAGTATCTTTGGCTCAGGTAGGAATGCCCATCGTTTCCAGGTCATGCATCAGTCGTCAAATGTTTCGGAAATGTCCTCTCGTATGGAGGATGAAGTCGTCAAGGGGACAGGGAGAGATAGACGGGAGAATCCGGGCGAGTGGATGGAGGACTACCCACAACACGCTGAGTTTGGAGATGGAAGTTTGGGACAGTTGTCGCGAGAAGGGAAGCTTCAGTAGAACAGTACTACGGCCCAGCTGTCGTCGAGGCGTTTAGACCAACTGTCGGTAAGTTAGTGAAGGGCGATCGTTTTTCCCAGTAGATCTGAGACTGCGCTTGACCACGAGAGCATCAAAAGGTCTTGACTCTTCCAGGCTCACTAGGGGGCTCTCGCCGCAGTCACGAGCCTTCGATTGTCCGTCCCCAATCGCGGTTGCCGCAATTCATCCGCCAAGCCTCAATTCCATTTTGAGACTAGCGGCATTTGCCCTCAGAGCCTGCTGCAGCTGCAGCTGCAGCCTTCTTTCACTTCAACAGTCTCATTCAGCCGTCTGACCTCCTTCGCCTTCTTATTTCCAGCCACCCATCGCATGATCATTTGTGGCCTCATTTTACTAGCAATCATCGACACCTGACTGTGCGCAACCATGTCTTCACGATCAGGCACCACCCTCTATGTAACTGGCTTTGGCCATGGCACTCGTGCTCGTGACCTGGCCTACGAATTCGAGCACTATGGTCGACTGGTCAGATGCGATATTCCAGCTCCCCGAACCGCCTCTAGCCGACTGTAAGTCCTTACCTACTCTATCCATGCACCACCAGTGCTGACGCCCAACTAGCTTCGCCTTCGTTGAGTACGAAAGTCGCCGCGATGCCGATGATGCTTACCACGAGATGCATAACAAGCGCATCGGTAGAGACGATGTGCTAAAGATCGAGGTGTGTGGCTTCGGCGAAAGGTGTTTTCCATCTTGAACTGACAAAGATCTTCAGTGGGCTAGGACTCCTCCATCAGCTACCTGGCGATACGAGGCTGGACGCGGTGGTCGGGACCGTCGTGATCGAAGTCCTCCCCGCCGTAGCTATCGCTCCCCTTCACCCCGACGCCGAGACTACTCCCCTCGCAAGGACGATCGCCGCGACCGCGACCGTGATCGTGAGCGAGGAGACCGCGATCGAGACTACGATGACCGCCGCCGCTCCCGCAGCCCCGCCGATAGAGATCGTGACCGCGACATGAAAGATGACAGAGATCGACGTGATGAAGACCGTGATGGAGCACCCGCGGATGACCGCAAAGGTACGATGGATGTGGACATTGTTAACCCCTGGAATCAAAGCTGACACCCGAATCAGCCGTGGACTCACCTCCTCCCGCCCATGACGAACTCGACACTGCTGAGTAAACGCACAGTCTCCCCGCGACATGTTGTGTTTCGTGCGATGAAAGCTTGGGGTTCGGAACAAGTGCTATTGCTTGTGGAAAAGACAAGAGGTTTTTTCTTTTTCTATCATTGACAGCTTGCCTTGATCGTTTAATAGCACGGCCAACCTGAGAGCGTTTCAGGCAGGCAGATATCAACAGTGGGCGAAAAATTGACTTGACTTGAGGTTAGACCGATTTCGAGCGAACGATACAAGATCGATCTTGTTCGAACGAACGGATACCAGGCACAGCCAATACTTCGATAGCGTATCCTGCTCGATCGAGAGACATCGACCTCGAGGCGAAATATCGGACGATATTTTAACACGCATTCGTCGCCGTTCTTCCTGCCTGCTTCCATACTTCCTTCCTCGGTCCACCGTCAACATCAATCCTAGCCATCTTCACCATTCCACATCCCACGTCGTTCGCTTTTCGCCGTACCTTCCACGTCGTAACCTCGCTTTCAACATTCCATCCTCCGGTATCATTTCTCACAATCTCACAATCTCACAATCTCACAACGATTTTCTCAACCGATTTTCAGTTCCATGTCCGATGGCACTCGTATCCAGAATTAACTGTCAGCAGAGCCGGCCTGTCTTTCCTACGCAGCTATGAACCACCGATGCTGCTCGCGTCCTACTCCGTTTTTCGTCCCTTGACGTTCCCTCGTACTATTCCATCATTATATCTGTGAATCTGTCGTAGGGCAAAAGCTTCTAGCCCTGGTCATGATATCTAAAATTCATTCTGGGTTTCTTCAGGGCTGGAGGTATGCGGTAGGTACCGCGCTGATTTTGACTGGCACGTCGAGAGTAGAAATGCGTTTGCCCGAACAAAGTAATATAAAATACTTTAACCACGTCGTCTTTGGGATTCATATTGTGATAGTGTCTGTTGTCGAATTTTCTCGAGAATCAGGGACTTCGTGAAATGCCCCCAGAATGACGCCTCGGGTTCCTCGCTTCCACCGCAGGGGCAAATGCAAAGAAAGAGCTCATTGGGATGTTGTATCAATCCGTGGCTACCACATATCAAATTCAAAGGTTGTAGAAGCGGAAAAGCGAGACGTGGTTTATCTGCGGTCAAATCAAGAATACATTAAACCTCTACAGAACTTCTGATCGATTGCCTTTTCCAGAGTCATAGGTAAAGCACATTTCGGTTGGAACAGTCAGAAGCGAGAGTGCCGAGATACAGAAAACAAACAAAACTAAACGAAGCCCGACTTCCCGTGGCCAGGCGTCCTGGCACCCTCCTCTAGAGACGTCGTGACCCGGAACCACCTCAGTGTCCAGCTTGGACTCCTGCGCCTCGACGGCCAAGTTTGGCTCTTTCGACCTGGACTGATCAATTCTTTGGGCGCTTGGCAGCCTTGGGCTTGTAGAAGGGGACGATGTATTCGGCTGCAATCCCGTCGACTTCGGCAAGCGTATCTCTTGCGTGGTGACGACCATAGCCTTCGCTCGGCGGCAAGGAGCGCTTGTAGCTGAGGGCCGGATACATGTTGCCGGTGCTGCCGCGATAAAGACCTGCGGCGACGATGTTGGCGCTGACAAAGGTCGGACTTGCGCCGTTTGCAATATTGCCGCGGCTGCTGTAGAGATTGCACGAGTTGTCGTTCAGGAAGTGCCACATGCGACACGCATTGTCCGAGTTTTTATCGTTATAAAAGGCGCAAACTCGCATGCAGTCGTCTGCCGTGGTCGGCAGTGACATGCCCACGTTTGCCGCAACGGTCGCAGTGTTCAACAAGCTCGCACTTGTTACGCCACCAACGCTATAGTACGAGTAGCCCAGGCAGGTCAGCAACCAAACGTCCGCGAGACCAATGCGGATTGTATTATCCGAGTGGACATGACCGATAAATGCTCTATCGTAGTAGTTGAGGCTTGTTCCGCCACAGAGGTCCAGATTGTACAGGCTAGATGGTGCTTGCAGGAATGTGGCATCTGTAACGTTTGGAGCGGTTGGGGTGAGCAGTCTGGCAGACCGGACGCCATTGAGCACGATATCGTTCGGGAAACAACTAGCGCCTGCCACACCACTGTTGCAAGCCTTCTGCGAAGTATATAGCGAACATTTGTTGTTGTTGTTTGTCTCCCACTGGACAAGTGTGCAGCTGCCCGCCGAGTTGGCATTCGCTGTAGTGCAAAGATCCATGCAGTATTCAAGAGAATTGACAAAGTTGGTGCTTGAAGTAACAGTACCAGCGAGAGGCGACATGAAACAGGAAATTTCGTAGACCACGAGGGGATTACTTGAAAGTGCGACTTTTCTGAAGTTGTATGCTCCAGCCCGAATTGGATACGAGGGTATCGTGGAAGCGACGTTCGCACTTGCGCATAGTGTCCCAGCCGCTGGTGAACTCGCCGCGGAAGCAACATAGTAGGTTGATGCCAGTGAGCTGTAGTTGGGTGGGGTAATGAACATAGAAGTTGCCGTCGTGGTTGTCGTTGTTGTCGGAGAAGTCGTTGTCGTAGTCCCAGTGCTAGTCGTCGTGGTCGTGGTCGTCGTGGTTGTGGTCGTTGTCGCCGCAGTTGTCGTGGTTGCAGTCGTGGTACTGGTCATCGTCGTAGTTGTGGTTGTAGGAACTGTCGTCGTGGTCGTCGTACTCGAAGCTGTAGAAGTAATCGTTAGCAATGTGGTTGTACTCGTAGAAGAAGATGAAGTGGTAGAAGAGGAAGAAGTTGTGGTGGCGGGGGAAGATGTTGTTGTCGTTATTGTCGTTGTTGTTGTTGTCGTCGTCGTCGGGCTAGTAGTGCTCGTTGTGGTACTGGTTGATGTGGTAGTCGAGTTGATGCTCGAAGTTGTACCGGAAGTTGTACTCGTTGTGCTTGTTGAGCTCGTACTGGAACTTGTACTCGTTGTGGAGCTCGTGGTACTTATAGTTGTACTAGTACTTGTGGTGCTCGAAGCTGTGCTTGTTGAGCTTGTACTGATGCTCGAAGTGGAACTTGTGGAACTTGTAGTACTACTCATAGACGTACTCGAGGAAGTGTCCAGTGAGCTAGTCGACGTTGTTGTGAATGCTGTAGACGTAGTGCTTGAACTAGTACTACTGGGAGTGGTAGTCACTGTTGAGCTCGAAGAAGTTGACGTATTTGGAGCGGTACTTGAAGAGGTTGAAGAAGTGGTAGTACTTGAGCTTGTAACAGTAGAAGTTGTGGCAGTTGAGCTTGTCACCGTAGTAGTGCTAGTCGACGTTGACGAACTTGAAGACGTGGTCGTAGAAGCCGTGCCGGATGATGTTGACGTACCTGAGCTCGCACTTGTAGAAGTCGTGCTAGTTGACGTCGAGGTGCTTAAACTTGTGACAGTGGAAGTAGACGTCGTCGTGCTTGAACTTGTGCTTGTTGAACTAGAAGTGCTGGGACTTGTGGTAGCCGAACTTGAAGTGCTTGAACTTGTGCCAGTCGAACTCGAAGTGCTTGAAGTTGGAAAAGTGGAACTCGACGTACTTAGATTTGTGACTGTGGAAGTTGATGTACTTGAACTTGCAGATGGAGTGCTCGTGCTCGTTGAGCTGCTTGTACTTGGCACAGTAGTAGTTGTAGTCGAAGTCGATATTGTAGAAGTCGACGTGCTCGAGCTCGTAATACTCGTCGAGGTGGTTGAACTTGTCAGAGTAGAAGATGTAGTACTCGAAGTCAATGTGCTCGAGCTCGTAACTGTGGAAGTTGTGCTTGTTGAGGTGCTCAAAGTAGTCACAGAAGAAGATGTAGTACTCGAAGTCGTGACAGTAGAAGTTGTACCAGTTGAAAACGTCGAAGTCGACGTGCTCAAGCTCGTAACTGTCGAAGTCGTGCTCGTTGAAATGCTCGAGCTTGTGACCACAGAAGAAGTGCTGGTAGACGACGTTGACGTACTTGAACTCGTGACTGGATTGATTGAGCTTCCTACTGACGTACCTGTAGTTACAGCTGTAGTTGAGGTATATGTCGTAGTGGCAGTCGACGTAGCACTGGCGCTAGTTGTGGTCGTGGACGACAGTGCGGCACTCGTGGAAGTGGATGTTTGAGTCGTCGTTGACGTTCCCGAACCTGCACTGGTCGTGCTCGTAGTTGTTGAGGTAGTGCCCACTGCAGTTGTCGTGCCTATAATGTACTCTGTCAGAGCAAGCTGGATTTCTTGGAATAGAGTGTGCAAACATACTAGTCGTCGTGCTAGAACTAGGATTAACCAACATCGTGGTCGAGCCTGCTTTAATCAGTTAACCATGTCTCGAGAGATAAAACGCAAGAATAGATGACGAAAAGGCAAGGAAACCTCTCTCTAGGATTGTAAGCACCGGCGAAGTGATTCGTGCTGAGATCTTAAACCTACCTGAAGTTCCAAAAGGTGAGCTTGTCGTGGACGAAGATTGAGGCGCTGTTGCCGAGTTTGAGCTACTAGAACTTGGGCCTTGAGCTGGCAGAGTGGACGAAGAAGTCGTTCCCGTGGTAGTATCTGGGGGATTAGGCGCGCTCGTGGATACAGCGCCATTCGAGGAGGACGGAGATGTTGGGGATGCATTGGAAGAGCTGGTATATGCAATTGCAAAAGACGTACCGGAGCTTGAACCCGCCGCCACTGATGAGCTACCAGGTTGAGAAGTCACGGAAGGCTGCGTCACACTCTGTGTTGTTGCCGGTGGCGAACTCTGCGTGGTTACAACTCCTGTAGCAGAAGTAGTACTTGTAGGAGGCGATGCAGGCGCCGACGATGACGTTCCCGCAATACTGCTCCCTGTAGATGCTGGCGAGTTCGTGCTTAGTCCTGGAGCAGATGTCGAAGTTGCGGGCAGCGAAGACGCCGTTCCGGGCGGTACACTGCTGCTAACAGGCGAGGTTGTGGTACTTGTGGAAGGGGGAAGAGTGGATGAGGGAGAGGAGGACACTATACCTGCTGAAGTACTTGTAGAGACAGGGTTCACGGTACCGGGAGTCGTGCTCGGACTCTGGCCAACCACCGAGGTAGTACTTGGTCCACCAGCAGGTCCACTGCTTGTCCCGGGTGCGGAAACCGAAGCGCTAGCTTGGCTTCCAGACGGTTGAACTGTAGTGGTAGCCACGATCGGTCCGGTCGAACTGACCACTGCACTCACACTGCCACTGGAGCTCGCTGCTGGACTGCTGGTGCTGCTGCGTTGTGTTGTGGTTGTCGTAGGCAGGAGTACTTGAGGTGACGTAGTACTTGATGCTGGAACGACTGGAGATGTGCTCGAGGCAGGAGGGACCACTATGGCTGTACTGCTTGCTGCTGGAGTGGCTGGCGACGTACTTGATACGGGAGGAGGCGCTACTGCGGTCGTGCTGCTCGCGGCTGGAGGAGACACCACAGCACTCGATGAAGCTGGCGGAGTGCTGACTTCAGACGTTGGTACACTTGACGGAGGCGGGGCCACAGTTGTTTGACTCGTCTGTGCTGGAGTAGTCGAGTCTGGCGGCGCTGCTGTGGTTGAATCAAGGGTGCTCTCTGGGGTTGTCGTCGGTACTTCCGACGTACTGATGTCTGTTGGCGTGCTCGAGACGGGTGGAGTCGTGGAGTCGGTGGGGGATTCAGTCGGCGTCGTTGTGGTTGTGGGCGATGTCTCTGTTTCGTCGGCCGTGGTAGTGATTGTGGTTGATGTCTCTGTTTCGTCGGTCGTAGTAGTGGTCGTGGAAGTCACCACAGATGTTGTTGATGAACCATCATCTGGAGGAGTGACGGCTTTGTCCGTATAGTCTACCGGACAGGCTGCAGCAGCTATGCCTCCAATCGTGATCATATAACAATCTGGCAAGGCAGGGCTGGGGAAGCCTGCATAAATGTGTCCATCACCACATTGGTAGAAGGTTGCTGAGCCTTTATCAGACGAGTTCCATCCCAAGATGCCGTTCTCGAAGAAAAAGCTGGTAGTGACATCGTTCGGGTATGGTTCCGGTGACATTGCCACAAATATGTCGCTGGAGTTACGTCCCACAGTGCTGTTTCCAGCCGACAGCCGACCGGCCGATATATAAAATCGAGTCGCAAATCCACAGTTGTTGCCTGCTTCTCCCTTTTCACCCTGAAGCAGTCCTTGAGGTGGCTCATCGGGGAGTACCGAATTGTCTTGTCTCTTTTCTTCTTTCCTATTGTGTCTTCCGACCATTCCATACTCCCACTGTTCATAGTAAGCGTCTCTCTTGACTTTCGCTCCGACCCCGCCAAACGTAAACCCAAGCAGTACCGGCGAGGTTGCGGGAATATCGCTGACAGTCCCGGTCGGTAAACCCTGACCCAAAGTTAGATCTGGTTGAGTTTCTGTTACCGTTGCCGTATTTCCATTGGCGTCTGTGGTGACTATTGTTAGAACCGGAGGAGTTGTTGTTGTTGCTGGTGGAGGAGCCACTGGTGCAAAAGTTTGCTGCGCTGTTGTCGAAGCGGGAGTGCCAGAAGTGCTCTGGCCAGCCGTTGACGTGGTGCTCGAGACGCCAGATGAGGTTGGCACTGGAGAAGCACTGGTGCTGGACCCGACGGTCACGCTGCTAGTGGACGAGGTTGAAGAGCTGTAAACGTCTGTAGGATTGACTGTCGATGTCGTAATAGTCGTGACGATGGTTGTCGAGATATATGAAGTCGTAATATACGTCGTTGGGGCATTGTTGATCACGATAGTGTTTCCATCACCAAAGATGTTGTAGATTTGAGATGCGGATTGGATGAACGAGCTGTATACTGCTGGCTGTACAACGACGACACTGGTGATTGATGGTACAGGACATGGTCCACTTGGCCCGTAAGTGACGGTCGATAAAGCTTGAGCGTAGGCCACTGCAAAATACAGGGCAGAACATGGCAAAAGGAGCGTGGGAGCCCACCACATGTTAGGCGTGTTTTGAATGTGCTCGAAACAAAAGCAGTAGAACAAAGGAGGACCGCAGAACTCCCAAACCAAACGAGTGACTGTTTCGATGAAAATGTGAGTAGGATTGCAGAGATGATTAGCTTATTAGAACCAAAGAGCCACGACGCGAAAACAAAAACAACCTGGCCAGAATGTAGCATTCCAGTCATGTTGTCCATCCCGACCGCGCTGCACAGACAGTGGTGGGAACGTGTGGCATAGCGAACCAGGGGATCGACGTTCAGGAATGAAGGGAGACATTTCTTGCCATAGAAAATAAAGTGCAGTCACTTGGGGGAGTGAAAGGGCCGTGGTCCGCACTCAATCCGCCCTCGATGGTTGTTCTGGTCATACCATTGCGGCCATCTCGCAGCAAGGGAGCTTGAAGAACGCCGAATCTCGAAGCATACCCAGTATCCTCACTCAGCAAGAGAGACATGCTCAGCCTTTATGCTGGCTTTTCTATTCTCTTTGATTCTGGCAGCACTCAATATTGTGCAGTAACCGTCAAGGGGCTCTGCCGCCGATGCAAACTCGATTGAAGAACACGTTAGCTTGGGCCTAAGAATAGCCATCCCATTGATGATACCGTAACTCCCTGAATGCCAGGAAACAGGAAAAATTAATCAAGAACAAGTAGTTATCAAACGTTGTGCGCGGCGCGCCAACAACTGAGCTCTACCATTGCCATGCGTTCCGTATACATTTCGCTTGTGCATCGACCGAGGTTCTTGTATGAGGAAACTGGCAAGTTCCCAGGCGGGAAGATTGTCAGAGGAAGTTGGAAGGTGGTCATTTAGTCACTCAGTAGCTGGTGTCTGGGGAGTTATCGAGTAGAAGCCACCCTGTTGTACGGAGTAGCTGAGGCAAGGACGAAGCCATGCCTCCGCGTCAGGCAATCATCAGGAAGTCGAAGTTCTTGGCCGTGATGATTGATGGTCTGCCTATCACTACCATTATCTCTAATTTCGGGCACTAAAACGACATCCAAAGCGCCTAGATCTTAACCCTTATAGTGCGAGAACTCCTCTCAGCTCAAAAAGTAATATGATTTTTGAATGCCTAATTTGATTACTAAATTGCCCGCGAATGCGATAGGCAAGATTGTCGACACGATGGCCGAGTGGTTAAGGCGTTAGACTTGAATTAGCTTAAAATACTTCATGCCATCTAATGGGTTCGCCCGCGTAGGTTCAAATCCTGCTCGTGTCGCTTTTGGTATTTTTGTTTTTGCTTTTTTGTTTTGTTGGTTGAACAATTTGTCTGTGACTGCCATATCCCTTACTTTTGCTCTGGTGTTTTTGGACGGTGGTTGTGGAGAATTGTGAGGACCAAGATCCTTGAGGAGACCATACCTTGCAAACGAAAAATTATATATCCTTGAACGGTCGGCCAACTTGGGTCTCCAGCAACGCAGTTCTTCGATTCACTGACCCTCTACCTAGCATTGTATGCGCATTGGAGGTTCAAATCCATCTGGAGCACTATACTCCGAAGAAAGTCTATATGTAGAATGGCCTATGGGAAATATAGCTGTACGAGCGGGGTCCGAAACTCGGCCATCCACGTACCCAGAATGAATCTTCAAGGTAAGAGGTAATTTCTTTTCACATCCGAGAGAGGTACCGGAAACATGTCTGCACATCGTTCTGCCTCCAACCCACATACCTGATCGTTTAGCATTCACAACAAAGAAAGCAAACGAATTATGCGTAAACGTCAAGATAGTTCCAACTTCTGTCTATCTCGAAATTCCGCACACTCCAAGCTGCAGGTATTGCACGAGGACCACACTGGTACGGGCCTATCTTCTCGAAGAACCAGAAAAACAAACACACCGTCGGACCCGGCACGGTGTTTGCCTTTCAGCCAAGTATGGTACCAGGTCAGGCAGAAGTCTCTGCATGACAACACGATGGGCTGGACAAAGTCTGCACCATAAAAGCTCCGAAGAGCACGCAGTCAACAAGCTGATCAAGACACCTCGATACATTCCCGTAGATCACCAGACCAGAACTCTCGCTGCTAGGGGCCTTCGTCATCGTTCATTCTCTCCTCCCAAGATGAAGACCAAATCGCCCTCCAAGCCCAAGTCCAAAAGTTTGCAGGTTTCCACAAAGGAGGTCACTTCTCAGCTTTCCAGATACAAGGTCCTAGACGTTGTCAAAGTCGCCATTCGCAGAACATTCACCCACCGCGACAGGAAAGCCAAGGATGTTGAGACGGACATGATAGCGTCCCTCGATGCCTTGACCGAGGAAACTGCCCAAGTCAGCCGGCTGATGCTTGCCAACCACGCCGATCTGATGCGCCAGTACGATCAAACGATACGGTCGAACGAGGAAGAAATGCGAGATTTTCAGAAGCAGGTGGAGTATGACTTGGAACGGATTAGTGTGTGACATGAACAGAGGATCGCCGAAATGAATAAAACTTTACGCCGGCGGATTTGGAACACCGGCCAAAAAATACATTTCACAGGATTCGAAAGCATGAGAGCACATTGGGTGGTACACAGGTCAGACCTTCTTCATGTTGTCATGGTGTGCCAAACGTATCGTATCTGCCACGACTAGGGTGGCCATCAGAAGAGCGTAGTAGTGTAGACGATGGTAAGGGCCACTGCCACGACTTCACCAAGTAGCTCAATCACGACAGAGGTGGGAAGAATCATGTAAACAAATGCAACGTTTTCAATTAGAACTGTGCATGATGAGGCCATGCCTCCCACCCTCTCCAACTACACCTTCTCTATTCTCCTCAGAGAATAAAACAACAGATAGGCCTCCTGCCTCATTACATCCTCCGTCGTCGTTGCGCTCACAATCTCATCGTCATAACGGAACCACTTGTTGTCCTGGCGGCAAAAGGCGAAGTAGTGGCCGTTGTGTGCATGTTCGCCCTGGTGAACGACCACGCAATCCAGGTCGTACATGTACTTTTCCTTGTCTTCTCCATTCTTCGGCGGCCGCGTTGTGTACGGCGCCATGTCGAGTTGCAAGCTGAAGTCCAACTTGCCTTCGTATTTCTCTGGCGCGAAGACGCCTGTCGCAAGCTGCTTCATGCCAAATCGCTTGACATGAACACAGAGGATCGCTGGCAATTTCCGAATTCGGGTCTGTTTGCTGGCGGACCGACGCTCCTTGCATTCTTGGCAGCTGTACTGTTCTGGCGAGAGGGGTTCAGGCGCAGTGAACCCACGCAGGCATTCGTGGATGTTGGGCACCGTGATTTTGAGCGCCTCCTTGTCTTTCGCATCGCTGGCGTTGGCGGCGGCGGTGGCCGCCTTCTTCTTCTTCTTGACTTGCTTTTTGAAGTCGAGACTGATGCTGGAGAACTCATCCTCACGAGAGGAAACGGTGTGGCATGTGTCGCACGTGATTTGGCTGTTCTCCCGACCATAAAAGACCTTGTGGAAGAAACATACACATTGCTTCTCGATTGATGGAATGCCATTCGCTTCGTTGACGCTGTTCGTCTTTTCCGGAACTTTGTATTGCGCCACACCTTCGTGGAGACGGTCGACAATCTGCATGAACCATTCCTGGGCATCTTGTTGGCCCTTGCCGGACATCTCAGGGATGTTCTTCCACGATGCGAAAAGGAGGGAAACGGCGTGAGCGGGAGTAGGTTGATCGACCATGGTGACATCGGAAAAGACTTCGGTCATTCCACACGCGACACAGCTTTGCTGTTCTTTCTTTTCTTCCTCCTCGTCTTCGGAATCAGAGTCGTTTTTCTTTTCGGGTTCTTTGGAGATTGGACAAGTGTGAGTAGGGTGACCCATGCCGAGGAAATAGCTTGCCAGGATGGGATTGTGGACCATCATTTGAAGAACCGCATTCATATAACACGTCTCACCAAGGTTGAATAGACCTCGAACACCATTCCGGCCGCAGGGTCGTTGGGAGGTGTTGGTGGTCAGATACGAGTCGTCTTCGTCGCTGGCGTCGGCAAGTTTGCGTTTCTTGTGGTTACTAAGCAAAGTCGGATCATAGACCAGGTCTTTGCAGCGGCCACAATACACGGTTTTTGGACTGACGGCGAATTCATGCTTGGTCTCGGAAAAGTGCTTGTCCAAAGTAGGAAAACTGCCGGGGGTAGAGCACTCCAGGCATGTGTACTGCACCAAGTCTTCGCCACTGTGGTGTTTGGATCGAAACTGACGGATTTTGTTGATGGCATCATTATCCATATGCTCGCAGCCAGCTGCTGGCATAGGCATAGAGAACGCCATTTTGATACAAGATCGTCCAAGCTGACCACGTTGGAAGAGGTTGAAAGAGAAGAGAGGAAGGTGGTGGTTCGTCGTGCCGAGGAGAGAAGAAAAGCGCGGCGGATGTAGGCGAGTTGTCCTATATATATCAGGCCTCGCTGAATAACTCTATTGAAGCTATTGTAACCGAAGAGCAGTCTGGGACAATAGGATTAAAGATTTATTACGTTGATTGAATGGTGTGGCAGAAACCACCTTTTGTTTGCTGCTTCGCGATTCAAAAGTTCTTCGGATATGCGGACCAATAATCAACGCTAAAATTAAGCCTCGTGAGCCTCAGCCTTGACGCCTCAAGCCTCGCGTCGTTTACGGGACCCGGGAGGGATATCCAATACCGATATACAATATTGATATATACACTACGAATTGTGTGGCTTGTATTAGATGGAGAGGGCTGTAGAAGAGACTGATGTAACTCCTACATCAGGTCTTCCTGATATCTCGAAGCGTTGTTCGAGACCGTTGACATTCGGTTTGGCAGGTAATACACTCAACAAGTTACTGGTATTTCAATGCTCAATTCCGCATTATTCCTATGAGGAGGCACAACTGCTGTGTGCGTTGCAAGCCTGTGTTTGGCGTTCGTCGATCCTATCTAGCAAGAGCCAAAATGCAGCCGTTATTGCTGTAGAGAAACACCCAAAAAAGACCTGGCAGGGAATCTCTTCTCGTAGTCCGTCCATTGGTACCGCTCTCAAGTTTGAAGATCTTGTCTGAGGACTTGGAGCGACGCGCTGACATAGGGGCCCAGACGAACATGTATGTACTTGATCTCTCGAGCCAGGATGAACGTGCGCTGGAAGCCTCCTGCTAGCTGGGGATTTGTGTGGATTTCCGCCAATAAAGCCACAAGCTCACCCAACCACCTAAGCATGGTGTCGACGATTGTCAGAGCTTCAGAAGCCATGTCTTCTATGGAATGGAACCTGGCGATCGCAACCAAGGCGTCCCCATGGTTGTCTCCATTCAATGCAGGGCGCAAATCCCGGATTTCCTGCTCAGCGTGTCTCAGGATCCCGCGGAAGGCAAGCTGTCGTTCTCTGTAGGTCGAGGTCATATCCCGCAGATGACCAACTTCCCGGCCATTGTTTGCGAGGAAATCGAGTAGGGTTTCTAAAAGTGATACTTAGAGAAAGACGGTACGATTGCGGGAAGACTCTGCTTACGTGTGTTCTGCTCCTGAGCCATCCTGGTGACTGGAGGCGGTCTTTCTGTTTCGTCTCGGATTCTTGATGATGGTTGCAGTGTGAGGAATGGTGGTGATGTCGTTGAGCAGATGGAGTAGTTGTTCAGCGTTGAACAATGCTGGGCAATTACAATTGCAGAGTGCGTCCTTTGACCGCGTGCTGTCCCATGTGCCGAGAGAAATCACATGTATCATCTACCTGGCACCTCTCGCTCTGCCTCTTGGCAAGCTGCTGACTCGTCCTCCGCGACTAGTACCTCTGCTTGATCTTGCAGCATTTCCTCTTTGAGAGCTTGCATTGTTTTGATTCACTGTGGATGTCGTACTAGGAGTGGTTGAGGGTGCCATCGTCTTACGACGTGGTGTTGCTTTGAGACTTGTGAAACTTGCATCTGCCGTCATGAATGTTGCCTCTGTTTCTCCTTGCTTTTGCCCTGTGAGATGATCCTGCACACCAGAAGTCTCGTCCAGGTTTCCTTGTCCCTGACGTCTGTGAAATCGTTTGATTGACTCAGGTATAGGTGCCTACGACGATCGATCAGCAGGGAGCTAGTCTCATGGAGTAAGACTCCATACCTCTGGAAAATCCACCACAAACGCATTCATGTTCAAGCCATACAGAAAGCTGGCAAAGCTTTCTCCAAATCTGCTCAGACTCTCATGCATCAATTGAAGGTGCATGAAGTTGGCTTCAAGGTCAGCCACTGAATCACCTAGTTCCGCAAATTGTGGTTCGAGAGCATCCAGAGGAGACACGCCTGCAATTGCATTGTTCCGGGAATTTCTGAACGATGATCTGGAGGACGCCCTCAGAGGTGTTGTTGGTCGAGATATGGGAGACGGGGACGTGCTTCGTCCGTTCTGCCGAGAACGAGAAACCGCACGAGGCTGTGACATTGTGTGGACGATATATAAATATTACGAACGAGTTTACAGGACAAGTGGAATTGTTTGTGAGAGACGCGTCTGGAGAAATGACGTCGGCTCCTCGGCCCGATCTAGGCCGATGCACTGCGATATCACGTGACATGATTCCCTGTGGTGGACCATGAGGTCGCCGCTAAAAGGCTTTAGGTGCTGATGTGGTAGTGCGTGGATCATCGGACAGAGGGAAGAGAGCGAGCACCCATGAGCGGTACTCATGGTAGAGTACGACACTCCTGGCTACTAAAATACCGTGGACGGACCAAAGAAAATAAAAACAACACACATACACAGGGCAGTAATAGTACATGGACACAGCCCTAACAATGGTTGTCTTGTGATCAGACTATTGTTTAGGCTCGGGAGACCCAATCCGTTTGGTTTGCTAACTCTGAACCCCGAGTATTGCAACCAAGCTCCAGATATACACTGTGACTCTAAAGGTTGGACGCTGCTATCGTCCCTTTCTTTCTGTATGACGGCCAGGGCAGAGATATGTGAAGCCTTCGGCGCTTTCGAATACGGTACAAGATCATAGTATTGGTAATCACAGTCCCTCAAAATCACCACCGGGGGCATCGTCGTCGTCCATCTCACCTTCAACAATCTCCTTGGCAAGCTCGCGCTCGCGCTCCCGTGCTTCCTGGGCATTCTTGAGTTCGAGTCTGTGCTGGTTCATGGGGAAACGCATGGCCTGACTTGATTAGTGATGTTCTAAAGACGGCCCAGGACTTGCACATACCTTGACACTTTCGTCGTGTAGGACCAGACAGGCTTGAATGCGTTCGTGGAAGGCATCGCCAGGCTCTCTTGTGGCATATACGTCACCCACCTCCTTACTCTTCATGTAGCCACGCTCATGATCCAGACTAGCTTCAATGACCCCGTCCCGAATTGCTTTGGCCACAATGTACTCGGCAGATTCTTCGCTGTCCAAACCAAGTCGCAAACACATATCGCGTAGTGAAATTCGAGCGTACGACAAGGACATCATGCGAATGCCTGTTCGGATGACATTTTGTCGGAGTCGTAAGATAAGCGTGTAGGTATCGTCTTTTCTGAAGGTCGCGTTGTATCTCTGAACCAGATTTTGAAAACCAGTGACATCTCCAGCGCTCACGGCTTGAACAAGCTGAAGATACGGCTGCAAAGCTTTTTCAAGGCTCGGCTGACGGAAGATTGCTCGATCTGGAATGTCCCCCATCAATAGCTCGACCACGATGAGGAGCTTCGTAGAAGCCTGATAGAAGCCGCTTGCCTTGTAAGAAGTAGGCGATTTCCTAGTTGCGCTTGTAAGGTGTTCATGAGCCTCTGTGTAAGAGAGCTGGATGGCCCGAATGCGGCCAAGATAGTAGAGGTACCGAGCAATCTGGTTGTTCGCAGCAGTCATCGGGAATTTAGCGTGAGAGATCAATAGGTCGGCTTGAGTGACGTGTGAGGTAGAGAGATAGTTACGCAGGAGCAAAGTTGTCACCGCAGCTTGGATGTCTTGATCCTTTCGCAACGTGGCAGTTCGTAGAGCGTCCAGGAGAGGTTTGCGGATTGAGATCACCGCGGCAGCCGGAGATGGTGGCAGTGGTGCCGTTTCTTCGAAGAACAGGGCATAGTAGAAATAGACTCGAGCTGCCAACGAATCAAGAGTTCTCCTGTTCAGGGTGCGGAGATGCTCAACAAGAGCACTGGAGAACTGGGCGCCTGCATCGATCCACTTCCTGTCATAAAGATAGACTTGGACCAGGATCGAGAGGTATACGTCTATCTCGGGCAAAACCTCTTTGCTGGAGCTTGTCTGCGCTTCTTTCCTGCTATGCCAACTGTCCACCTTTTCACTAGGGAAGGTCGGGTCGTCCTTGACAGCACTCAAAAGCGACACGGCGGTGGCTGTGGGTACCGGATAGCTTTCGACGACAACAGTAGCCAGGACATGTGCGGTCAGGTGCTTTCGGACTGAAGATATCGTGCGGAGGACTCTGAGACTGAATCGGGGGTCAAACTGCGTGACCGCGCGGTCCAGCAAAGGGAGATTTGCCTTGATGTCTGATATTGTGAGCGACAACACAGCTGGACTTCAGCTGGATCCAACTCACCTGTGATGGCCTTCTCTTGTGGATCAACGGGGACTTCGTCAACCTGCGTAGCATCCTCGCCTATCGCCCCGTTCGCAGTATCCGCCTCCGTCTTTTTGGTCGGCGCAGTGGGAGTTGCACCCTTGGACGGCGGGACTACCACGGTCATCTCATCATCTCCATCCTTGTCCTTGCTCTGCTTAGAGTGCTTCTTGGAATTTTCGGACTGCTCCTTCATCTCTACGTCTTCGGATCCGTTCGACCCGTCACCGGTACCGTTGAGATGGGGATTGTCGCCGCTCATATCTCACGCTTTGATACACGGAGATCAACGGCGAAGTAAACCAGGGGAGCCTGTACTGCTTGATCAACGTTTGATGACTGCCTTCGGCGATATCAAATCGTCAGTGTTGCTCTAAGCACGGAATGCGCCTGATGACTGGAATGACTCCCGCCAGCAAAGTCTGCCGGAGTGTATGCTTTTCGCTGTGTACGACAATGCTGGTGTGTGCTGCGAAGGGAAGAGAATGCAAAAAGTGTTTCGAAGGACTTTAGATAGCAAGCTCGGTTGAGGATGAAGTGGTTGCGATGAGGTCAAGAAGATGGCATGTCTGGGAATTCTGGCTCCGGTCGACCATAGCGCTCCTGCGCAGCTCCGATGCCAGGCACAACATCGAACGCGTTTCCCACATCTCCACATATCACCGCGCCACATCAACACTCCCACCACCCAGTGAATGGCACTTGAACTGTTCTACCACTTGTGGTGAGCATTCTTTGCAAGAGCTAGTGAGGAGGGAGAAAGTTCAACGCGTCTATCCCCCCCTTTTTTTAGTGCAATGAGCACCTCAGACTGGTGACTGAGATGAGCCGATACCCAGAATGGCACTTTTAGCAAATCATTTGGAGCAAATAACCCTGTCCTCAAAGTCGATAGCAGGGCTCGAGTACGTCGGTTTCTTATTACGTGCAGGATACGCCGCTGAGAAGAGTCTAGGTTCCTCCCTCCAAAGATCTTCACTAATGCGATCTTGGGAGATTATGAGATTACCACTTTAATTCGTGACACTGAATCCCATGAGCGTGCCTTGTTTACCCTGGATCCCCATGCCGTCGGACGGAGTCGACGGAGCAATGCGACACAGCAGCATGCAAACTCTGCAGGCCTGAACGGCCTGTTTCCAACCGTACAGTCGACGAGACAGTCAGTAGTTACGAGATTACTGGGTGATGATATCCTGCAAGAAATTAGACAATCAAGCAAGAAACGTGATGGAGTCAATGTCGAGGTACTCCTCCAGGGCGCCGAAAGATTGTGCGAGGTGTATGCAGTTGGAGGGGCCCCTGAGAAGATCAGAGCACTACGCAATCGGTATGAAGATGTTGCGACTTCCATTTCTACCTTGGAAGAGAAGGTTTCGCAGCAACAGGCCCTCTTGGAACGAAGAAACAGAAGCTTCGAGGTTGAGCACGAAGAGCTCGAATCTGCTGATCCGCATACTGATTACTCCATGCCGTTGACAGAGCAGGACTTCCAGAATGAGGAAGACGAGATCAAAGAGCTCGAAGCGAGGAAGAAGGCATTGGAATACCGTGTCTCTGGCATGGAACGAGATCTTGGTGGACTCCTTCGCTGAGTGGAATCGGGCACTCATGGCATGCAAACACGTCGGTCATTGACTTGAAAGGATCTCGGGCCGACCGTCTCCCACGCGACGTGCCCGCAAGAGAACCTGTCACAGGTCTGATAGCCTGATTCTACTGTTCTTGAGGGGCACACTGTTGCGTGACGCCACCTCTAGATCACCGAGGTATTCGCAGATGAGAAAAGCGAAGTCGCAGCCACCTGGTCGCCTTGTTGTTGGGGCGTAGTCCAGGCTGTTTCTTAGGAGAGCCTGAACCAAAGAACATCCTTCGTGGATCTCTATGTCTGCACAAGACCGTACACTGCTGGCACGATCTGGCTCCCAGTGCTAGGAATGACTGGCCCCGGCCATGTATCGCGACGGTGCTGGCACATTCGGAGGCCTTGTACCCTTGAACGACACCCTGTATCTTTATGGCAATGAATTCGCCGTCATGGATCTTTTAGGGTCCTAACCCGAGGATTGATTGCGAGTCACTCCAGCACGCCTACAAACGAGTAGCGGACCGCTAGTTTGGGTGAGGGCATGCTTCTGGGAACGAGCATAATGTGGCATCTCGGTGATATACGCCGATGTTTTCTAGTCCTTTCATGCGTTCCTAAGGGTCCCTGCCTCACTCCAGTACGTGCTTCAACTTGGATTGTAGCGTCATTGTCTGGTCGTGCTGGAAGAGTGGAAGAAGGGCTTTGGCTCCTACAAAGTCTGCGCTGTAGTCCAAATTTAGCGCCAACTCCTCCCGCACTGTAGTCAACACACATATTACTCTTTAGAAACTCAGCATGTCTGCATTTGCCGGTAGACCATAGTTGACCTGCCAGTTTATCCGGTTCAACGGCACTCCGTGTGAGGACGACAATGTGCCTCCTGTGGAGCTCGCCGTCATGCAGCAGGACAATCATTGAAGAACTATCTGTGGTAGCGCACGCCTGCAGATTGCAGTAAGATCAACAAATATGGCGAGTTCCTAAGCTGCCGTTCTCTCTTGAAATGGGCTCAGTACTGTCATTTCGGAATTGAAATGCTTCCTCGAGCAAGTGGATCGACTTCTCAATCCCTAAGGTAGCCATGCTCGTCGAAATCGGCTGTACGGTTCGGGTACGGCGCCAAAGACTTGGGATAAGATTCATGGCTGGCTGGTGCGGCCGACGGAAGCAAAAGTCTATCGCACACGTACGGGTATTGGACAAATGCATTCCTAGGTCCTCGTACGGATACACACTTCGTACTCCGTGATATACTCCGAACTAGGGTCGGTAGTCCATATGGTGGATGGAAACCGAGACATATAATAATAATACAGTAGCAGGTAATTTCTGTATGCGCTCGTCGACAAGCCAAATTGACGGAACCATTTCAGGGGCTGCGAACTATCGCGCCCCATATTGTATTTCACGAGGCTGGTCGATCGACTTTGGGCTTAGATGGCCTCCCATAGCGGCCAGGGTTGATCCTCCGAATGAACCCACGGCTCACTAGGCCCACGGGTAGATGGTCAAAGCCAACTGGAGACGGGCCGCCTCTTCAGGCCCGTAAACTTACTCCAGAGTCGTCCACAGGTGCTCGCGGCAGACAAATCGAAGAGCTTAAGCTAGGTAAGGTGGTTCACTTCCAACTGCGCCGACGGTCCACCCTGATGCAGGCCAATGCAGGCGTAGAGACGGCGTCATTGCACCCCCCAATCATCCCATGTCCCAATTGAAACACCAGTCCGAAAGTGCGTGCCCAGGTGCGGATGTGTCGTCGGAGTCTGCGCAGCACTGCACGGCATACTACAGTAGCCAGCCTCTGAAAATGCACTCTTCGCTTCACAGACCCCGTACTCTTTACTCCTGAGTGCGACGTCCGACACCTTTCGCAAGTGGAATTGCAGCGATCCTATAATCGCTGCCGCTTCAATTTTACTTCCTCTCTCTCCACGTATCCTTTTGGGACGTTGTTCATATCCCTTCTGCGACCGCCTGCGCCAGCGAAAACCTGTAGCCACCGATCCCAAATATCGACCAGAGAGGCAAGAAAAGCTGTGACAAATTCGTCGAGTCTGCATCTTGACTCGAGCGGTCTCGCGTCCTTATATCCCTCCGTTTTACTCTGAGGCATGAGCATGGAGTATTGAAACTGCTCTTTAACGCGACTGTGACGACCATCTCGCTCGGTCATCGATACCGAGCGCTTTCTCCTACGCCATGGCTCGACGACCGCCAACCCTTGACTCTCCAGAAGTAACTCCCAAAGCCCCGGGTTTGCGCAGCATGGGTTCGTCATCAGACGTTCTCTCGATGTCTTCGAAATCAGCAAGAGCACTCCCTTACGCCAACCCTCCCCCGGCCTACGTCTCCGCATCCGAGGCCCAAAAGTTGATATTTGCCGAGTTGGAGCGGCAGGTCAAGATTACAGAGGGCGCAGTTGGCTTGGTCAATGGATTCTTAGATCAGATCCTCTATGATATTCTGGTGAAATCGCATTCTACTGCCTTGTGGGCCGTTCGCCCTGCGGTGCCTGCGGTCCTGAAGCAGAGACTTGGAAGGTCGGCCTTGCAGGCGGCAGACGAGGAGTTGCAAGACTACATTCCTGAAAACGAGATGGAAGAGATTCTGTCAGCTCCACCCGTCCTCGACCCGAAGGCCGATTTTGACACTGATCTGGCGTGGAAGTTGACTAGATTGCGCTGCATGGTCTATGCAAAGCTGGGAGATATGGAAGAAGAGGACGAAGAGGACTACTTGGAAGACATTGACCTCCGAGACCACTTCTCAACCGTACATGAGTCGGTGAGATCCTCGGCGACCATCTCACCTCCGACCGCTATCTTCCTGACGACGGTACTCGAATTCCTGGCGGAGCAAGCGCTGTGCATCGCTGCCCAGCATGCTACGAAGCGACACGTCGCCGCGTCAAAAGACACGTCAAACGAAACCATGCATGATGGCCCTATTTTGCTGGAGGAAATAGACATATCAGGGGTCGGGAAGGAAGGGCCCTTGATCAGACTTTGGCGCTCGTGGAAAGGCAGTGTTAGGAGCGCTGGTAGTATATCCTCACGACCAACCACGCCAAACGTCATGTCGCCTGTCAGTCCAGAGTCACCCAACTACGAATGGAGGTTTCCTGCCGCTCCTCCCATCTCGACGATTCAAGAAGAACAGAGTCCCTCACTGAAGCCCAGGCTCAGTCCACTACCGGCCGATGTCCCACTACCTCTCAACGAGAATGATATAGCGGAAATTGAAACCCCGGGTTTGGCTCGTGATGTTGATGAGAACGTGGATGACGGAGACCGCCCTACACTGGACGCACGACGACCATCGAGCATGTTAGTAATGCCCGGGAAATTTCCTGATGCTCCAGCTCCTGTTTCCAATGATGATCCGCAGAGACCCGAGTTTACGAGGCAAAGGTCGCACTCTCTACCCAACTCGGGCCCCACTCCTCCAATGCTCCTCTCCAAAGCCGAAGTCAACGGCAGGCTACTAGACCACGGCGCTACTAGTTCGCTTGAAGATTTACAGACCAAGGTAGACTACGTGGCACAGTCCAAGAGTGGTCCCGCCCAGACTCCAGCTCAACAAAGAGTGGCCAGATCGCCCACAAACACTGTTAGCAGCACTGTGGCTACAATTGCTGGAGCAATAAACGTGGAAGCATCCCGTCGACGAGCGCAATCTTCATTGGAGCAGAATGACCCGATAGTTTCGAGTGGCGATGCTCAACATGGCCTGGGCCTCAGCGCTGAACAGGATGACGACGAACGAGCTGGACCCATGGGCAATCCAGAAGGTGGAACCGACCCTGAAGACCTTGCATTGAGTTCAGGTGATGAGCACGATAGCCGAGACCCTCGAGATTCTGGCTTCGGGGTTGCTGGGGCCGAAGTCATTCTTCCGATACAAGGACACGTCGATGAGGAACATCGGCGAAGTGAGCGCGATACAATCATCGTGAGCACTCCTGGACAGGATAGTTTCCCCAGCTCGGCAGCGGCTCATTACGAAGAGTATGATCCTTACTCCACTCAAGACTCGGCCCAGCCTACAATGCCGCGTTCAACTCAAGAAATTGACAATGTGGCGGTCCCAGCGACGTCAACCTTCACAGGTCGAACTACGTCTCTAGAACACCGCACAGGCCGGTCACCTACAGATGTGCGATTCCCCCAACACCTGCCGACTTCCCAGCGGCCAACTGCTACAGATCATGCTCAAGATCACGTCCCTAGATTCGCTACCTCGTCTAATTTGGCACAAAGTGCTCATTCGAGGGCGACAAATGCCAATGGACCTTCGACTGCAGGCTCGCCGACGACTAGACGGCAACATATCCGGCTTCGCTCTGATGAAGACAACAGAGTCGAGGAATTAGAGATAGCCAAGAAGAGCTTGGATGTCTTGATCGACAGCGACGAAACCCTTCACTACACCCTCACCCCAAGACCCGCTCGAGATGTGAGTCAGACTTCGCGCACAATCCTTTCTACCGCTGATTCTTTTCAGGGAGGCAAGCCCAAAGCGAAAAGTCAGACACAGGAATTGGCAGATTTCTTCCGTACTACCGCACCACCTGGAGCAGAGCCTGTGATGCCCAAGTCTTCCCGCTCGGCGAAAGAGTCGCTGGGAGGTCTCAGGTCAAACCCGTCTGGTTCCCAGCCACCTCTGCCGGTAAACACCAGACCCCCATCGTCGTCCATAGTTCCCCAGTCTGCGAGCTCGTCTCCGAAGCCAAAGAATCCCCTCGGGGAACCACGTGATCCTAGAATGACACGCAACAACATCAGGGATCTCGCCGACTATGCTCGGTCCACGGGGCCGGAGAACGAAATGCAGCTCCCGAAGGCGCTGGTTGCCCGGCCAGGTACCGCTCAAAACACGGACTCGGTGGCGCCTGTCAATGATGTTAACGAGAAGCGTCCATTGACAAGCCCTGAGAAGCCTGCCAACCGTCTGAAGTTCCAGGCACGCGATGCTCGGGCGCCAAGGACTGCGGAGAGCTCGGATTTGATCGACTTTATTAGAGAAGGTCCACCTCGAGCCCCAGGAGAACACCGTATTGACCGCCGAGTTGCCCCTTTCCGTACAACAATGGATTCTGATGATCTCAATGCCCTGGCTCCGCCACCAGAGCTTGATGCCAATGGACGTAGATCTGAGGGAAGCGGTGTTGAGAGTGCGGTGACCGTCAAGTCGATGCCCTCATCCATGAGTTCTCGCACCGGTCTCCTTGACTCGACAAATCGAGCTGCTGGAAAAGCTACAAATGGAATCTCTTCAAGACAACCCGTGATTCCCGAAACAGACGGCATACCAAAGAGAAATCGCCGCAAGGTCCGTGACCCATATGCCATCGACTTTAGTGATGAGGAGGACGAGGAGATGGACGATGATCTGTTCCCTTCCAAACGCAAAACAGATGAAGAATCTCTGGTTGATTTTCTGCGAAACACAGCTCCGGGGCCTGGGATGGCCACGCAACCGATCCTTGGCGCGGTTGCAAGCCTCTCGCAGGACGAGGCCCAGGGCGACCTGAGACGGCAGTCGAGCACTTCCAAGTTGAAGGAGTACCTGCAAGGATCTACGCAAAGCAGGAACGGCACGAGCACTGGCAAGCCGAACGGCGCAAGAGCAGAGTCTCCCCACTTGACACAAATCGGTTCCAAAATGGACAAATATCGCCCAACGCAAGTCACTCACGCACCCCACGTGGACCGAAATAGAGCAAGGATGCGTGCAGAGCCACGGGACGCGACTGTCACGGCTGGCGGCGGTACCGCGGATCTGGCAGCATACCTGAAAAACTCAGGGCCCCCTCCTGGATCTGAGGAACCCGTCCAACGACTGGGTACTAACAAGGAGCAGGCGAGGTTCCTCAGGTTTTTCCAGCGCAGAGGAAGCGTGAAGAAGTGAGACCCTACAGTATTTCTTATGATGTGATTGATGACATGTATAATGCATACTCTCTTTTCCCTCTTGAGCGTATGCCGCCGCGCACTTGCGTGCCTGGGGAAGAACAAGGTTATCCCGGTGAGGCTGTTGTCTCCAGATTTTGTGTATAATAGCAATGGAGCGCCAGAAAATCGTGGTAATAGAGAATCAGCCACGTATATCAGCTTGAATCTCCGAGTCAGACTAGTTACGACTCAACAACAGCTGCATGGAACTTCTTCTGGGGCTTTGCCAAAGTCTTGATCGAGGGATGGTGAGGTAATCGCTCGACGCGGAAAAGGGGGTTAACATCACGTGTCCGTAGTTTAACACGGTGTTGCTGGCAATCTCCTGGATTCTCGACTCCGACCTGGCGAAACCCGCATGCGCAAAGTTTTGGAATTGTACTCAACATTTCCCCTTCATTCCAAGCCATTTGGCTCTCTTGTTTTGCTTTCCTAGGGCCGAGGAAAGCTTCCTACCGGCACCCCTCGAGATGAAGTCTTTTTTGGACCTCGCAGTCCTCCTGTGGCTTCTCCCCTTTTCTTATGCTTTGAAGTTCGAACTCCCTGCACATTCGGGCCACAGCGCGAAGAACGAGCGATGTATACGAAACTTTGTGACCAAAGACACGCTCGTCGTCGTCACCGCGATCGTCAGCGGCAGTAGAGGCGACGGACAGATGGTCAATATGCACGTACGTGGTCTCTGATACACACATTCCGGCGACAGACAGGGCGAGGATTTGTGCTGATGAATATACACTTGGGTTAGATCAAAGACGCTGTCGGCAATGACTACGGCCGGCCGAAAGATGTGGCGGGGGAGAAGAGAATGGCTTTTACGAGTCTGGCGGACACTGCATTTGACGTTTGTTTCGAGAATACCTTGGTTGGGCGATGTTGGTCTTCCCCGATCCACCCCCGTGTCGTTTCCCCTGGCTGACAATCTCGGACAGCGCATGTGCAGAACCCATCTCGCCACGTCGAACTCGATATCGACATCGGCGCCGACGCGCGCGACTGGTCGGCGATCCAGGCCTCGGAGAAGCTGAAGCCCGTTGAAACCGAACTGCGGCGGATCGAGGAGACGGTCAATGAGATTGTGCAGGAACTGGAGTATCTACGACTTAGGGAGCAGAAACTCCGAGACACGAACGAGAGCACGAACGAACGAGTCAAGTGGTTCGCTCTGGGCACAATGGGGATGCTGGTGGGCTTGGGTGCGTGGCAGGTTGTATATCTGCGAGCTTACTTCAGGTACGTTGCTGCATCGACATGTCCTCGGATTCTTGGATCCAGATACTGACACCCGTGCCCTCAATAGGTCCAAGCACCTCATCTGATCGCCCTTGCAACGACGAAGTCCGGTTCTCCGTGTGTCAAAAGAATTATCATCCTCCAAAAACTATGCTGGGAAGGAACGAGGGATGTAATGATGATGACCCCTGGTTTAGATCAAAAACAAAAAGTTCACATTGACGTGGCATCATCAGAATAAGTCTATTTCTCCATGCCACAGCAGAAGCGCAACCTGGGAAAGTACGTGGGAGTCGGCGGCATTCTCATGGTAGAGCCTTGCTCAGAACCGTGCCGTTGTCGATGAGTGAGACTGGCAAGTTGTCGGAGGCATTCGGTACTGTCAATTTCACACAGAAAAGGTCACAACTCACAACTCGTACGCGGAAAGTGCGTCTCTCTCAATCGATTGCATTGTTCCCAGCATTCGCTCTTCACGCTCGATCAGACATCACCACTGGCCCTCGCCATGCTGAACGCCAAATGCAGTAACGTCGCGAGTCTCGGGTTGATCCAAATCTGAACGAACTCTGGTACTGACTCGAAGTCGGCGTCACCGTTGTTGGTTGCTGACAGTAGGACTTTGAGACTCCTCCTAGTACCGAATACCTCCACCTAGCTGAACAAACATACCATCTCCCATTGCTGATAAGTGTTAAGATTCTTCTATCCAGATCGTAGCAGAGGGCATCTGTGAAGCAGCCAGGTCTTCAAACCACATTGACTCTCATATTCTCTTCACTCTTTCTCCATCCCCACACTCAACAAGTCCCATCTCAGACACGATGTTTACTTACAACTGAACGCTCCCACTCATCCATCCTAGATCACCTACTACTCCAACATCATTCATTGATCTTCTGACGTGTCGAGTCGCCGACATGGCCACACCACCGAGGTACGTTGCACGCTCAAGTCCTGACATGCGCTGCCCTTCTGTACTTGCAGTCTAGGCCAAAAAGGCTGACCGTCTCTAGCACAGTCTTCTCCTCACCCATCGTGACGGTCCTCGTCGGCCCTGGAAAAGCCCCGTACAGCGTCCACAAGGACGTTCTGGTCCAAGCAAGTCCCTTCTTCGCGGATCGTCTGGCCCAAGGCACGGCTAACAACTCCACAACCAACGAAGTCACCTTTCCCGATCCTGATGTCACCCGTGAGCCCTTCATCAGTTTCATCTACTGGGCATACTACGGCACCATAGACCCGAGACAGCTGAATGTCTTCGGCTCGGTCTGGCTCAAACACTCTTGGTTGCTGGCATACAAGCTCCGCATGCCGCAATGGCAGAATCGCATCATCGACGCTCTGATCGACACCTGCTGGAAGAAGAGACGGGTCGAAATCAGCGAACTCGCCTGGTTGGTCAACCATGTACCTAGACACAGCAACCTGTTCAGACTTGCTTTGGACCAATTTGCCTACGACATCTCCGACAAAGGCGTCAAGTACGATGACAAGGAGCTGAAGAGGCTGTTCGACACTTCTTCATTCTCAATCTGTGACATCTTGCGTACCATTGCCGGCATCGCGAAGAGCGAGGAGCCCATAGCAGACCGTAAGAGGTACTATGAACCCGAGAAGGCTGAGAAGGTTGAGGAAAAGAAAAAGAGAAAAACGGAAGACACTCAACCTTCCGAGGGTACTACGATCAAACGGCCCAAGTCAGACTGAGGACATTCCGAAGACGAGGGACAGACCGAGTTGCCGTTATGAGATAGAGCAGGAAAGAAGAGACGTGGACAGCAAGCAAAAAGTGCATGTGAGGCCGCAGGAAGTCCCAGAGAAGGGCCCAACTGTCATTCCAACTGCATTTGATGCGTGACCGAGCCGAACTGATGGGTGAATCAAGCTGTGCACACTGCTTGGTGGCTTCCGCCTACTAGTGTGGGAAGAATTCTGCTTTGAGGCGAAACAAATAGAAACGTTTCCACTTGAATTCCATTGCATTAAAACACGATATACGGAAGCCCATGCCCATGCCCACGCCTACTCATTCGACGTAAAAGTACGAGTGATGATGCTCGAGTCCTGGAATCAGTTGAACTCCTCGATTGCAACCCCTCGCCCCCTCAGCCGGTAGAGAGAGAGAGTCTCTAAAATAGGAACACTCATCCATGCATTTCGCCCGTCGTTAGCCACTGCAACTCCCTGGAACACCCAACCCATGAAACTCCGCCCATCATTCAATCATAATAGCTTGCTGGTCTTGTCCGTGCTGACCACAAACCGTCAACCACCTCAAAACATTGCCGTGTCGTCAGGAGTACACTTGAATGCTCGGGCAGAGGTAAAGTGTGACGCTAGGGCCTTCACGCAAGGGGAGGTAAAGCTGCAAGTCCGATCACTGTGCCAACGGCTCCAATAGCCACACCAGCAATCGCTGCCACGACGAGTTTCACGGCATCGCTAGTACCATTTCCTCGTGGCTCCGTAACACTGACCACGCCCGTTTTCACCTTCTTTCGAGCTGGCTGATCGTCAATCTCTGTGCTCTGAACCGGGATGTCTGCGAGAGGCGAGCTGGAGGGACTCTCTTCTCGGGCCTCAGCTCCTGCATCATTGACAAGGTCAGGGTCAGGTTTGGCCGTCTCCCAAAGGTGAAGAAACTCATCAGCTGTATGTACAGAGAGGTTGTCCGACGACAAATGATCTGCTTTTCGCTTGTGGGATTGCTCCGGTTTCAAGACATGGTTTCCCGCGGAGGCGGGCACTGGCTCGGCGACGGCGAGGACTCTGTTAGGGTCCAGCGGTGGTAGCGTCAAGGCGGTGCATGGGGAACTGCCAGCCCATTCCCGATGCCACGGAGGAGTTTCTTTAACGCACCCTGTTGGAGGCCCTGTGTGAAAATCGTACAAAACAGAATTGTGACCTGCCCATGCGGAAATCGAGCGAGTTTCTGGGTAGTCAGCAGGGAATGTTTCGTGGGTGGTGGCCGAGGATTGAACAAATGGTGGAGCCCGAGGCATCTCGCTGGTCGACGACTTGGCCATCGCCGCATCCGATGGACTAGGTGCTCGATGTGCATGTACTCTGTCTTGAGGGAGCGCCAAAGTGTCAAGACGAGTAGTCTTAGGTAACTCTTCAAGTGCCGATCTGATGGGCCGAGGGCCAAGGGGGTCGGCTTCTGTTGGAAGAGGACACCCACTGTTTGCATCATTTTCCCTTCCGTCTCGGATGGCATCAAGGCATCCTGAAGACCACATAATGACATCTGCTGGGTCGGTCTTTGAAAAACCAGGCGTGGCTGTCGGTTCATAATCAGCCTGCGCGGTTTGTGCGGGAATATCGGCCCCCATGTCGATGTACTGAGGAGCCACTTCTTTGCCTTCGACTACCTGAGCCGCATTGACAGGACTCGAGGTCGGACTATCAATGTTGGAGTCTTCGCTGCTAGACACATAGCTGTTGACGTCAGAGCTATCAGAGTCTGGAACACTGAAGGTGCGTGATAGTGAGGCCGTGACTTCAACACGTGGGAAGCAAAATGAGTCTTCCACGGCGTTGACCGCGGCATCCTCTTCTTCGTCTTCGTCAACCGTATCTGCTCGTTTCTCTCCAAGAGCGTTTTCAGCTACGACCACTTCTTGCTCCAATCCCGTATGTTCTTGGAAATTATTGAGTTCTCGTGGGTCGACATCGCTTCCGTATGCATCCTCATCGCTATATTCGGCGGAAAAGGAGTTGCGAGTTGGTTGGGTGGAAGCAGGATTGTCGTTGAGAGACTCGTCACTAGAAACACAGTAAACAAAATGCAAAGAAGTGAACCCTTAGCATTGTCCTTACTCATTTTCATACCACGTCCAGTCGACGGAAACCTTTACGGGTTTATAGAATGCTATCGCAGGATTAGAAAACGTCATCAGTGGGCTCTTAATACTCACATGGACCCCTGCTCACATCGGCGCCGAGGGTGATGATATCCTGAGGAGAGAGTTTTGCAGGTTCCTCGGTCTTCAATCGTCTACCGGCAAGGTGAGTGCCGTGCATAGAGCCGACGTCCGTGACAAAAATCTCCTAGGACATGTGAGCTTTTGCCTTCCCAAGACGGCATGTTCGGCATACTTTAGTCTCTGGATTGGCCGAGAATATAGCATGGTTTCTGGACATCACTCTTGAATCAAAGGTCGTGTTGCTCAGGCTGGGGATCAGGCCTTCATCGCTTGTCATGTTCCCACGTCCGATCTTGACGAACCAGTCTGGCGATGTGAGGATGACACGGCGCTGAGGGAAGGGACCATCGCTGTGAAGGTCTCGAACATGAAGAATCACTGCAACCAGTCAGTACACCGAGTGGCAGCATCATGGCTGAGACATCATACCGTATCCTGGCTGGGTTGTCGAGGCCATCGTGGGCTTGTCGTGGAGATAAGTCGCGACGTCTGAAAGGGTGAGATGGACTTGGAAGGCTGTGAGAGCGACCAGAGCCTTGGTGGACGACGTTGACCTGGGCACTGATGGAATAAAGCCAGTCTGGTGGATGGATCTAGACTGATGTTGAAGTGAAGTTGAGTCTGCAGGCACCCGGAGGGGATCGAGGAGTAGATGAACCAGTTTGTTGCTTCAGTCTCCGCAGCACCGTGAACGGTCCGCTCTGAAACAATAAGAGAGTCTGGGGTTCAAGAGGTCGATCGAGGCCTGGGAAGATGTCAAGGCAGTCGAAGCCCACCAAAAGGCATCTACTAGGCGACAGGCACGATGGAAGCCTTTGAAACAGGGTCAGAGTCTGGCCTTCGAGTCACGAAGTGGTTGTACACGCCGCAGGCTGCAATGAGGGGCTCGGAGTCACTTTACAAGCCCAAACAGGTTAAGTCCGTGGTCTTATCGTTATCGCATAATTGCCCCTAACCGTATCTACAAATAGCGCCCTACTAACCTAGCTAAATGCGGCGCACATCATTCCCAACTCTAGGGTCTCGTGTCGACAAAGACTGTATCGAGGGCATCTTCGACGAGGCTGAATCTATCGAGAGGTACTCCACAGTATTCTCTCTTAAAATCAGTCAAAAATCGTCTTTATCTCCAATCTTATTGTACACTGACATACTCCGTACAGCAGGACTTTTCTGTCGTCGATCAACGTCCTGCATTAGATCCACAATCTAACTGGGGATGTCGCCCACCCCATGCAAAAACAAAAGGCCCACGTCCCGAAGGCTAGCAAGGGATTTCGTATTACGTACAAGTAGAAGTCTCGCATAGATCCCTTCGCACAAGAAATGAGAGGAGGAGGAGGGGGGAATGCCTCACGATATGGATCAAGTCAATCGATGCATATAGTGTTCCGTCGCAGTCTTATCTCATCTGGGGCCCGCCGAGTCCGGCTCCTTCCATTTGTTGTAGACGAGCAGCGAGCTGAGGATATTTTTGCGATACTTCAAGTTGCGTTCGAGTGGCTTCGGCGTAGGAAAGTGCGTTGACGATCTCCCCTTCCGTTCTTGAGAGCTCCGCTGCGCGTTCAAAGTATTCCAGAGCTCTCACCACCTTGCCTTGCTGTAGCAGCAGTTGCGCCATGGTAGCAACCGCGATATCGCATTCGGGATCCACTATAAATCAGATTAGCATGTGCTTCACGTCTGTGCCGGACAAAACTTACAAACTAGTGCTTTCTCGCAAAGATCCTCGGCTGCTTTGAAGTCCTGCTTCCACTGGAAGAGAGCGAGTGCTTTGTTGATCAACGGCAGCACATTGATGGCTCCTGTGGGCTTTGTCTGCCGCTCCATCTCTATGGCGGTGTCGAATCTTTCGATAGCTTCTTGGTACTTCTGTTGGTCGAGTAACAGCTCACCGTAATAGTTGTACACGTCTGGGACCTTGTCAAAGTTCTTGATCGTTCTGCGGAAAGTGGCCATCGAGGATGCGATGGATCCCATCTTGTACTGAGTAACACCTAACTGAATGTGCGAGTAAATAAAGTCTCTGTCCAAGTCGATCGACTTTTGATAGTCCTTTGCCGCATCCGCGAACTCTCCAAGGATGAAGTGAAGCTGTGCGCGATGGTAGAAGATGTCTGGGTCGTCCTTGTTCTGAGATGTGGCTTTCTCGAAGTCATCTGAGGCCAGATCCTTATTGCCAAGCTCGAGTTGGACACTGGCACGTTTGATGTAGGCTTGAGTCAAAGCAGGTTGGAGTTCGATAGCCTTTGTAAGGTCCTCTAGTGCCAGCGTCGTATCACCTTCGAGATACAAAAAGGTAGCACGCATGTTGTGGGCGAAAGCCTCGTGTTCGCCGAGATCTCCAAGCTCCAGGGCCCTCTTGAACGCTGCAGATGCTTCGTCGTATCCTTCTGCGGTTCTCTTCTTCACAGCAACGAGTCCACGCTGGAGCTGGCCCTTGCCTGTATCCTCACTAAGATCCGCGCCTTCTTCCAGACCTGGGGGTGGTGGCTGCGGGCGGAAGCTCTGGAGGTAGTTTGAGACGAATGTAGCGCTAGGCAATTTATTCTTCTTTTCGGCGAGTATCGCCTTACCCTTCTTCTCAGCCACCTTTTTCAGTAGTCTCTCGACACTCTGCGCGCTATTTTCGTTCTTGAACCCATCGATAATGCAGCTAGCAGTGTAGTCGAGGAGAGCTTCGGAAAACAGGCCCAGGTGCTCGTACGCATGGGCTCGCCGATTCAAAGCCTTGACATATTCCGCATCCATTGAGATTGCCGCGGAAGTGTCTTCAACGACTTTGTCCCAATCACTAAGCGCATTGTAACAGGCGGCGCGGTTGGAGTAGTAGACGGGATCGGGCTTGCATAGAATAGCTTTGCCGTACAATTCAATCGCCTTGTTGTAGTCTTTCGAGCCGTACGCTTTGTTGCCCGCAGCCTTCAGCTTGCCTGCATAAGTTGCTCGTTCCTGCTTATTGTCAGCACTGCCACAAGCCGGTCGGGTTTGGTGCGATGCAAACCTCGGCTGTGAAACTCTCGACCGTTGACTCGTTGATCTCGGGCAGTTCGTGTTCGGTCTCGACGGTAGGAGGTTTTGGGACTGTCCCTGAATGTTGTTAATCCTGTCTTGCTACCTGTGAATGGAGGCGGGTTTTACTGACCAGTCTCAGCATCGTTAAGACTAATGCCATTCTTTTGTGCCTCTTCTGCGGCTTTCTTTTCTTTCCTTCGCTCTTTCTTGCTCTTTCGCTTTTCTGTAGGAGGGGACGACGGTGATGGTTTCTGACCGGAGAAGTAGTAGATAGCTCCAGCACTGGTGATAACCACGACTGTTCCAGCGATGGTATATGCAACTGCTTTGTTCTCCGAGACCCAGGTCGAGACGCGATCCCACAGAGAAGGCGCAGCGCGCGAAGCATCGATCGCTCTCGGCGCTGCCATAGTGACGACTAACGCACAAGAAAATTAAAGCCCGGAAAATGCAAACAATGTGGGAGAGAGACGGGGATAGCAAGGCGAAGTTGGAGCGTCAATGTCGAGGGTTCAAAAATGTTCCCGAAGCACAGACAAGGCAAATGCATCATCCCAGAAATCTGCAGATGCGGATTTAAGAGCACTTGGCCAATCAAGAAGCTCCATTTGATATGCATGTCTGGCTCTAAACTCGCCGGACTACGGTGACGCACAAATCCCCGATTTTTTCTGACTGAGAGAGCCATGCATTCACACATCTCAGGCACTCGAATACCTACCTATATTACTCGAGAACGAAAAACCTAACTGCCATACACGGTTTGATCTTAGTGGGTGAGCGAAGATGTATTCTGACTGTGCTTCATTCTGTTGGCTCGTTCTCCGTGCAGAGAGTGCCTGATCTATATACAGCAACATTGCAGGGAGAACAAGGCATTGATACCTCGAACGTCGAGGCACCCTGTCTGAGACCACAACACGTTTGACAACAGTGTCGGAATGAGCAATTGAGGCACACTGCTTGTGTTGTCCCAGAACGCATGAGGTATGCCTCGCTTTGTGTTCAAGTACGACATAGGTGACTGACGAGCATTACTGACTTTTATTGATGCACCTATCATTCTCGAAAGCATACTGCGGACATGTCGCATCGATGTATACATATTAACAGTCTGCTGCGCGACCTCGACCCAGGCCGACAGGTAGCGCAGTTGATACAAAGGTAATGAGTTATTGTCCGTATTCCCAAAGGCCCTCGGCCCAAACATGAGTAATGGCGACTATCGACCCACGTTGCTTGAGTCGTCAACTTTGAGCACAGGTCTGCTAGCCACATCCTCAAGCGACACCATCGGTACGCCACCATTTTCAAGTATCTGCGCTATCTTTGAGATATCAAGCCAGATAAAAGAACAGCATAGGTACTCAGGCCTATGCTTGTGGTGTGCTCTGCTTCGTTGATTGTCTCGAAGCGACATTTCGAGGTGGAACACTGCCGATGGTCGTTTCTGCTTCCCAAGACGCATTGACCCAGAATGTAAAGGACGCTCACCCATAAGATACTTCCATCGAGCTGGAAAGCACACCAACTATTACTTCTTGCAACTATACTTAATGGTGGAAGCGAACTTGAAAGGTTGAACTTAGGATATGCTGGTAGCTGTTTTCCGGACCGCGGTACGGCATCGACCATGTTGTCCAAATCGATCATTTTGAGTGCTCTGAAGGACTCGAAGTCCTTTGAATCTATCTAGACCCATATATATGTAATCCAGGGCAAAACGAGTGTCTTTCAGGGGCATTCTTGATTTCTGAGCATCTAGAGACTTGAGACAACAATGACATCCACAGAACGATGCCCCTGTCGATCTTGATGCCCAACAGGAGAGCCCCTACGTCAACAGACCCCCATCTAACAGAAGTCAGGCCATATCTCAGGCGATAAATGGCTTTAAGAGCAGCTTCATAAGAGATGTAAAGGACCTCCGACCTCGATAACTCTGATTGAGCCGAAACCGTCCACATTATCGAGTCGAGAAGCTTAGTCAAGCCTTCGTCCATCATGTCAACAAGCCCAAAAGGTAAGACGGTTCAGTCTTCGCCTTTTTATGGGGCGGCCTCTGCGAATCGCCGGAAGATCAATGGGAACTGCTTTGTGTATGCGAATGCATTGCCTTCGCCATCAGTCCGAACAATAGACACTTAAGAAGGTGCACATCGCGAAGTGCCAAAGCATGCCCAAAAACACCAAAAATTAACCATGCTTGCCCGACATTGTCGAGTCTCTCCGGTGAGTAGTAGTGGTTATCCAGATTAACCGGATCCAAGTCACTCGGCATCATGTGATCGACGAAGAAAGCAGCCCTAACAGGGATATCAAGCACGATATCTGGAACGAGTGGTACTAAGATTGGTGACCGTAAAGGATACGTAGACAGAGGTAGATAGTCCATGTTAACTTCTTGTGAACGCAGACTGTAAGACGACTGCCCTGCCACAAATACAAATCACTCATTGGGAGTACGTTCAGCCCTAGTGGTTTTGCTGAACGCAACAGAGCAGGTGGAGATGGTATAAAGTCTGGAAATTACTTGACCTCTACCGCAATGCCAGCCAGGCGGGATAATATTTGACGTTATTCTATTGGCCGTCGCATAACCTGGACTTCAACTTCTGTGATTCTCGGTCGAGGCGAAGTGGCAAATGTGACTTACTCGACTCGAGGTCTGTTTTGCGAAACTCACGCGGAAAGTAGCTTTCTGTCAGAGTCGTGCTGCGTTGTGAAATGATTAAAGTTCAGGCACAGTTAATGGCTGGAGGGGGTGTTTGCACATCAGCCGTCAGTTTAAGCTGAGATTCCAAGCCCACGGTGGGAGTGGCTGAGCAACTCCCAGAGCCTCCCTCAGCAGAAGATGATTGGGCTCCTTTCGCCTGACTACCTAATTATATGGGCTCCAGAGCTTAAGAAGGCAGACACGCTCGTCGCGCTTGAGCTCTGGGACGGTCACGTGCAAGATCACCACTACGCTTGGCATCGGCTACGTCACGTGAGTGAGCGTCAGCCCGACAGAAAAATGCCGTGTTCATGGAATCCTGGCCCTTCCTGAAACATGAAGCATTTTGACGCGTCAGGATGGAGGGACTGATGAAGGCATAGGCAACTCTCGCCATCCGCTACCACAACTGCAGATATTTCGAATCTTACTACCACTTCTCTAATTTGCACAGCCTTTCATGCTGCAATGCATGTCGACACGAGCACTTTCCAAATCCCTCCTTGCACGTGAGGCGTTGCTGCTTCAGCCTGAGACATCCTGAGGAAGCACTGCACGTGACTGGCCATGATGGCATTCGGCTTGATAGAGGAAGACCTTTGGCTAGTCCATTTTGTCTTGGCGTTTGGGAACTTTGGTGAGGCTTTGAAGGAGGCGGAGGCAGCTCTGAGGGTAGCTAAAGCAAGCCACAAGCAAGCCTTCAGCATATCCACGAACGCTCACTGGTACTCGCTGGCGGTTACGAGCTGGCAGTGCAATCATGCAGGCTTCCAAAATGTGCGCCATATCAGCTGTTATGAGTAAACGCTCACGTGAATCAACGTCTCGCATCATTGATCGCTAAATTGAAACTCTGCTCATCCCTCCAATACATTCTGCAATGCTCCTTGAAGACCAAACTTCTTGAAACGAGCCTGAAGCTATAGAGGCGTAAGAAACCAAAGGTGCCAGCTACGAAAAGAACGACGTTCAGCAGTCCAAGCTGAAGAATTCCGGAGCCTTATCGTCCTCTGTCAACTTCCGGAACATATCGTCCATGTTCAGATTGCTGCAACATCCAACTCGAGATTATTTTTCAATTTGCCGGCTCTTTCGAACCCCAAGTTTGCGAGAGTACAAGCAACAATCACGCTGGAGACTATTTACAACGTTCGCGCCTCAGCAGAGCCTGAGCAAGCCTTTCAGATCTTATTATGAGACTACTGGACACAAGGACATTCGAATTCCGAGAGTTCTATGATAGTGTACCCAGATACGCAATCTTGTCTCACCGTTGGGTGCAAGAGGAAGTGTCTTATAGGGACGTTGAGACTGGTCGACACCAGTCTCTTCGAGGATGGATAAAGATACGAGCCTTCTGCGCGCTGGCTAGTTCGCGCCGACTCTCGTATGCGTGGGTCGATACGTGCTGCATCGACAAAAGTAGCAGTGCCGAACAAATGGAAGCAATCAACAGCATGTACAGATGGTATGAAAATGCCGAAGAATGCTATGTTTACTTGAGCGACGTGCGGGCGCCAAGTTTGAACTCGCGCGAACACCAAACAGAGTTTGCGGAGAGTGCCTGGTTTACCCGTGGATGGACGCTACAAGAACTGATCGCTCCTTCAAAGGTATTCTTCTATAATTACAGATGGGACTATCTCGGATCTAGAGATACAATGTACGTATTTCTAGGGAACATTTCCGGAGTCGATGTCCAAGTTCTCTCAAAAAAGAAACAGCCTCATGAATGCACCATCTCGCAACGGATGTCTTGGGCCGCTCGCAGGGTAACTAGTCGATTGGAAGATCGCGCCTACAGTCTCCTAGGAATTTTCAACGTCAATATGCCCATGCTTTATGGTGAAGGCGAAAAAGCGTTCCGACGATTGCAGCAAGAGGTTATTAATCAGTCTGATGACCACACCATTTTCGCTTGGGGGAGCAGTAGCTTTGCGAAGACGGTTCTTGCTCCTGCCCCAGATTGTTTCAGAGGCCTGGAAAATCTTATGCGCATTCATCCAACAAACGACACCACTCTCGGCTTCAGCTTCGTGAACGCAGGCCTCTCGATCCAACTTCATCTTATTCCGTGGGCGATGAACACGTACCTGGCACCTCTACGTTGTGGATACTTTAAACACCAAGGTAACTCAACATCAGGAGTTTTCTTTCGAGGTTACAACAAGGCATGCATCTTCTTACAGCAAACCGAACATGATAACCAATTCGTCCGGGTTTCCGTGGGCGGTCGAGATCTGAAGGTGATCGATGGCGATGATCTAGCACAAATGCGAGAGCAGTTTGATATCCAACTGCGACATATCCTTGTGAAGCAACCCAATCTTTCAGACTTGGCCAATCTTACCGAGTCTTCGTTTTATGGGTTTAAATTTAATTTCAAGCACCCAAAAATGTTTGATTCAGGGAGCAAGCCCACGCCGGTCGATATGCTTTGCGGCCACGTATGGCAGCCTAACGACCCGGTCTTCGAGATTAAAAATGGAAGACGGCACACTGCCGGCATTCTACGCCTAAGTGGTTATCCTGGCCTTTATTTGTACCTGGGCTTTGATCTTGACTTCGGCCCGCTATGCTTGATCACGAGCCAAACGCCGCATTCTAGTGAGCGACAGCGTTTCAGTATTCTCCCGGACTTCACTTTGATTTCAAAGACCCAAGCGGACCAACTTCTCGACCTCAATTGGCTTCGTTTCCAGGTTCTCCAGAAGACCCAAGCACATGATACCATTCTCGCCTTCAAAGGAGAGCGAAACGGCCGAACGCAGATCGAGTGCCAAAGCCTCTCGCTTAGGCTTACTTTTGGCAAGAAGTATTCTCGAACGGTCGGCAAGCAAGCATGGTGTGTCACGTTTGAGTACATCCGTCCCACAAGCCCGGACAAACAGCCGAGCAGGGATGTCACAATTACTCCGCGGGACAGACCCACGTCTTACATAGTAGCTGCACCAGTACTAAACAGAGCACGCTCTGTACGACACTATAACGGTTGAGTTAGGAACGCAAGCGGGCCTCTGAGGTAGGTGTCCTCTCAAGTTGTTAGAGATCCTCTAAAGGGCAGGCCCTTATCAGCAGACCGTTGCTGGAGGATGGATCCTGGTAAAAATGATATTTCGATTTTGCATGTATTCCTACGCGAATGCTGGTGGGGATGATACCTACCTAGGTAGATAGGTACCTGTATTAAAGTAATGAATACGGACACCAAACTCGGCACCATGTTCCGTGTCACAATCGTGGTGCGACGGTAAAATAGCCTTTGGTACTTTCTGTGTAACTTTTGGCGCATCCGCCGCATAAATCAAAGTAGATATGCACAATACTAGAATCCACTTACACTGTTAAGTGATATCTGTTCTATGGCCCAGCAGAAGTTCCGTCGCTGGTTTGTATAGGAAATATTGTTGTTTTATCGAGAAAAGGCCCTCTAGCTCTCGCCCTCCCCTCTGTCTGTCTACTTAGCGCGCTTACCCGGACTGTCTAGATGGTCTACGATTTGTTTCTTCAAACGGTTGTTAATGCGTATCTATCCGGATTGGTTTTTGCAATCGCTAACGGTGACATACACGACTTCGTGGATAAGTGTCTGAAACCTTGACAGCTTAAAGGAGGGACGACCTTTGGAACACTACCACGACGTGGTCAGCAAAGCGAGCTGGCCATAAGCTGATGTTGAGGCTGGCTCATTTCCAGTTCAATATCGACTCCGGGCTGGCCGCGCAAGTGGCCCAAAGGCCGTTCCTTCTCTATACTCGAGGTGATGAGAGAGAACTGAGAAAATGGACAATTTAAAGCAGCTGCGGCCTGAATAGAATTTTGTGTCCCCTTACTTGAAGCATTTTCGAACGCTGGCCGGGAAAAAGGCGATCAGTCCCTACACTTGTGTGCGGCTGGTAGCCACATCCTGTGAGCCTTCCTGGTAGCTTTGGGATGGCTATGGTATAAATTAGGGCGCGCGATCTAGGTACCGGTAATGATTGAACGATAAACCACTCAAAGCACAGTCATTATGGCACTGTGTAATGCGGTATCAACGTCGCCAAATCTTTGACCAGCCTTTCAAAATGTTTACCATCCAGCACCAATCCAGATCTTTACTTCTTTTCCTACGTCGACTCCAACGATTTCCTTTGCTGGGACGTTCTGAAGATCCTCTTCTCATGCATCCATTGCGGCTTGGAGCACACGGGGACTTTAGCCTGGTCGAATGTGTTGGCACCCTTATTCCGCGATATGGGATTCTTTCATACACGTGGGGAGCGGAGCACGAGGAAGTCACCTTCAGAGACTTGGTGAAAGTAACGCGCAAGAACAAAGCCGGCTAATGAAAACTTGCCTGCTGCGGAGAGCAAGCTGAAAGGAATGAGCTCCAATACTTCTGTGCGGACACCTGCTTCTTTAAAAGATTGATCAACGTTGAGCTCTCGGAGGCCGTCCACTCGATGTTCCGGTGGCACCACAATGTAGCTAAATGCTACGTGTATTTGTCCGATGTTTCGATTAGCAACTCAACCAGAAACGACCAGTCATTTCCGCAGCCTTAAAGTCTAACCTCCCGCCGGAGCAGATGGCTTCCTAGAGGATGGACGCTCCAAGAAACTTTCTTGGTCCGACCTGTGTCGAACTCTTTTCGGTAGTGGGCGAATTACTCGACGACAAAAGCTCAATGGTGCAAGAGATTCATGACATCCGGACTCAATTCCCAATCGTGCACACTATTTTTCTATTCATGGCGCCTTGATTAGGCCGCAAAGGTTGTCCAAGGAAAGACACTAGTTCCAATCATGAGCCTGCGAAAACCTACGAGCAGATTTTGATCCATCTTTGTGATTCCATCAAGAGATCCGTTGACCTTGAATGAACCAGGCTCGCCTGTGAAGAATTGTCGAGAGGAAGACCTGAGATTCTGGCCTTGTATAGTATTGATATCTCTAACGTCTTCTCCTTGCAAGCGACTGCAGCTGAGCGTCATTTTCTGGAAATAAGGTAGCCAGTTGCCTTTGACACGTCAGTCGATCACAGAACTCTCAAATTCTAGGGAGGACACTTTACCGAATTGAAATCCCAATTGCATCGCTCCAGGCCCTCGATACATGTTTCTCTGCTCCACTGCAACGTGTTGCTCCACCACATCAGTTTCTTCACCAGTCGATCTTGTTCTTCCGACAGAGTGGTGGGTCCTTGCCTTGGTGGTTGAGCCAAAGCTGCACCTGGGGCCTTAGGGACGTTCGGGAAATACTTGCTCAACTCGTTGCGCTGGTCAACTTCATCTTCGCTGTCAATTTCGCTGTCCCCGTCCTCTGTCGATGTCTTAACCGTCTTCGCTGCGAAGTTTCTCGGGTTCATTCTCTCCTTCAAGAGCTTGAAAGTTGCTTTGTTGCGTTGATGCGTCCACCAGTCGAGCACTCCTCGCTGCTTCGAGTCCTTCAGCTCTGGATCTGCGCCGGCATCTAGCAGGCGCTTGACAACCACCACATTTCCGCACATCGCCGCCCAGTGTAAAGCCGTTCGACCCGACGTGTCCGTTGCGTTGACATCGGCACCAAGTCCAATACATGCGTCCACCAAGTCGAAGGCTCGCTTGTCATCTTCATCGGGTCTAAGCTTATCTTCGCTCCACAGCCGACTTGTGTTGACGGCTAGGATCAGTGGAGTCTGGCCCTCACCCACGGGTTTTTGATCATTCAGAAAATTGATGTCACCGCCGGCTTGAACCAAGGATTGGAGAGCCTGCAGGTAAGCCGACCCGTTATTTCTGCACAGTTTGCACGCCCAGGACACTGCTGTGTCTCCTGAATTGCTTCGTGCATTCGGATCTGCTCCATATTTGAGAAGCTCAGATACCCAAAATGCATCGCTACAGCTGGTTTGGTTGAGTGCATCATGTATCAGGTAGCGACCATCGAGAAACACATTAACAACCCCAGGGCGTACTTGGAGCATCTGTTTCGCTCGCTCTACTACGTCAGGCCTCTTCATCAATGAACGCATCTCGAGCGCAACCTCGTAGTCGCTCAAGGCTGGCAGCTGTTTCATGATGATTTCGAATTCATAATCGAACTTGTCGTCGAACAGAAACGTCAGTCGTCCATGAAGAGCCATGTTGAAACCTCTGCGAAGTGGCCTCTCTTCCGGTCAGATGGAAACGTACTGGCAGAGCGGAAACTCAAGAACTCGAGGTAGAATACTCCAGTGTTGTATGGCAGCCTGATTCCGCAGCAACTTTTGCTTCGCCTCCGGGCTGAGCTCACCGACAATTTGTCCAAGAAATGTGGCTTGTTTGCTTTGTTGAAAGAAGAGGTCTAGCGGAGCAGTCTCCCACAGATTGAGGTCAGAATACCTCTCTCCAACTTACAGGACAAAGCCCTAGCATGCCCCCCAATACCAGAGCCATAGATCCAATCATCAAACCATGCTCTGTATTCTTTGCAAGTCCCTGATCTCGAAATGCCTCTTCCATACCGCACAAGGCAAGCCACAGTGGCTTGACTTCCGACACGAAGGACGCACCGAGCGGGGACTTCGTGCGAGGCTGGGCTGCGACCTTTGCAGCCTCTCGATTCAGCTCGAGCCTGAAGAGGTCGGAGATAGTAGCACCTCGGCTGAAGGGGCTCCTTTCCCGGCATCCTTCTGGTGGTGCGGAACCAGATACGAGATCTTCGAACCCGAGAGACTGACCAAAGCGGAGGATTACGACGGAATCCAGGGGGCGCGAGACGAGTATAGCCTCACAGAGTTCCGACAGGCGCAGAGAGATGTTCCAACGCGCACCGATGACCCTTCCAGCCTTGAACTGGTGAAAGACTGGTTAGAAGTATGTACGACTAGGCATACGCAATGTCGCAGAATCGCAACGACCAAGCTTCCGACCCGAGTGATTTATGTGGGTGAAGTACCGGGTCTAGATGATGTTTACCTGGTCGAGAGCAAAGGAAGAGCTGGGACGTACGTTGCTCTCAGCCACCGCTGGGGAGACGAGCAGCCTCTGACAACGACTTCTAACAACTTCCACAAACATTTGGAGGGAATTCCACTGGCTTCCCTGCCAAGCACGTTTCGAGACGCTGTGGCGACGCTCAGAGCAGTCGGCATCCGGTACCTTTGGATCGACTCGCTTTGCATCCTTCAAGACTCAATTCAGGACTGGGCGAACGAGGCAACAAAGATGGCCGATGTGTACTCCAACGCATTGTTCACAATTTCTGCCTCGAGTGCCAACTCGGCTAGAGAAGGTCTCTTCCGAACAAGAGCTGTCACTCCGACTGTAAAGTTTGACTGGAGGTTTCTAGACGGTAGCCGTCCACCCACGACTCTCGGTCTGCGGCCAAGCCTGCCGTCCTTCGACGAGGAAATGAAAGCTTCGCCACTCGCACCCCGTGGCTGGATCTATCAGGAACGCATTCTGTCCTCCGCCATCCTCCATTTCGGCCGAGAAAGCCTCTTCTGGGAATGCAAGACGGCGGTTCTGTCCCAGCCGATTCCAATCCTCCCAGAGGCCCCCCCAGCCATCTCACGGCATTTCGGTGACCTAGGCTTCATGTCTCAAGATCTCACCCGCCAATTTTGGAGATCATTCGCCCAGTTCACAGCCGAGGAGCGCAGCTGGCAGAACGGGCCGTGCGGCTGGAAAGACATCATCAAAGTGTTTTCGAGAAAGACGTTTACGAAGCCGGAGGACAGGTATGCGGCGATCTTGGGCGTGGCAAGTAAGTTTGGGGGGCTGACGAGTTCGAATTTTCGTTCGGGCCTATGGATGAGTGACATCCTCCTGGAGCTGGCGTGGGTGTTTGATAACATGGCAGGTGGTGGTATGAATATGTGCAAAGCTCAGGGGCAGATTAGATCCCCGTCATGGAGCTGGATCTCGGTGGACTATCCAGTCACCTGGCTGTACGACGTCGAGGAAAGAAATAACAATGTCCAAGGCGACACGTCCGCGGCGGCTCTGAATGACGGCGACGGGCGTGATACGACTCGCGCTGAAGACCTGGTGAATTATTGTCAGCAGAGCACAACGCAGTTCACGCTCAGACTGCGCGAACTCATGGTGCAACCAACAAACTTCGAAGGCATTGAGAAAGGAGATGGACGCAACCTAGTCACGATGCAGAACAGAAGGGACTGGCAGGTGCACGAGCTTCTGGGTGTGCTTGACCCGGGCCGCACGCTACCGAAAAAGATTCATCTCCTGCGCCTGTGCCACAACCAATGCATGATCCTCGGCGAGGCTGCGATATTCCTGCTTGTGAAGCGTGTTGGTATGCCAAACCCGGAGTGCTACGGCGACCTGGGAACTTTCAAGCGGATCGGCATCGGGACCGCGACGTTTGAGGCGATGCAAGACTTTTTCATGTTTGGAAAGGAAGGAATACTGTCCCTGGTTTGAGGGAAACAAGTAGAGGTGGAGGTACCAAGTAGCCCCTGTGTCAACTGTATGGATGGGTGAGGAAGGTAATTATATCCGCTGGCAAGTACGCAAATGAAGAGAACCATCCTGGTCCTTTCTGTCTAGTTCACTCGTCCTCAACATCGAAGGCGCTGTATCTCGGAACGGAGGAAGGGACCTGAAGACACTTCGCCTTCGTAATCTTAAAACGAGTACTTTGAATTACCATCTTTGTGGCCGAGCGTGGCTCCGGCCTCGCTTCAGTTTGAGGTGCTGCTGCACAGGAGTCTCCCAACACTGACAGAAGACAGCTGTCCGGACAAGGATACCGCTTGCAATGAAAGATGGTCTTTCTACCTAGGTACCCAGCACATATCATACCTGTCGGACTGTCAGGTCATCCAAGAGCCGTAGCTCGTCGCCGTCTCGCCATGCGTTCCTGCGTGTACACCATCGGTCAATCATCTCGGGTATTGAGCGGAGGCACACCCCGATTGGCCAGCATCTACCAGTTTGGACTTCCACTCTGTGCTCTGCTTCGACCTCTTTCTCTCTCCAGATAACATTGCCTCAACCCTCCAATTTGGAACGCTGTATGGTTCCCGATCGGGGTTGGTTTGTTCATGCTTTTGACTGTATGATTCGACGTGGACGTCATGCCTGTTGCTGGCTGTCAAGAGACAACTTACACAAATTCAGCACCTCAGCGAGATCCTGCTTTCAGGATTATAACCACGCTGAGGAACGTACTTTTTAACGCAGACGATACCCTAGCGGCGATTCCGTGTATCTCAGAATGGCATGCACGCAAAAGAAAGCTGCTGTCGTTCCACTGTCAACGCTTTCGGGCAGCAGCACAAGCCTACAACTGGAGTTCTGCATGTCAAGAACTTGACAAGCCCGACTTTATAAACCGACTAGAGCATGCTGTCGAGAGGACCACCCTTTCAAATCCACATCCAGGCACGGGCATGATCCAAAATATCAGAGTACGGGTCCTGATTGACTGCGAAGGGAACATTCATGCTGAGAGCGTCCCAATGGGCGGCGACACCCTATTGGAGGCGCTCGAGACGGATACTTTCTATCAGTTGCCAGCAAACGGACCTCCGCCTGCAGTTTCGTCAGACAGTCACTGCTCGAGCGTCTTCCTTGACAGTGCTCCTACGACGCCGACCTTGTACACCTCGCATAAGACGTCTTATCGAGCTCCCTACGACTTGGCACGAGAGCGTGCGGAGATCAGCAAATCACCACCAGGGGAACGCGAAGTTCTTTTATTCAATTCCAGGCAGGAGATCATGGAGGCGAGTCTGTGCTCAGTGTATTTCTACCGCAATGGACAATGGCTTGTACCGTCATCTGAGACAGGCGGAATGCTAAGTGTCACAAAGCTATGGGCTCTGGAAGCAGGCTTCTGTACAGAAGGCATCGTCAAGCTTGACGGCATCAAGCAGGGGGAAATTGTGTGGTTGAGCAATGCACTCAGAGGCTTCTTTCTAGGACGGATTTCTTTCTAGTTTTCAGGCTTGGGATGTCCGATGCTCATCTTCTTTGCGTGTCCTTTGTCCGCTTTCGCTTTTCCGCCTTCCTTCTTCTCATCCACAGGTTCATTTTTGACAGGGTTTGGATTGCCCTGATATGTAAGCGGCTTGAAAGCGAAAAAGTCTTGCCTGACCTCATCTGTAACAGCCTTCCTCCGAGCTTGGAATGATGCCACATAGTCTTGCAGATACTTGATGCAAATCTGCTTGATCTCTCCAGTCATCATTTCTCCTGATTCGTAGGCTTTCTTGATGCGGGCGAGCTCCTCATCATCCTCCAAGAAGAAGGTCAAATATTGGAATGGCACGTCGACTTTTGTGTTTCCGCCCAGTTCGCGTTGCTTCTCGGCAGTATCCTGACCTCCAGAGAAGGCAAAACGGTTGATCTTGTTTTTGATTTGATTTGGAGTGTCGGTCAAAAAGATAGCCGAGGCATCAATACTAGCCGACATCTTGGAACCAGGCCCTTGAAGTGCTGGAAGGAAGATAGAGTGTATGAGCGACGGTTTCTTGTATTTCATCTGCTCCGCGTTTTCGCGGCATTGGCGAAAGTAAGGATCTTGGTCTATGGCACACGGGATGAGACATGGAATGCTGCGGACTTTGGCTGGATTGTCACCAAAGATGTGGGGGAATGATGTCGCAAAGGAGGTCGCGGATTGAATTGCACAGAAGAATATCTCACCAACATTGTTGCCACCGTTGAAGCCGAATGTGCCGAAGATTTGGTTTGCGGTGATTCGTTTGGCCATCGAGACGACGTTGTCGAAGAAGGGGGTGCCCATGATACCGCCTGTGTCGTTAAAAATGAACGTCTTGGATGGATCGAATCCAATGGCGATAATGTCTTTCGCATTATCCATTGCAAACTTCTTGACATCCTCGAGTTTCAACTTCTTGGAGTGCATGAATTTCTCGTCGTCAGTCAGCTGTATGACGAGAGGGCAGTCGAATGTGTCTTGAAGATACTTTGTGAACTCAAAAGGGACTGCATGGCCGACGTGCATGCTGTCGCTGCTAGGTCCACGACCAGTGTAGAGGTAGAAGGGTTCGCCTTTCTCATATCTGTCCAAAATCTTCCCTAGATCTCGATGCGAGAAGACAATGCCTCTCCGCATGAATCTGTGCGCTCTCTTGCCAGTAACTCGTTCGAATCGTTCAATCAACTCTGTGTTGATGGGCGTTGCACCGAACTCTCGTGTGAGTTTCTCGTAGTCTACTGGGAGCAACTTTCCACTCTCGTCCACGCCTCCAGAAACCTCGAAGGGGGTAATTCGCTGTGCCATGCTCTGTCCTGGGGCTTGGTCCGCTAGGGCGCTCGTCGTCAACTTCGGGGGCTGGCCAGGCTCATCTGCAGGCGCAGCGCCTGGGGCCGTCGAGTCTGCCATGCTGCTATGTTATGTTCAAGCGAGACGAGAAGGAGCCGGAGGCACCTGAAAACAACTTAGGGGAGTAGTATGATCCGGAGTTCAATGAGGGCGGCTCCTGTTGAACGCCTCGCACTATTTGGACCAAATATGAATCGAGTATTATGAACCGTCGTAAGTTCGTGCGCAGTGTTTGAGATTCAAAATGGATGGCGGGACCACTGGGCTCCGTATGTGCTGTGTTGTGCTCACGAGGCGCATCCCGCCAAAATCATTGTGGCTTCAAGCGAAGCTCAGATTAGATAAGATCTCGCTCTGATCTACATCCGTGACGGGCGGCGGTTTTATCTCCGCAGCCAAGAAACTTCTCCTCTTCCGTCGTCAGGCTCCAAGTGGCAATTGATTGCTAGAGCTCACGCGAGCTGATGAAAAAGCCCCTCGACCTCGCGGCCATCATCATCATCCGGTCTTCCTTCATTCCCTGCTCCTCCATGTCTTAGGCCAGGATGAAATTCTACGAAAGCTCCTTCAATTACGACTATACATTCCCTGCCGTGACCCTAGCATATTTCCTCCGGTACCCGAATCCTTACTCACGCCATGTCTTGAGCTCCGATGTCATTGATCGCTATGTCGACCCGGAGACACAGCGATTACATACTATCCGATTGCATCTGAAAAAGTCGAAAGTTCCTGCGGGCATTTTGAAATTTCTTCCGCGTGGCCTTGCTGGACCCGGCGGCGCAAGTCAAAGTTACATTCTTGAAAAAACGACAATCGACGTGAAAGAGGGCTGGATGGAGACCGAGTCAAAAAATATGGAATGGACAGGCATATTGAGTGTTGTGGAACGCCAGAGCTTTCGACGTCAGCGTTTGAATGATCTAGCAGAAGGCTCGAACAATGACGTCGAACTTGCCAAAGAAACAACCTCATGCAGAACCGTCGTGACATTTGTTTCTCACCTTGGTCAAGGCAAGCTTCTCAGCTGGAGGCACAAAGACAATCATATTGAAACACCAGAGGAGGATGTGCCGAAGCAAGGTTTCTTCGCCTCGCTGTCCACGGCAGGCATCCAACGCACAGTGGAACTCATTGGAGTCAAGAGGACGAAGTCAGCCCTCGCCAACGGAAAGGAGGGCATGAACGTGGTATTGGAGAGGCTTCGAAGTGGTGGCATTGTGGGTGTTTTGGAGGGCATGAGACGAGATCGTTTGGAGACAGTCGCTGGAGAGGGACGTTGACCACTCCTCGTTTGATCATGCTCAAGGCATAATCGAGCAGCCTCGATCATATTGTCTTGATGTGTATTACTAATCTAGTTGTGATTTAAGCAAGGCGCTGGGGTTTGATTGTGAGCAGTCGGCCTGTTTACGGCACAAAAAATGTATCCTATGCTGGTGCTATGTAGGTTGGTTGATAGCCACGGTATGAAGCAAGCTATGTCCACTCACTTGGTTGACCATATCTACAACACCTGTCTAACCGACTAGGCACGAAGGTCTTGCGGCGCAGGGCGAACCCTCATGATCTCAAATGATGAACCAGCCCAGAAATCCCCAGCGAGCTCAGAACACTACTTCATACGAGGACAGAGGGGACTCTGACACGCACATGCACAGTGAATATGGGGTTGAGGCGATGTGTGTGAATCACTGGCACGATTCCATTTCGGAAAATGCTCTCCTGTCGCTTCTTAACAGCCGGCAATCTTCACCACAACATGGTTGCAATTGTATGCTCACTGCAGCACAGAAAGTCTTCACCCTTGGCTAAGATATGAAGATGAGTATGAGCTTAGTGAGATGTTGTATCTCATCTGACGTTCGTCCCGACCTCCTCTTCCTTCCACCTCCCACACTCCTTCCCTTCTCGCCTCAGTCACTCATTTGCGGGCAAACTCGATAGCCAGAGATTAATCATTCGTTCATCACTTCTCTGGTCACTCCGTTCAAGAGTCGTGGTCGGGATGTTGGCACTCATCCCCTTCTCGTGGTTGAGTGCCATGTTCCTGCTGAGTTTGGTCTCACGCACTCAAGCGGTCCAGAACTTCAATCGGCGAAGTGACCTGCAAGACGTCCCGCCTCTTAACCTTACGACTGCGGGCTGGACTGTGCCACTCCAAGGAAGTGAGACTTGTGACGGCATCGTCGGGAAACAAGACTGTAAGTATTGATCATCGACGCTCTACTGAACATTGCCAACAGTTGATCAGGCATCGATGCGCTCACTGCTCCTTCTGCGGACAAGCACCTGCAATATCTCGCCATCGCTCGAGGAGTTTATTTCTACAACTGTAGCGCACCGAATGCTGCCCCTGTCTTCGAGTACCAATCAACCCAATTGTACAACGCTGCACCGCTCCTGGCCTCATCAATGGCTGAAGAAACTTTCCATGCGCTTGTTCCACAGCTGTATGACTACGACTATGGGCAACTCGAAAATTCTACGCTCGAGTGCATGGGTACAATTGGAACAGACAACAACACAGCCATTGTCACTCTATTTGACATCAGCACTTTCGAGGCAATACCCCTAGAATCTGTGCTGGCTCCAAATTACCCCAGGGAAAATGGTCGATGGGCGCATTCCGTCAGTCCTGGCAAGTCTTGGGAGATCTACCGTGTCGAAGTAGTAGGCGGAAGTCCCCCTGTTTGCGGGCGAGAGATCGCGAATTACGAAAGAGAATATGCAGCAGAGTACTGGTTCTTCCATTCTGAGGGAGAAGATCTATGGACCGGCGTTACTCAGGAGAATGTTGGTGCCAGCACCAAAGCATTGGTATGAATTTGAGGACATAAGGAGGCATATGAGATCGAGGTGATGATCAAAGGGAAGATGGTCAACAGGATGCATTGATGTCTATGGAGATCGAACACATTTGCGAAGAAACAGGGCCGATCTTGCGGGAAAAAAGGTCAAAGATACGGGAGAGGAAGACAGTCTATTCCTTCACCTCGAATGTAAAGGCACGATCACACCTGCGTCAGGCACAGCTGAAACATCATAAAACAATCAACAGTAATGCCATGCTTTCAGATCATATCGCTTTCTCATTTCTCCTGCCTGGCAATATCTAGAGCCTATTTTTGGAATCTGGTGTCGAGTAGACACACAGCATGACTTGGTGTTTATTTTCCTTTTTTTCGAATAGACTTTGATCTTCACGAGTTACTTTGGATACATTTGTCCTTTGCATCACGGGGTGGCCGCCACTGGGAAGGGGCAAATCCAGGATAGAATGCCCAAAGAAGCAAGCTAAGCGAGAGCCCAACAAGCCACTCGAGTTAAGGCTAAACTGGCGGCGCAAATTACCGTCACCGCCGTCAGTCTCGCCTGCGCCCGCATTCTGGTGCCCCGTTGTCCCCCCAGTTGTCCACACAACTGCCCAACCCTGCGACGACGCTGCTCAGCTTCATGATCTTCATGTGAACCTAAACATTTGAAAGCCTCTTGACTCCCACCTGACCCGAAGAACCACCGTTCGACACCTCTCAACATCGCCTGCCTGAGTTGACGACACCTGTCTCTTCTCACTCATTCCTGACTTGGCCGCTCGCACGACCCCTCCACCCAGTGGTCCGCTCTGGAGATGCATCAATGTCAATCTGTCGACTCCTGGTAGACTTAACGATTCATACCGGCATCCAGTCGTGCCCCTGAAAGCTCCGACTTGCTTCAGTTTTTACTTTGGTTCTCTAGAGACGGCCGAGGTTGTCTGCGCCTTGCGCACTTCACATCATGACGTCTACTATTCACGACGACGAATTGTCAATATCCCTTCCTCAACATGACAAGTCGAAATCAAAGCCGACTTTCCCTTCTGTCGTCTCGCCTCCCGCACGGCAGAGCCCTGGTCAAACCCCGACAGCAGAGTCTCCAGCCACTGCTCGAGCGATGAATCGGCTACATCAATACAGCTTTGTGCGCAACATCGGGGAGGGCTCGTTTGGCAAGGTCAAGCTGGCAAGGCACAAAGTTACCGGTCAAGAAGTTGCCATGAAGACCATCAACCGCAGAAAGCTGATAAGTCGGGACATGGCGGGTCGGATCGAGAGAGAGATACAGTACTTGCAGCTACTGCGGCACCCACACATCATCAAGTTGTATACCGTCATCACGACCAAGACCGACATCTACATGGTCCTTGAGTATGTACCCATGGAGTTGTTTGATTACATTGTCAAACACGGTCGGCTGGGGGAAGCAAAGGCTCGCAAGCTGTTCCAGCAGATCATATGTGCCGTCGAATATTGCCACCGACACAAGATTGTGCACAGAGACCTGAAGCCGGAGAACCTTTTGCTGGACAAGAACATGAATGTGAAGATCGCAGATTTTGGTTTGAGCAACATCATGACCGACGGCAATTTTCTCAAGACAAGTTGTGGCAGTCCCAACTATGCAGCACCTGAGGTTATTGGCGGAAAGTTGTATGCAGGTCCGGAGGTCGACGTTTGGTCTTGCGGAGTCATTCTCTATGTGTTCCTTGTTGGCCGTCTTCCATTTGACGACGAGTTCATTCCCGCACTCTTCAAAAAGATCCAAGCTGGAACATTCCACATCCCTTCACAAACACCGCCTGGCGCAGTAAACCTGATCAAGCGCTGCTTGCAGGTCCATCCCGTTCACCGTATCACGATTCCTGAAATCCGACAAGATGAATGGTTCAAGAAAGACCTTCCAGCGTATCTAGTGGAGCCGGTAGAAGAATTCCTCGATACAGGAGTCGACCCGTCCAAAGCCATCGATCCTCGTCAGCTGGCACCAGGAAAGCCACTCGAGGTTGTGGAACGAATCCACGAGCAAGTCATCGGTAAGCTCGGTCGCACAATGGGCTACGCTAAAGAAGACGTCAAGGATGCATTGAGTAAAGACGAACCAAGTGCCATCAAAGACGCGTATCTTATTGTCCGAGAGAATCAATTGATGGTTGAGACGTCGGAATATCGTGCACAGAATCCCGAGCTCGAATCATTCATGGCTTCCTCCCCGCCAGGAGAACCCAACTTTCCCATTCTCACCGCGTCGCCAATGGCCAATGGTCGTAAAGTTGGAGATGACGTGAAACCGCTGACACCTACTCCGAGTGACGGACATCGTACAAGTCGTGCACCGTCAGAGACGCCGTCAGTTCAGAAGGAAGAAGAGAAGCCTCGAATCTCGAATGTTCGAGTCTTGAATACGTCACTGCCGCATGTCCATGAGGAGCTGCTCCAGATCCGGGAAAAGGCCAAGGCGAGAGGAGACGACCCTGATACTATTCTTCACCCTTCTCAAGATCCAGACAAAGGCGACGCCGAGAGTCCAATCCCCGAAGAAATCAAAGATGAACAAGGAAACCCGATCTACCGTTCTAAAGAAGAGCAAGAGGCGACGTCACGGGCACTCAAACCGCATTCGAGATCTGTCACCGCCCTCAGTAGCCTCCGGGAGTCCAAGCCTCGGCCAGAAGGCATGACGGCGATACCGTCAGATGAGAAAGACAAACGGCTTCCAACCTCAAGATCGAAACCGCGCAAATGGCAATTTGGCATTCGGTCGCGTAACGCGCCTTACGAAGCCATGAAGTGCCTTTATGCAGCTCTCAAGGCTCAAGGGGCAGAATGGGAGGTCAATCCTTGGTTAAAGGCACAAGGTGAAGGTGGTGAAGGCGAGGACGAACAAGATAAAGGCCCTGCACCACCGGTGGAACTCGGACCCGGCGAGCGCCATAGCGTCCTTCAGCAGAAATACTCGTTCTTGAAAGACGACTACTATGTGCCTCGTGACCCATGGAACATCCGAGCTCGTGTACTAAAGAAGGGCATGCTAATGCCGGGCGAAGCTCCATCTATTTCAGCCCACAGTTCTGCGGTCAGCCTACCCTCGGAGCCTCAAAATCAGCTCAAGAAGCACATTGAGCAGCTCGGATATGCTTCAGAAGATGTGGCGAAAGCTCTCGGTATCAAAAATGGGGATGTCTCGGGGTCATCAAAATCTCCCCATGGCAGTGCTCAAAACACAAGGCCTAACACGAGCGTGGGCGATGTCGCGGCCCAAGGGCAAGAATCATTCACCGGTCCAGGACAGCATGCCGTGCGGACAGATAGCCAATCCACATTGAACAGGAAGGTCCCGAGCGAGAACATTGCGGTATGGGTCTTTATCGACATTCAGTTGTACACGCTTGAAACGGGGACTTATGTGGTCGACTTCAAATGTGACGGCTACCAAAATGTCATCTGGCACGATGTGAGGAAGGACAAAGATCGTATCAAGACCTCCAACAGCGGTAGCAACGTCGCCAGCCCCTCGAACAGCCGGCCCACAAGTGGATTTTCCGAGAATCATCGTACCGGGTCTGAGCAATGGGACGAAGGAGCGCCAGAAGGGTACTGGAAGCCCGTCAGTAAGCGGTACAGGAACGTGGAGAAGGAGATTTCCAGCCCTTATCCGTATCTTGACGTGGCCAGTGACCTGGTTGCTCAATTGGTAAGTTAGATTGCGAACAGTATCGAAAGGACGTGACTGAAACCTTGAAACAGTGGGGTGGCAATGCTTAGAGCATGGTGATGATGAGTTCATGTATGATTTGTTTGATACCAACCCACGAGCGAATGACGGACTATGAATTCGTGGAGTCGGCGTGTGGCTCTATGGCTGAGCTGGGAGCATGGAAGGAGTTTGGGGGCATGATTTTCGAGCTCGAATGGGAATCGAAAGAGTTTAACCATGACTCTTGAAAATGGAAAGGGACACTTGCAGGGCGTAGTACAACAACAGGATATGCCTTTGTTCTGAGGGCTGCAAGCATAAACTCGAAGCCTTGCAAAGAAGGGATGAATGCAGGTACTCCTCGATAGAAGCAATGATGAAATGACATGAAAGTGCAGCGCCTGATGGTTTTGGCGTCATCTGTAGAGCCCGGCGCACCGTCGTGTTTCACTATTACTGCTCTCCTACTACCGTGCTGGTGTTATTACAGTTGGTCATGGGAGAAGGATGGATAGGCAGAGAGTGTCTCCTCCCTTCGAGTCCCAAGGGGTTGTGTGTGTCTGTCGTCGCAGGGGGTGTTGATTGATTGACCAATGATGGCCTGCTCGGCTTTACGCGTTGCCATGTCCGGATCACGACCTCAATCATCATCGATCCAGTTCACCCTCGGAGCCTCAACACTATTGACCTGCAACGACATCCTCGACCCACCCTCTCCCCTCGCATCGTTGCAGAAACTCTGCCTTCGCTGTGCCGAATCTTTTTGGACCAGCCTTGAGGTCCTGTTCGAGCTTGGGCTGAAGATCTGCGCCGGTCGTGTCATTGGTCACTGGTCAGTCGTCCGTCCGCTTCGTCTCTCTCGAGAGAGAAAGAAAGAGTACGGTCCGGTGCGTGCGGTACCTAGAGCAACTAGAGACACCATTGTTGTCGACAATCAGTCGTTCGCCATGGCTCTTGCCGCAAAGTTGAAGTCATGGTCTGAGGAGCTGACGCCTTATTTCATCTACCTGCTCTTCGTCGCGACCTTGGGCCCTCTCTTGTTCGGCTATCATCTGGTATGAAATGCCCTCTTGTCGCCACCCCGCCTTTTTTTAAAAGTCCGTTTCGGTGGTGTCCTGTATGACTGACCGACTGTTTTTGTAAAGGCCGAACTCAACGCTCCTCAAGAGGTGATAACGTGCACGAAAAAGTCGCTCACCTCGTCCGAATCATCATCCACGTCTCTCCCACAATGCATCCCGATGGACTCTACGCAGCTGGGTCTCGTCTCATCGATCTTCACCCTAGGCGGGTTCCTCGGCGCGTTGGCCTCGGGATCGCTCGCTGCCCGCTACGGCCGTCTGCTGGTCATGCGCGTCAACACCGTCCTCCTCGTTCTCGGCCCGCTAGGTGAGACGTTTGCGCCCAACATCACCGTGCTGGCACTGGGACGGCTGGTGTCTGGACTTGGGGCTGGTGTCTCGGTCGTTGTCGTGCCCATCTACATTTCCGAGATCGCGCCGCCAAAGGAGAAAGGCTTCTTCGGCGCCTTCACCCAGATCGCTACGAATGTGGGCATCTTCACGACCCAAGTCCTCGGCTATTTTCTCAGCCACGGCCAAATGTGGCGTGTCATCCTTGCGGTGGCCGGCGTGATCGGTGTCGGACAGTTCCTCGGCTTGCTCTTTGCCGTCGACAGTCCAAAGTGGCAAGCCGATCACGCCGACCCACAGCAGGCGAAGAGCAATCTGAGGCGTATCAGAGGACACGGGGCCGACATCAGCGAGGAAGTCGAGGGGTGGAGAAGTGCGAATCTGAACGATGCAAACGGTAAGTCGACGATGATGATTAGGAGACCTGCACTCCTCCTCGCATACCATTTGGGACGTCCTTTGTACACTTTCTAGACACATCCAGCTAACATGACCGTGCACCAAAACACCAGACGAGGAACAAACTCTCCTATCACCGGACGAGAACAGCAACAATAACAATTCCACCGCAACGACTTCTCCGTCTTCATCCAACCCATCGCGCACCAACGTCAGCATCCTGGGGGTCCTTCTCGACCCGAGACACAACCGCGCCATTCTCGCCGTGGTGGTGGTCATGATGGCCCAGCAGCTCTGCGGGATCAACAGCATCATCATGTACGGGGTGTCTCTGCTCGCGGACCTCCTGGCGTCCAACTCGGCCCTGTTGAATATTTTCGTGAGCGTGCTGAATGTCGTCGCCACGACGGCCTTTGCCCCGCTCGCCGACGTGCTCGGCCGCAAAGCCTGCATCCTCGCCAGCATAGCGGGCATGGGCGCGTCGAGCGTCCTGTTGGCCGTCGGCATTCGCAGCGCCATCCCCGTCCTCAGCGCCGTGTCAGTGTTACTGTTCGTCGGGAGCTTCGCGTTCGGCCTCGGCCCCGTGCCCTTCATCTTGAGCAGCGAGCTCGTCGGTCCCGAGGCCGTCGGAGCAACGCAGAGCTGGGCCCTGGCTGCGAATTGGATCTCGACCTTTGTCGTCGCACAGTTCTTCCCCATGGTGAACGAGAGGCTGGGAAAGGGCGTCGTGTATTTCGTCTTTGCGGGATTGGCGGGAGTGTTTTTCGTCTTTGTCTCGTGGTACGTCCCCGAGACCAAGGGGAAGAAGGACGCCGATGAAGTTTGGGGGAGGACGTCGAGAAGAGAAGATTAGTTGGTTACCTGCATGACTTCTGGTGGGTTTGATTTGGTGTACGGGTACGTACCTGCCTACCTACCTACCGATGCTACCCGGTTCAAACAATCACTTGGTCACGTTTAGTCAGTGCATGTGAAAGAGCCATTGAGAACGAAGAGAAAGAAAGGGAAGAAACCAGGAGAGAAGGTATGGGATTGATGGGGATAGAAGAAGACGATGGAAGAGAAGAGGACAGTTCGGATTGAAGAAGAGTAGCCGCGGACTAAAGCGAATCTTCATGCTCGACGGAAGAGAATAGGAGAGAAGGTATGAATTGACGGGAAAAGAAGAGGCGACAAGGCCCGAATAAGGGAGGAACTCTGATCGTATCGCGAGTGGTCATGCATATGCGAATGTTACCTGTTGAAGAAGGACACAAAGGGGGGGGGGGGGGGGGGGAGTTATCACCATCCACATTCGTAGCGTACCAAAATTGAGATTGTCCTGTTCCTTGACGGTACAGAATCTGCATAGATGGTATCTCGGCGTCGTTGCGTAGCGGGCTGGTTGCCAGGTAACTTGAATGTATAGGAGGAACGAGGACATAAATGAACAACAACAGTGATGATGAGGAATCACATTGGCACAGCGAATAAGATGGGTACGGCGTCGTCCCACTGCAACATAGCGTGCTTCTTACACGGAAAGCCAGAGTTTGATCACCGCGATGCCTGATCATATTTATCATGCATAGCTCAGCTCTACAGGGAAGTATAAGAGTTGGGGAGTTGGTAGCCGAATACTCCCCTCGGGCTTCTTTGCCGTCTTTCCAAAGCGCTCGTACCTATCTGATTCTCCGGGTCAAGCACCCAATCTCTCTTCTAACCAACCTCGTGCATGCTGTGTCACTTTTAAACGTCCAGCGTCGATCTGTCATGGCGGATGTGACATCCTCAGACTGCCCGCGTCCACCAACCCACGACCACCCACGTACCTTTTGAAAGATCAAATGTCACGGCGTCGTAAAGTCCCACAAACTGCTCACAGTCACGTTCTCCACCCACCGTCCACCGGTCGTGTCATTCTTGACGTCGAACCCCACCGTTTTCGGCTCGCCTGGAACGAGCCAGAATCCGTTACTGTCAAAGTTCCCGGTCACCCCGCTGGGGAAATCCAGCCACGTCCACGCACTCACGCCGTTGGTCGCCTCGACTGTGAACGCTGGGCTGGCCGCGGCGGCGTCGTCGTCGTCGTCGTCGTCGTTGAAAGTCAGCTTCAACCCTGGATCAACGAGCCGGGCCTTCCCCAGTGACAAAATGGGATGGTAGAAGAATTCATGCGTGAACGTGGTCGCCGTCTCATTGTTTGGCAGGTGACCCTCCGTTGTCAAGTTCATCCTCAGCACGGCGTTTGACAGATCGACGCTCCTCCCGAGACTCTTCGTGTTGGTCTGCAGAACTTTGGTCGTGTTCAGGGCGCCAACCGTGAAGGCAACACTGGAAGGTCCCTTTGTAACATTCGACAAAACATTGCCCGACCAGTCGTACCACGTCAAGTCCACCGTTCCATGCACGGTCTCCCAGAGATCACTGGTCACGTATGCGGTCAAGTCTCCCGTCGTGTAGTTCCAATATGGAGCGACAATGACGGGCGAGTAGATGTCCTTGGCGATGTAGTGCAACACCTTCCAGCGACCAGAGTATTCGATCCCGGCCCACGTGGGCGCTTGCCAGATATCCTCGAGTTGCCAGTACAGAGACCCAAGCTGGCGCTCGGGCATTCCCGATCCGCGTCGGTAGTAAGTGATCTGCGAGCGGTAAAAGTCTGCTTGGAAGATTTGGGTGGCGAGGCACCATGCCGAGAAATTTGCACGCGAATCGGCTTTGTTGGGGGTAGGGTAGTACAGTTCGACAGAGATGGTCATCTCGGCCATACCTTTTGTCGAGTTGGGGAGGTTGGTCGTGTTGAGACTACCCGAGGGGTAGTGGTGGTTCCGAAGTTGAATTGTCGTCGAGTTGAAATGCAGATCTTCGGGAGCCACAGCTTCTTCCCAAGACTGTAACGATGGCATAGAGTGGTAGCCAAATTCGTTCGCAAATCGACCGACTGGATACGAAGACAGGTTGAAGGCAACAGTGCTATCATAGTCGTAATGATCTGTGTCGCCATAGATGTAGCCCTCGGTTTCGTTGTTGTACCTTTGGATCATGGGGTGAGGAGCGGAGTGATTCAGACTCAGATACCCGTTCGTTGTGCTGCTGGGTATATAAGAGATTGATCTTGAGTTCTCGTAGACTACTGGAAGCAAAACATCCAAGAACAGCGTTTCGTATTCTTTTTGCCAGCGAGAATAATGGCCAGGATCCAGCAACTTGGCAAGGTACAACTCAAGGTTCTCCAGTTCATTTCCACCGGCCCACAAAGCCAGCGAAGGGTGGTGATTAACCCGACGGACATTGTAGATGGCTTCTTCGCGCACATTGTCGAGGAAGCTCTCGGCAACAGGATACAGGGAGTCGCTGAACTCAAACTCTGACCACAGAAGAATTCCTTTTTCATCCGCAATATCGTAGATGAAGTCTGGCTGGTAAGCACCCGAGGCCCATACCCTGAGCATGTTCTGATTGCCTCTAACCACAGAGTCAAATAGTCGCTGGATCTTGGTTGTCGTGACCCTTGGCCAGAAGGCATCGGGAGGTATGAAGTTGGACCCTTTGGCGTAGAACTCATGACCATTGATCTCGAAGTGCCAATTGTTTCCATTTCTGACTCCCTGGTCAAGTTGACGCTGTGATATTGGTTCCATGTTAAGGACAATCGTACGAAATGCCGTCCGTTTGGTAGAAGAAACGATTGTGTTCCCGGAGTTCAAGACAGTCACTGTGGCATAGTACAGATTTTGCGGACCGAGACCATTGGGCCACCAGAGCTTGACGGCACTATCCTCAACGACGATACTACCGGAGATTGCTCCTCCAGATACGGTGACATTCTTTCCAACACCGCTCGTCACTGTTCTGTTGCTGGCGTCTTTGATCTCGATAAGAAGTCCAGCATCTTGCGGTATATCGCCCAGGACATCCAATGAAGCGTTGACCACCCAAGGCTTGGTTTGATCTGGAGGCAAGTTATTGAGCTGGCCCTGTCGGTAGATATCAAGCAGTGTATTTCGAACGTATAATTGTTTATTGCTTAGCTGAACAACATAGGCAGGCTGCCAAACACCAGCTGGAGCGAATGCGGGACCCCAGTCCCAACCAAAATCCGATTGCTCCTTCCTAATGAGCCACCGATTGGGAAACTCGGAGGTCAACTGTGAACCCTTCCAGGGCTCATTAAGAGAGGTGTTTGCCAATTCGTCTGCAATATTCGGGGCTGAACCGAAGTTGATATTGATCGTGGGAACATTGCAGTGACTGATTGCCTTGGAGATATCGAAGTAGTATTGTCGAAACTGGTTGTTGGTGGTTGCGATCTGCTGGTTACACACCGAGATCGTGCTGAACGTGTCAAGGCCGTTGAACACAAGCCACGAAGTGGCATTGGACGAAATGCCACTTGATTTGGTCAGCCGAACTGTCTTGAATCACGTTTAGGGCATAGTTGACACTTACACCGAAGCTAAGCTGGCAGTGTAGGTCCAGTTCGTCTCCGCAACCCATCTCAGAGTGAAATCATTCAATCCGTAATAAGGGTCACCGACGACCTGAGCATCGTACAGGTCGAGATGGGCTTGAGAAGGCACATGCCCGGGCACAGATATGCTATGATTAGGATTGGTCAAAGTCCATTGAAGCTCGCTCAGGGGGGTCACGTTCTGTGCAAGGCTGGAGAACGGCGCTCCGAGCAGAGACAAGATGAATACAAGCAGAAACAAGACGCGCATATTGAATCTCACGTCTCAATACACCCTGTACCATTGACTTTTTGTTTTCAAATGACGAAAAGCCTACCTTGAGCTTTGGCAAGCTCGGCCACGAGCTGGGGATCCATGCCATTAAAGCTTCGCAAGAGATGAACATTGTCTCGACACAGACCCGGCACTCGCAGGTCTTGAATGGCGCCAGGCAATGGCAATGCAACACTTGCTGCAAGGTACCGAGTAACGGATGATCGACAAAGAGGAGAAGTTGAAGAGCGGAGGGGAAAGCGGAGTGAAGAGATGGAGGTGATGCCGGTGGAGGAGAGGAGGAAACACGATGCCGGTGGACGAGGAGCAAAAGCTACGGAGTAAATGATACAAGAAACCCCGTTCCTGGAGTCCGGACAGCGGAGCGCGGATTAACTGCTTCCGAACCTGAATCGGGAAGCTAAACTACACCGTAGTCAAGACACGACGGTCCCTAGTTAGTATTGTATGCTCGTCTCAAGGCCTTTAGCAAGCGAATCAGTGCGCATCGTGCTCCTCAGTAGGTATCATTATCCTCTCCGCAGTATGTATCCATTGCGACCAACGCATCATCATATCGTCAAAATGGGCTATGCATCCGAGGTTCGCTCCCAAATGTCACCGAATCTGTCCGCCCTGTACACCTGCTCCACCATGATTTTGCTGTTGTGCCTGAATCTGCCGCTGGCGACCTTGGGCGAGGTAATCTCGGTTCTCCACCGTCACACTCTTGGTCATATGGTTGACCTTGTAGATGCCGACCAGCCGCTCCGCAAGTTCAAACATGTTATTTCGCAGAGAAATAACGATAAATTGTGCATTCTTGGTTCGTTCTTTGATGTAGCCTGCAACGATCGAAACCTAAAATCACGCTCGTGTTAGCATTTTGTCCCAATTAAAGTACGGCATGCGTCGTTCGGACTTACGTTTCTGAAGTCCAAGGCAGCGTCAATCTCATCCATGACATATAACGGCGTGGGTCGGTAGACATGCAGAGCAAACACCAACGCCAAAGAGCTTAGTGTCTTCTCTCCACCGGACAAGTTACCAATATTCTTCCAGCTCTTCTTGGGCGGCATGACGCTGAACAAGATTCCTTCCGAAAACGGGTCAAGACTGTCGACGAGTTCAAGTTCCGCATTGCCACCAAGCGTGATAAGCTGGTACATGGACTTGAGATGGGACGAGATCGTGGTAAAGCCCGTCATGAACTGGGTCAGGCGAAGGTTTCGAAGGTCGGTGAGACGCGTCTTGGCCGAGTCCCTTGTCTTGACAGCACTCCTGAGGTCGCTTGTACGCGAAGCTACCTCGTCACAGCGTCGGCGATATTCAGCTATCACTGAAAGATCGATACCTGATGCATTGCCCACTTTTTCTTCCAACGCTGCGATAGACGCGACGAGGTGATCTTTGGACATGTCGCTCAATTCGTCGCGAGTAAAAGTCTGAAGTTCTCTTCGTGGCGGCTGCTTCTGGGAGGACATGTCTGGCTGCTCTTGAGTCTGCTCGTCTTCATCGACATCCATGGCATCAGGGTCGGCCTCTGTCTGGGGAGGAGCGTCTACCATTTCTTGTTCATTGTCTGAAGCTGACTGCAGTTGCTTTGGTTGTTCTTCCGCTTGCTGGTGTTCAGGAACGCCCTCTAGGTCAGCAATATCATGCAGGGACAGCCTGGACAGCTTCTCCGCCCAGTAGCGGCTCTTTTTATGATTGTCCGAAAGAACCTTCTGGTTTTCTTCAAGCTTGTTCTTCATTTCGATCTCCAGCGCTCGAGTGGAATTCAAGTCCGAGGTCTGAGCATCAAGGTCCTTCTTAAGGTTTCCAAGTTCTTCCTTCATGGTGTCTTGCTCTTCCTGTGATTGTTCACTTCGAGTTCGCAAATCGGCTGCACCGGCCTTGTGCTTTTCGATGTCGTCTTCCAGGCGCTCCAAATCCTTCGACAAGCTTTCAATCTCCTTCTCAGCGTCAGCCTTGGCCTTTTCGTTCTTGACTTTGAGCTTCTCGTTCTTCGTCCTCGCAACCTCAGCAGTAGATATGTCATCATTGAGAAGATCAATCCTTTCTTTGAGTCCATCAACCCTAGCTTTCTGCGTGCGAAGCTGGATGCCGCCTACTTCCATGATCTTGTCTTGAAGGGCCTGGATCTCACCCTCAACACTCGCTGTTTCCGAATGCAGCTTCTCAAGCTCTTTGTTCATGGAAGCTATCTGCTTTTCAAGAGCCTTGATCTGTGAATCGTCGGCAGACGTGGTAGCGAGCTCTCCCATGAGATCCTGCACGCGCTTTTGTGCATCTGTAAGGTTTCTGCTGCAATTCTCGACTTCTAGGGTGATCTTTTGTATGACTGTCTCAAGCCTCGGGATCTCCTCCTGCTTTTCTTGCAAGCTAATCTCAAGTTCTCTTTGTCGCGTTTGGAAAGTCTCAAATTGTCGCTCGAGCTGATCTCGCTCGTTTTCAAGCTTCTGCACTTGCTCCCTTGTCGTATCCGAGACAGGCTTCGACGACATTGCGCCACGGGCTACCCGAGTGCCACCACCACTCATGGTACCGGAGACGTCGATCAATTGGCCGTCAAGGGTGACCACACGCCATCTCCGAGCTCCGTAGGCAATCCGGTTAGCTTGCTCCAGGTTTTTTGCTACCAGAGTATTCTGCATGATGCTATAGAATGCTGGAGCAAAACGTTCATCCTTTGGCTTGATGAGATCAAAAAGTCGCGGGACATTTTCAGGTGTCTGTATCGGGGACAGATCGCGCTGTGCCAGTTTATCGAGTAGGATGAAGTTGGCACGTCCAAGATTATTTTTCCGCAAATACTCGATACACTGCTGTCCAACTTCGACGTTGTCGACGACCATATTTTCCAGGGACGGGCAAGCGGTGGAAATAGCGACGTCAAATTGCTCATCGATGGTGCCGAGATTCCCAAGGCGGCCGTGGAAGCCGTCAATCCGTCCAGAGTCCTTGAGCCGCAGGAGACCTTTGAGCACGTTGCCTTGATTTTGGCTGCTCGCGAGACTGGCGCGTGCTTCATCAGCTTTCTGTCTTGCCGACGAGATCTGTGATCGAACTTCAGGTTCACTTGCTGCAAGCTTCTGTAAAGCATCTTGTATTTTCCTGACATCCTTCTCGAGCCGGGCTTTTGCGTGCTTATGCTGCTCGATCTCCTCCAATTTGGATTCTCTGCTGGCCTCGATACTCTCGATCTTCTCATTTGCCTGGTCAATTGCCTTTTGTCCACTGTTTGCTTTCTCCTTCAAAATCTCCAGCTCTGACTGCGCGACTGCGATCTCTGACTGCTTTTTATTCATCTTGGCATTCCACGGCTCAAGCGACTTCTGTTTGGCGGCAATCTGATCGGATAGACCTTGCGTTTTTCCTTTCAGGGTTTCTCGAATGACAGCAAGCTCTTGCTCTTCTTTCCGCATTTGCTGTTCAAGCTCGGCCACCTCGGCAGTCTTCCGCTGAATATCGTCCATGTGCTTCTCGACTAGGCTTTGCGCTTCGGATGTCGCCAATCGACTTGTCGTGGCTTGCTTGTCGGCTTTCTTTTGCTTTCCGGCGATAAATTTGCGTTTTTCCTCAAACTTGACATTCTCCTTGTCGTATTTGGCTAGTTCTTTCGTAAGCTCTTGAGTCTGCTTCTCGATACGTTCATACTGCTTGAGCGCTTTAGTGTAAGCCCTCTCCAGCTCCTTGATGGTGTCTTCGCTACCGGCATGCTTCTCGAGCTCGGCATCCAGTTGTCCTTGGATCTGTTGAATGGCCTCTTCTGTGACTTTAGTGTTATCCTCACATTCTGCAATATAGATCTGATAGAGAGCTGATTGTTTCTCTGCTAAGTCGTTTTCGTCACGAATAAAGGTCAGGGCTTTATTCTTCTTGTCTTCCAAGCTGTTCTTTTCCTTCTCAACGTGTTGGACACGGCCCTGCTTTTCAATGCACACTTCGTTCAGGCTCTCGAGTTCAACTGCTGCTTCCTCGATGGGAGTTTTATATTTCGATGTCCCTATAATGTCTTCGAGGTACTCCAACAATCCGTCGTCATGCTCATTGGCGGCTTTCGGCTTCATTTGTGCAATGGACTCGACCTCTCCCTGAAGGATCAAGAATCTCTTGTGATCCAGGTCGATACCTTTGTCTTTCAACAGTGTCGTAACTGTGGTGAAATTTGTGGTGCGTCCGTTGAGATAGTAGTTGCTAGTGTTGTTCTTGAACGCTTTTCGTGAAACGACAAGTTGCGAGTCAGGTACCACCTCATGTTTACCTCCTGGTAAATCCACAATCTCTTGAAAAGACACCTCCACTTCACAGTAGTCTAGATCTTGGTGTTGTGCTGAGTTGTGGATTAGGGCTGAGATTTTACCCTGTCTCATTTTACTGGCGCGAAACCCGAAGACAAACAGTAGAGAGTCGATAACATTGGATTTCCCGGATCCATTGGGGCCAACGACCGCAGAAAATGAGGCATGAAATGGTCCCACGATCTGCCGTCCAGCATAGCTTTTGAAATTGGTCATGACTAGCTGTCGGATGACCATCCTTGACTTTGGCCCAGGAGCTTCTTCCACCACTGGCACAGCCTGCGTCCTGGCTCGAATGACTATATCCATGGGCTTCTCCATGACCATGTCCATAGGCCGAGAAGATTTGAACATGTCTAAATCAGGCGTGGGCTGCGCGTGCTTGTTCAATGCGGTGCTCGTGATGTCCTTCAAAGGTGTCACTTGTGTCTGCTGCACCGACTGCATACCAGGACCATCAGCGGTAGAGGGCAATGGAGGTACCGGAGGAGCCGTTGAGGATCTGCGGCCCTTTCGAGGGGAGGTGCTCTTTCGTTTACGCGGCGAGGGGCTTTTCGCAGGAGATGCAACTTCGCTGGGCGCTATACTCTCCTCAGGATCAAATATCTGCGTAGGCTCGATTCCTTCGCCTGTTTTGACCTTTCGGGCTCGCGCTGAACGCTTCGGTGTTGCGGCCGCGCTTGCAGTCGTCTGTCTCCTCGTCGACTTTCGCGGACTTCGCTTTGGCGCAGGTGTAAACTCTTCATCCTTCTCCTCTTGAACCAGACTCAGTTCATCGTCAGACTCTTCAACCACGAATGTTTTGCGCGTGGCACGGCGCGTCGACCGAACAGGCGACTCAGCTGACATCTTGCCAACTGTTTCCACCAGTCTGCTGTGGTTGTTCGTGCAAAGGAACTTGCAACTACAAGTGTTTGCCCAATGTCAACAAAGTAACCCAAAGCGGTCTAGCCTGGTGGCATAGTGGTTGCTTACATAACAGACGAGATGTCAACACTCCACGTATCTGCCAAAAGACGCGGACAGAAACTCTTAGTGGGCAAAGAGTTGTTCAGAAGGCTCTTTAAAAGACAAAGATTGTTTCATGTTGGCCTCGCGATTGTGTGGCTATCCAACGACCTATTCCTGAAGCATAATCCTTTCGTTACCATATCTATCGCATAACTCTATCAAATCCATATCTCCCCGCCAATACACCTCATTTTCAAGCAATGCACCACTCCCCAGACTTCGCTCAAAGCATCAAAACATATCGTGGATTGTCTAGTAAGGCCAGACCCAGTTGCGGATGTATTCTGGATCAATGCCTTCATGGAACGCCAGGTTTCTGCATTTGATCTGCTCGTTAAGCAACTTCTCCCGCGCGCTCGATCCCTTGTTACCAAGACCGGGAATCTTGTCCAAGGCTTCCATGGCCAGACTGAATCTGTCCGTCTTATTGCGGATGGCAAGCTCCAGTGGTGTGTCGATGTTTCCTTTTTCGTTATATCCGTGCACTTGAAGATTGTGTGATCCCTTACGGTTGAACGTCAGGCGGTGAATGAGCCATGGGTATGAATGGAAGTTGAATATGACAGGCTTGTTGTCCGTGAAGATAGCAGAGAACTCGGTGTCTGTAAGACCGTGGGGATGGTCGCCATTAGGGATGAGCTTGAATAAGTCGACGACATTGACAAATCGAATTTTGAGGTCCGGGATGTACTCGCGGAGAAGGGCTGTGGCGGCGAGCGACTCATGAGTGGGGACATCGCCGCAGGATGCCATAACAACATCAGGCTCTTGGCCTTGATCATTTGATGCCCAATCCCAGATACCAGCGCCCTTGGTGCAATGTTCAATGGCGGCTTCCATGTCGAGGTATTGCAAGTGATCCTGCTTGTCGGCGACAATCACATTGACATAGTTGCTGCTTCGCAAACAATGATCCATGCATGACAACAAGCAGTTTCCATCCGGAGGAAGGTAGATACGCACCACTTCTGGTGACTTGTTGGCGACAACATCGAGGAAGCCAGGATCCTGATGGGTGAAACCGTTGTGGTCTTGACGCCAGACAGTCGCAGTCAGCAGGATGTTCAAGGATGCAACCTTGGCTCGCCATTCAACTTCGAGGCACTTTTCGATCCACTTGCAATGCTGATTCACCATCGAATCGATGATATGGATGAAGGGTTCATAGCTGTTAAGCAGACCGTGTCTGCCAGAGAGGACGTAGCCTTCGAGCCATCCTTCGCATGTATGTTCACTCAACATCTCCATCACACGACCTTCAGGGGCAAGATTGCCACCATCGGCGTCCTCCTCAAAGTATTCACCCATCCAGACCTTTTTGCCTGCTTCGTAAACGCCTCCAAGCTTGTTGGACTCTGTCTCATCAGGTCCAAAGAGTCGGAAATTGGTCTGGTTCTTTGCAATGACATCCCGGAGGAAGACAGCCATGTTCGACATGCTTGGAGCGTTAGCAGTGCCACCGTGTTTCACATCGATCTTGTAGCCACGGAAGTCGGGCAACCTCAAGGGCTTTTTGATCAGGCCGCCATTGGCGACGGGATTCGCACTCATACGGGCGTTGCCTTCTGGGGCAAGCTTTTTCAGTTCAGGAATCAGCTTGCCATCTTCGGTGAAGTACTTCTCCGGAGTATAGCTCTTCATCCAGTCTTCGAGAAGTTTCAGATCTTTTTGGCTGGAGGCAACCTTCGGGAGGGGGATTTGGTGGGATCTCCAGAACCCTTCAAGGTAGTGGCCATCCACGGTGCGCGGGCCAGTCCAGCCCTTGGGGCTTCGGAGGATAATCATGGGCCAGAAGGGACGGAATGCCTTTCCAGATTCACGAGCTTTCTTCTGGTAGGCCCGAATTTCCAGGACGCACTTCTCCAGGGTGGCAGCCATTGCCTGGTGCATGGACTCGGGATCACTTCCTTCGACGAAGTATGGGGTCCAGCCGTAGCCATAGAACAGGGACTCAAGTTCCTTATGGGAGACACGAGCAAGGATCGTAGGGTTGTTGATTTTGTAACCGTTCAAGTGCAGAATAGGTAGGACTGCACCATCAGTGATTGGGTTCAGGAACTTGGTGCTGTGCCAGCTCGTGGCAAGGGGGCCGGTCTCTGATTCACCATCACCAACCATGGTCACCGCAATCAGATCCGGGTGGTCGAAGACGACACCAAAGGCATGACTGATGGCATAGCCAAGCTCGCCACCTTCGTGAAGACTGCCAGGGGTTTCAGGAGTGGCATGACTGCCGATTCCGCCGGGGAACGAGAATTGCTTGAAGAATTTCCTCATGCCTTCCTCGTCCTCGGATTTGTCTGGGTAGACTTCGCTGTAGACACCCTCCAGATAGGACTGGGAGATGACGGCGGGCGCACCGTGGCCAGGGCCCGAAATGAAGAGGGCATCGAGACCGTACTTTTTGATCAGTCGGTTCATGTGCACATAGGCGAAGATCTGACCGGCGTCGGAACCCCAATGTCCAAGCAGTCTGGCTTTGAGGTCGCCAACTTTGAGGGGTTCTTTGAGAAGGGGGTTGTGTCGAAGGTAAAGCATGCCGAGGCAGAGGTAAAGACTCGCTCGCATGTAGTCGTCTGTGAGTTTGAGTTCCTCATCACTGAGAGGGTTCTCCTTGACGGTGGAACGGGCTTTGCCGTAGGGTGAGATGCTCTCGATAGAGACATCCGTCTCAGCTACGGGAGCCATGATGATGTTATCGAGAGTCAGGGAGGGATGAAAGATGGGTCAGTGGTGGGTGAGGTATTGTCTGAAAGAAGTTCTATGATGAGAGGAGACGTAGAGTAGACGAAGTCCAGAGGTGAGAGAGGACACGGCCCGATTATATAGCAGATACGAGACAGAGGAGAACGATTGATTGAGGACACTACAGTCTGCTGGCGGCAACGGCCGTCACCTATTGATCCTTCGCTATGGACCTGGACGTCACCAAGAGCAGGATATGCATTGTGATTTTGCCGTGCCGTACTTCCACTCGTGTACAGACGGCGGAGATCCAGCTTACAGGCAGCTTAGCATGGTTTACAGTAGCACCCGTAGCTAACAGCACCTCCTCCAGGACCCTGCACGTGGCTGTAGGAGGCTATAGGTGTCGCAAGCTGCATCGTCAGGATTACTGAGCTCATCTGGTCCCCATCGTCGAGACGGGCCAGTCGGGGTGACCATAGTGTCCAGGGTCCTGCCACAGCAATGCAGCACAACCAAGACACAACTTAGAGTCTCGGATCGACCATCAGGAGATGTCAATGACTGGAGCACATGTGGTAATTGATTGTCGACGGTGGTGACAGCTCAACCACAGAGATACGAAGTGGTGTGATTTTGACAACGGATCATCCTGCATGAGGCATAGCGGCGAAGCTTGGGGCTGCCGGTGTTCCCGTCCTTCTCTCACTGCGACAGTACCAGGAAAACCACTCGTGTATCGTCCATACCACGTCTTAAGACGCCTGCATTAGTATTCTTGGAAAAGCCCAACAATTGTGGGAGTCCAGAACGACCGACGATGGCGGACAGACTGACAATCTGCAGCCATGCTCAACAACCCCCAAGAAATCGCTCGCTATCATACCACTTTGTGCATCGGCTAATCTTCGATCCTCCTCGCTAAATTGGCCCCAGGAAATGACATCCGAGCTTCCAATAATGACGCATCATGAGAATACACGCCCGATCACGGACAGGGACAAGCACAGTCACTCTCCGTTGCAGCTGGCTGTGCCAGAAGGGCCATCTTCAGAGGTTGCAATCGTCGACAGAAAAATCTTTCAATAGCGCCTCGTCCATAGTTCGCGGTTGCTCTGGGCCAGCAGGGCCACTGGGACATAGCAGCGGCATCAGTATCGAACCTCCCACGGCAGGATGCAGCCAGCTTGTTCGATATATCATATGGACGACCGGGTCCAGGAATCAGAGCGTAGACTTGTGAGCTAGGAGAAGAACCGATGCTGATCTTCCTTCGGCAGAAGGATATACCCCAGAATCTGGCATCTTGCAGCTGGTGGCCTGCATTATATATGCGACGCTTGAGCCAAGCTGTGGTCAAGGGCTCATTATTGGATGCTGGCCAGTTCCGGTGTCGAGGTCTCTATACGATGGGCAGTATTTCCTCGGCACGTAGCCGGAGACGTCAAGGGCCATCGGCTCAGGCACCATCAATCAACGAGTCGGGTCAAAGCTACACCTGAAGACGCCGTTCCTGACTTCTTGCCTCAACCAGTTGGGTGGTGCAGTTCCCCCCTTTCCTCCGTCGCCTCCCGTCGAAAGCGGCATAGGTGATCCCCTTCCACGGCATAATCTGTCGAAACCGGCCTCATGTAATGACAGAACATGCAGAGACGTGAGTACGATACCTTCCGACTGTCCTTCTCCTATGCAGGGTACCAACTAACCCTGATTTGTGAGCTTGCATAAGATTCTGCTTGCAGTGCCGGGAGACAGCTAAACCTGCTCACTAAACTAATCGCATGGCTGAGGTAATCTCCCCATCTTTCTCTTGGCTGTCTGGAGAAGTCTGCTGAGGCTAGACTGGTAGGATTGCCACCCTGGCTATTGCAGATTCTGGACGCGTTCCCCACAAGGTAGATGGCTGACAATGGCGACGATGGATTCATCCTAGCCGCTGATGACACACCGTTGGACTCACCTCACTCTTGCCTTGAGTGTGCTTTTCCATTCCGCTGTGGGTTGCCAGTATAAGTAAGTGTTCGTGGAGCGGCGATGAGTGGTTGAATTCGAATCTGAGTCAGTCGGTGTTCTGAGGCCATATTCGATCATGCGACGACGCATCGTGCAGTTTCTCCCTTCGCTTAATATCTCATAGCCAGGTAAATTCTTCTTCTCTCGGGTTTGTGAATTGAGGAGAGGTTCTCGTGGAGATATTTCCATCCCATCTTCCCAACGAGCCTTACCTTGTCACCGAGCTTGTCATGTGTATGAAACGGCAGGCCTTGATTTCCTTGTCAGCCTTTCCCGATGGAAATATCCCCTGGATTCAGTGTTTCATGCAGTTCACAATTCAGCACATTGGCATGATATTGCTCACTTGTTACAGTTCTTCCTCTCTTCATTCTCTAAATTTGACTCGGTGCATCGATCCGGCTCTCCATATCAAATCAGATTTCAGCAAGGTGAGTCACGTGGTGCTCGGACGTCTGCAAACAGTGAATCTCGAATCACTGTCAAAATTTATGGCCGACTCAGCGACCATTCACACAGCACGGAGACATGCTGGGCACATGGGCAAGATAATACTGCTGTCCGGTCAGGTAGCTATATCTCTCTTGCCGCAAATGGAAATGCAGCACATTTGCGGGGTCGACGCGGACTTGACCACAGCACGATATGATAAGCGGCCTAACGACGAGGCCGGATACTGACTGACCAGCACTGGATCTCTTTTGGATTTCTCTCTTGCCTATATCAGACTGCCCTCTCACTGCGTGCTCAGAAGCCTATAAGAAGAACAGTTCTTCATACGGGCCAGGTGGACTCTTCCCTCTCCCATCCCTGTGTTATCACCGCCGCGTCCCCATCCCCAAAACCACCCATACAAATCCCAAGATATACACCATCATCCTTCCCTCACCATGTCTACCACGACCACGACCGAGACGACCACACAGACCATTCCTTCGTCCTCCGAGGCGCAATACTATGGAAAACTGCGCTACATTCCCAAGGGGCAAACACCCGCTCCGAGCCCTCACAACTTCCACCTACCCGCCATGGCCGAGTTCGGGGACGTCCGCCTACAACCACTAATCGACATGCGACCGGTACCTACCATCGCCGAGCTCTCCACGGCCAAAGAACCAACGGCGCAGCTCCCAACCCATGGCTTTGCGGCCGTGCACCACCCGGTCTCGATGAACTCGGCCCCCTACACCCTCCAGTCCTGGAAGGACCCGACGACGCTGAAGGCCAGCTACGTGCCGGAGACGGAGGAGATGGTGAAGCAAATCACGGGCGCGACCACCGTACTCACCGAAGCCCTCCTGCTCCGCTCCGCCATTTGGTCCGAGCAAGACGCGCTCGCCACGCACGCGGGCCACGGCGAAACCACCGACTCAGCGGCGGCCGCGGCAGAAGAAGCGGTGCCCAAACCTGAGGAAGAAACCGCGCTCGAACTGGGCTTCCCGCAGTTCATCGGCTTCAGCGCCAAACACGGCGGCGCGTCACCGGCGCCCAAGGTCCACCTCGACTACGCGCCCAACGGGGCGCGCATGCACATCCGCAAATACCACCCGAGCATGGCGGCGGCGGCCTCCGGCATCATCGCGGCCGAAGACCGCCTCACCGCTGAGGGCAAGTCCCTCCGCGAGACGTACGCCGAGTCCGGCCTGGGCCCGCGCTGGGCGCTGTACTCGATCTGGCGGCCCTTGAAGCGCGTGCACCGCGACCCCCTCGCACTCGGCGACGCTCGCACCTTTCTCGAGTCCGACTACGTGCCCGTCAACGTCAAGCAGCCCAACCTCGGCGTGCCGGGCGACCTGTCGACCCACGATACCGAGTCGTACCTCGCCCACTGGTCCGATGGGCAGAAGTGGTATTTTGTCTCCAAGCAGGAGCCCGAGGAGGTCCTAGTCATCGGTTTGTTCGACTCGGACCGCGACAAGGAGACCGTCGCCGCCGGTGGCACTTTGCACAGCAGCGTGGACCTACCTGGTACGGAGAACGAGGAGCCCCGCGAAAGTTTGGAGTTGAGGTGTTTGGCAATCTGGGATTAGAAATCGCGCGATCAACAAGTGGGTTGCTGTTGGTGTGGTGCAAAAGAGTTTTGCTCTTGTTGCTGTTATTGTCGTGGTCGTCGTTGTAGTTCTTGTTACCTTTCCATGTTACCAATGAGAGGGGGAAATAGTAGATAGCCTCCGGATAGACTGGACTCGACTCGACTGAAGAAACGAGGGGGAAAGGGATGGCTGGATGGATGGACGATTTTTTTTTTCCGCAAGGATGATTGCGTATCCCTTACCTGATGTGACGTGCTCAGCCATTGCAATTGCAGCACGAGGATACGAGCGCGGGGTTTGTACTGCACGCTGGTCGTAGCAAAGAGGATCGTGGGGGACTCAGGGGACTTTTTGACCGCCGTGGCTTTTCAACAGCTACTTTTACTAGCCTTTCCTTGACTTTTTTTTTGTTTCCTCACCTTTTGTCCGTCACATGCGGTAACTCTATATCTCCTATTCTGCAAAAGCTCATTAGGGGTACGAGTACGAGCAGAGGCAGACCACGGTGGGTCGAGTTACCAATGGGAACACTTCACAGACTCACGTTAGCCGGGCGAGTTCCTTTTTATAGGGTTGCCAACCTTAAAAATTTAGTTACGGGCCCAGTTCCACCGATTTGGAGACCGTTCGCGAAAGGCCTGGACTGGGCTGGACTGAAGATGGACTGGTAATAGCACAGACGCGATTTGAAGAGGCTTTTTCTTCAAGAAAAATGGCCAAGAACACTGGCGAACGGCATCATGAAACATGTGATCGTATGGTCATCATTCATTTGTTGGTCATGAAATCGTCTCAAAGTATATCGGTATCCAAGTTTAGGCTATTACAAAACCCAAAAATCCGCTCCAAGATTTCGACAGGTCTCGAGATGCAAGATGCGAAAAGAATACATCCACCAGCGCCAATGCTGAACAAAGTGACAAAATCGCAGAAACTACAGTACCTTAGCCCGGGCAGCGTGAGTGGAAAGCGCTACTGCCGTATCGAGACCCCAATGCTGTTCAGGTACTGACACTGCGAGCGAACGGAAGTGCTCACTTCCTCCATGCCCGTGGTGTCCTGAGTATCGAAGATCATTCTTCGCCAGTCCAGCGCGTCCACATCAACCGTTTCGGAATTGGAGCCCGTAGAGCCTGCCGTGATGAACTCGTCCCACGTCGGCGAACCTGGGATCCGATACACGTTCGGATCAAGTGCCCTGATGAAGCTGGTCCAGTATCCTTGAATGAGCGGAACGATCCAGTGATTTGATCCTCCTTCTTGGTAACTTGATGGCGCCGAACCATGTACGTTTGTCGGACCCCAGATTGCACCTAACTCGACGATATGAGGGACACCCAGGCCGATCTTGACCTGTGCCGAATCTTCCACGTTGTATCTGTAGTTCCAGTTCCCCTTGTTCCCGTATCGTGCCAAAGCGCTGGTAATAAAAAGATTGGGACACATGTACCGCATATTTCCATAAGCGTTAGAGACTTGGCGCCACCAAGATCCAGTCTCGGGAAAGGTAGGACCGGCGTTGGGAAAGAGGGCACTGATCCGGGAAAGCTGCTTGGACGATAGGAAGGGGAACTGGTTGCGTAAGAAGGTGTCTGATTGCTTCTGGCTTTTTGTCTGCCGTGGTGTGAAGACAGTGCCACCGTTTGTGTCATCCCCAATAATGACGGGCACATGGACGAAAGCGCCATCTTCGAAAGCTGCATATGTGTAGTTCTGGATCAATGCGCCGTCCAGCACCGGATTCCACATGAACAATGGTGATTGACGGTTGCCTGGATAGGGAATGTTGTGATTGTGCTGCTGTAGCTCGGCGCTAGACTTGGAACGTAGACAGATCAGTGTATCCTTTCCAGAATTGGTACCCGTTGGGCATTTCAGTCGCTTGGCAAGTGCGTCGAGTTGATACTGGCTCTCGTCGATGGTCAGGATGGTAGCAAAACTGACCGATTCTGCTGCAGCACCGACAAATAGTTTATCATCTCGCCCTCCATATGCCGTCAAGAGGAAGGAGACAGATGCGGCACCAGCGGAACCTCCTCCAAGCACGACATGGCCTGCATCTCCTCCAAACTTGTCAATGTATTTGTGAACCCATTCCAAGGCCTTTCGTTGATCTTTCAGTCCATTGTTGAGGCTGTCGACCTCACGGCCTGCGAGAAAGCCATATAGGCCGACGCGATAATTGAAAGTGACCACAATAATATTGTTGCCAGAAGCAGTGACGAGTCCACTGCCATTATAGTTTGCATTGGCGTTAAAGTTGAAGCCGCCGCCTTGGATGAAAAAGTATACCGGTAACTTTGACTCAGGGGTCGCGTCTGTTGGTGCGTAGACGTCAACGAACAAGCAGTCTTCAGAAGGTCCCCCAACGCGCGGGTTCTGACCAGTTCCTAGACAGACATTTCCATGCTATACAGCAGTCAGTGATTGTATTCACGGTGGAGACAGGGATTCAATCTACCTCGACAGCTTTTTGTACACCTTGGACAACTGGAGGGTCTTGAGGAGCTGCGAACCTCAGATTGCCAATGGGAGCTGCGGCATATCGCATTCCAAGCCATTGTGTGGTGCCGTCTGAATTGACCGTTCCCTCGTAGGTAGCATAATCAAGTACTACTGTGTTCGTGCCGGCGGTGACTGACTTTAGGTAGTGAATACCATATAAGAGAGTCAGCCACGTCAACATCATGAGCAGCAGCCGAGTGACGAGGTGGTGAGGGTAACCCGGAGTTCTGTTCTTTGTTGCTACACCCCCTCGCTGCCTCGTCGCCGGTGACTCTCCATCTTGTTCAGGGAATGTGGAATACCCGGGTTGGTATATGAACTTCCGAAGCTCATCGTCACGGACTGAGGATGACGCCATTGGAAGTGTCAGGGACAAAACGGGTCCCTCCTTGTGTGCGATTTCTTACAAACAGCCTCCTGTCACCACCACATGCGAGGCGCAGTGGTCGAGATGAGGTGGCCCTCGCTCTGTCGGATAGTGCCCAGCCAATTGGGCGAAGTGCGGGCCCATGCGTGGTAGTCGAGGGCTTCAGAGGTGAAAAGCTTCGGTCTCAAGATAGTCTGATGCTTGCGGCCGGCAAAGTGTTTTTGTTTGCTCGTGCGGGGAGAAATTTTGAATCAAGCTTGATCCATGCCACATGCAGTCAACAAATCTTACTATTCGTACAGGGGTCCTACGCAACACCAATCGGTTGCTTTTTCTGGCATACCAAACCGTGAAACAAGACTTCGAAAGCTTCTAACGCTTTGCCGCTACTGCATCCACGCGCTGACGTCGCCCTGTCCACAGCACTAATGCCCGATGGTAAGGGACCACATGAGAATAGTCATCAATGCGGAACGGCACCGAGAATGCCTGTCTGCACGTATTCCCAGTTGACGCCATCAATGGTTTCTCCCTTCAGTCGCTTCAATGAGCTCATATCAGACGTAAATTGTCCCATTGCAATTCTTCGTGCCATGACGGAATCCTTTGCTTTTGGAAGTCTAGACCCAGCACCATTCAGCAAGCACTCCTCGAACCAACCATCCTCCTCACTGGTAAACGGTAGTCCAACTACTAAGGCCGCTCGTCGGGCATGGTCAGGACTAGGATCCTCCTGATGTATTGTGATGATCAGCTGTTCAAACAGCTCCTTGTGTTTCAAGTGGTCCTGTCTCTTTGCAAAATAGTATGCCTCGACAATGTTATTACAGAGCAATCGTGAGAAGTATGCGTGAAGAGTCTTGGGGTCCTTTAGTGGTGGAGAGACAGCGACACAGTAGGCTGTAGCGAGGGCGCGGTCGCATTTTGGGTGTTGTAATAAGGTGAAGAGGATGTCATCGGCAAAGGTAGGAGGCAATGACGGATCCGTGAGATGTTCCAAAGCCCTGGCGAACTGTGCATGATCGAGCTCCCAAAGGCCAGCCACAAGTAGCTGGTATTTCTGAGGGAGATATGTTCGTCGAGCAAAGTTCGAGTCCGCGTTAGGCAGTTGTCGGCAGTCTCGCAAGAGGTAGAAGAGAAGAGCGAGTTTTTGCTCATCGGGTGCTGATGATTGTACGATCTTGGACCAGATATTGCGTAGATCTTGGTTTGTCCGAGGGGGGTAGTTGTTCCTTGACGCTTCAAGAACTTCAGTTCCCACTCCATTGCCAGTCAGTGCCATACTCACGCCGCGTCAAACCGATCGACCTCCATATGCGGTCGAAGAACAACTCGCCCGCTTCCCTGCGGTGTTTGTTTATGCTTTCCACAGTCTTGTTGTCGAAGGAGTAATCAGGCTTGGCCTGAAATACCACGTCAAAGTCTTGCCAGTTGAACATCACGGAGGTATTGGGGGCTTTCCTCGTCAGAAAAGGTCCTGCATGGTGTTTTACAATGCCATACTCAGTGTTCCGTACTTCGCTCTAAACAGTCGCGACTGCGCCCATTCGAATTAATCGGGTCTCCGGCGAATCGTTCAGCTTGTACATGTAGTTCGGGTGGAGCATAGGGCGCGTTACGAGCGAGCGGCCCCTCATGCTCGACGACGCTGCAGTTTTATTTCACTTTCGTGGTGCGGCGATCACGAATGAAAACTCGGGTCCATTGCAATGTCATTCTCCACGGATGCGTTCCTCCGAGGTCTCTCCCTCCTCCTCGCCTCCGTCTCCAAGGACAATACGAGTATCCAGCACTTAAGAAACATCATTTTGTGGAGCTGTTGTGAACACAAGACTATGACCCCGCCTTTTTGGACCTCGATCTCCTCGATCCAGATGATCAGGAACAGATATTCGCTCCAAATGAGCCATAGCCGAGGTGCTAGAAACCATCCATAGTTTCGGGACGAGGACCTTTTAATCCACGAGGTCAACGTGCAAAGGTAAGGCTGTTCGCTTTCATCTTCTCATATCCATTCTTTCCTCCTCCTTTGCAAAGTATCTTCCTGCCCTCATCATGGGCTCCGAACGCTACCCAATCCAGCACAAGGGCATTTATCACAACCTGCCGACCTTCGACCCGTCGTTGAAAGGGCTGACGGCTATCGTCACCGGAGCAAATGGCATCAGTGGGTTCCATACTATGCGGGTTCTGCTGGAGAGTCCCGAACGGTGGACGAAGGTATACGCTCTATCACGTCGACCTCCTCCGCATGCAATGATGAGCTTGCTCACAGACTCTCAACGTGCTCGAGTCCAGCATGTTGCTGTGGATTTCCTTGATGACCCTAACAAGATTGCGGACGCTATGAAAGCTTCCGACGTTGCTGCCGACTACGTTTTCTTCTACTCCTATCTGCAGCCAAAGCCACCTCCGGGTGCTTCTGCATGGTCTAATGCCGACGAACTCGTCAAAGTGAACAGCGCGTTGCTTGATAACTTCTTGAAGGCGTTGGTCACTGCAAAACTTACTCCTAAACGATTTCTGCTGCAGACTGGGGCAAAGAACTATGGAGTGCATCTTGGTCGCGCCCGGACACCGTCGATTGAATCTGACCCTCAACCGTCTCATCTCGAACCTAACTTCTACTATCCACAAGAGAAATTGCTCTTTGACTACTGCAAGAGCAACAACACCACTTGGAATGTCATTCGGCCGGCGTGGATTATTGGGGCGGTCAACAACGCTCAGATGAATGCTTTACATCCCTTTGCCATCTATTCCTCAGTGCAAGCCGCCAAAGGTGAACCACTGTATTTCCCGGGCGATTGGGCAGCCTGGCAGCATGAAGCACACTACTCGACTGCACGGTTGACAGGGTATCTATCTGAATGGGCCGTCCTCGAGGACAAATGCAAGAATGAAGCATTCAATTCCCAGGATACCGGACCGCTCTCATGGGACCGTTTTTACGAAGAGTTGGCGCGTTGGTTCGGGGTTGAGAAGGGCGTACAGCCACCAGAGGAGGACCCAGCCAAGTTTACTGAGCTCAAAGGCAAATCCGGCAAGGACACACCCATGGGGTATGCCTGTCTACCTCGTATTTGTGCGTTTTTGACTTACCATGCATCAGGTACGGACCTCCCACTATCGCTCGAAGAACCTTCTCCCTGGTAGCCTGGGCATCGAAGCCTGAAAACCAACAAGCTTGGCAGAAGTTGATGAAAGCCTCTGGAGGCCAGCTTACAGACGACCCTTTCAAGGATGTCGAGGCAAATTTCGTCTTTGGAGATGCTGCCTTCATGAGCATGGGTAGCATGTGTATGAACAAAGCTCGGAGGATGGGCTGGACAGGTTTCGTTGACACTATGGAGTCCATTTTCGAGATGTATTTCGAGATGGGGAAGCTGGGCATGGTACCAAAGATGAAAGTTGACAAGCCCAAGCCTTTGATATGAGCAGGGGCAACCATAGGCACCAGTGTGAGCCAGCCACAGTCACAGGCCCAGATTACTGGATACTCTTTGTTTCAAAACTGTCGACTCGTCAAATACACTTGCAGATTCGCATTGTCCTTAATTCTTCCTCACTATAATGGTTTTATATCCTCTTAATGACATCTCAATTAATAATTGTACCACACGCCGGGGCGATGTTTGGAAGCCGTGCGAGGAGCGAGGGTCTCTGGCAAAGGACACTCGCCAAATTAGAGTTGGCTTAGATGCAGTTTCGCTTAAAAATAATCCACCTTAGCTACACTAGCGTTCATGCATGCATGCATGGGGTCGTGTCGACTTGGTATCAAAATATGTGCTTCTTTCTACGATCCCAGGATCGCATGATATGAACTAGGTATCCTGATCAGGTTCCGTACTCTACGCGGCTAATATTGGGATAGCAGCTCAACCTTATACTCGAAATCCCCTGAATTTGTCAGTTACATATTCGACACCATATAGGACAGTAATCGGGACCCAAATTCCTTTCATAGCTGCTGATTAGAAGGTATGCCGCAGATCCAAATCTTGTTGGACTAGGCTCAGCACAAGCCAGAGCTTCGGAAATGACTTTTGGGCCAGCTCGCAAGTCGTGAGTGAGACTGTCTTGGGGAACCATGCCGGTGTGGTGGGAACACATGCTGACGAAAAAAGGCTCGAAGAATACCTCAATAGACCAAACTCTCGTGGAGAATCGGTCCTGCACCTAGCCTCCAGGACATGTAAGGCAGCAATTTTCCCTCTTTGGATTCCGCCTTGTCTCAGAATGTCAAGGACCAGTCAGATGAAGGTAGAATCCAGTATGTGCCTATGTGGCAATCAAGAACGGCGTTGGTCTTGAGGGAGACCTTGAACACTGCTCTAAACATGCCGTAGACGTTCCACGCATTTTAATGTAACTTTGGACTTGACGTTGCCGTTGAATAGCCTTCCTCGCTCAGCGAGGATACCTGAGCATTTGGTACGGACGTGAGACTCCATGCTAGATTCACTGAAAATGCCAGTATCGGATGTCGGGAACAACAGATGTCTATGTGATGGTCAAAAAATAGGGTTTGATCATGGAGAAGACCCTGTATCTCTTTCCCAAGACGCTGTTGGTGTTCGGTACGGTTACTCTTGACGGGACGTTATCCCTGAGGCCCTCTCCATTCTCAACCACGGTAGTCACTTGGATGTTCTGGACGCCTACCTGCAAGCTGATTGCACCGAGCACTATAGATAGTTAAGGTACAATATGGAGAGCATCGTGGAGTAAAAGCCTGACGAGCCATGCATTTACGAAAGGGCGGGAACGCCTCACTATTTGCACTCGCGATGCTCTGCCCCACACTATGATATTCTCCGGTCAAGTCTATGGTTTATTCAGCGCAAGACAAGGGTGCAACGCAAGGTTAATTTTGTTCTTCATTCTAGTACTTCTAGCGTTGACTTAACAGAAAACACCGTCGACATGATTGTGGCGGGTGATCTTCATGTGGCCCTTGCCAACATGGTTCCCTCCTTGCTCTCGTCTACTGCATAGGCTTGGTGAAACTAAGTTTCCACCAGATCAAAGTACGCACTGTGCCCTCCTCGGGGTTCTTGACGCCAACCTCCTTCTTGATCTTGAATCCCTTCAGCAAACCCTGGGACAAGGCCGTTTCAAAGTCTCGCCAACTTCCTGCCTGGTCCATGAAGCCCCATCGCTCACGCAGCTGGTTGTAATGATTTGCGGTGAGTGTGATCTCACTGATTCTTGGGATGAGTTGGGGCAATGGTCTGTAAAAAACAGACAAGTTGGTGAGATTGGCGAGGTCGCGGTGACGGAGCAAGATATCTCCCAGCTCTTGCATGCTGGTAAAATATCCTGCGTTGGCTACTCCGACGGTGTCTCCATGCGCAATGCGTACACCGACCGCGTTGACGCTTTCGACAAGGGGGTAAAACACAATGTTTCGAAGAAAGGGCAACAATTGTGGTTCGATCTTTGAAAGGAAGGTCTCGTCGAAGAGCTGTGGTGACACGTTATGAGCAGATCCGGGGACTTGATGACCAATGTGAATGGTCGTTGTGCTCCAGAAACGGGGGGCCCATTCTGTGCGAACGTGTTTGCTCACGGAGAGCAGCGATTTGCGTGTTTTTGCGACTTCCAGGAATTCCTTCCATTCTTTGGCAGCGGGGTGAGTTTCCATGGTGCCGATGTGGATGTCTCTAATCAGAGAATGGTCTGGTTGACTGCCAAAGAGAAACTCTGGGCGCTGCAGAAACGTTAGCGTTGATTCGGCATTCGCAACATCCAATGAGTACACAGAAGCCACAAAGACAAATATCAAAGACTCACAACGGTGGCTCTGTCAATGTCCCAAACAGAAACCTCCCACGGCTTTACGTCTTGCATGTACGGATACTTTGGGACGAACTCAAAGCATTCCAAAATGCATCGCTGCGCGACCAGAGGCAGATCAGAAAAGGGGAACGGTGTAGTGTTGTCTGTGTTCTCTGGGGGCTGCTCTTCTATGACTCCATCGCATTTTCTGCAGACTATGACAACTTTGTTCTGAGCCGAGACAGTTGGAGTGGCAGCTAGAGGCGATGTGCATCCACATGGCGGCATGTACGGTTCGGAGGCCAAGAAACGCATGGTGATGCTTTGAGGTCTTTGATATCGTTGCGATCTCGATTCTACAAAGGTACCAGGCCCGAGAATGGAATGCGATGTGGTGAGGAGAAACGATTGCTAAATTGCTTTGACTGATTGATGGATGAATTATTATTTGTGCCACTCATTCACGAGAACGGCTGAAGGAGAAAAAATCGTCGCGATTCACTATGTCGCCTCTCACCGCCCAGGCAGTGATCGCGTCTGTGAACAACCGTGTGGTTCGGCGAGCTACACGTGTTCTCGCCAAACCCAGGAAAGTTGACCTCAATCTTGAAAACTCATCATGTGCAGGAGATTCTATCAAACCCATCAGCACGGCGGATCTCTATAGAGTCAAGGACCAGGCCGAACCGCTGAATACAGTACACAGTCCTAAGCACTCTCACAGACCCAGAGACACTCAAGAAGCAAAACTTACCGGTATATATACATATCATCTGCGCCATCACACACGACTGACACACTCATATCAGTCAAGATGTCTATCGAACGACAAGCCCGACGCCCTGCTATCTCTTTTTTCCACACCATTTGCAACACCACCCTAGCCGCACAAGGTCCAGTCATACAAGAATATCAGACTCAACTGCACTTGCGAATCTTTGACTTTGATGTCGACAGAATAATAAGAATTGGGATCTACGAACGAATGCAAAGAAGCACAGAATATCCATGACAAAACTACATACTGCCGGATTGATAAAGACCACACTGAGCCGATACGCAAAGCACTGTTGTTTGACGTGTCGCCAAATCTACCTTGACCTCATCCCGGAATTCTATCGTACGACGTCTTTGTACCCGGACCAGTACAAACGTGACTTCTACGGAGCCCATGCACGGACACAGCTCTTGTCATTCACGTTTCTGAGCGAGCACACTTGCATGTTGGGTAAGGTGCAGTGATTCAGCTACGTAAGTGCCTATACGGAGTCCCCTCGGTGCCTTTTGCATATGAGCCTTGCGGCCAGGTCGTACCATTTCTCACAATGATGTATACTCACGATGCTGCTGTCAGGATGCCACAGTCAATGCGGCTGATGAACTTATGTTGATCCCCGAGCGGCTCAAGCGTGGTATTTTGGATGGTGTTGACATCCATCCATCAAAGTATGCCGACTTTGATGGTGCTGAACGGCTCCTCATCCGCATCCCGAACTCCCTTTTCAATACGCTCGTGAACGCGCAATATACCCCGACTGGAAAACTACAGCCGAAGGTCCGCACAAACTGTTTGTCTCGGACGTCATGAACTTTCAATCCGCAGTGATATGGCAGGTGGCGGCGGGACAGAACGTCGACCCCGACGAAATTAGAAGCAACCATACAGACCCAATAGCGTCGGTCACAATGAGGGGAAGATGGGATAGAGTAGTTGAGATCCTGATGGACAAGCCTGGGAAAGATCTTGAGGCCATGGGATGGGCCCTCACCAAACACATCAAGCTGGCACTGCCGGCTGATGTGAGGGACAACAATGAAGAAGACGGATGGCTTGGAAAAGAGATCAGTGTCAAGGACGTTTCGATTGCGGTTCGTAAGCACAAGAATGCCACCATTTCCAGCGGCGGCCACACTCGACCTGTGAAGACGAGTAAGGCCGTTGACCCAGCACCTCGCGCTCACGGTTGAGGTCCTCTGAGGAGGAAAGAAACGAAAATGAGCACGACAAGCCTCTGGGCTGGAGAATGTGAGAGTCCGAGAGTTCAGTTCTTAATCGATTGGTGTGGATCTTTCGAAAATTTCCCTTGAAAACGTGAGATACTCACAGCATCATTGTGCTTTTCGGAGAGGTGCATATTGAGATTGTATGCTTAGCACCTGAACACAACAGCCCCTCCCGCCTCCTCTCGAGTGAGTGGTATGGCATATTGTAGACGTGAAGTTCCGAGGACAAAATGCCAAGATGACAGCAACTACAAAGCTTTGCTGGTGAGATTGGGACATGTTGAAAGGGTAGGATGTCCGTTGTCGGTTTACCACCTCAGGTACCTAGTACTCCTCGTGCAACTGAGGCTGAAACGTCGCGCGCTTGGTGAGGTGTGCGACCAAGCCGAGTATTGTTCTTTGGCAGTTGGTGCGGACGGGAGGACAATATTCCGTGCGGAGGACCAGGATACGGGAGCAGCGTTTGGCGGGTCTGGACTCTCGCTTCGACATTTTTGCATTATTCTAAAACCGCCAGATGGTCTCAAGAAACCCTAGATTGGACGAAAGCGAGGCCCTGCGACGTCAGTTGGTAGATCAGGGCCTCGTCGGTTAGTAGATCTGAAGAGCCCGAAAAGACGATGAACAGGGCACGTTGAAAACTACATACAAGGAAAGGGTACGGGGAATGTATTGAAACGGCCCACATGTGTTGAAACGGAATGTGCTTTGAGACTGCTCCTAACTTAGAGCGCCTCAGTATTGAGGTTCAGGTACCAGTACGGAGTACGGGTTACCCAGATATTGTACCGCCAGCCCATCATCTAGAGAGGTAGCCAGAGCCTCACCAGGCAAATCGTTAGTTGCCAGCGCTGGTGTTGTAGCTTAACGTACACTAAGGGGCAGAAACCGTCCAGAGCATGCGTGGTTTGGGAGCCGACAAACCGAGACATAATGACGTTGGAGGCTCAATTGACAATAATAATTACTCGATGGAAAAAAAGACAAAATCAATAGAACAAATGGCTCGCACGGCCATGGAGACGGGTTACACCTTTGCCCTGGCTTTGTCCGTTGTTGTCGTCTTTCTTTTAGTTCGGGTTTCACAAAGTACGAGTCGAGGGCTCATTATTCCCGTACAGAGTAAACAATCATCGCAGTCTGCCTTGCTCAGGATAGTCAAGATTTTGATTGTCGATGAGGAATCAAGTGGGTACGAGTAGTACGAGTACATGAAGACATAATTACGGTACCTTGGGATCCATGACCCCCCGGGATTTCTGGAGTGAGGGATCAGATTCGTTCATGATTGACATTGTTGACTGACGATGCGACCCTCAGCTTGGCCTCGTGTCCCTGGCTCTTGAAAAAGGCTTCTGACAGCCGTATCACACTGTCATCGCATATTATAACCCCAATGCTGGGCAAACTGTAGAGGTAGGTAGCTTGCTGGAAAGGAGAGGAGGATAGGAGAAGCCGGACTTGGTATACACTAGACTGGAGATTATACGTGTATTATCGTAACAACGATTGTCTGCGATCTTTCTCGGATTGGGCATGTTCCGCTTGTTGTACTTCCAAATTCTGAGGGCTCTGGTTGATGATGTTTGATCGTCGTCCTGTGTTGTGTGTGGTCAGTGTTTTGGAAAGCAATTTGCGAGGCCTCGGTGCTGCGCCTCAATGTTACCGCCGCGCGTCGCGGGTTCCAGCGAGGCCAGACTAGCACTTTAGTACGGCAGTTAGCAGTTAGTACTCCCAGTTGGGGGACTTGTACGATGGATCTCGCATGGCTTTTCCCGTGGCTCTTTGTTGGCTTGACCCCAAACAGAATAGCGGCCACTATTTCAGTGCTCGCAGGTGAAGAATCTGCTCGGTGGGCATCCACGCTGGCGCCCACAACCATGCCCGCGCCCACGCCTACAGTGCACTTCAGCCTACGGAGGGCTATAGCCTACAGCCTATAGGCTAGAGCGGCCACCTCCCTACTGTTGTACTTCCCTCCCCTCCTCTCCTTGTATTGTACTCGTACCTGCGCCTCTTCCGTCCTCAATTCCCACCCAGGCCGCAAATTCATCCAATCCTTCCGCCCTCGTCACCCTCCAAGACTCCAAGCTTAGACAGTGTCCACTCGCACCGCGCTCGATCCTCCCCCCGGCCCCGGCTATTTCGCCTGCGACTGCAACTGCTACTATTACGGATTCGGACTGCACAGTGTCAGCCCAGCCCAGCCCGTACCATCATTTCCTCCTTCAAACCTGCATCTCTTCCTGTTCCAGCCCCGTCACCACTCTCCGGCACGCACTCGCTTCGATCAAATCTCCCTCACATTCGCTATTGTCTATTGTCCTTGTTCCTCACCTGTACACAACCGCTCACCACAACAACACACCCTTTGTTCTCCTTCCGCCGTCACCACCGAGACCCTCGTTTGGAGCCAAATCTCCTGTTTCCAGCATTTGCCGCTCGTTGCCAGATCCCGGATTTCCCACTTGTTCCGCCCAACCTCCTCGAGATTTCAAGAGTCCATGACACCATCGATCAACTCCTCCATCTAACCACCGTACCACTCTCGACAAGCACCTTCGGTCCAAGATATTCATCTACTGACCATCGACTGTCGATACACCACTTCGCTATCGCCCTGGTTGGCGCCCAATTCCTGCTGCACCGCGGCCCCTGGATAACTACCTCCCTTCCGTAACAACTCAACAACAAGCCATCCTTTCAAGATGCGGCCGCAAACATCCTTGCGTTTCTTCCTCTCCCTACTCGCCGCCCTCTCATTCTCGAACCTCACGTTCGCCGAAAGAATAATAGAGTCCAACTCTCTCAATTCATGTAAAGCCGGTTCGAATTTCACAGCAACACTGTTCAATGTTGCCTACACTCCTGGAAATAACAGCGTCTCAGTCAAGATCAATGGCGTGTCTTCCATCTCAGGCAACGTGACCGCCCTGGTGAACATCAAAGCATATGGCTTTACGATACTCAACGATACCATCGACCCATGCGAAGAAAACCTCTCCGGCTTTTGCCCTCTCCAGACCGGCCAGAAAATCGACATTGAAACCAACATCGATGTGCCAAAAAGCGTGAGCATTCCGGGCATTGCCTACTCCGTTCCCGATCTTGACGGTGTTGTACGCGTCGAAGTCTACTCCAAAGATACCGGCGAAACGATTGCGTGTATGGAGGCCGATCTCTCAAACAGGAAGACCGTCTATCAGCCTGCTGTTGGTTGGGCAACGGCCGTGATTGCTGGCCTGGGTCTCGTCGCTGCTGGTGTGACTTCTGGACTGGGCAATCCAAATACCGCTGCTCACGTTGCTGCCAACGCCGTTTCGCTGTTTGGATTCTTCCAAGCTCAGGCTGTCATCGGCATGAGCTCCGTGACCATGCCCCCCATTGTCCAGTCCTGGACCCAGAACTTCCAATGGAGTATGGGAATTATTCGTGTTGGCTTCCTTCAGAGCATTGCCACCTGGTACCAGAGAGCAACGGGTGGTACTCCCACGACCTATCTTTCAACCCTCAGCACAATCTCCGTCGAGGTTCAAAAACGGGCTGTGAAGCGCTCTATCCAGTCCATGGTAGCCGCCATTGCATATTCGTCTCGGGGTGCTCGCTACCTGGCCAAGCGCGCAGACGGCACTGATGGTGCTGCAGTTGCAGACACTAAAGTCGTCCGTGGTATCGATAGAGTCGGGTTCCGGGCGGGAATTGAGCAGACCAACATTTTCATGACGGGGCTGATCTTTTTCGTCTTCATTCTCTTCATGACTGCTATCCTCGTCGCCTTGACCAAAGCCATCCTGGATGGTTGCGCCAAGGCCGGTTGGATGAAATCTGACAAGTTTCTGGAGTTCCGCAACGGCTGGAAGATTGTCATCAAGGGTATTCTGTTCCGTCTGGTAAGTGGTGTTCCGACTATTGCGTCTGTGAACATCGACTAATCTGAATGAAAGGTCTTGCTTGGCTTTGTCCAAATGTCCGTCCTCTGTCTATGGGAATTGGTTGAACGTGATTCAGCTGCTGAAGTCGTCCTGGCCCTGGTTGTGTTTCTCTCCATGGGGGCTGCTTTGGGCTGGGCTTCCTTCAAAGTCATCCAGCTTGCGAAGAAATCAGTCACCATGCACAAGAACCCTGCTTATATCCTCTACTCCGATCCTCAGGCTCTGAACAAATGGGGTTTCCTCTACATCCAGTACCGGGCCACAGCTTACTACTTTGTCGTTGTCATGTTGGGCTACATCCTGCTCAAGGCTGTATTCATTGCCTTTGCACAAAAGTCACCAATTACCCAAGCCGTCGGACTTCTCATTGTCGAAATCGTCTTTGTCATCGGCGTCGGTATCGTCAAACCGTGGATGGACAAGAAGACCAACATCTTCAACATCGCCATTGCGTCTGTCAACGCTCTGAATGCTGTTTTCCTGCTCGTCTTCTCGGATGTTTTCAACGCGCCCTCAATGGTGGCTGGTATTATGGGCGTTATTTTCGCCTTGTACAACGTCATTTTTGCTGCCGTCCTGCTTCTCCTGGTCCTGATCTCTTCGATCTACGCCATCTCTTCCAAGAACCCCGAGGTTAGGTACCAGCCGATGAGAGACGACAGAGGTAGCTTCATCAAGTCCCAAGCCGCTTTGACGACAGAGCTTGATGCTCTGGGAGCCACTGCCCGAGGGGAGAACGAGCCAAAGACTGCTTACAAGAGCCTCGACGATGATGACTCATTGTCGAGCGAGTCCTTGAAACATCAATCTGATGCCACACTACGACCGATGTCGCAGACCAGGGGCATGTATGGTCAACAAGAAACACCAATGTACCCCAGCGAAAACAATGGCCGGCGAGGACCCCCACAATCGTACGAGCAGCGACAAATGTACAACCAAGGCTACGGTCAGAGCGGTGACTACGGCTACTCCAGCAGACCAACAACGGCACCAAACCAACAGTACAACGACAGTATGAGTAATGTCAGCGGCGGATACGCACCACCGAGATCCGCCGCGGGGTACGCTCCCCAGCAATCCTTCCGAGCACAAAACAATTCCAGCCCGTGGCAACGAGGTGCAGGTTACGATTGACAACACTCGGGCCAAGATGATCATCAAGACGCGGGTAGCTTCCCACTCCTACCAAACCAGGGCCCTCGAAATCAAATGGAAGTGAACGAGAAATCCCTTAGCGGGTATTGGGATCGAGACTGGTGGACACACGAGTATGCCAAAGACGCTGACCGACCGGCAAACCCATACCACCGACCCTAGATGTCGTTTAGTTTCGTCCTGGTGTTGAAAGGTGATTGGTTGTTGGGGGGCAAGGACCCGACCTATAAAGTCTTTTTACGGGTTTAAAGCATTGAAAGCATGGGAATCCACGGGACACAGAGGAAAAAGAAAGAAAACTTTTTATGTGATGAGACATGAACCCAGAATCAGAAATCGAATTCTTCAGTTGTTTAGTTATTTTGTATGTCTTTTCCCCCCCCTTTGGTTTGGGTGGCGGCGCATCACGTCTGGTTGCATTTCTTGGGTGTCATGGAACGGGCAAGCACTGTTATCGGGCTTGGTTCATTCACACCCTACTCATGTTTGGGGTGCAAAGGAATACTTAGATACCTTGCCTACCTGCCTGCCTGCGTGCTTGCTCGCTTGCTTTACCGACCACCTGGTCTTGGAAGGAAACAAGACCCACTGGTTTAGGGGCAGGGGCAGGGGCCGGGGGCGGGCGTATACGGTGTGTACCGAGTATATAGGACCAAGTAGCATCTCCTGCTGCAGGTAGGCGTGTATGTATGTATGTACGTAGGAGAACTGTCGTCGAGAAACCATCCAAGTAACAAACGCAAGTCAGAGTCATCAAGAAAGTTGCACGCATAGTAGTAGTGGTTAGGAAGCTCCGGACGGAGTGTCAGACAGGCACCAAACTTAGTTAACTAGTAAGGACCTGGGGCACGACATCTCCGAGATTCATCACCCAACGTTCCGAAAGGAAAGGAAAAGGCGAGGCAAGGCAGTCTGTCAGTGCCTTGGAACTGCAGTAGTTTACCTTTACACACACACACACACACACACAAAAAAGAAAGAAAGATCCAATGCGCTCTCATATCACTCACTACCCAAAGGGGAAGAAAAAAGTGAGTACACATCCTGTCCCGCACCCCGCAGGTATTTAACACCCCCCCATGGTGCCTGTCAAGCTTCTATTGTGTCAAGCCCATAATAATCGCCGTCCATCATGTCATGTCATCCCATCCCTCCTCTCTTCGTATCAAACCACCCAAAGACAGGTTCTTTATGCCCCGGCGCAGGGTCTCGTTACCAATCAGTAATAAAAGAAAATTCATGCAGGTAATATATGCAACGCCGACAATACACGATCCCGAAGGCTCTGCGGCGGCGGCGGGTGCTGCTGCAGCTGTTGTTGTTGCAGCTGTTGTTGCAGCTGTTGTTGCAGCTGTTGTTGCTGCTGTTGTTGCTGCTGTTGTTGCTCTCTAAGATCTTGAGTTCGCTTTCGTTGCATGAGATCGCCCCTGATGGTCCTCAAGTACCTCGTAGCCTGCTCAATCAATTCGCGAGGTTCGGTACTTTCCTTCAAAGTCTGCAGCAACGTTGCAACCTGTCGATTGTCATTCAAATGGGGACAGGTCCTGCCGTGTCCAAGGTGGGCGATCCCGCAAAGACCGCAGTACTCAACCCCGGCCACTTTGAGACGACACCAACCCATGGGATGTTGTTCACCACATGCAGAACATTGATGTGAAGGGGGCATGCTATGCCCCGGGGGAACCTGGAACGCGGTCTCTCCATTGAAATGAGGCGCTTGTCCAAGGGGTACTCTGACTCGTTTAAACGGCCGTGCTATACCATCAAAATTGACACATCAGTATCGGCGTCTTCGGGGCGTCAAAGAGTTTGTCCTACCTTGAACTGAACGCCTGGGCCGACGATCGGACTCGCCGTCCACGCTCAAACCTTCGTCATTGTCATCGTCAGACTCTTTCGGTGCACGATAATCGGGATCCTGAGACCGACGTCTTCCTTTGTATTTGTCCTCGGTTTCAGTAGTCCCGACCTGTTCATCGTCTCTGGGACCGCCATAATCGACGGCCTATCAACTAGTTAGTTTCTCACTTTCTGCATACTTTACCGAGCGAGCGAACGACTTACGTGTCTTTTGCGCTTGCCTCTGCCCAGCGCCTGGGCGTTTCTGGCCTCCTCTTCAGCAAACATTCTCTCGCGCTCTTGAAGTATCTTGTCCCAGATGCCGGGATTCGGTGTACTTGTTCCTGTATCAACAAGCTCTTCATCGAGGGTCGACTTGTCGTTTGCCCAGACACGTGCAAAACTGAATTGTGATTCAGCCGATTTCTCCTCGCTTGTTTTGGTGTCTTCGATCTGTGATCGGTCAAGTAAACGGTCAACAGAAGCAGAATCGTAGATGATATCGTCAGCACCTGATTCATCGTCAAACAGGGCCTGAGCTCCATGTCGCAGAATCGATTCCAAATCCTCGCCGGCCTCGTCATCTTTACCCATTCTCTCAATTAGGACATGGTCGAGAGCCATCTTCTTGCGCCCAATCTGCATGATTTTTTCCTCGACGCTGCTGCGAATCATCAGTTGGAAGACGAGGACTTTGTGATTTTGCCCGATACGATGAGCTCGTGACAAAGCTTGGATGTCTTGGTGAGGATTGAAGTCTGGATCGAGGATGATGACGGTGTCTGCTGTTGCCAAGTTGATGCCGACACCACCTGCTCTTGTTGAGAGCAGGAAAGCGAAGTAGGGAGAGTCAGGCGCGTTGAATTCATCGATACGCTTCTGCTTCTCAGCAGCAGAAATCTGACCATCGAGCCGGCGGTGCTGCATCCCTAAGCCGTCGAGAAAATCTTCAATGATATCCAGGTTGTCGAGGAATTGACTGAACATGAGAACGCGGTGGCCACGTTCTTGAAGCTTCGGGAGCATAATCGAGAGAAGCTGCAACTTGCCGGATGCGGCCACCAGGTTCTGAAAAGCGACAGTACTGTCAACATGTCTCTCTTCGATCTCCCGACTGTAGACGAATGGATGGCAAAGAGTTTTTCTGAGTTGCATCAAGATATTGTTCAGGCTGGTGTGTTCCTTACGAGCAACACCACCATCTCGGGCGAAGATTGACTTCATCAACTGAGGGTTTCTTGCCAATATCGACTTGTAAACCTTCTTTTGCACACTTGACATGCTAACTGGCACAATCACCTGAGCCATCGGCGGGAGAAAGGTCAATACTTGTACCTTGGTACGTCGAAGGAAGAATTTCCGAAGCATTTCGTGTAGTTCTGGAACATTCTCTTGAGTAAGATTGGAATATTTCTCCTCAAGCTCTGCCGCATTCATGCTCTTGTCCAGGAATTGCAGCAAATTGAATAGTTCTCGCGCGTTGTTCTGGAGGGGCGTACCAGTAAGCAGGACCTTGAAGGGAAACCGAAACTTGGATAATGCGTCGTAGATCTGTGTTCGATCACTCTTCAAACGCTGGCCTTCGTCAACGACCAAAGCTTGCCACGGTACTCTCATGAGACTCTTTCTCACAGAGTCTTCGAGGATGGACTCGTACGAGGTCACGACAATGTGGGCTTTGATATCCTTGACTTCAGAACGCTGCCTCTTGTGGGACTGCTTCTTTTTCTCGTCTTCATCCTTTTCCTTGTCTTTGGGAAACAACTCATAGTCGTGAGTCAATCTTCGTGCGGTCGAAGATCCATAGTAGGTAACAACTCGGAGGGACGGCGCCCACTTTTTCACTTCCCTTCGCCAATTGGGAACTGTCGCATTAGGGACAACCACAAGAAAAGGCCAACATTTGTGATCCTGGACCAAGGTCGCAAAGAAAGAGACCACTTGGATGGTCTTGCCGAGGCCCATCTCATCAGCTAAGATGGCGTTCTGGTTATTGTACCATTGGTACAAGAGCCAATTGAGACCATCAAGCTGATATGCCATCAATTCACCGCCAGTGACGTTTTTTGGCTGATCCTTTCTCTCCAGAGAATTCTCAAAGCTCAAACCTCGGATGCTGGTTAAATGTCGTCTCAGAGTGGATTGTCCAGGGATTGAGAGATGCAACTTGGCAACGTAATCCTCATATGCTTCTTTAAAATCGTTCCACCGTTCAGTTTCTGCATAGGTCGGGGGCTTTTCCCAGATCGCATCTTCGTAACCTAGACCTTTGTATTTGACGAAGGCCATGTCGACTTCTTTGACACGTGCAAGGTCAATCTCTTTAGTGCTGTTCCTAACCACACTTGAGTAACGCACGTCAAAAACAATATCGACCCGGAACGCCTCTTCGGGAATTGCATCTGAAGTGCTCATCTTCGGAAGCATGTTTTCTTGTTTCTTCATGAACGCTGCCCTCATAGCACTTGCAGCGATGCCCCAGACCCAGGATCCCGACATCCATGTCGTGCGAAAGTACGATTGAGCTTTCCATTTCACGAGGTACTCTTTTTCAGTTTCTGGCATCTGGTCGACCGTGGTTCCCGGGATATATGCATCAAGGTCGACCGGCCTCCACGCCACTAGAGCATCAATCTGATGCTGATTCTCGATGCAATCTTTGCAAGTCCACGACCGGTGATAATGCTCGAAGCGTTTCTGGGCGAGTTCGGTCTCGCCTAGCATTTGATCATCGTCATCATCCAGAGAATGCGCGGTCTTGCGTGTGGGAAGGTGGTGCATATGCCAGGGTCGGTTGCATTGTGCACATCGAAACATGACGTTATCGACATTGTCGATCATACTGGGCTCAACAATGGTGATCGGGTCCTTTCCTCCATTCTCCTCTCTCTGGACCTGCTCTTGCCTGGTGGTCAGGCGATTTCTAAAGGGCCTAGAACATGCACCAAATTCGTTACAGACAACACAGCGACCCTGATGAGGCGCTAAGTGATCCTTCTCATGAGCAAAGCCGATGCAACGTCTGCACTGCAAGACGAACAAGCCCTCGCCGACTTTTGTGACAAGGTGGTCACGACTTCCACGAGGTCCTAAGCAAGACTTGTGGTATGAATTGGTGCACCCCTGACAGAACACGAGTGGTCCCTTCGAAGGATCGTCGCCGGTATAGTTACATGTATCGCAATCCTGACGATGTCGCCTTCTGAATGGATCATGTTCCGAGTGACGGGCAAAGTGCTCCTTTGTTGCAACAACTTTTGGTGCTGTTTTCTCTTCTTCGAGACTTGATATATCGTCCTCCTGACGTTCGCGCATGCTCTGTCTAGGTTTCGCACGTGTCCTTTCCGACCGACGTGTGCCAATCTCGCGCTCAGATGAGGAAGAAACGTTGACTCTGGTTGAGCGCGATCCCCGTGGGCGGCCTCTCGTCGGCTGCACCACAGAGCGTCGAGCCCGGTTACTCCGCCTCCGAGGTTGGTCGGAGTCGTCCTCAAATTGCAGTAGTTCGGGTTGGAAGTAATTCTTCTTCTTCATTGACGTGAGACGCGCAGATCTTCGGCCACGAGATTCGCGAACGTCCGACATGTTTTCATCACCCGTCTCTGAATCATCGCTTACTCCGTGATCAGAAACCTCGCTCCCACTAGCCTTGGAACGCCGTCGTATGTGACGTGATAGCTCGTCTTCACTAGATTCTGAGACAGTCATGGTTGTCCAATTTGCCAATGACGATACTGCCCCTTCCTTGGTCCTCCGCGAGGTGGATCGGTTGCGCCGTTTAAAGTCTCGTAATGCCCGAGAGCTATTGTTCAGACTACGCAATTGGCGTGACGAGACCTGTGTAGGAGCCATGATCAGTAACTAGTAATAACAGAGTATGTCTCAAATGAGTCGGCGGAGGAAAGGATTCGACGTGGAGAGGAGCTGCTCTGGGATGAAAAAGAGGGAAGAAGGATATGTCCTGAACAAAGGGTATTGAAGTATGAGTGAAGTGACTTACAAGTTCCTTTTCGCCGCTCTCCAATCTCACAACATATTGATCGTGCGTCTTTTGGGCAAGTATCTCCTTGACCTCGAAGTGGCCTGGCAAATACTCATACTCTTGCTTTGCTTCTTCAGACAGTCTCGGCACGTCGATATAAAAGTTGTGCTGTAGCGAAGGGACAAGTGCCGAGACGAGTCCATCTTCGTCTGATGCTGCTTCTGATTCCTCGTCATCATTATACTCGTTGTCGTCGTCGTCGCTTGCCTGAGCATGGTATTCATCATCTTGGTCGATATTACCACGGCTGGACGTGCGGCTTAGAGCTGATATTGCCGATACAAGCGAACCCTGCGAACTTGGGACGGCCTCAATCGCGTTATCATCTGTATTCTGAGACTTCTCTGGCGGTTTGCCCAGCCAGGCAGAGATGTCAACAGAGATGTTCATGGCATCCGTCAGTTCTAAGTTCGCGCTTCGGAGAGGCCGTTCCACGGTTCGAGGTCATTGTAGTCTTTCCGGAAATGAGTTGCAGGCTTGTTGTGACTGAGGGTGCCAGAAATCAATTGTGTCGCTCTCTGCCAACGCAAAGGAGATTATGGAGGAATGACTGTACAGGTCGTTTGGGCAAGCCTGGTGCGAACGCGACTTTGTTCTCCGCAACGCGCAAGTGCGGGCGGAGGCGCGTTTGATTAATTACGCTTTGTATCGAGTCTTCAAAGACAAATCTACAATTTTCTCCAAACCCTCGAGTAAGTCGTACACTCAACCACATCAGCTCAAGTCGAACGGTGAATGCAGTCCCTTGTCCAAAATGCTTTCCGGACGAGAGTCGACCCGTCGATCCTCCTCAAGTCTGCATGCAGGCGTACGATCTCCTTAACCGGCGCCATCGAGAAGGGTGTTCGTGATGGACAGTACAGCGCAGTCAAGCACGAACGACGGCGGGAGACTCCTCGAAAAGTAGCGACTCCAGGCAGAAACGAAGGCACAGAAGACAAGAGATTTTCTTCGGTCGATGGGATTCCTAGTCACGTCTCAACTGCACATCGTAATGGGAGGAGCAGAACCGCACTGGATGAGGGAATCCCGGCAACCATGCCATACACTACTGCTACCTCGGAGTTCGTCGCTGGTCCTCACTCAGTGTTGGCAGCGTTGAAGGCGAAGCGGCGCAAAATCTACAAGCTGTATAGTATGCTCTCGGACGATCGACCAGGGGAAGAACATTCAAGGCGTGCCATGCCTTCTGCAAATAAGAGAAAAAGCAGCCAGAACTCCAGTCATGCTGAGGTTCTGAGGGAGATATACGCCCTTGCTAAAGATCATGGAATACGCGTTGAAAATGCCCAAGGGCCTACATGGAAGCGAAGGTTCTCCAAGGTCACTGGTGGACGACCTCATGGTGGCATCCTCCTAGAGTGTTCTGCTCTCTCTGCTTTGCAAGTCTCGACGCTGCCATCTGTTCAACAGCCCGACCAGAATATACTGGTTGCCATTGGATGGAAGGATCAGCAATCGTACAGCCCTGGAGTGGAGGAGCAAGAAGACATATTTGGCAACAAGAAACCATTGCCTACTACGCCTTCATATCGACCCTCGTATCGATTCCCTTTCATGTTGTTACTCGACCGCATCAACGATGTAGGCAATTTTGGGGCAATCGTGCGTTCTGCTTGGTTCCTCGGTGTTGATGCCATACTCACTCTAGACCACGGAACCCCTGCACCGACTCAAGCTTCTAAAGCGTCGTCTGGCGCAGTAGAATACATGCCCATCTTGCAGATCAAATCAGAGAGAGACTTCATCAAAACGTCGAGAGCGAACGGCTGGAAGTTCTTCGTCGCCGACGCGGCCCCCGAAGGTGCAGGGCGAGTCCATAGCGTCTCTCGCCGGAAGCACGAAAAGGTCGAAGCGGTGCAAGCACAAGGTGCTTTGTTGCAATATCCCTGCGTTCTTGTCCTAGGCAATGAGGGCGCAGGTATTCGAACCTTCATGCACAACCTCGCCGATGGTGTGGTCGGAATATCAAATGCCCGTCCAGACCATGGAGATGTCGACAGCTTGAACGTTAGTGTGGCGGCAGCCTTGCTGACCCAGAAATTCTTCGACTCTGCTCGTGTATAGGACAAAGCGGGTTGACATTAGTGTTGTTAATGATCCCTCCACCGTACAGTATGATAGCAAGATCAGAGCGACGTCAGCTCAAACCTTCGGCAACCATTCCAAGGAGTAAACAGGACTACTCCTTCTGAACGGAACAACCACGTCTCCTGAGCCATCGGTTCCGGTGGACTGAACGGCCAACTTCTCGATCACCTTTTCCTCCTTCGCCGAAACCTTTATCTTCGCTCCGCTTGCTTTCACCCGATAAAACTTCCGACCAAACGCACCAAGGAACCCTTCTAGCACATCCTGTGACACTCGATCTTTTTCGATCATCCCCTTAGATATCGCGCCTTCGAAAGCTTGCAACACGTACTGGGTTGCGTATGGCTGTGTGAAGACACCGGCGGCGCACTTTGCGACCTCGGACCCCAGACCGCCTTTCTTTGCTCGCAAAGGATGTGGCGCACTATCTGTGCCCAGGAAGAACTTCTCATCACCACTCGTTGCGGCCTTGACCAGTGCAACGCGGTCCTTGGGAAGCTTCGCAACCGGTTTGCAAAAGTTGATCGGGTCACCGGCCCAATCGTCCACGATCAAACTGAGATGGTGGGCGGTGATTGTCGCGACCACGTTTGGCCCGCACTTTTTCACAGCCTCAATAGCCGCAGCGGTCGTACAGTGTTCCAAGACAATTCTGAGCTTGGGGAACCGACGATGCAGGTCCAGAAGAGTTGGAAGAAACGCCTCCTCCGCATTGAGCACGGTGATATCCTCGCCAGGCGGAGCCTCGCCATGCAAATTGAGCACCAGGTCCTCTTGTTCCATGGCCTCAAAGACGGGATAGAACTGCTCGTAGTCGACTACGCCAGAGGCCGAGTTTGTAGTCACGCCCGCCGGATAAGACTTGACCCCGTAGATCGCGCCAGATCGCTTCGCTTCTCGGATCGTGTCCGGCGTGATGGAGGGGTGCAAGTACAGTGACATTAGACACGTTGCGTCACTGAACTTCGAAATGCTCTCTTTGTAAGAGAGTGCATGTGCGACTGTAGTGATTGGTGGCACGAGATTGGGCTGTCGAATAGTAGAAAGAGAAAGAAAATGTCAGTTATCACTCTTCTATATCCGAAATGACCGGTATAGCTTTGGGTGTGTGTACGTAGCCCAAGTCCTCGACAGGATCAAGGTTGTCAGACCAGGCGTGGCAATACAAGACAGCTTTAGCCTGCCAATGTGTACGGGTGCAGGCAGTTGTTCCCTCGATCACTTACCATGACGAATACGGTCTCGACGCCGCCTTGCTTGATCGTTGGAGCCACGGCCTCGAGCATGGCTCCGTCGCGAAGATGGACGTGAAAATCCGCCGACGCCGGCAGGACAAGCCCGTCGAACATGGTGGATGCCATATTCCGCCGCGTATCTGGACCGAGGGTGACTTGTTCTCGTCCGGAAAGGGATGTTGATGAGAACTTCGGAGTACGTCTGAGTAGAGGACGGAGACGGATTGGGGGGGGGGGGGGGGAAGCAAGTACGGCACCCGTCCTACGTATAGATGTAGGTAGGGTATAAAAAGTGTTCGTTCCGTGCGGTACAACAAATTTCAAACGACAAGGCCGGTACCGGTTGGTTGGTTGTAGGGAGTAGGATGGGGTCTCTATCGATCATGTTTAGTGCTCTGCCGTAGTCGCGTCTGAAGTAACGTACGGTGGATCAAGAATGCCGATCCGAAGAACCAACTCAGTCCGTACCTGGGCGGAGGCAAAGCAGGGGATCGCAAGGGGACGAATCTACACAAAAGAAGAGGGTTCATCTTGCCGATAGCTTGGTAAGAAGGGTCATCTCACAAGGCGAGATAACATGGTGTTATTAGCCATTGCTGTCTATCGTCTCAAAACAAGTTGTACACAGTTGTTGGTTGCTGTCGTCGTGCCTATTGTATCCCATATTTGCAGCTCCTTTTTGTCCATCTAATCCATCCATTCAACATACCACATTATCACGTATCCCCGTTAATCCCCAAGCTCCATCCTCAACGTTCCAGCAATTTGTCCACGCCAATATTCGTATGTACCAGGTGTGGTGTTGTCGGTAATGGCCATTGACCGACCATCTTCTCGAGCTGTCCCCTTCCCCGCACGGGGGTATGATGTGGCTGCTTTGAAGAAATGCTTCACTCCTAATCGAATAGATCATCGATCTTGTTGAACGCCCATTTGCTGTTATATCCATTCGTCCATGAGAGAGGCCCGATAGCCCCTCTAATATGCATAAAAAAAATCAAGTCGCTCATTCTTTGTTGTTCAATGCAATTTAGTCCTGTGGATCAGATTAGCCCTGCTTCTGTCTTATGTTCCGGAGCGAGTAAGCAATCATACCTCATCTGTAAGTCGGTCCAACAACTGTATACTCAATATCATCACCAGGAGGCCTAGCGTTACTATCACCAGGAGCCCAAAACCGAACCACCCTAGGACCATCGCGGCCGTCCCAACCCCGGACTTGACACTACCATTGCCGAGATCCCTGGTCACTATGGTTGCAGCCACAGCTGCTGTATGCTGCCACATCACAGACACCAGCACAAACACTGATGCTATGAAGATGGTTGCCAACGCCACCTGTGACACAGCTCTTGAAGGGAACGGTCGTACTTCGTGTTCGGAGCCATCCGGTCCAGTACTCGTGTGCCATCCCGGGAAGGTTGCGAGGAGGATGAAGGTCAAGAATGCGAGGACGATGGCAATGATAAGGAGGTAGGGGAAAACGATGGCGTTTTTGAACGTGCTGGCCACCCAAACCAGGTTAAGAGGGTCTTGATCGACGCTGACCAGATCTGCAAGCGCGGTCGAATTTTGGTTGCACATCCATGCTCCGCCATCTGCTTTGATACAGATGCCGAAGTATCCAACTCTTACAGTAAGGTCGGCGTCGTTTACTATGTTGGCAATGGCTGTCGACACGCCCGGGTCGACCTGGACCGCACTGAAAACCGGAGGATATTGTTGGTAGTACAGGGAGATGAGATAGATGTCGGGTATCAGAGGGGAGGTTGATGAACATCCTGCAAGAAGGAGTGCTGGGAAATGCAGGTCAGTTTGATTGTTTGACCTTATGCCGCGATTTTTACTCACATAATAGAATGATTGCAATCGCTATGAAGATCATCAGAACATGGTGGTAGCCTATAAACGGCACGTATCTTCTCCATCCTGTGGCGAATCTAGGTGCCATGATGCTCGATGTTCAACGAAGACGGCTTTTGAGAGTCTCGTCGAGGATTGGCTGGTCCCCGTCCGTGCGGACGGTGGATGGTATGGAAGCTCAGCACAGGCAATCTGTCGTCCCAGCGCCCGGTTCGAGAGGTGGTCAAGGCGAATCGGTTCGTGCTTGGTAGATTCGAATTTGACAACGCGGGGTGAATTTGGGATATCGGATTTGATGCTTCAAGGTTCGAGAAGTACTGCAACCTGAGAGTCAGTTGCCTGCGTCTTATTTGATAGTAAAGGGAATGGGAAGAGTAGGGGAGAAGAGAGGAAGGGGAGAGAAGCGTAGCTGGATTTAGTCTCAGAATATTCGAAGACTGGGACTGCAAGGCACCAATGGCCATAATTTCTCAGAGATTTGCCATTGATAATCGTGGAGGTTGGTACATGCGGTGAATGTGATATTGAGGTGGTTGGTAAAGAGAAATTTTGGTGCCAACTCGAGATAGCCAAAACAAGGTACCTAAAGAAGTTTAGCGTAGCCTTGTCAATCGGTCTCCGGCGCTGATCTCTCCCGCCGACTGGTTTGCTGGCCACGCTAGCCTCGTCTGCAAGGGGGTTCTGTCTGCAAGGCTGCATGATGTCACTCGTAGCAGCACCTCCGAGATCCCCCTGGATCGCTCCTGGTAGCACATCGAGCCATGAGAAAAACCCGAATGCTGGTGTCGTCCTCAAGACACGCCTCATAATGCCGCCCGTCTAGAATCAGTTTTACAAGAGCTTGGGGTATCATTACTAGCCAATGGATCTATGTGCCTACATTGGATGTTCATGCCCAATTCCTCACATCATCCAATGCCAAAAGCCCACATCATCTCTGAGGTTGGGATGCGTTAACCGATACCACAAACGCCAAATTCAATCGCTCCTAAATCGACTATCCAATACATCATGCAGGGACAAAAGCAAATGCACTTAGATCGAGTTTTGGCTTTCGATCCGGAGAACCAATCTCAGAGCCATCGTCTTCGCTATTCGGTATAATAGCATCCTCACTTCCACGCACATTTACCGCCGCAGCTGCGTCTCCTTTCACAACCACAGGAAGGCTAAGCGACTCGAGTGCAGACTGTCGTCTTTCGGGTGACTGGTATTGGAAAGTTTGTAATAATTCTGGTGTTCCATGGTTTCGCCTTGTCGGGCCTGACTTCGTAAATGTACTCAGCAGAGCTGTCTGCATCCTTTGCGGTGGTGGTGCTGTCGCTGCTGGAGTTGAATTCAGAGGCGTCGTAGTCTTCCGCGAAGATTCGAAGGCATATTTTCCCAGCAGTCTTTCGTTTTGTTTTCTGACATGATACTCTAGAAGATCCTCGAACGCCTCGGGATCTGTGTCTTGACCGACATACTGCATCCCGCTGGAGCTCGGACTGATTCCACCTGGGCTCTTCTCCGAAGCAGATGGTAGTGATGGATACAATGGGGAAGATGGTGACGCCGGGGGTGATGATTGTGGAATTGATTCGGGGTCCTCGTTGTCATCAGGCTGTGGTTTTGTGATGGCATCAATTATTGGCTTTACTTGAAGACTTTTGTCCGGGCTGGCTTTCTGCTGAACAGCAGACTGTGTCTCATGGAAAGCGTTGGCTTCAAGAAAATCGTCCGAGTAAACCTGAAACCCAGATCTTCGGGTCTTCTTGGCCTTTCCCTTCTTGTCCGCCAACGGGCTGACTTCGACTTCATCGGCTATCGGGACAAAGAACGGACTTTGCTTAACCTCATGAGTGGGAGGATCTGCTGAGTCAGAACATAGACGCTGTCTTTTGAGAGGCTGATAGGTGGACTTGATAGACGCCCGAGCCAAGAAAGCTGATCGGTTGGTTTCCGACGTCGTATTGACAAATGCGGCCGCGTTACGCCTGGGTGCAGGCGCAGAAGTCACCAACCTAGGCTCCCAGGATGCATTGTGATGACGCTCCAGAAGTCTCTGCTGGGACGGGGATGGTGTGAGACTGTTTGGATCTAACTCAGCAAGCGGTTGTCGGTGTGGCTTGAAGAAAGTCTCGATGGATTTCTTTGGCTTCAGTGACACTGGTGTTGCGTAGCTGTGTCGTCTGTTCTCACCCAGTACAGCGCGACTGGCAGTTTCGGCTTTTCCGATCTGGATAGGTTTCTTTGTAAATGGATCAAGGTCGCCACAGGCCACACCTATGGCTGTGTCCGGCTCCACGGGGGGTCCTAAATACGGCATATCCTGCTCTCTAGCCCCAGGGGCGAGGTCTCTTAGGAAGACCATCTTCTGTGCAATGGGGCAGAAAACGCGATGGTGCAAAAATGTCAACTCTGCCTGCCGGAAACTATCCAGATAGCCGTTCGGAACCACCAACTTGCCTTCGAACTGTATTATGCGCAGGATTTTCTCGATGTCTTTGTATTTGCGCACGTACCCATACGCAGTTTTGAGGCCCAGCTTCTCGATGTTCGAGAGATAGTCGCAGCCACTGAGGATAGCAAGTCGCATGAACATAGTATCCGTCCATCCTGCAAGATTCATGTCTTTGCACAGAGGAAAGTCTGTTCTCTCAATCTCGACTAGTTCTCCATATTGATTGAGTTTGGTCAGCAGGCGCTTCGCGCCAAATACGAGAAGATCGGAGTCTTCCGAAAGAATCCCATCAATGATCCCTTTGTTTTCCAGGTAGACAAGCTGCGCATCAGCTTCATATGGCGCAACAACATACTGAACATTGAGCTTCTTCAGTTCCTCGATCAGTTGCCGTGCCATGAGTGGAGTCACGTCGACGGACTTTTGCAGTTCCTGTTGCGCTTGACTAGTCTTCCCGGCCCTGTAAAGTTCCAATCCAAGGGCCTTGCTTTCTTGTCTTTTCTTTCGCCTGGCTTCATTCGTACCGGCCTTGCTGGGTAGATTGTCTCCATCGAATATCAAATATGGTGTCACGCCAAAGTCCAGAAGCATACGGACTCTACTGAGCACAAAGTCGATATGAATGGTCGTAGGTTTTCCCAGGGCAAGAGCAAACGCGCAGCCAACAACACCGCGATGTAGCCATCCGTACGCGTCTACTCCGATCGTTTGTCCGGCGAACTTCTTGAGGGTACACGGCTTTTGAATGGATTTGAGCAGGGGCAACAGGCCTGTATGTTGTCAACGACCAGTGGGAGATGCTATGAATGTGACCTACCCTTGATTCCCATTTTCGCAGCTATACAGATCCTCACCGCCTATTCTTAGTAGAGTCTGTCACAGCGCGACTGCGACATGGAGAACGGGTTGGTGTACGAAGGATCCGGCAACTGTGCACTTCGTCTCTCAGACTACTCCGTGCCATTGAAGATTATAGATGCTGCAACAATACAAAAGCATGCGGTGGATTGCACGGCCTCAACTGACAGGGCATCGCTTGGTTGAGGCGCGTCTAAAACGCTGGAAGGCGCGTAGTGGGCGAGTAGTCGACTTCGGAAGGCAAACGAAGTCTGACAGAAAGTCATACTGAGGCACTGCAGGTGGATGCGCCTTTCCCCTTGGTGCACTGGGGGCAAGCTACACGGTCAGACAAAATTGATATTTAGAGGTACTTACCCAGGTTGCCGAAGTTCTACCGCTCCAGAGATATTTTTTGGGGGAGTTTATGAATAGTGAGGAATTCTGCCCAGGAATTTGCAGTTCTTGTACGTGGAGTTCAGCGCATCCCATTCAATTAATATCAATACCAGTCGAAAATGGCGCGCTCACTCAGCAAAGTCCAAAAACACATTTCCAAGAAGAAGGGAGGGAAAATCAACAGCCTTCATGAGAATAGTCGAGATGCAAGGCGTCTACGAGCAGCCGGCGCACGGGAAGACAAGTTGCATCGTATCATGGACGCTACTCTCAAGTCTAATCAGATATATGGTATTTGCCGCCGAAGTCCTCGAGCTCACTAGGCGTTTGCTGACCAGCATACTCAAAGTCGACAGGATAGCCTGGTTTAGATCAGCCTTGGAGGGTTCCGTCGGCGCCGTCAGCGACGAAGAGATGCACGTCCTAACACAGGGGTACGTGGGACAATTTCTTGGCTGTATCATAGTCTAACATGGTTACAGCTTTATCGATCGAGAGGATGAGCAATTAGAGGAAGCTAAGAGCCAACGACGACCTGGTCGTCCTCCCAGCAAGATAGAGGATCAGATCAAACAGAGAAAGGAAGCCGAAGAACGCGAATTTCGTGGAGGATTCTGGGTACCTGAATTTCGAAGTGCTGAGGGTCGCTCGAAACTGGAACGATGGACTGGGGACTGGAGCGGACTCAACACCCTAGATTTCGTGCGTGTTGTGAAGGCAGGATCGATTAAGGCATCAAGTTTTCCACCAAAAGGCCTATCTTGAATGGGCATCGCCAGTTGAACATCACAATGATGATAAACAGCACCTGTGTCCGAAAAACATATCTTCGAACACCGATTGCGACGATCACGACTGATATGAACCGATGAATCCGACATGACCCTCAATCGAGTCAAGGTTGCACGCGACGACGAATATTTCGCCGAATAATTGCAGACAATGAAGAGCATTGTGCGCTCATGGAGGCAGTGGCACAAAAAGGGAGCCAGGAGAACCCGGCTGGCTCTCAAGCAGATTTGTCGGCGGAGGACTAATCCGCCTAGAAACTAGGTCTCCGCTGTGGTAACTGCACGTCGGGTTCTGACAGTACATACTTGTCAGCGGTGTAGGAGACAATGTTTTGAGAGATGTGCAAGATCACACACAATGGAGATAGCCACCTAGGTAGGCAGCTAGACAAGTGGATTTAGTCGTCGCGGGCATTGGGACAACACCTCCATATGATGGTGTCAGTATCGTACGGAGGAATTGTTTCTGATGACACGGGGTGACGACAATGCAATGTCATTTGAACCCGCAGTTTGGAGAAATGGCACTGATAAAGGACTGAAAACTGCAGGCAGCTCGCATACGGCTCACCCCGACCGTGCCGCTTTTAAAACCCCATCACCCTCTCCTCCACCTCTCCTCACCCTCTTCTCCCTTCTGCTCACTTCTGCTCACCTTTTCTGCGCACTCGTCGACTCATGCGCGATTCGAAAATGGGTCCTGTCTTGACGCCGACCCGTGCCTGAGTCCTCATCTCTCGGTGTCGTCACCGATATTTCGTCAATCCAGCCCGGAAGTGGATGGCGACGGGACCAGTCCTAGTTCACCAGAGCAAACAGAGGTGATGGAAAGAGATGAGAAGGCCTCTTCTCATTTCCGGGACGTTGGCATCCCCTGCGATGAGCTTTGGGATCAAAGCGAAGCGTATGACCTGAGGTGCTGTTTCGACCATACGGAGGTAGAGTTCCTGCTCCAAACTCCGGATCGATTGATGCCTGCTGAGCATTTTGACGTTCCGGACGCGGCGGCTAAATTGGAGGCCATGTATCAACAGCATCTGGATGGTCCTTCCGAGTTCGATCCACACGGAAAGCATTGCCAAGCCGGATGCAAAAGTACTCTATTCTCGCAGGTGCACAGTATCATTGACAAGGATATCATCAACGATAAGGTCTGTTACTTGATTGGCTGGAAAGTGTGCTGGACCCCTGAGAGTTGTATTGGCGAAAAGGGTTGGATTGCGGCATCACTGGCAAGGAACAGGAACCCACGTCGTCGACGGCGCCAACGGTTGCCGAAGGTTTTTGAGTCCAGACTAGAAGGATACAGGAAGGTAATGGTGGTGGTGGACCTGGGCTCAGGAGAATAAAATGCAATACTTTGAGTTGATCGGTGATCGACTAGCTGGTGGCGATTTCCTGCCGAAGTGATTGATTGTGTCGGCAAACCAAGATTTTGATCCTCAGGTACACATGAAACGAGGTTCGTTGTCCTGAGGGCGGCCCTTCTATAAGTCGATACCAAGTGACCCAATTTCATGCTGCTCTTCCAAACTAACAGCCTCTTTGGCGATGAGGTCGGCCGTCTCGTTTCCTTCGTTGCCGGCGATCCAACGCGGATATAGAAGGTAATGGTATCTGTCATGTACAGCCTCGCGCTAATGCTGATGAGTAGGGCTCCGAAATGAATACGAATATTGTGAATATTCACGGATAAATGTGAATATTTAACGCCTCATCTTGAATCTATCCCCTACTTCTTTTGCCTCGCGCGATTGTTTCCACATACGGTACGAGACATCCGTGTCCCGGCGAGGTTTCCAGGAATGCTTCCTTTAACAATTGGTCAAAATCTACAGGATGGATTTGAGCTGATCACTTACCTCTGCCAATTCAGACAAAATGCCCTTGCTTGCCGCCCCAAGAAAGTCCTTTATACGCCCACTCCATTTGTTAGGATTGACGAGCTGCAGAGTGAGCGGATCAGCCATATAAGTCCCTGGTTCCATGAGTTCGAACAAGAGGTGCGCCAGATGGGCGCCATGCTCGCACAAACTTGGCCCTTGAACGATAGCATCGGCGACATTAGCTGCGTTAATCAGCGTAGGTCTGGCGTCAGATTCAGGAATTGCCCACCAATTTTCGCAACCCCATCTTGATTCAACAGTACTTGAGACGTGTCAAGCATGGGTGGACAAACCGAAAGAGTCTGCTTGAGGAATAGTAGGCCAGACAGGACCTATGCAATTAGCATTTATGCATAAAGATTTGGCACAGGCTAACCTGTTCGCAAATTGCCGCGAGCTCAAATTCTCTCCACGGTCCCATAGGACCACCATGGATTTCCTGTGAAGAGATATGGATCGACTCATAAACGAGGTAGAGGCGCCCGTTATCCTGGAATGCCGCGAGGAAATGGACGACGTTGTCGTGCTGGACTCTTTTGCGACTATCAACTCATCACCGACGGCGTTTCTTTCTTTGATGGCGACAACTTCATAACTGGAACCGCGGACAAATGCAATGGTCGCAGCTCCCGCTTCATCGCCATGGAGAATGCTCTGGTATACCTTCCAGGGTGACTCTTTCTTGCAGAAGGAAGTGGTCAAGGCGGCATCCTCGGAAAGCGGCGTTGTTGCATTGCGAACCTTCAAAGGCAGCCTCTCTGTGAAGTCCGATGGTATAGCATTCTATAGCATAAGAAGTGAATTGATGGTGTTGCAAAACTTGTAAGGAACGTGAGGGCGTCGGCGCTCCGCCGGAGGCGCTAAGACGCTAGCGTTGCAAGTCGTGCACCTTGTTTTCCGTGCTTGGCAATGGTCTGCGAGCCAGCCAATTAACTTGGCCCGATTGGTCAGCTTTATGGACACCTAAAGTCCGTATGGAAGCCATCCAGCCGCGATATCGGGCTCTGACAAATGCTCGGGAGTAATTTACTTCCGGTGGCAACTCTCAACGACCGCCACATGTAGTGACCCGTTTTAATGCTACCATCTACTTCATCAGCTCCTTTATTCCGTTCTTTCGCGTCGGACGCCACAGTACGCGCACTAAGACAACTCTCGGCCCTCGGGAAATCGCGACGCATCCGGAATTAGAGTCTGATTTTGGGATGAACTTCTCCAAGGAAGGAAGAGCGAACCGTATTAGCAATGTAAGAGTCAGCCTAAAACTACACAACAAGACCGGCCTTATTGACAAGTCAAGGAAAGGCATGTCATCGGTGCCAGACAAAAAAGATCAGGTGCGATGGCAAAACACCTACATGCTCGCCCTGTGAGACTCAAAATACCGAATGCACCTATGGCCCACTCAGGAGGCGTGGCAGAGGCAGGAAGTCTGTCTCCAGGTACTACGAATTATGGCAATACTAATTATATGCTACAGATCTGTGTATATTCAGTCGCTTGAACAGCGACTGGAAAAAATGGAGTTTTTACTTGAAACTTCAGCATTGCGACAGGAAGGCATAGCTGCGCCATCCACTCGGTCACCACGTAGCAGTGCCTTATCGCACCAGCCGGCCATTAATGCTGCTCCAGTCGCAGCTCCCAGCAGCAATCCACTGCTATCTAATGACAAGCCAACCTTCGCAGGCCACCGCGCACAACAAGTCGCTGAAGCTGTCCTCCCAAGCTCGACAACTAGTCCAGAGCAGTCGCTAGCGAACAACGGTATATCGATTCTGCCGACATCTGCAGAGGATATCCCACTTGTTCACTTCCATGAGGGCAAGGTACAATGTCTGAGAGACTCTATGCTCCGGTCGAAACCCAGTAGGCTGGAGTTCATATCTATGCTCCCTAAGACCGAAGCACTTCTGCTGGTTGAGTCTTTTATCGAAGATGTCAACAAAGTCTTTCCACTCTTCCACGTGCAGTCGCTCAAGTTTATGTGCAGGCATAAGTATCCAGTAGATGCGGACTCCGTGGAGCCTGCTTGGTGGGCTTGTTTGAATGCGATCATCGCCATGGAAATCCAGTTGAAGATCTCGAACAGTACCTCCAGAGCGGTGGCCGAATTTTCGTGGAGCTTTTTCAAGAATGCGTTCTTTGTTCTTACGGAACTGATCACCGACAGCCCCAGTATATTAGCTGTCCAGGCCGTCCTCGTCATGGCGACCTTTATGAGCGGAACCACGGACCTACAGACTTCGACGTTTCTCACCTCTTCTGCGATCAGGATGATGCAAACTATCGGTCTAGACAAAGAGGATCTAGGCAATAGGTTGAGCGCCATCGAGAAGGAGCAACGAAGACGCATATTCTGGATCGCCTTCTTGCTTGACGGGGCCACAAGCCTGAACTTGGGATTGCCCCCTGTGCTGGATTTCGAGAACGTTCGAATAAATCTCCCCACTGAGGACTCGCCGGACGGACTGGGGACACTGTTCAACTCGGATGGAACAGGCAGTGTGAACATATTCAGGCTCAGAGTCGAGCTAGCCATCATCAGGTCAAAGATATACAAACGGTTGTTTAGCCAGGATGTCACAGGAGTCACGGGCCACTATGCACAAAACCAAGTTAGTGAGCTCCAATATGAGTTGAGGGTTTGGAAAGAGAAAATCCCAGCTGAAATCCAGCTGGATCATGCTTCCCAAACTGGGGGTGAAACAAGAGAGTTGCCTGTGGTTATGTTGCAGTTTGAGTTCCACCACTGTATGGACTTGATCAACAGGACAGCCACAGCACGTCACAGCTCTCAAGAATTGCTTCGAAGGGGTGCGTTTTGCACCGACGCAGCTAGAAAAACACTTCGCCTGCTTGACTTCGTTGGTTGCCCACCATTCTCAGATCTATGGTGAGGACGGAATTTTCCTCCTCTCAGAAGTCACTGACAAGAACTAGGCGAGCGCTACCTTATCCTCTCTGTGCAACCATCACACTGCTTGCAGAGGTGCTTGCCAGACCCGCCGGTACTCAAGCCGCGGCGGATGTCAGCCTCATCGGCTCATTCCTGCGGTTTCTGAAGAATATCCAGCAGAAAGAAGGCTATGATATTACTCGATTCGTGGGTGGTTGCGCAGTGCTTAATGACGCTGCCAAAGCTGCCATTGCCAGGACGCAAGCAGAAGGGTGTATCCAGACCGAAATCGAAGTTCGCGGCGATGCAACACAGTCACCAGTGGATCCAGTGTCGGACCCAACTATTCAGGCAAAGTTGACAGAGAGGCTTTTATCGTGGCTTCAAAAGTTCCCCAGCTACATGCACCTCGCTCATGGCCTCATGGGAAACATGCCGAGACTAACTTATGCAGCCTCATTGGTGCTCTCTGACATCTTCAGGGGTTTTGACGGGAATGGTGCTCCTTTTCAATCTTTTGCATCCGAGACTTTGATGCCGAGCACGTACGGACTGGGCTCGGCAACGAGCCAGGTACCAACTAGCGCTGTTCATCCCCACGCAGACACATGCGAGAATACAACGCAGTGGGAGTTGTTGTGTAGGTAGAGCGGAATGGCTTAAGACTGAAACGGCATCAGAAGTGCTTGGGGCAAAGTGTGTGCTTTCAATCCAGTGACCTCGATTATCCGTATTATTAATTGCTGCCCGACGTTTGACTCTGATAATCTAATGTGATAACAACGTACAAAAGGTGCCCCGGCCCATCCTTACGATGCTTCGAGCCTCTTCCAGGCCAGGGGCGTACCTTGAGATGTTTGAGGCTATTTCGCCTTGTCACCAGCGAGTTCACTGACTGCCGGCATCTGATGAATCCATTCCTGAGCGCCATTTTCAACACCATCAACCAGCCACTTGGCTAACGTACTCCTCGTTATACCATTAGTCCATCCAGAACCCGCAACGGGACCGGCATATGCTGCTCCATTACCGCGCTCGGTCTTCCAGTCCTCTGCTTCTGCCGAGCCCGAGAGGTTTCCGACGCGAAAAACGGTCCAGTCGATATCTCGGGCTACCTGGTCTCTCTCGAACAACTCTTGGATGGCAAGAAAGTTATGATAAGCGCCACCTGCGAGGAGTTTTATGAGCCGCGCCATAAGAAAACGGCTGACGGAGCTGTGATCTTCAGGCTGGTAAATGGCAGTGGTACCTAGGGCGAAAAGTCTCCGCACCCCGTGCTTTTCCATGAGTGAGATTGTTGTCCGGTAGTAGTCCGCATATTCGGTGTTCTTGGGTTGGCGCATGCTGTTTGGTCCAAGCAGGGAGATTATCGCTTTTGACTTCGCGACGGCGGTAGAAAGGGCTTCGCGGTCGTTCATGTCACCCTTGATAACCTATACAGTTGCACTCCAATTAGTCTGTAATGCTCATCGTAGATGGAGCTGAGAGATGTCTAACCTCGACCAGAACATCGGATGCCAGGTCCGAGGGGATTTTAGAAGGACTGCGGGCGTAGACAATCATTGGCAGCCCGCGGTGAGCAAGCTCGCGCAGGACACAGACACCAGCAGGCCCTGTTCCACCAAGGACGAGAATCTTGTCGCCTGCCATATAAAAATTCTCATTCTCAGAGTAAAGCCACGCGTCGAGAGATATTTCATCGAAACAGCGGCAGAACATTCCTCTTGTGAAGAGTAGGGCATACTATCTTACGTTGACTTCGGGAGCAAATTGCTGATTAATTGGGTGGGTCTGTGCCCACCGCTGGAACTCTTCATTGATCGGTCCAAGAATAAAAGGGGCTTATCTGGATGCAATTTGATTCCGACTCATTCACGAGAGCGAATGACGACAAGCACCATAGAGATTCACGCAATGATTTTCTTCACCTACAACCCCTCTTAGCACAACTTTCTTGCAAGCTGGCCAGAGGTATAGTAAAAGACGGAAATCCATGATCGTTCCAGTGATCTTCCGATGAATACCCAGCACCAGGTGTTCTTCATCAGCCGAAGGGGTTGTGGAGTGCGGATGCTTCCAACGAGAGGATATCAGTTCCCATAAATTGTCAATGCATCCGCTTGAAAACCTTACCTAGAGTGAATGTATCTAACAGCCCGACAGCCTCCGCGCCCATTGACTGCAGTGGGCAGGCGATGAGATATTGGAAGCGGATGCAAACTAGATCCGCAGCATGAGAGAGCGAGTGGTTGTTCACTTCTATTCTCGTAATCAAGCATTTATAAGCTATATTGCCGTACACTCGGAAACCTTAATATCCGGCCTGCCGAGAATCCTTTGTTGCTAGAGAATAAAGAGATTGTGTCTCGTGAAGCAACATATTTGCTGATGTATATATAGGGAACATCCACATCTGAGAAGTGTACTCTAAGAACCAGCGCTACATTGAGGTAGAACTGCCCCTAGCAAACTTCCAAGACATCCGATTCAATCACGATGAGCAAAATTCAGAAAGTTACCCTTCTTGGTGTGAGTTCCCATCGGAATCTAGAATGGTATTTTAGGACTTAACAGTCATCTCAGAAAGGAACCCTCGGATCGGCAGTTCTTGAACAACTACTTAATGCCGGCTTCACTGTTACCGTTCTCAGCCGGACACCTGACTCCGTCAAGGGCCTTCCGTCCGGCGTCAAGGTCGACAGAGTCGACTATTCGTCTGTCGAAAGCCTCGCAACTGCCCTTCGAGGCCAAGACGCCGTCGTCTCTACCGTCGGGCCTGGAGCCCTCAGTAGCCAGAAACTGACGATTGAGGCGTGCATTCTGGCTGGGGTCAAGCGGTATATTCCGTCCGACTATGGTGCGATAACCACCGATCCGAAGGCGCAAACACTCCCCATCAACCGTTCAACGGTCGAGATTCAGCAATACCTCGCAGAAAAGGCCCGATCGGGGGATTTGGAATACACAGTATTAGCTACGGGGCCTTTCCTCGATCTCCTGATCTCTTGGCCATTCGCCGTTGATTTTCAGAACAGGTCGGTGGAACTATTTGATGGCGGTGTGCATCCTTTCAGCACGACGCGCCTAGCCACCATCGGAAAGGCAATAGCAGGCGTCCTGAGGAATACCGAAGCAACCAAAAACCGGGTGGTTTACGTACATGATATCGTCCTGACACAGGCCAAAATTTTAGCATTGGCGAAGAAATACTCAGCGCCCGGGGAGAAGTGGACCGAAACGGTAGTCGATTCCCAAACCGAACTTGACAAGGCGCTTGATGGCATTGCAAAGGGCGGACTTGACCAACGGAAATCAATGGCTTTAATCAAGGCCGCGCTTTTTTCCGGAAAATACGCAACCGAGTATAAGTCTGTAGACAATGAGCTTCTCGGCTTGGGATTCCTCAGCGAAGAGGAGCTGGATGCAATGTTCGCTGCAAAATCCAGCTAAAAAGACGTTGTCAGTTCGAGTCGAGGTTTACGAAGGTTAGATAGCGCCCTCTGTACCTAGCATTATCGACGAGACAATTTCGCAGAGGCGGCAAATCAAGGTTCAACGAACACGAGAGAGGATTGGACTCGATACATTGGTCAGCCTCAGGTCGCTAGCAGTCTTAATCAGGTCTCTGGCAACTTCATCACGCTGTTGCTATCGACCTATCGGCCAGAAAGACTTCAATGTCTGGCTTATGCCGCCGAATATGCCCATCGAACATTGGGACATGCCAATGTAATAAATGCCGCAAGTTCACGGGCGCTCTTGTCCCTCAAAGCTTTTAGGTCCCAACCGTCGACATCAACCCCCCATTTGCCTCGCTGCCGACGTAGAGGACTTATGCGTCTGGGCCAAACTCTTTCCGCGGATTTTGTACGAACTGTGGAAGCTCGCTCACACACAATGATGAAGAAAGTCGAACAGAAATATGGCTGGGATGTATAGAAGTTGAGTATCTTTGTGGGATGAAAGAGGGCGATGGCATTCAGACAGACTATGGGACGATTTATCACAGGATTGGAGGTGTAGGAAAAGAGCTATGTTAAGGCAGACTTCCATGCCTGGGCGACGAATGCAATAATAGGCCTTACTGATCAAGTAGCAGGCTTAAAGTTCTGGAAGAACAGAGAGGATGGGAAGCCATTCGAAAAGGATGTGGCAAGCCTGTAGAAGTGTATTCATTCCTCCGGCTTGATTGGACCAGCGGGTGGCCGCAGAGGCCTTCACGTGCGTCGACCTAAGAGGCCAATTACAGGGTCAGCCCAGGCAGACGAGGCCCCAATGCTGCCAAGGCGCAAAGCCTCGCGGCCCCCATGACCGGTGAGGCACGGGTGAGCGCGCAACCCGACTCACCCTGACTCGCGCGCCCGGGGTGAGCACAGGGCGGCATCACCCTAGGCCCGGAGCAGGGTGAACGGCCTGCAGATTTGCTTGATATTGGCGTGTCGCTCAAAATAAAGTCTTGGGAGACACTTGTACTTGTACGGCAACTCCATTGATTGAAACAAACTGCACACCTGATTTCTTTTTCATCAACTTCTTTCTTGACCACGTCGCATTCTCATCTACACAGCATGAATTCCCTACGACTAGTCAGCCGTGCTTTGCCCAAGGCTTCTCTACGCCGGTCTGTTGTCCGCTACTCCTCCTCCGTCTCAAGATTGGCACTCCGCCGACCAGTATGGCAAACGGCAGCAAAGGCATCATACCCGGCGTTTTCAACTTCTGCCTTCCGTCGAGAAGCTGCTGGTGATTGTAAGAGAGAGGACTGAGCGTGGTCTGTTCTGCGGCTGATAATTCATAGTCGACGTTGAACTGTCCGAGAAGTTGAACTCCGAACAACAGCTTGAGCTGGAAAACAGTGGCGAAGGCGCCCTCAGCGAGATCAACGATTTCTTGAAGAACCACGATTACTGGAAAGTCCAAGACAAGCCTGGTACTCATGAAGTATTCTTCACAAGAGAATTTGGCAATGAAAAGTGAGGACAATGTTCTGACCACACGCGGCTGAAGATGTTAACGAGCATGCTTCTAGGATCAAGGTCGCCTTGACCGTTGCTGACATCGATAACATTGCCGACGAGGACGAATACGGCGGAATGGACGAAGATGCTGCTCTCGATGATGAAGTGGACTATGGGTCAAACAAGGCCACCATCAACCAGTCTGGCGTAAGAGGAGGCAAAGTCGATGTCATGCCGGAGGACAGCATTGCCCCAGCAGACAGAGATGCAGAGGACACCGGGCTCCCGGACGAGACTCCGGCATACCCTATCAACCTGACAATTACCATCACCAAGCCCAGTAAGCGGGCGATCGAAATCCGCGCCGTCGCCCAGGAAGGTACTATTGAGCTCGACTCAATCAGCATATTCCCGAAAGAGTCACTGCTCGAGGCACAAACACCCAAGGACGCTCAAGAAGCCCGCAGCCTATATGCAGGCCCGACCGTCGGTAACCTTGACCCCGACCTCCAAGCGATGCTCGAAAAGTACCTTGAGGAGAGAGGTATCGACGTTGATTTCGCCAACTTCCTGCCGAAGTATATCGACTACAAGGAGCAGCGAGAATATGTACAATGGCTCGATGGTAAGTGAACATTTGCCTGGAGGTTCTTGCTATATGCTGACTCTGAATTAGACATGAAGACGTTCGTCGAGGAGTAATTGTCTTGTCGTCTGGCGTTGGCCTCGCGAACTTCCCTCTTGTTCTAACTAGACCCTCCACTTTCAGCACGGAATTGACATCAAAAAGTGTACATTATGTAATGAGGCTTCTTCAGCCGATGCAATGGAACAATCAGATACCCGGAAATGCACTGTACAGACTTGATTTTATTTACATAAACTGCACGCGATCCATTTCCACATATCATGCGAATAACTCTCTGATACTCGCACAACTTTCTAGTTCTGAGTGCCATAGCCATCGACAAGAGCCATTATCCTGCAGGCGAGCATACCACGGGGGCAGCTCAAAGTCAAGATCTATCGGGTGGCTCCTGTAAGCCTCAATTAGTCAACGCGTCTGCCAGAAGGATTCATCTGGCCTCACTCTAATCGTACCCAGTACGGGTATTGTCCGAGTCACTGGATTGGTAGCAAACTGACTGATGTATAACGTCACAACCTTAACACCATGTTCCCGGCTCGACCTCCACTTGGGCCTAACGAGGAGCGTCGTCTGCAACCTACAGTGATACCACGGACAATGGCCGATCGTGATTGCGGATCACACACGCCCCCTGGACTCTGAAAGCAGCCATGAAGGTCCAGCGCCTGAGGAGTTGAGCTTTCGAGTCGGACATCCTGATGACAACCTACGGGCAAATATTGGGCAACCGAGGCAATCCCCCAGCATAGCGGCACTCGGAGCAACCTAAACGTCCGTATCAACCAGGACACGGCTATGAGCTCGTACTCTATCCAATAGCCAGAGGGTCTGGTGAGATGTGATTGCAGCAATCATTGATCTCGTAGTTGGTCCTGTCCACGGCAAATGATGTTCTCTCTACCAGAGAGGTATGCGGGGAAGTTCGAGCCTAAATCATCGCGCGTGTCAGTGATGGCGAGTCCGAGTAAGGTTGGTGCGCCAGCTATGAACACAAGATGGTAAACAGGCGAGGAGGAGCAGGTGGGGGATGGACTGGGGAGGTACAATCCTCCGTGCCCACCGGCCCCTTCGTCTCGAACACGAAATACGAAGCTAAAGTCTTACCTCGTATTCCTGGCTCGCATAAGCGGATCCTCCTGTTAGGGAAGGTACGAGTACTTGTATCAAGCACACCCGCAACTGCTCATTCTGACCTCCTGATGTCTAGTGTGCTCTCGGTGTGACACTCACTGTACCACTATCATCCCTGTTCTTCACCAACCTGGTCCTGTTATGGCACATTATTCGGTCGCAGCTCTCGGGCTGCTATTGACATCCATAGTCCTCTATATCGTCTCTGCTGTCGCCACGAGGTTTCGACACGCTCGCAGAGCCAAAGAATGGGGTTGTCAACCTGGTGTGCAGAGAAAGTCCAGACTGCCTCTCGGGATCGATCTCGTCTGGCAAGTCGTCCAAGCAGACCGGGAACAACGGGTCCCTGACTTCTTCTTCGAAACATACAAGAACATGGGAGTTCCCACGTGGCGTCAGAACATCCTAGGCAGCGAAGGCTACATGACATCGGATCCGAAGAACATCCAAGCCGTCCTTGCGACTCAATTCAACGACTTCGAGATTGGTGAGCAACGGCGAGGAAACTTCTTCCCCGTATTCGGCAATGGAATCTTCACTGCAGATGGTAAAGCATGGTAAGTTGGCATCGACTGCTGTGAAGTCGGAGACACTGACAAACCTCGTATCAACAGGGAGCACTCCCGAACCATGCTTCGTCCTCAGTTTGTGAGACAGCAGGTAGCAGACCTAAATCTCGAAGAAATCCATGTCCAAGACATGTTTCAACACCTCACAGCGAAGAACGGCTGGACTGACGTCGTCGACCTTGTTCCACTTTTTTTCCGTCTGACTCTTGACTCTGCCACCGAGTTCCTGTTCGGCCAAAGTGTCAACTCTCAACTTGCTGCTTTGCCGGGGTACACGAACGGAAAGGCTAGACAAGCCGGAAATTTGGACTGGACCTTGTTTGGACCTGCCTTTGACGGGGCTACAATGGCAGTCGGGACACGAGGACGTTTGGCAGATATGTACTGGCTCTACTCACCCAAACACTTCCACGACAACATCAAGATCGTCCACCAGTTCGCAGACTACTATGTGAACTTGGCTTTAACCACTGACTTGTCGTCCCTGAGCGAACATGATGGCGAAAAGGAGCAAAACAGGGAGAAGTACATTTTCTTGAAAGAACTTGTCCAAGCCACCCGAGACCCAGTCGAGCTGAGAAGCCAACTCCTCAACATCCTTCTCGCCGGACGAGACACCACTGCCGGCCTTCTCGGGTGGACATTTTTCCATCTTGTCCGACAACCAAACCTGTTCAAGAAGCTCCGAGACACCGTCATCGCCCAGTTTGGCACGTATGAACATCCCAAGGATATCACGTTCGAGTCGCTCAAGGGCTGTACCTACTTGCAGCACATGATGAACGAGGTTCTCCGGCTCAACGCGACTGTTCCCATCAACAGTCGACGATCCACCAAAGATACCACGATACCCAGAGGCGGAGGTCAGGATGGTACTGCTCCACTCTTCGTTCCCAAGGGCCAGGAGGTCAGTTATTCAGTCCACATAATGCATCTTCGAGAAGACATCTGGGGTCCGGACGCTGCCGAATTCAACCCAGAACGATGGGTAGGACGGAAGCCAGGCTGGGAGTTTCTACCTTTCAATGGTGGACCACGAATATGCTTGGGACAGCAATTCGCTCTGACTGAGGCTGGGTATGTGATTGTGCGTATGCTCCAGAGATTTGACAGGCTTGAGAACCACGAGACGGATCCAATCACACGCCACCAATACAGTGTGACGACTGCGCCTGCTCGAGTCCCACTTCGACTACATGAAGCTGCGGCTACTCGTTCTGCGGCGGTGCATTGAGTAGTGTCAGCGTTGGTGTTGGAACTCGGTAATCATATGGTATGGCAGGGAGCGTCGCATGATATGTAAATATGGCTTGCTGCGATTGTTGAATAATTAGCAACTGTCACTACATGTTTATAGTAAGATATGCAAACCCTCTTTCTTCCTTGGCCTTCAGGGTCTTGGTCGCAGGCATGTGCGTGTCTTTCTCTCACTGGTACCCGCTTCGACGTTCTTGTCAGGGCAACAGCTACTTGATCTAGGGTGCTTGCAATGTATTCGCACCCTCTGCCACAAAGAGCAGCCTCGTACGAGTATTTCTGTTATCTAATGTTGTTAGATGATGGTATGTCTGTATGTATGATATGTTCCAGTTTTGACCAGGGTACCCTCGTACGGGTTACCTGAGGTACTGGCGTGACACACAATTCTTTTTGGTGGATTTTTGCTCCTTTCAGGATATGACGTCGATCGAGGGTTCGTGGAAACGAAGCAGAACCTGGTTTGGGGGGCACTTGACATCACATCTTGTATCACGTCACATCACAGTACAGTGTGGTATCTACGAGGGCCTACGTACGGTACGTGAGGTTGGTAAATCAATCGAGTGGGCCCCCTCCGACGTAGGAAGGAGTACCTACCTATCCACGTAAGGTATGTTAGTAGAAATCTGGAACCTGGGTATACTTAAGTCCTCGAGCAGGAAGACATCTGTTTTTTTTTTTTTTGGATCGCCACTCTTTACATGCACACTGCACATGCCCAGCCAAAAACGCGTCACATAAAAAATCTACTCCATCTACATTCCCCTGAGCTGAGCTGAGAGAGAGAGAGTGCTCGTCGTACTCGTAAACGGCGGGCCTGGTCATCCGAAGAGAAGAGGCAAGGACCAACAAAAAGATAAAAACGACGACGACGACGAAGGTTCCAAAAAAAAAAAAAAAAAAAAAAATCCCGGACGCAATGTCATTCTCCAGCGCCATGTTCAAATTCCTGACCTACGTCGTCACCTTGGTCGTCCTGACCGCCGCCGCCGTCTACTTCACCGGCTACGCCGACGACGTCGCAGGGTGGGCGGCGAAACGGTACTACAAGGCCAAAGCGATCGCCGAGGTCAAGGTTCTCGAGAACGTAGGAAGCGAGAAGGTGGAGAGTGAGATCAAAGGTAAAGTACCACGCACGCACGCCACGCATACATATACATGACCGTCATACCTACTACCTACCTACCTACCTACCTACCTACACAACCGGCCGTGCAGGTTTCATTGCACACATGTCACGTGCAAGGACTTTTACTGACGCCATTCGACATCGATCAGAGTCACTCAAGAAGAACCCCGTCATGGGACAGAGTGAACTCGACGACGTCGCGGGTGGCCTGGGACAGGAAGCGGCACAGCAGGGACTGGGGGGCGTCAGTTCCAAGCTCGGTGGGTTGGGCAAGTTTTGAAGGAAGACACGAGCCAAATGAAAAACCAAAAAGAGATGGAGAGAGCCAGAGAGCAATTGGGGTGGTATAATGTGCTGTGTGTGTGAGAGAGAGAGAAGGTACAAAATGTCTGTCTGGGCTCGGATTCGGTCAACTCTACTTGTATCTTCATCGCGCTAGGCGAGGTAGTCAGGCCTCAACTGGAACCAAGTATCCTTGGTCAACCTGTCAAACTCTCCATCCTCGTAAAAATTCGCCCGCACTTCGACCGTGCCGCCTGCTGACGACCGCATGAAGAAATCCTGCTGCGACAAGGGCAAGTGGCATCTCTGACTGTAATTGGGATAATGTGGACTCTACGTTACAAAAAGTCTCAGCGCGGCTCGGTGATTAGTAAGGCGGGTATACAAGGCGTGTATACAAGGGAACTAGCAACCGTACCTGGTACCCTAACCCCAGCATGATCCTGTGCTTGTCCGACTCATTCGGCATACCGGCGTGCCACAGTCTCAGATCGCGGATCATGATATCTCCCGGCCCGCACTCGGGTTGAATGGGGGGGCGGATCGCTCTCCGTGCCTCCTTTGCCTCGTCTGTGATGGCGGGTAAGGGTTCGCCCAGGCGTCCGTACTCGACGATCTGCTCGGGCGTGGTCGCGATGACTTGTTCGCGAAAGCTGGCGTGGGCGTGCGATCCCAGCCAGAACTCGGTGGAGCCAGTCTCGACCGTGAAGTCGCACAGCGGGATGTTGGCGATGAAGTAGTATGGGTATTGCGGGTGGGCAAAGGCACAGTCCTTGTGAGCCGGTTGACGCAGGCCGGACGTGTTGGAGAGTGCCACGTTGGACGTCAGCCAGTTCCATATGGGTGTGTGGCCGAGGTATCTGTTTCCAAAAGGTGAGCAGAGCCCAGTCAATGTAAGGGAGGGAGAGAAGGATATGTGCTACAACTCTAGACTGACGCATTGGCTAGTTGAAGAAGAAAGGGGTTGAAGTATACGTCCTCAAAGAGGTACGAAGATTCCGTCACCGGCGGGCGTTGGAGGAAGTTTGCTACAAGCGTTTTTGGGATATTGTCAACATGCGCTGCACTTCGTGCTAGGTCAAAGGCTGAAGAAGTTCGCTGCAGTGGACTAGCAATCGATTCAACATACATTTAACGCCGTGATTGAATGTCTGAGATGGGTCGACTCTCTTCTTCTCTGCATCAAGGCACATTCTCTCGTTGATCGTCGCGATGTGGTCGGTGTCGACGACATTCTTGAGCACGACCAGGCCGTCTTGGTTCATTGCCTCCAGTGCCTTTTGGAGTGTCAAGGGGGAGTATTTGCCCTTTTTCCGTTCATCATCCGACATGCTGACGACCTGGACGTGGTCTTTTTCCATGGCAACGATCATTTTGGGGTGAGCGGAAGCCGTTGTTATGTCGAGTCTCGTTTGAATAGGTCAAGGAGGAGGCGGATACGATGCTGTCGGCACCACTCTATCAAGTAGTGCAGTCGTTGTATTGAATCAGCTGGATATTGTCCTTTTGCATACCTATCATTGACATGTTCTCACTTTCGACGGCGAAGGACATGTCCGTATTTTGTACTTGAGTGGCAGATGGTTGCATGATAAGCGTTCTGTGCCGCGCGGCCCCGGAACGAATCATCTGCTTGTGTCTGTCAATGATACATCTACCCCGGAAGTTTCATCAAACGATCGAGGCTCGTCTGAAGCTAGCATCGTATTCGTAGGTAGTATCGTATTCGGGAGACACAGGGTTCATTTCTGCTCGAGAACTCCTGATTGTGATTGCAGGAGGCACATGTCACGACTATGCGTTTTGATTGATAGATTTCTGTACGAATCAGGTCAGTAATGCACGAGATATTGCTCGTCGATGAGCAACGACGAAGCTGGCTGCAGTAGTTGGGATGCTCTGTTCTCTCATATAACCAAACTTCCGGTGTGACGTCCGGACTCTTGAGTAGAATTTCCCCCGCACGTTCTCCCGCTCCGCAGCCAGAACATCATCCGCAGCTTGATCAACTCCTGGTGCGTCAGAGTAAACAACACCGACGAATCATGCCATGCTTTCAATATGGGTACGAGGCATACCATAAACCTCCCCCTGTGCGGAGCTGATCATCAATGTAACATGCATCGATATTCGATGCTGTCGGCGCATTGGAGACCGAGTGCCCCATATGTTCACCATAGAACGTTGATCGGCCAACACCTCCTCTTCAACCCTGACTTTTCCATCGCCTCAAGCATCTGAAGCTCCTAATCACAACATGAGGCCGTCAGCTTCTGGCACCCGAGCATGGTGCTCTAGCCTCTTGCTTCTTGTAGCAGCACAAACTACCACCAGCTTCTCACCTTGGACCCGGTCAACCGCTCTAGGTGTCACTGTTCCAGCTTCTGCAGAGGGCGCATCATATGGACAGTCTTCCTCCTTTGCCTCGTTTTCGTTCGAGCCTGCGTTCTGGGTGGAGTTCTTTGGCAATGCAAGCAAGCCAAACACTCTCACTTTCGAACTGCTCTCACGCATCCACGAGAGAGGTGGAAGACCCATCATCCGACCGGGAGGGATCACCATGGACAGCATGATCTTTGATGCGTCTGCGGGAGACCCTGAGCGCACAACAAGCCCAAGTGGCGGAGTGTATCGAACAACGGTAGGACCCAGCTACTTCCACAGCTGGTCCAATTTTCCCCAGGGTACAAAGTTCGTCTCGACGCTCAATTTCGGAAATGACAGCCTCGATATTGCCCGCGACATGGCGCTAGCTTCAGTCATGTACCAGCAGGAGAAGATCGAATATTTCGAACTCGGCAACGAACCCACAAACTATCCAAGTACGCGCTGGGATAACAGCACAGCCGCATACGTGCAGCAGTGGAAGCAGTGGACAGGTGAAATTGATACAGCAGTCAATCACACCTTGGGCGCAAATGCCTCTCGACTCGGCAGTGACCGATGGTGGGCATCGTCTGCAACCACGGACAAATCTGGACTCAACGTCCGGCCGGCCGATATTATTCCTGCCGGCGTGGACTCGGCCGATCAAGTCGCCGAATACTCGATCCATTCGTATGCATTTTCGACCTGTGACCCTGGCCGTGCCGCACTGGCTACCACCCAGAACATCCTCAACCATACCGAGCTCACCACATACGCAGATGAGGAGATCTACCCGTCCGCTAAAGCTGCGTTGGACTCTGGAAAGCCTTGGGTCGTCGGAGAATTCAACTCGATCTCCTGCTCGGGCCAGCCGAACGTCACCGACACGTTCGCGCAAGCTCTATGGACAGTGGATGTCGAGCTGATCTACGCTGTCCGCAATGCCTCGTCTGTTCATTTGCATCAAGGCGCCACTTTGGTATTTCAGAGCGACAACCAGGTCAACTCCGCTGGTAGCGATGGCTCGCCGGGCTACTCCACCTATGACATACTCTATCCGCGAGATAGCCGTAAACGTGGCAAAGCTCGCGCCTTGCCTAGTTTTGTCAGCCAACTGTTCATGGCTGAAGCGTTCCATACATCACAGAACGGAGCTGCTGGCGTTCGGGTGAAAGAACTCAAACCTCCGCAAGGTGTGGACTCGGCGCGATTTGCAGGTTATTCCTTCTACGTGAATGGCAAGTTGAGCAAAGTGGCCTTGTTGAACATGAAACCACTGTACGCAAACTCGACTGAGGATTTCTCGTTGGACCTGAATCTGGGCTTGAGCGGCCAGGCATGGGTCAAGAGAATGACGGCTCCATCCGTTGACGAGACGAGATCCCAGAACGTCACATGGGCAGGACAGTCGTTCCCGAATGGAGAAGCTATAGGCAAACTCGAGATCGAAGAGGTAGGAAAAGGAGGTAGTGTTAGTGTCAGAGGGAGCGAGGCAGTGCTCATATTCCTTGACAAGAATGATGTATACGGCCTGTGACAGACAGCTGATACGACCCAGATATTTTTTACGCAAATCAAGTCTAGAGCACTCTGCATATCTATGCATGTCGTTCAAGTCTAGTATACTATCTCCGATACCTGTGAACACTCTTTCTCAATCAAAGCCCGATGTGCAGGACTGCGTGGGACGATCTTGACAGCGAACGGAGCATAATCAATGGCCGGCCAGACCACCTTTTCCAGCTCGATCTCACTCCCCTTTGTGAGGATGTGTGTCAGCACGCGCGCACATGATAGTTAATGAGTGAGTGTTTGCTTACCTGTACAGGCTCGAAATTGAAACAGTACAACATTCGTGACAAGAACATCCAAAGGTTTGTCTCGGCAACATTGTACCCTGGACATACTCGTCTCCCTGTGTTGAATGTCATTGTGTCAGCATTCCAGGACTTCTCTTATCCTGACACGACTTCAAAAGTTTCGTTCGCTTGTCAGACTCACCTGCACCAAAGGCCCAATGACCTTTCAAGGGATTATTTAGATCCTCGTTCATGAACCTTTCCGGCCAGAATCTCTCTGGATCTTCATACTCATCCGGACTTCGCGACAAATGGTGCATGTTCCAGGTCACCATCGTACCCGCGGGCAATTTGTAGCCTTCGAACTCGTCGTCCTGGCTCATCATATGTGGCACGCCGATCGGTCCGAACGGATACCATCGGAATCCCTCCTTGACCGCGGCCGTGATGAAGGGCAAGCTAGGTTTATCCTCGAAACGTGGGAGTCGCTGTGCTTCTCCACATACACTGTCGAGTTGTTCGCGTGCTCTCTCGACCCAGTCTGGTTGCAGGACGGCCGCGGCGATCAATTGACTCATGGTCATGCGCGAAGTGTCGCTTCCCGCCTCGACCAGACTTCCCAGCGCGAACAGTTTCTGGTCCTCGTCCATGGTGGTCTTTTCCGTCTCCTTGAGAAAGTCAATGGCGAAACAAGGCCTGGCGTCGCCCTTGGCCATCCTGCTTCGCACTCTGTCGACTTCTTTTCCATATACCCTGTTTTTCAATTATTGTCGGCGTCAGTCGCTGAACTTGGCACGCAGACACATGCGCCCTCGATCACAACATGTCTTGAAACCGGCGATACCGCATCGATGGAAAACGTACGTACCTCTTCGACTCCTCATACAACCTCAACCCCTTTGCCCGCCACCACTGCATCCACGTCGGCAACTTACTCAGAGCGGGGAACGTGTCGACCAAAGTGCTCCCGGGCTGCAAATGCTTCACCATCTCCTCGGCCTGCTTGAGCAACGGCTCCAAATTCTCGTCGTCGAGGAGCAACCTCCGCCCGAACACGACACTCAGAATCACCGCGTTCGCGTACCGCTGGTTCGCTCGGTACCACAGGTCCGGGCGGCCAAGGTAGTCCCACAGCAGCTGCTTACTCTCGAGGTCCTGGTACTCTGCGAACTGCGTCATCTGGCGCGAGTTGAGGATGCTGTGCATGACCTTGCGCACGTCGCGCCACTGGTCCGTGTACCCCATGAGCACGATGCGTTTGCCGCCGGACATGAGGTCCTGGACGAACGGCATCGGGTTCCGGGACGAGTACTTGGCCGCTCGCTTCTCCATGAGCTCCGTCACCACGCGCGACGAGTTGAGGAAGACGAATTTTGACGTGCCGAGTCGGAGGGTGAACCTGTGATTTTGATGGTCAGCGTCCGACTTCAAGCACGAGAACGTCAAAATGGGAATTTAGCAGAGGACAAGGGGGGAAAAAAAATGAGACCCGGGGCCTGTGAATGCTTGCGTGCTAGGTTTGTGTGTATGCTGAGTCTCGGAACTCACATTTCACCATACTTTCTCGCCAGGCCTTGTGCCCACGGTGCTTGTTCGACTTGAGTCAGGGGCATTTGAAACGAGTTGCCAAAGACAGGTAGTCCGGGCACCACGGGCGGGAATTTATATTGTCGTTGTCGTTGCCATTGTCGTACCATACGGTGGAGAATCCATATCACCACCGCTCCCAGCGTGGCCAGAAGGACTGGCGAAGATGAGAAGGAGGAATGAGAGGAGTAGCCCATGACTTGGGGATGTCTTGTGGCCGTGTAACACAGTGATGTACGGATATGTGCATGCGGTGTGAATCGTTTGCGGTGTGGTGCGAAGTTGCGATACCTTCGTCCAGGACCCAACTAATATAGTAATAATACCTTTGAACGTCCTCACCAACTCCGCTCGTTCACCATAGAATGAAGAACTATTTCATTCATTTGTTCGCCATGGTAAGCTCCGTGACGGTAGTGAAGATTAGACACACGTACAAAAAAAGAGAGACGGTACATAGGTATTTAGATCGAAGTGGAAGTCTACCGTTCAGCCACCCACCATACTGTACGGAACGGGCGTCCTGATCTGGCAATTGTGGGGTAACTCAGGGAAGTAAAGGGGATACATACGGAGTACTGTAACAAAGTCGACGTATCCTGCAAGCATACTGTACCTAGGTACGGAGTACGAGTACACGCCAGTTAGTTGGTAAACAGAACAGTCCATTTCATCCACATGGTTCATTCCCCAGGGGACCAGATCCATACAAAAATGTTACCGCAATCCCCGTCGCTCAGCCCCGCAGAACATACAGTGTTCGTGTGAAGCGGATGTAGTCTGAGAGTGATTCCACTTCTCCATATATACCTGTGAACGTTGACAGGCCATCCTCGAAGTTTTTGAGAAGACGTGTGGCTCAGCAGAAGAACGGAGCAGGAGTGTGAATGTCATTGGGTCTCGTTCGACTCCCCCAGGTGAATACCTAAGATAGCACAAGTCGAGCTACCTGCGGACTATCTACTTCCTTGCAGGGCCTGGTACTTAGCTCGTCCCACCACACGTCGACCAATCTCTTGATGACGACGATGATGATGATCATCATTATCAACAGCAGCAACAACCTCGCCACGCTCGTCCACGGTCAGGAACAACAACTCGTCGTCGTCTTCTCGACCATCATCACCTAGGTCATCTTGACCTCCTCCTTTGACCATCTCAAGTTCCACGTCGTCGACACAAACCTCCCAGTCGCCCTGCGGCAGCCACAGTCCCCCGTCGTCATCCCATATGTAGAAATCCGCAAACACCTCGAACGTATCGACGCCCCGACCGAAGCCGGGCACTATTTTGGCGAACCTCTCGAAGTCAATCTTGAAACTCTGCATCGGGCCTCCACCGAACAAGAACAGCGCCGCCCTCCAGACGCGACTACCTCGTGGGACGTCAGGCGACCCGCGGAACAGTCCCGGGAACCCCGACGACGACGACGACGACCTGGGGGTCGGCAGCCTCATGAGGTTCAGCTGGACACTGACAAAGACGTCGTGGTCGCCGACGGAGACGTCTCCGGTCGGTCTCAAGGTGACGGTGCGCACGTTGAACGTGGCATTGCCGGTGTCGTCCGGGTCGTAGCGCCGTCCCAGATCATGCAGACTGAACCTCGGCCACGGATACCCGGGCTTGCGCGAGGAAAAGAGCGCGTTTGGCGCCGAACTGGCGCACAGGAGGTCCGCCGGGTCCGGGAGGGAATCGAACGCCTTCGCGACGTTGACCACCTTGAAAGATTGGAAGTAGACGTCCCGGTAGTGCAGAGGGTCGGGGTCGGTCCATGGGTCGAACCCGATTCCCGAACTGTCGGTTTCGATGTCGTCGAACTGGCCAATGTTATTTACCACTCCCCGCTTTGGTGCCTGAGTTTCTGAAAACTCATGTTCACGGGGCGAGTTGAGGACAACGTACGTTCATTGTGAGGTTGTACCGCCTTCCGCCGTTCTCGGTGATGGGAACCTGGTCACTGGCGGAGGCAACCCGTGCTACGAGTCCCGTCAAGAGAATGATCATTGCCCAGGTAAACATCGTCGAATGTACAAGACAGTCTGAACGCTTGCTGGCAGCGAGCAGTGCTCAATCTCAATGGTGAGCGGCGATTGTAGCATTGAGGACAAACTTATAGTATACAAAATACATAGTTGCCTGATGTGACTTCATGGACCCCGCACAACGTTGACTGGTCGTACAGAGCACATTGAGAACGTGCTCTTATTTTAGTAGGGAGGCCCTGGCCAGCTTGACTGCGGCAGGGTACACCATCTAAGTCTCTTTCGGCAAAGATGGGCAGTGGTCGCTAGGATCGAAGGGGCAAAGGCGACCACGAGCCTGTTGGGGGCCGGAAAGAGAAGTGTCGGACACGAGAAGACCACCAATATGCATACGGCTTCTACCAAGGTACTCTTCGTTCCTCAAGAGTCGCTCATGTACGCAGAATACCTGCCAATGGTACGACGACCGACTCGCATATCACCCGCCAGAGCTCGGGATCATCCCACTTCTGTTCTTTCTGGAGACAGATACTACTAACCAAGCAATATTCCAGTGCTGACCTGTACGCCTCCGGGTATGCGTCGTTGGTGCTGTTCTGAAACCACTGTATTGCACTGAAGCGCCGTGGGATAGACTTGGGACAGCCGGGGATTGATGCACGAGCCTCCTCTAATGTCGTTTCATGCCAGACCTCAAGCAAGACAATCCCCAACTCGACAAGTTCTTCCTTCAGGGCGACGCCATTGTTCGACGACGCTGGGTTAGCCTGTGGAGTGCCAAAAGAAAGAGACAAGAATGGCCTCTTCACGTCCAGCTCTTGTTTCTCGGCTTCGAGGAACATGATGTTCTCTTTTGACAACATTGGACATGCCCACGGTGTGCGCAAGACTTGGAGAAAACTGGCTGCCAGATTCAAGGCCAGACTTAACTTCGGTCTGTAGAGTATCTTAGGAGATGTGTTTCGCTTCAGGTTGTGATTTCCCCGGAGCAATTCTCCGAGAAAGACGGCACCTTTTGCCTGGGAGACTTGGAGCGTTCTCTTTTGTGACGTGTCGGCCGTTATTTTTCCACCTTCGATTAGGGCGAATATGGCGTGTTCTTGCATATCTCGACCTTCTTCGATAGCGGAGCAGATGTCTTTGATATCTCTTGAGGATCTGGCCGTAGGTTTGGATATTGGTACCGGGATTTTGACTTTCGAGCTAGTCGGCGGAATCTGATGCTGCTCTTCACCATCGGAGCTTGGTATGACATGAACCTGCGATTCGTGCCAAAGAGTATTCTGTGAGGGACTGCCACCAGAAAAGATCAATTGAAAACACCGTTCCTTGCCGTCATGCGAAGATAGTCTCTTTTCGCGCTTGATCTCTTCCACACGATCTTCAAGAAGCAATCGGGCGTCATGATTTTGGTGGCACTGAGAGATCCAAGCATTCGCCAAAGCGAGATACAACATATCTGCTTGATTTCGAATCCTCATGTAAGCTTTTGCCATTCTTCTCGAATGAAGGCTTGCATTTGCAACATTGAATTGAGTGTTGGATGACATGAGGTCAACCAGTCTCTGCATGGAATTCAGGCGAGATTCAAGTTCTTTGATCTCATTCCCTAAGTCATCCTTAACAAAGATGAGGCTGATACGAGCAACCAAATCAAGCTGGCCTCGCTTGGCATTTTTATTCGCTTCTATGATCTGAGAGAGTTCTGTACGTTCCTGTGAAGCTATCAGCGGAGTTCTGAAGAGAGGTCTGACGCTTTACTTTCAAAGATGGTACGAGCTTTGAAATGCTTGTGATTATTCGGTAGAATATCTCCTGACACTGCAGCATTGCCTCTGTGATGACCTCGTAATTAGGACCAAGGTACCTAGCAATGGCGTTCTGTACGTCTGAATCTCGCAAGATCTCTAAAGATTTCGTAGACAACGTCTCGGGCGTCTCATACCCACTGTTATTGAGTATGAAACGAAGAAGTTCCTCGAGAATCTTGACTTGGACCGTAAGTGTACAAGTGAGCTCTTCCACTAGCTTTCGTCTTTGGAAACCCCGCCGTAGACTCTTCAGGCCCTTCCTGTACGAAGCCAAGCCGTCAATGAGGATTGGGAGGGCCCCTAAGATAAGCCCAGCAACTTCGATGCCTGACATGGCTTCGTGGGATACAGTGGTTGAAATTTGGATCCAGGGAGCCGACCATCTACCATGGTAAGATGATTTTGCAGCTTCATGCGTACATGCAAGGATCAATGCTAGATTGCCTCCAAGGCGCCAAAGGGGCGTGCGTGCGGCTACTTACCTGGGAAGCTGCATGTCTGACTAGGCAAGAAAGACTGAAGATGAAGCAGGGGGTCGGATGAAAAGCTAGTGTTTCAAGATCCCTGCTGGATCTGAGAGCACCTTGCCAGTGCAGAAAATGAGGTTTGAGTGTCTCTGAAGAGCTGCCGTTGCCACAAAGCTGGCCTTTCATCGATACTGTATTCGTCATCGGGCTGATGCTGATGGTGTGACAGCCGGAGCAAGGCAACGTACGTATCATGAGGTTGATGGGACGTCGATACTGACTAGATTGGCTGTTGCTTCGTCCAGGATGCGCCGGGTAACCGCAAAGGACAAGCGAAGAGTGCCTCACGGTGCATGTGAGAAGACCGCCGCACCAATGGGCCATGGCCACGGGCTATTCAAGGACATGCACAGAGGCGAACGATACGAGCAGTCGTATCCCGGCGCTTGTTGGTGATCCAACTAACCGTGGACTGGGTGAATTCAGTCAAAATTCTTCAGGCTCCGTGGTCGTTTGTACAGCACTGGGGCCAGCGGGGCAGAGATCTGCTCCCCCTGGACCCAGTTGGAAGCGCCTCTGCCGCTTCCCCCCAGCAATGACAGGCGGCACGGCGCGTGAATGTTGTACGAGTACTGTTATGCAACACTCAGTTCTAGGTGATGTCTGGGGGCTAAATGGGATGTATTGACGAGTCTGACCTCCCTCTCTCGGAGGGAGATTCCTAATTATTATATAGGCAAAAGGAACGTTCCAAGGGAGGGCTTTCTCGCCGTCGCACAGCGCGCCGCGTGGAGTCATCGGCCGTCTTCGGACAGCGTTCTATCGGGCGACGTTCTAGACGGAGAGAAAGCCTCCTTGTGAAGTCCGAAAATATAGTCATATATGACTAGAAACAGTGAATTGATGGTGTTGCAAAAGTTGTAAGGAACGTGAGCGCGTCGGCGTTCCGCCGGAGGCGCTAAGGCGCTAGGCGTGAGTATTTGGCTTGTAAAGACGGTGCTGACAGCGCCCGCAACTCAGCCTAGTCCAACAAGTACATTCGTCAAGCCTGAGCAACTCAACGAGCCATTTGACAAGACTCTGTTATATGCAGCAGCTGGCATTTCCAACGCTCGTTCAAGAGAACGATTCCTCGCAATGAGACATGGAATTCGACTAATCACAGTTATGTTTTCAGGATGGTGACGCCGGATCTGGCAAGGTTGGCCTCCCTGGGTAGAAAGAACTTCGCTCTTCTGGAACAAGTAATAGGAGGTTTCAAATCTGGGCTTCTTGAAGACGCTCATGCAAGAAACCACTGTGCATTTCTGAATGAATATGAGCGATATCGAGTGTGGGCGGTCGAATCAGGACTGTTGGCCCCGGGTCATGGCTCCCTTGATTACCGCCTTCGCGAGTCGGGGACCCTGACAGAGCTATTTGAACTGATCCTCAACGGCCTAGCCCAGAATCTAGAGGAGACCTTGGAGCTTGGGCGTTCACGACAAGGAGGTGATCAATCTCGCGAACGGCTGGACGCGGTCGAGCCACATTCTGACGACCCGGATTGTTTCGAAGACGAGGAGGAAGGTGAACTCGAGCCCCAATCGTACATTGACATTCTTCTTGAGGTCATTGTAGGCCTTGTGAATCGGCTTTTCAAGTTATCCACGAAGATAAGGAATACCTCCACAAGACTTGGGTTCTCCAGAGCCAAGTTCTTCGAGAGCATAGATAAAGACACCGGGGTCGACCTGATCAAAGCCTTCGCACACTATGATGACGACTATGTCCGGTCTGTGTTCCTCCAATATCGCTTGGATGCTCCTGAAGAGATCCGCTCTCAAGAGGCACAGGACCTGTCTTCTATGAGGGCAACAGAAACCCTCTGGCACCAGACCGAGACGTGTGAATTGTGTCAGTCCCGTGGCTCGATCCCTGAAGGCTCAACTATATCGGGCGAAAGTCAAAGTTATGAGGATGCCGAGGAAGATTCTCCAGAAGACATTGAACAACTTCAACATCAAATAGGCGCCCATTATTTGGTACATCGCATTGCACAAGCAAACAACAAGCGTCGCCAACAATTTGGGTACTGGAAGGAGCATTACAGTAAATTGCAAAAGCACACCGAGACAGTCCTGGCAACAATACGACCGAGAACTCTAGCAGAACCTGACAGGCATCTGCAACCTGCCGCCGTGGATGGATTTGAACGGGAACTGAATAGCAGACAAACCTTGGGGATATCAGCTCTTCTAGCTCCACCAACAGTGACAACAGCCACAAGATTAGAGCCGAGCTTGTTGAACAGGATGGACGAGAGGTCAGTAACATCTGTGTCAGAATACGCCCCTTCTTCATGGGCTCCGGATCGGGAGAATATTGGCTTCCCACCTCCACCTAAGAAGCCACTTGGAGATAAATTCTTCGAATGCCCTTATTGCTTCACCATATGCCCACGCCAGATGTTATCGGACAAGGCATGGCGGTGAGTTGATTGACTGATCTGTTTTGCTGGGCTGACGATCAATTAGAGCCCACCTGATCCACGACCTGAGGCCTTTCGTCTGCACGTACCCTGACTGCCAGATTGCTGGCCAGCTCTATGACACAAAATCAGCTTGGGTAGAGCATGAAAACACCGTTCACAGAAAACAATGGCGGTGTCCAGATCACCCCGATCCACCGTATTCGTCTTTGCAAACTTTTGAAGCACATATTGCTGCATTGCATGGATCCGACGCCACTTACTTGCGCAGCGATACATTTTTACAAGCCTGCCAGTCGTTCTCGGTCGATAACGATCGACCGTGTCCTATATGTCTCTCATCTTCTTTCAGAGATGTTCAGGCTCTACAGTCTCACCTCTCACAGCACCTGATAAGAATGTCGTTGTTTTCCCTACCACGCTCCACTGACGCTGACGATGGTCGGAGCCAAGTTGGTTCTGATATCGCAGTCGGAGAGGTGCTGGACTCGAGAGCTGATGATGACGAGAATTCATCCGACGGTGGAGAGGCGTGGGATGATATTGCAGAGGCGGCTGGGGCTGGAGATACGGAAAGATTGACGAACATACTCCTTGAGAAGCAGGAAAACGGCCTATCTGTCGAAGTGTTGAACCATGCTCTCTGCAAAGCATCTGCAAAAGGCCATACAGAGACGGTGGAAATACTTTTGGACAACGGAGCAGACATTGAAGCTGTGGGCCAGGAGGAGACTCCATTGATGCAGGCGTCGATTGAAAACCGCATTGAAGTCGTGAGGCTACTCCTCGGAAGAGGCGCGCACGTCAATGAAGGCCGTTCTTTGAGCACAGCCTTAACATGTGCGACCGAGTACAGCGATATTGAAATCATCCTTGAGTTGTTAAGCGCAGGAGCAGACCCGAACAAGACAGTCGATGATGGAAGTAGCGCAGTGAGGCAGGCTGCAATAGCGGGTCGACTTAACGTTTTGGCGACGCTCATGGACCATGGTGCGGATATTAATGCTCCATCATTACCTGCTCTACCCGCAGCATCGTCAAGGGGCCACAAAGAAGTGGTTCAACTTCTTCTTGAACGTGGAGCACATATCGATGCAAAGGCCATAGGCGAGACCGCTTTGATGGGTGCTTCCTTGGGTGGTTATCAAGAAATTGTTAAGACGCTGTTGGACCATGGGGCCGATCCGAATCTTGTCGACAACACCGGGAATACGGCTTTGTTAATGGTATCAGGAACGCGGCATGAACATGTCGAAATCGTCAAGATGCTGATTGACAGGGGTGCTCATGTAGACCATACTGATAAACGTGGCAATACCGCCTTGCACGCCGCAGCAGCAAGAGGGTACGCAAACGTTGTGAGGGTCTTGATAGATGCTGGCGCAGACCTCGAAAGAGCGAACCAAGTGGCGGTCACACCGCTGCAAGCTGCTTTGAAGGCTCGCCAACATGGGGTCGTGACCATGCTTCTTGAAGCAGGCGTAAAAGGAACGCAACCAGCAGATCCGTTGGACGAGCTCATTCTGCCTCAGCTTGCTGGAGGCACCATGGTTACTTCAAAGAAATCTCCCCCGAGTCTTCCAAGACTCTGGCGGATCGAGACCCTCTCGTCTACTGAAACCGCCCCTCGACTGACACTTGTCCATGATATCGCACCGGGTTCGATCCTGACGTGCGTAAGCTTTTCTCCTGATGGCAGCTATTTGGCAGTAGCCGGACAGGCAGTTACATGGTTGGTCGACCTCGAAGACGTATCCAAAATGTACCCGCTTCCACATCCAGGGTCAAAACATGATGGTTTATACGTTCGTTCAGTATGCTTCTCTGCAGATGGAAAATCACTCGCCACAGCATCCGAAGACTACATCGTCCGACTATGGGACGTGGAGACTCGGGAAGTGAAACATCTTTTCGGACAACACAGTCAGGAGGTTCATTCCGTTGCTATATCGCCTGACAACAACATGATTGCCTCTGGCTCTAGTGACGGCGAGTTTTACATCAGCGACTGTATAACGGGGGATGTCATCAGTTCGTCCAGAGCCAAACACGCCGTCACCTCTGTGGCTTTCTCGCCAGACAGTCGCTTGTTGGCAGTTGGAACTGTGAATAAGGACGTCTTGATCTGCAGAGAGCTCGGAACTGGCGAGTGGTACAATCTCTCAATGATGACCCCTTCGCCCACGGAGACCGTGTATGATGTCGCATTTTCTTCAAGCGGGGAACAAGTCTTCTGCGCTAGCCTCGACAGCAATATCTATCGGTGGCATTTCAAGGACGAAGGCGGAGACGATCTAACAGACTGCAAGAGCCAGGTCCTGAGCGGTCATAATGTAAGTTGTCCTTTCTAATTCTTGCTAGCTTCTCACCAAGAATCCAGGGTTACGCCCTCTCCGTCGCAGAGACGAGAGATTGCCGATGGATCGTCTCCGGGTCTAGAGACAAGACAGTCAGGATATGGTCCGAGGAATCTGGTCAAGCCATGCTACTTCTCGAAGGCCACGAAGATACTGTCTTTTCAATTGCGACTTGTCCAGAGAAGAATCTCATTGCCACCGCTTCCGGGGACATGACTTTCACAGTGTGGCGATATGAAAATGAGTGAGAGGTAGTTATAAGTGGCTCATTTGATCCGTCCAACGATGCAGTCGGTACTTCGTACAGTACGTGGCAGTGGCAGTGGAAATGGCTTACTAGTTAGACTGGGGCGTCGCCTATGACTCAATCTGTGGAGCGGCGCAGTTGATGGCAACTTCTAGATACCCGCAGGCGATATAGACACTCAGCCCAACACTCCCCTCATTTTTCTCTCTCAAGATCAATAACACACACACACGCACAAGAACAGCCAACTCTCAACTGCGCTCACTTTTCCCGTTTCCCATTTCGACTTATCCACACATCACCTCATACATTCCTCCCCTCATCTCCCGAATAAGCGTTTGGCCGTATATTTTGGTTTCACCGCCACATCCTGCGATTCCCTATATCACCCTGCCAATCCGTATACCGCTTCATCCGACTCAACATGGCTGACGCAGACTGGGATTCCGTCACCCGCATTGGCAGCAAAGCCCGGGGTCCCGGCGCGGGTGGTGTCGACCGCGAGCGTGTGGTCAAGGGCAAATCAGCTCTCAATGCCGCAGCTCGCTCAGGTGCAATCATTGGAACCGAGAAGAAATTCGCATCTTCCAACACGGTGAGTTCATCCGACAGCCAGGCGGTATTCCCCAAAAACGAAGATCGTGGGGGCTAACAGGTTTGCAGAAAAGCAACGTCGAAGGCCAGCATCTGACAAAAGTCGATCGCGAAGATGACATCGTCAAGCCCAAGTACGTTTCGAAAGAGATTGGCAAACTCATCAGCCAGAAGCGACAAGAGATGACTCCGAAGCTGTCACAATCCGACCTCGCCAAAAAGATCGGAGAGGATGCCAAAACCATCCAGGGCTTCGAGAACGGAACTGCCGCTCCCAACCAGAAGGTGTTTGACAAGCTCGAGAAGGCCCTGAACGTCAAGTTAAGAGGTACCGACATTGGAGCGCCCAAATTCGCACCCAAGAAGAAATGAAGAGCCTCCAGAAGTTCACTGGTTGATGGAACAGGCTTGATGAGGAGGGTATAAAAAGAGTCGGGGTAGCACTGCGCCTCCACGCGGCTGGAGGAGGATCGCTTTGTCGGTTTGACTTGTTGTGGCGTTCAGGTTGATGGGAAATGCCGGCTCTCTCACACATACGCGCACTCTGGCCTGGCTTATCGTTTCGACACGTTTTCCAGCAGGAAGAGACGGATAGACTGAACGAGGAATAGAAAAGAGGAGGACGGGTGACCTGACGAATGTCGGTATGATGACGTTGCCGACAGCAAGTTGCACATAGCAGGTAGTGACATGGTTTCTGTGACGTTCCGAGTGCCTGAAGTAACAGGATACCAACAGGGTTGTTCAATGTTCTTCCGAATGCTCTCTCTCCATCATGCTTTTCCCGCCTGTGTGAACGTTGGACGCCGGGAACGTGCAACGACTTCTCTGATCAAACGGCACTGGTAGGTATCACCTCCCCATGGGCCAGAGCGGCAGAGAGACACGACGTGGTTCAAGCCGGGGGTACAAAGATAACGGGCACAGGCAACAAAGGGAGCGTGAACAGAGCCCCCTCAACGGACCGTACGTGTTCAAACACCGTGGATCCCTGCAGGACATTTTGGACACCCTAAACCGGAATGTTTTGATCTGGCAATCCACTGGTCTTGATGGTATATTTGTATATACATGTATATATGAGACGTCCAAGGCTCGATGGATGAGTACGGCGAGTATCTGTGTATGCCACTGCTCTATGAAAATCTTCCTTCTATGAGTATCTCTCTATCTAGGTTGGGATATAAAAGTCCAAACAGACAACTTTGACTGAGCGGGCCAAGCAAGAACGCGCTCTGGCACAACCAAGATTGAGAAAGCTCCTGGCACCTTCGACGGACGAGGCGGTAGTGACCCGGAGTTAGACGTCTTCCGTAGAGAGTAGCAAGAAGAAAAAGTCGCCCCAACAGTGCACAACAAACAAACCCCTTGCTCAGATGCAGACGTGCTGGATGGAATGCGGGAAATAATCAGGGACCTGTTGTAGACGTGTCTGAAATGCTGCTGCTACTGCGAACTTTTTTTTCTCTTCTTTCCTCGTCATTGCGAATCATTTTTTGTTGTTGTTGTTGTGGTGGAAAGATCCCAAAGGCACCAGGACATCTCATACGTAACCTGGGATGGGAAATGGTGCTTTTAGATCATCGAGACGCAGGAGCAAGGCGCTGAACTTAATTCTGCAATCCCTGGCTGGCCAAGACCTTCTTGAAGCGGCGCTCAATGGCCTCCATGAACTGAGTGGTCGTAACCCACGCCTCGCGCTCCTTCTTGCCGCAGGCCAACGCCAGATCCTTGGTCATGATGCCGTCCTCGTTCACCGTGTCGACGACGGCCTTCTCGAGGCTCTCGGCCCACGTGACCAGCTCGGGCGTCTCGTCGAGAGTGCCACGCTTGACCAGACCGCGCGTCCATGCAAAGATACTGGCGATCGGGTTGGTGCTGGTCTCGCGGCCCTTCTGGTGCTCACGGTAGTGTCGCGTGACCGTGCCGTGGGCTGCCTCGGACTCGTACGTCAATCCGTCTGGGGTGATGAGCTGACTCGTCATCAGGCCTAGAGACCCGAAGCCCTGCGCGACAATATCACTCTGGACGTCGCCGTCGTAGTTCTTCATGGCAATCACGAAACCGCCGGAGCTCTTGATCATCTGAGCGACCATGTCGTCGATCAGTCTGTGCTCGTACCAGATCTTCTTCGCCTCGAACTCCTTGACGTACTCCTTGTCGTAGATCTCCTGGAAGATATCCTTGAAGCGACCGTCATACGCCTTGAGGATTGTGTTCTTGGTGCTCATGTACAGAGGGTATCCGCGGTCGAGCGCAAACTTGAAGCTTGCGTGCGCGAAGCCTCGGATCGACTCGTCCGTGTTGTACTGTGTTTGAGCGACGCCACCAGTGGCAGGGAAGTCAAAGACCTTTATGCGCTTTGGCTCGCCGCCGGACTTGGGAGTGAAAACCATTTCAAGCGTACCGGCTTCGCGGAGGACTTCGTCCTTGGCACGGTATTGGTCACCAAAGGCGTGACGGCCGATGATAATGGGTGCTTCCCAACCAGGAACCAGGCGGGGGATACGTGGGATCACAATGGGTTCGCGGAAAACAGTACCACCGAGGATGTTACGGATGGTGCCGTTGGGAGAGAGCCACACTGCAAACGGGAGAAAGGTTAGTGACGGTAGTTCATTGTAGGCCTGTCCCAGAGGAGGTGCCAAAGCCTGGGAGAGCAGTGGACTGGGAGAACAAGGGGATGAACATGCGTACTCTTCTTGAGGTTGAATTCCTTGACTCGGGCCTCGTCAGGTGTGATGGTAGCACATTTGACGCCAACCGAATACTTCTTGATGGCCTCTGCAGCCTCAATGGTGACTTGGTCGTCCGTCTCGTCACGGTACGGCAGACCCAGGTCGTAGTACTTCAGGTCGATGTCGAGGTATGGAAGGATGAACTTGTCCTTGATGTCCTGCCAGATGATACGAGTCATCTCGTCGCCGTCGAGCTCGACAACGGGGTTCTTGACCTTGATCTTCTGCGCGGCCGCGCCTGAGGCATTGCGACTTTGTGACATGTTTCCCACTGAGAGCCTCTTGCTTTCTGCTGACAATCTGTTCGTAGCGACTGAAGCCATGAGGAAAGACGGGGAGGAGGACGAGAGACTTCGTCTAGTTGCGGCGCCCACCAGCGCAGTTCTGAGCGGGTTCATTGGGACGGCAGTGAGAGCACGAGGTGGATTGCGAGCACTGACGGGTTAGTAAACCGGGAACCGCCACAGGTTGGGCAGATACTGATACGACTCGTTCCGAGGGTTATGTTCTCGAGGGCATGGTATTGCAGCTTTTTCGACTCTGCTTCGGTCGGAATTTGCGCTGTTAGTTCGGCCAGAGCAGCGATGACGGCTGCTGAGCCGAGGGGAAAGGCTGAGGTGTGTGGGCATCGGAGCGTCTTCGTCGCGCCGACGTGGGGTTTCCGGGCCTTGAAATGTGTGCGATCTCGGCTTTTGGAGGGAACGCACAAAATGGGAAAATAGGCGTCATCGCGCCCTTACCCAGCGCATTCAGGGCACCGGACCGGTGCCTAGTGAGCCTGCCTGCACTTAGCCGCGCCAGCGTCTGCAACCCTACTCCATTTCCGGTCACTCCTCCAGCGACATTCTCGCAGCGGAAGCAGATTTGTACTCCGTAATAGTCTTTCTCGAAACGATACCTCCAACAACTGCCGCAGCCAAACAATTGTTGGCCTCGAATTCGGGTGTTGTCGCTTCTCGAACTCCCATTGAAAATTTCCGATCCTCCACTCTCTTCCCTCTCAAAGCCAGACCGACAAAGATGGCCGACAAGCTCCGTACTCTGCAGCAACTCGAGTCCCTCCAGGCCAAATATGTAGGCACCGGCCACGCAGACACCACTACCTATGAATGGAAGAACAACATCATTCGGGACTCGTATGCGTCGTACATCGGCCATCCTCCACTGCTCGCATACATGGCGCTAGGAATGGGCGAGAATAAAGAGATTGTTCGAGGTCAATTCATCGAGAAAATGATCCGCGCGAGTGGTCCTCCACCAGCGAAAGACGAGGATTGAAGCAAAATACTGTCTCCCATGAGGCATCAGAAAGGCATTTCATGGACGACTCGCCAGACCAGTCACTGGGAATCCATCAGGAAGAAGTTATGGTCGACACCGAGTCCACGACAAAGCTCCTCCTACTTCAGCTCTTATGTCGCGGTCCCCTCCCCCCAAGAAATAGGCACGAGGCGGTGACCGGCATATCGTTTACGCGACTCGCTTGATATGCACCTCGTCTTGGGAATCTGAGCAGGAAGTACTGGATGCTACTGATTGAGAAAGCACAACAGATGATCTTGACAATCAAATATCGGAGTCGCAATGAAAAACGCCCCAAAATCAAAACAAGGGACTGAAGCTTATGAAATACAGATATTGCAGCGAAGAAATTCTTGCATATTCTAACGAGGACTGTGGCTCAATTCTTGCAAAAGTCTGCCGTGCGCGACTTGCAATCCCAGTCCATCAATCCTCCAGAAGCGAAGTAGTCAATCTCTCTGGTGAAGGAAAATTTGGTTGATTGCTCCCAATCCGGATACATAACAAAAGAAATGTAGTTCTGTTGGTGAAAGGCTGTTGCTGCCCAGCCCAATCGATCATTCGTCACTCTCCCGAAATCTTCTGCGCCGTTTGCTCCATGTACTCCTGTTTGGCATAAGAATTTTCCCAGTTTTGGTGGTATGAGACCATAATCACTCCCCCCTCGCGGTGACGCCCTTCACAGTGGAAAGACTTGTTGTTCTACCCAAATCCATAATCGTAGCCTGTTGCGGCTGAAAGTCGACATTATAAGAAACAAAACCATCATTAAAATATGCCATTGACAATGTTGCTGCCAATTGTGGCACCAGCCCCGAAAATAGCAGCATTTCCCATTTTCTTGCCAAACTTCTTGCCTTGCTCTTCCAGCTTGCTGTATTTCCGGCCATCAGGACCAGTCGTCATGCCACCTTGAGCAACTTGGAGTGGCATGTTTCCATAGTCTGATGGTTGGGGTTGCAAAGGCGGCCGACCTTTCTCTTCGATGACATTGACGTAACTTCGAGGGAAGATTCCTTCCAAGTTGGTCCGTTCATTGCGCCCTCGCCACCCTGAAGTTCATTATGAGCGTGGGATAGAATTAGTGGCCATGAAGAGAGCACTTACAGTCATTGTTCATGTGTTCTGTAACCTGTACCCGGTCACCCTGCTGTAGCGCCAGATCACCGGCATCTGTGGGCGTGTATGCGTAAAGAGCCGTTGCAATCGACAGTATCTGTGGTGTGTGGACGTACGCCGGCGGCGGGAGAGGTGCAGGTGTGGGAACTGGAGCATAATGTTCTTTCAGGCTCATATTTGAGAATTGATCGACTGGGGTGTTTGATGAGACATTATTGACGGGGTTCTGAAGAGGAGCGTGTAGAGGTGTTTGAGCGGGTAGTTGAGCGAGAATGGATGACAGCTGTTCAGGGGAGATGATGGAGGAGTCTGCAAGAAATTCAAGTTCCTAATCATGGGTCAGTTGAGTGTCATGGGGTGTTGAATATTGACGTTACTCACTGTGCGAATGGTCCGGAGAGAGCGGTTTGTGAGGGCGATTGAGGCCTCGGTGGCCATGGTATCGCGGGGGAAGAGTAATCGGACGCGTATGAAGGAGATGAGGAGCAGATAGATGCCAGGAAAGATCGATAGAAAAGAGTGGAAATCTCAACCCGGCGAAGGAGAGGTGTCGATGATGAAGAGGGAGTGAGCTAGTGTTGGTACGGGAGGTCGAAGGTGAGGCGCAGTTTCAGGACTAACGGGCACGGGTACGGATACAAAGGTAATACAAGCCCAAGGCATTAGGCGACCACAGTGCAGGGCAATGCAGGGAACTGCATAACTGTCTCGCAAACGAGCAAGCCACTCAGCTGGAGTCGTGCCAGCCGCCGGAGATTGTTTTTGGTCTGACAGGTGTATATAACAGCCGTGACCACTGTGTCGCAGCAGCCCGGCCGGTCAGCACTTGTCACGCCCTGTCCTGTTGTTCCTGCGCTAGACACCAATTAATTACTCGCTTGCAGCTCCCGTACGGAGTACAAACGTGACAGGACACTCCGGTAGTAGCGGATGTTTCATTCAGGCTTAGCGCAGAATCCTCTAGCGCCATCTGTTTGGTTGTGCCTGGTGCCTTGTTGCGCCTTCAACTCAACTTCCAGTTGACCAACATCCCAACGGTACAAGCCACTCCTAGTCGTCCCTGACTCCTTTTGAACCTGCGTCTTTGTTGCAATCGACGCCTAGACCCTCAGCAGACACCCCAGACACACCCTTCTACTGCATGGTACCTTGCATTGATTTCTGTACTGTCTTGCGACGAGGCTGCCATATGCATGATGCCGTGTATCAATCTCAACGGCCGTCCGGATGCTTACATGCCGGAGAAAGAAGATAAAGAGTATTTTCTAGCCGGGTTCGGCTTCAGCTCCTTTCTTGCAACATGATGTTGATGCAGAGCGGCTCTGTACATGCTACCAGTAAGTTGGTAACAATCGCCGTGCAAGGCCATGGACATCATGAACAGGTATCTATCATGGTTCATCCCCGGAAAGCCACGTCGGTTTTCTTTGTGTGTCCAGGTTGAAGGCGGTAATGCGGTGCCGTTTGATTGATTTGATTGCTGTTGGAGGATTGTCTCATGGAATCTTCATGGTGCCCTCTGTTGCTATAATTTGTTTGGCGCAATCACAACCTACAAACGACAGAGTCACTGCACTATAAGATCACTATAGACTCTCGTGCTGTTGCCATTGTGGTTAACATTCCCGCCGCGGCCTTCTCTCACTCTCACTCTTACTTGCCTTTCACATCTGGACAAATATACCTTCATCTCACTTCACACAAAGCTATTCAGCCTTGCAAAAATGCCGGTGCGAGCGGCATATTCACCGTCAACGCAAGCCAATCCTATTGTGAGTTTGCTGTCTCTTCACCATCCTATTCGCACACAAGCAACCTGCACTCTATCATGAGTGTAACGTCATGTCATTCATTGTCTTCACTCGGCGGCTGGGTCTCAGAGAGTGGTCTCAGAGAGTTAATCATATATATATCTCCGTCCACCAAAAACCTTCTCAATCTTTCCTCCCAACATCACATCTCCGGTCAAAGTTGTCGCGCCAAAACATTCTTGACTGTTCAACCTTCCAATTCCTTTAAATTTTTAAATATATGACTGACTCAAGCGATCTCTTTTCTCAGACCAAGCCGGACCTTACCATGGCTGAGCAAAGAACGCTCAAGCCACAGTTCTTTCTGACCCGTCCAAATGGCGCAATGGTCCCTCTGGTGGCAATGGACGAAATGCCATTCCACGTACAGATCCGCGGTGTCCCTCGGAGCTTGACCGCATTCGACATTGGCGGCATGACACCCCTTGGACTCGTGGAATCTCGCCATGAATACCATGTTGTCGAGGCGATGAACAACATGAACAACATTGCTCATCGAAACCCAACAACCGGGCAAAAGCCATCAGATCTGCCCTCCTCCCTCGTCTCTCAACACCTGGGTGTTGCTCTCTGCCCTTCACCGGTTGTCAAGTTTCCAGGCAGCATCACACAACCGAGTGACACAACCAGTTCCTCATTCTCCACAGAAGACGGCAAGACCAATACTCCTGCAGGGAGCTCGGTCGACTCAAGTGCTGATACCAATACCGCCCCATGTCCGGTGCCGGCCTGGAGACAACATGCAACAACGAATGTTGCTGCACCTGCTACCACCAAGATCGAAGACAGCAAGAGCACCGCCAACGCAGCAACTGCTTCCAATACCGCGAAAGCCTTGACGGGCAAGAAAGTATACTGCTCGTACTGGCTCCGCAAAGGCGAATGCGACTTTGCTCAACAGGGGTGTATCTACAAGCACGAAATGCCAACGGATCTTGAGACGTTACAGAGTGTCGGCTTCACGGACATCCCACTGTGGTACCGCCAGCGCTACGACCTGGGCAGCCTTCACGTTGAAAATGGCCGCAACATCCCAAGCTTTGGAGTAGCAGACCGCGCCAATCCCACGCCACCTCGAAGCTTCCATGTCGGCGATAATGCCAAACGCATGATTCGCAACCAGATCGGCCCCAACAACCGCTCCCACTCCCTGCGGGGTTGGCGCCAAAACGGCCGTCGACATGAAGAACGTCGGGCGCCGCTCGAAGTGGGCGACAAGAGGCAGAAGCAGACCGAGGCGGCAATCGACGCCGTCATCGCAGCCGAGGCGGAGCGGGAGAGGGAGCGAGAAGCACTGAGGAAGAAGTTCCCGTGCTTGGCACCAGAGAGTCGCAGCGTGTTCGTCGGCCACGAAGACCTCCTGACCGAAACATTCAGCAATGGTGAGGAGCCCAACGACGTGCATGCGCAGATCAGAAAGATCGAGCAGGCGGCTTGGGAGGAGGAGCAGGCAGAGAGGCAGAAGAAGCTGGCTGAGTTGGAGGAGAAGGAGAAGCAGCGGGACGAGCAGACAGCTGCGGGTGAGACCAAGAAGGGGCCAGGGAAGAAGAAGGGCGGCAAGGGTGGGAAGAAATAGGGTGGTGGTTGTGGTTGATGGAGGGAGATGGGGGGAGTTTTTCAAAAGATGCCAAAAAGTGCCAGAGAAACCCTCAAAGGGTCATCTCCTTCTCTTTTGTTGTTAGAGCCATGCCAGCCAGACATGCGGCCGAGTTGTTTTCTTTCTGGCTTGTTGAATCATCAGAGAATTTAGATTTCTTTTGCTTACAAAACGGGCAACGTGTTTATGTTTGTACAGATCCGAGAGAGTAAGTCCCCGTTTTCTACAGCGTCCTTTGCCTCTGCGCCTCTGGTCCCCAATTACTCTGCGCCAGAGTCCGCACATAACTCTGAACCGCCTGCCGGCCGTCAGGAAGCGCCTCCGTCTCCCCAGACTCCAGAAGCAGCTTCTGTTGCTCCTTTCGCGCATTCGCCAGCTCCTGCACCCTGCCAGGCTTCATCATCCACTTCTTGGGGAACCAGTGCTTCTTCTTCGACTTGTGGTGCCGCATGTCGAGCGGAATATCCTCGAACGTATCTTTGCCATTCCTCGCCTCGTCGAGAAGCTTGTTTATCAAATCTCCCAAGTACCGCTTGTTTTGCGCCGCGGCCTCGAATTTATCCGTCGACATCTTCACCATGTCCGTGTCGGGGTTGTACCGCACGCCGACAAGCTTGATCAGTTTGATCCGTTGCGCTTCGGTCAGGTTCGGCAAATCCTTTGTGCAGAATTGAACCACCACCTTCCTCGCCGCCGGGTGGATTTCGCCCATGTACGTCGTGTACCGGAACCTCAGCGGCGTGGCTTGTGTAGGGGGTTTGAATTCTTTGGCGTATTCTGGCTCAAAATGTTAGCACGGTGCCCTTTATTTCACGAGGTACGGTCCCGGGGAAATCGTGGGTGGGAGGGAGGGCCTACGGTTTAACAAGGGCATGTCCCAAGCAATCACCCGGGTGTACTCTCTTATCTCGCGGTGAACTTCCAACTCGCTGTGAGCGACCGATGTAATTGCGGAATCGTCCCAGGCTGGTTCTTCATCGTATTGGCCGAATTCGTCCTCCTCGTCGGTCCAGAAGCCGGAATTGGACGGTTTGGTCACAATGTCTGGAAAATCAACCGACTCGGTCTCCTTTTCGACCTGTCGGTCGACGTCGTCCACTGCGCTGTCGAGCGCACTTTCGGCCTCTGCCGACTCGAACAGGGCTTCGTAGTGGTTCTGCAGCGCCAGGTATGCTTCCTGGTCGGCTTTGGAGAGCATATCGTAGTCCGCACGCTCCTCAGGGCCGAGATCTGCCACGGTGATCGGCGAGTGCGGCGTGAGATATTCGCTAGGATCGAGTTTTTCAGGGTCTTCACTGTCATCGAGAGTATCGTCGTCAAGCTGGGCGGATGGAGGTTGAGGACGTCGAGAGTCTTCGGCTCGCAGTGCGCTGGTCGTCGAGACAGGTCGGAAGGGAGTGGTGTTTCGACTGCGGGCGAGCCATTGGGGTTGGCATTTTCGCTTTACAGGTATCTGACGAGACACTTGATATAGTGTGCGACATAGGTGTCGCCCTGTGGTTGCCATGATGGCTTGATATGGTATGGCCGTCTAAACCTACATGTGCATTGGAGAGCTTGCAAGCATTTAATTTTCCCCGAGAAACAATTACTTCACAATGGCTCTACTACTCTACCGTAGAGGGTATACGGTGGAGCATGGAGCCACTATGTCGTCCCCATTATGGAGTATGAGGAGTAGCCCTTGGAAGGTCCTCATCAGTCTTTCCCATACTTGTATCGGCAGTCTATTCCTACCACACTTCTCTCTTGGATATGACACAAAGATGGCGGCCGTTCTACAAAATAGAGCATCTCGGAAACGATGTTTTGTAACTATTGGTGCTACTGCACCGTTCAACAGCCTCATCAAGGCTGTGCTCGCCGATAACTTTATAACACAACTACAGCAGCTAGGCTACAACGAGCTGCGGGTACAGTACGGTGATCATGAAGGGGAAGCTATCTACAACGAAAGACTCGAATATCTCAAGTCAAAGCTCGGGGACGACGATTTTACAATCTCCGGATTTGGCTTTGATAAATCAGGACTTGGCCAGGAGATCCTGGCCGTCAAAGGTCGGTCGTCAGAAACGGAAGGGACTGTAATCAGCCATGCCGGTAAGGCTATCGACCTCTGTGTTAGCCTCGATAAAGACACTGATGAACCTTCCACAGGCTCTGGCTCGGTCCTGGATGTGTTAAGGGTGGGCATCCCGCTCGTGGTTGTGCCCAACACCGACCTACTACATAACCATCAAGTTGAACTTGCCGAGGCTCTCGCTGAGCAAGAGTATGTTGTGCACGGGAAGATAGAGTAAGTTCCTATTCATTCCTGAAAGGTTGTTCTCCGGACTACCGGCACCTGCGTCGTTTAGCGTTGCTATCCGACGGCATGGCATGTCTAACGTTTTTTTCAAGCGATCTCGAATCATCTTTATCAAGCATCGAAAACCTACGAAGCAAGATGCGTAAATGGCCTCCGCTCCGCTCCGGCGAGCAAAAGTATGAAAATGGAATCGCTGATGTAATGGCGGAGGAAATGGGATGGCAACTGGATTGAGAACGTGCGAAACACGAAGCATACTGAGTTGCGAATTCCAGTCCGTAACTCCATCCGATCGACACTCACACAAGCCCTTTGATCGATATTGAACAGGCGATGAAACGTAAACCCAACACCTGCTGGGAAGCACCCATCCGCAAGCTACGGCCTCCGGTCTTTCACTCACCAGAGCTTCGGATCGAAGTCGCATGACAATGAACACTCTCCTCGACGATGCTTGGCCGCCGGAGAGCTTTGGAGCGTTTGCTACAACTCTTGAACACATGTATTCTCATCCTCATGTTTGAACACCTATAGCGCTATGTAAGTGTACATCTATAACTATATCTATCTACACTAACCACATCACCCAGCGACATCTTCAACCTTGCTCTCTCCATCCCTCCCAACTTTCCCAGCATGCCTCTCTCCCTCCTCTGCTTGCTTCTCCTCAACATTACCACCACCGTCCTCTCCAAACAACTTGGCAATAGCCTTCATCGTCGTATTCCCGCCCGAAAACACAACGCCCACATCCCACCCATCCTTCTCCAGCCCCATTTGTCTCTGCGCACACATGGCCCTGAAGTCTTTATTGAAGAGCACCACGGCCAATCCGACACAGCCGCTCGGCTCAACTACGACCTTCAACCGTTCAAACACAAGTCTCATGGCCATCTTGATCTCGTCTTCCGTCACGGCATAGACGCCCTCCAGCTTCCTACGATCACTGAGAACACCCCAGTTTGTCACGCCCACGGGCGTCCGCAGACCATCTGCGATCGTGAGCGTTTTGACATGTTCAATCCTCTTCCCTTGCTCGAGTCCGCGCCGTCCGTCGTCGCCGCCCTGGAAACTCGGCTCGGCCCCAAACACCAACGTGCCCGGCTTATCAGAGAAGTACGTCGCGACACCCGACAAGAGTCCTCCGCCTCCAAGGGGTGTTATGACAGCGTCTAGCCCGGCAGCCTTGTTGGAAGTTGACGACGACACCACCGTGGCGCGTTGTTGCAATTCATCCACTTGCTTCTCGAGTTCCAGCCCCACAGTTCCCTGCCCGAGAATGATGTCCGGGTGATCATACGGCGGGACAAGGATGGCCCCTTTGTCAGCGACGACGTTTTCCACGACGGCTTCGCGCTCTTGACTCGTCGATCCCGAAAAGATGACGTTGGGCGTGTACAGTCTCGTACCAGCGATTTTGGAAGGCGTGCTGATGCTCGGCATCACGATGTAACTTGGGATCTTGAACGTGTAGGCCGCAAGAGCCAGAGCTTGAGCGTGGTTACCTGGATCAAATTAACGAGAAGGACGTGTGTTAGTTTTATCATGGAGATTGTCAGGTTGAAAGATGACATGATGTTGATGATGATAAGGCGGGGGGTGCGTGTAGTGTGTACAGCTAGTATAGCTTGGGGAGCATGGGAGATAAAGGTACCTAGCTAGCTAGCTAGGTAGGGATGGAGGGAGGCCGGGGGGGTAGATGGGTAGGCACATACCACTACTATGCGTCACCACTCCACGTTTCCTGACTTCCTCTATCCCCATCTCCTCCACGAGCCGGGTCACGGCGTGGAACGCGCCTCGGGCCTTGAAGGCTCCTATCTTTTGCAGATTTTCGCACTTGAACCACAAGCGGAACCGCGGCGTCGTTTCGGCGTTGCCGCCCGCGGACCGTGAAGCTTCGGCATCCTCGAACGTAGGCGGGCTGTCGGTCAGAAACGCTCGCGGGTCCGGCGCGCTCGCGATGGCGTCCAACGACCTCGACGTCAGGACGGGCGTGTGGTGGATGTAAGACTTGATTTTGGCGTGGGCCGCCACAATGGACGAGGGTACGAGTGGCGGACAAGTGCTCGGGTCGGCCATGGTTCTTTTTGTCTTTTGCCTTTCTCATTCCACTTCCGCGAAAGTTGGAAAAAAAAAGGGAACAAAAGTACCTGGGTACCTGGGTAGATAGATACCCCTCCCCCCTTCTTTTCTCAGGTCGGACCTACTCTGTCCTTCGTTTTTTCGGCCCAGGGCAATCAAAAGAAAGAAAGGAAAGTCCCTGGCCTCGGGAGACTTTCACGGACGTTTGTTTCGTATCGGGTCCTCGAGTCTCTCGCCTTTGGTGCCTCGTCCGGCCGTGTATTTCGATCAAACCTCCGGCCAGTGAGGCTTATGAGTCTTGTTGATCCTCGGCGGTGGACGATTTCGCCCTTCTGATTGACTAGCCACGGGTGACGCGAGCGGACCAGGGTTGAAACGGAGTGAGAGACAGAGAGACAGAGAGACAGAGAGAGAGAGTGTGTGTGTGTGCGTTGTTGTATATATATATATCTACCTGGTTAGCCAGGAGGGATAGAGGGAGAAGAGACCTGAATGTTGGACCGCGTGGTACAAGTCAAAGTAGTTTAGGTAGGCTTGCGTGACCGTGATCTTGATCGTCAGATACCGGGAGTTACATACTCCGTTACCAGGATCCAATGTTTGGTGCTGCGGGGAACTTGCAAGGTATTCTACCTCGTGCAGAGTACAGCCCACCGACTACACCTTATATCTGACGGATCATGATATGGATCCACACATTTCTTAAAAAAAAACACAAGGAGAAAGAAAACTTGGTCAAAACCACATCGTGGAATAGAGAAACTGTCCGAGGCAAAAAGACAACTGATATTCAACTGGCACAAACTCCAGAATCTTGATCCTTTTTGTTCAAATTTGATATCAAACAATGTCCACCATTTGATACATAGTTCACTTTTGATAACGCCGTACTATCTTCAGAATTACACCTGGAAGTGTAGCCACTCAACTAGCCGCTTTCCTCAGGGCCGAGACGGCTTAGTTGTTCTCTGGTCGCAGCGAGCTAGAAACGCATTTGTTAGTCAAAGCACAGCCCACAAAAAAAGAAGATGACAAGAAACTTACCGAACAGCCTTTCCGGCACGCCAGATCTCCATACCCCGGATGTCCTCCATCTCCTTCTCGAACTTCTGTCGGTAGTCCTTCTGGCTGTTGTACTCCAAGCTGCGCTTGGTCTCGGTGCCGTTCTTGACGCTGTCATACAGATCATTGAAGACGGGCTTGAGAGCATCCTTGAACTTGCCTTGCCAGTCGATGGCACCACGACGAGCGGTGGTCGAGCAAGCAGAGTACATCCAGTCCATGCCGTTGGCACCGATGAGAGGGTACAGGGATTGGGTGGCCTCCTCGACAGTCTCGTTGAATGCCTCGGAGGGAGAGTGGCCACGCTCTCGGAGAACCTCGTACTGGGCGAGGAACATGCCATGGATACCACCCATCAAGCAGCCTCGCTCACCGTACAGGTCAGAGTAGACCTCCTTTTCGAATGTGGTCTCATAGAGGTAGCCGGAACCGACTGCGACACCCATGGCGACAGCCTTCTCTTTAGCCTTGCCGGTGACATCCTGGTACACGGCAAAGGACGAATTGATGCCCCGTCCTTCACGGAAGAGCGATCGGACAGTTCGGCCGGAACCCTTGGGGGCGACCAGGATAACATCAATATCCTCGGGCACGTCGACCTTGGTAAGGTCCTTGAAAACGGGGGAGAAACCGTGGGAGAAATACAGAGTCTAAAATCGTCAGTTAGAAATTGTTTTTCCGCTAGAAATAACGTTAAGAGCATTACCTTTCCCTTGGTCAATTGAGGCTTGATAGCTGGCCAGGTTTCACTCTGTGCAGCATCACTGAGCAAGTTCATGATGATGGTGCCCTTGGAGATGGCCTCGTCAACCTCGAACAAGTTCTTGCCGGGAATCCAGCCATCTTGTTCTGCTTCCTTCCACGACGCTCCGTTCTTTCGAACACCGATGATGACGTTCAATCCGTTGTCACGGAGGTTAAGACCCTGACCATGGCCTTGCGAACCATAACCGATCAGCGCCAGGGTGTCGTTCTTGAAGTAATCCTACGAATTTTGTTAGATTTTCTCGTCTCCAGGGAACAGGAGTCAGCATACGAGGAGTTTCTCACGAGGCCAGTCAGCGCGCTCTAAACAAGGTGTTAGCAAAGCTACGGTAAACTCGACGAAAAAAAATCACATACCGTAAACATCTTCCTTCGTGCCAGCAAAGTCAATGGTCTTGACACCTCTTGTCTGTTGCTGAGCGGGAGCTGCGAATGAGCTTCTCTGAGAAGCTGCCACAACGGGTCTGCTAGCACGAGCAGAGACAAACGACCGCTTGGGGATGGATGGGGTCGCAATCTTCTGCTTGGAAGCAGTGCGCAGGGTTCGAGCAAAGGTCTTGGAGGCCATTGTGTCAATTGAATTGAACAAAGAGAGGAGATTCTGAAGTTGTGTGAAATGCAAGGAATGAGCAATCCTGGGGAAATTTTTGGTACTTTATTTCTCTACACATTCGCACTCTGCGCAGCGAGCTCTTCGTTGCCGGAGTCTCTCCTCATTGGCCCCCCAACCTGTGGATGTGGCTCCGAGAGCGGCCACCGTCTTCGGACCAATTCTAGCCTCCCCGAGTCGCAGTCTGGGCCAGGCATAGAGGCAACTACTCGTAGTAGTCGATACTGCAAGGGGACGAGTACCCAGCAAGTATCAAGTATGGAGTACGGATATACAAGCAGTCTTAGGCACGTGCTGTCGCCTTCTTACCATGAGTGCATGACTGTCCACGCCGCCCCTGCCGGGACATCGATTCCTTATCTCTTGCATCACATATTATAGAGAGCCTCTGAGTACCGCCGCCTAGCCACTGTCCGAGATGCCTCTTCCAAGGGTGCAAAGCGCTTCCATGTTCCAGGCCCTTTGACGGGTCTTGATCAGCATGAATTTGTGTCATTCGTCGTATCTATCGTGTCTAAGGTCTCTGGAGATATCACCGCAGCACTCGGTCATAGGTTTGGCCTCTAACCGCCCCACCGCCCATTGCTGTTCTTGCATTTCTTCTGAATCCCTCTCGGTTATTCCTCAGATCCTCGGCCGCCTCTTTGTTTAATGGATCGGAAGCATTGGGTTCCAGGAAGAGGAACTGTATGCTGAGTTAGTGATCGCCTCCCACGTTAACCTGGCTGCACCCACCTGCATGCCGACAATGACAGCGTTCAAATTCAACACGGGTTTCCAGTCTTCGCGCAAAATATTTAAGCACACATTCCCTTCCAGGTCAATATTGGGATGGTAGATTTTCTGCGTGCATTTGACCTTGGGTGGATCGTGAGGGTAATTTTGGTTAATGGTGAAGTTGAAGATGAAGCTGCCGCCCTTGTACATCCCTTCGTCCGGTTCGATAGTAAGTTGGAAGTTGAGGATGTCATCAGGGTTTGGAAATGTAGTCTTCATGGTAGATCCCAGGGATACTTCACTCAGATCTTGAACTGGTCAGCTAGATTGTCGCCTTGAATGAGCAGCAAGCCCACCTTTCTGTACGCGCAATTGCGCTGCCGTGACTTTCTTCTTCTTTTGTGTTGTTCCTTGCGCTTGCTCGTCTTTCTGCTGTTGTTGCTTCTACAACCATTGTTAGCCAGATTCGGGTTATAGCGTGCGCAGCTCAGCCCACCATAGACCATATTTTCATCATCTTGTCGATGGGTACGTGCACGGCACAGGTCTTAATAAGGCTCTCGGGGACTCAGAGACTGAGGTGCGTGATAGTGAGTGTCTGACAAAGTCTGTAATGAAGGTCGTTGTGAGGGAGAAGAGAGGCGAAGGTGGCAGTCGAGGGGCCCGCGTGATGAGTCAAGATGGATGGATATGGAGTGGCGAGGATTCAACTGAGGCAGGGTTGGCCGTACTTAGGGGCGAGGAAGACTGCGAGGCGTGTATCATGCGAAGAAGACGCGGCGGAAGGCAGAATGATACAAAGGAGTGGTTGAGATTGCATATTCAGTCGTAGTTGCGTTGGCTGTTAGCCGTTGGCCACAAGGCTCACATGACGCAGTTCCGCCGTAGATGAGGCTCTTCTCCTAGATACCTAAGGCTGGCTATACAGGCTACCAGGCGAACACTGACGACAGTTTATTCCATTCACCGATCCTGTTGTTCAATGCTGATCAATAGTGAATTTAGATTTACTGTTGACGAATGGAAAATCATCTACGACCTCCCACGTTCGAAACAGTAGGTAGCTGCACACACAGACACTACACATTTATTTTGAGTTTCTCTCAGAAGAAAATGTCCAGATTCCCAGATTATGCCGACCCTTACTAGACCGAATTCCATGCTATGCAGCACCCTCCGTGGTTGACTATCTTCGATTGAAACAGCACAGCAATCCAGTCCTGCCCAAAAACCAACAACACCCCATGAACCGAATCAGTGATAGAACCGCCGTGGTCCAGAGCAGAGCTTGGAAATAGTGACTACTTCGAGTCGTTGCTTTAGACTGGGCATTTCATTAGTGAAACATCCACCTCGAGGGAGGGAGATAGAACTTACAGTGAATCCGAATTTGTCGACACTGTCACTAGTAATTGCGACGGCCAGCAGGGCATTTGAGAAAAGCCAAGTGGCGACAAGTCGAGTTCGGAAGTTCTTGTACGAATCCTCAAGGGTCTTTTCTTCTTTCTCCTCCGGAGGCTTGTAGGGAGCTAGGGCACGTCTCACGGTGGCTTCAAACTGACTGTCGATATCCGCCTGTGGTTTATCGATTTCCTCGATGACTGCCGTCTTGCCCTTCTCGTCCCTCTTTGACTGGGCGGATGGCAAGGCTTCTGCCTTATCGGAACCCTTCGTACCCCATGAGACGTCGTGCCAATTGCTGAAAGCATAAATCATGAGGATGTTGATGAACGACGGCATCAGGAGCAGGTATTGAAAGAAAGAGGTGAACATGTGCCATGGATCCAAGTACAGGAAGGAAGCGACGAAATACAAGCCGAATGTAGACGCCAATGCGATTATGACAATACCCGGTCCTGTCGATGCAAAGAATGATTTAACAAACTCGTTGGCACCCTCGTTCGTCACAATGTCGGTGCCGTCTTTGGTTGTGAATGCTCGAACCACCAGGTAAATGGACAAAACCATGACATACAACTGGATAAGTGCAAAGAGGGCGAATGACATGATGTACGCCATCTTCGAACCCTTGGGCCGATTTCCGAGCGCGAGGATGAACTGGAGTAGGAGGAAGGCTAGATAGAGATATTGCAGGACGGTGTTGACAATGGGAGTCGCCTTGTCACCAAACGGAAATGCTGTGTTGTCGTTTGCAGTGCTAGGTTGACCGACAAGATCCATCAGAATTTTCGACGTGAGCCAGAACGACGCAAGAGAAAACCAGGAGAGAAGGACGGAGACAATGTTGTATAGCATCTGAATGTGGAAGAAGAACATTCGAATGAGGTTGTGCCCGGATTTGTACATGCGAGAGAAATGCATGAGGGAATAGATGGAGGCGGCAAAGGAACCGTTCAACCAACGTCGACGTTGACCAATAAATTCAGGGGCGCCTTCAGGTACATCTGTTTCGGCTCTGGATGCCTTGACGTACGAAAGGTGCCATTTGGATCCAGCCTTGGCCACCAGTTCGAAACACAAGATACGATCTTCGGCCAAGAACATGTTTTTCTTAAAAATGTTCATGCCTTCGATGCCTTTCTTGCCCAGTCGTGCCGAGAGTGTGTGGTCACCGTGGAAGTACTGCTCGAGAGGGCGACCCATGATGGCTCTAAAGCGATACGCAGAGAATGCACCAGGCAAGACACTGACATATCCGAATGAGCTTTCCAGCGGTTTGTCCAGGATGTTACTGATCTTGTACTCGAAGTTCTGAGCCGCGACCAGAGGGTTGAGCAACTTTCTGCCAAAGACACCTCCACGACCCAACATGGCATGAATTTCACCACAAGCACCGCCAAGGTCTTTGTCGTTGTAGAATGCCTCCCACAGAGCCATGAGAGATTTGGGGCCAGGCTTTGTACCTGCATCGAGCAAAATGCAAACTTCTGGGTTCAAGATCCGTCCGAAGGCATTGAAGAGCCATCGATGGGAGTTGATCTTCTTGCTGTTCTTCTGCTTCAGACAGAATATCATTTGGACGGGAGGCAAGGAGGTCGCATCATTGTCATTGGGTCGAATCAGTTGCTGATTAGCTGTCACGGAAAGCTGAGTCGTGTACTCGAAAATATGCACCACCGTGTCCTTGCCATCAACGTCCTTTTTCATGACCCCATCTTGGTAGACACCGACAGTGGCCAACAGATCCAGTGTGTTCTTGTCGCAAGGGTCGATACCATCGAAAACCAGGCACACCACAATCTTCTGCCAGGCGGGACCACCTTTGTTCCAGAATTCGGATTTCTTCAAGTTCACAATGTCACGAATGTTCTGCATCACACCATGAAGCGTGCGCGCCGTCAAGACTTTGTCTTCGTTGTAGTAGGTAATGGCGATCAACAGTTCAGTATGACGATTGTACATGGCCGGTCGTAGATTATAGCCATTTTTCAGAGTGAAGTCGTCCGGGTCACACGTCGCCGCTGTGTATCGCATATGTGTAAATTCCTCACTACCACCCTCAAGATCGTTTCGGTACTTGGACTGAATGGCATTCTGGATTGCACTGGGAACCGGGTAATCGATACTCAGAACGCTTCCTTGAACGAGCTTAACCTTTCTTGTAGCATAGCGTTTGAGTGTACCGTACCCAGGAGCTTGCCGTTCCTGCCATGCATCTTGTGTGCTCATGGGGTTGCTGGGGTTCGGGCCTGTCTGGGCGGGCAAGTTGACCTGCGAACTGTAGCCGTAGCCTTCTTGCTGACCATACGGTTGCGAATTGTAATTTGTGCCTGTCACTGGAACTTTTGAAGGATCTCCCCCAACATATGACTCGTTTAGTGTGTAGATCGACTCTTGTCCAGGTGTCAATGGCCGTGAATGAGGAACATCGTACGGGACTTGGTATGCGGCGTTCTGATGTAACAGAGAGTGCTCTGCTTCATCGTCCGAATGACCAGTCGTCGGTCTGTAGTTCTGCAGCAGGATTTAGCACAAGACAATCCCTTCGAACTTCTGAGATCTAACTTACATTGCCATGGGGGAGATCATTGAGCTGGTGGCCAGGGTACTGGTGCGCCATGCTTGCGAGATGTGCAGCGACGCAGCGTCTAGTTGTGGAACCCTGGTGTTCGTAGACAGCAGATTTCGACGTTCAGAAGGCCTGGAAGGTGAAGATATGGATGATGATGGATTAGAGTGACAGCCGCCAGGGCCGCTTTCAAGCGTGTCGTGTTGCCGCTGAATTGTAGGGTCGGGTGAAGTATTGGAAACAAAGTGAGACGGATGCGGAGGGCAGGCGAGGTGAAAGCCTCGAGCACAAAGAATGTACAATCTGAATACCAAAGACAGTGGCTCCGTGGGACACACGGCTCTCCGTATTCGTAGGAATTTATGAGAGAGACCAGGGAAGGAAAGAAGAAGGACAAAAGAGTGGTGTTTCAAGTTCTTGAGATCCTCGCCAGTCGTTCGGCCAGTTCCCAAGATATCTCCTCCCCTGACACAGACCGCAAGCTGATGTGCATTAAAGGGCTGGCAAGTTACAGCAGCTTACGACAGAATTGCGGCAACGCCAATGACTGGGATCCATAGCATTTGACTCGCTAAAGCAAGAAAGCAGGCTGTGCAGCAATTGGTTTCTTCTCTGCCCTGGAAGCTGCGCAGCAACAACGAGGCGTCTCCGCTACTGGAAGCCGGTTGCGGATTTTGTTTTTAGGATTACGGTCTCTACGCCAATTTCGCTGCCCGTTGCTTATTTTCACCTGGAAGGACATGGCGACTGGTGTTGGAGTGCTCTCATCTATGCTCCATACCCATCGTGATCATCATGATTCATAACCAACTACCAAGTATGTCTTTCCCCGGGTTTCATCGTCCTCACAGGGATGAAACAGCTAGAGCGACTGAAATAGTCCTGGCGTTTGCCATCGATGGGTCTTATCGCCATCGGTGGCGTCACGGCTCCTCGTACAAGTGTACAGGTATGGCACGCCGCAAGCAAGGGACCAAAGGACCCAGACACGTTTCAGGGGATGAGATTCCCTAAGCCGTTTGTGGCTTCATCGCTCCCCCGCATGCGTCTGGCGATGGAAATTCCAAGGAGACTCTTCTCAGTCTCACAGTATGGGAGAGCCTGGTTAGGTACTCTGTACACGATACATGCTCATGCTGTGACCGTTGAACGAGCAACACCGCACCGGAGGCCGAAAAGGGGGACCCTGCGTCGGCAACACGAGGTAACAGGTTCGATGCACTGGCACGCGTGTCACAGCCGGAATTCTCAAAGTCAGATCCATTTTTAGGAGAGTCCGGTGCTGGCGGTGCAAGGCCTGCGAACAGCCGCGCCACAACGCCCCTTTTGACGATCAGCTGCCTCTTCCGTGTCGATGCTCCGTAGGCGAGACTGGCGGTGGATTTTGAAATGCCACAGGCCTGATCTCGGCTCAGTAGATGGACTGAGTAATATAGTCTATGAGAGGATAACACGCTCATCCTCTATGGAACTTGGGGGCGTCCCGTACGCTGTCGGCGGCCTTGTCGGTCAGCGACCGGCTGACATTGCATCCCGTATTTTACATGCACACACATGAATCGCGCAGAGTATATAGACGGTATATGTAAATGTTTCTGGGGACATGGAGTCGTCCAGAGGTCTGTGAAATTTTGAGCCGACGCTCCCTTGTATATCGTGTGCCCTCTGCTGATGGCTAGGCCTTCCTCCCACTCGCACTTACAATAACGAGGAGATGGCACAATGGTAACGCGCCTCTGCATGATCACGATGTAGCATTGAATAAATCCAATAATAGTGGAAAAGACTGAGATCCCACACGCAGAAGAAACAGTACGAGTACGGTGAGCAACGTCAGTCAAGCAAGTGACAGGCTGGATGACATGCTAGTGAGAGGAAGCAATCTGTCGTTTCTTTGCAGAGATGTGAGCGCCGTGGTTGTCGAGTGAGCGATCGAGGCCAGCAGCATCCCATGGGAGTCTCGGTTCAGCGTTGAGTGATCAATATAGTAAGGAAATGTGTTCGCTCACTCACTCAGAATACGGCGATGGAATCTCGCTTGAACCTAGCCGCATCAGCAAACAAAGAGTCCTTTTTGTTCCGATAGAGCGTGTGATTGGGAGGAGGGTCACGGACACCTACAAGGGAGTGTTTGAATGCGGCCCAGCGCCATTCCTTGGTGGGCAATGGTGTGCTGGTGGTGTGTTTTTGGTCTGCTTGATGCTGCCGCGCGTTGTCGGCTGTCAGCCAACAGCTTCTCAACTCCACTGCCCCTTCATCTCCCTCTTCTGCCCACTCACCTTCTGTTTTCCATCCTCTCATGCCCTCTCAGGCTCTCACTCCTCTCTACCCATCCCCAGAAGGCGTGCTTGTCCTTTGGGCGAGAACGAAGGATCTGCTACCCTATCGACCCTCGATCGTCCTCGACTCTTTCCTCCTTCAACCAACTCGAAGCTCATTCTTTCTCTTCCCTCCTCGCCTCTCACCTCTCACCTTAGCCAACTTCAATTCAGTCCTTCTCGCTCTCATTTGAGATTTTATATTTTCGTCCCCGGTGGAACGCTCGTTGAGTCGCTGGAGAGACCAACACTATTCCATTCGTTAACCTGCATTCGGCACCTTACACCTGACAAGCATCACGACCACTATCTTAACGGTCCTCTAAACAACCCTCTTCCTGCTTCACCCTTATCCGTTAGACAAAACGAGTTCTTTGGAATAGCCACTTTTTTAGGTTGAAAGGCTCGAAAATGACCTAGGGGAGGGATCAACAACAACGCAGACACTTCCTTACACTGCGACCAAAGCATCTGAAAAGTCACTACGCGGAGAACTCAGAAAATCTGAGCCAATATCCACCGGATCCTAGACCACTTGTCTTCAACTTGGGCAAGAGACACTGTATACCGATCGCAATGGCGGACGCTGGGTGTAAGAAGACCACGTCTGCAGTATGAGTTCTGTTAACAATTGTCTTAGTGTCCAGATCGCACACCCACAATCTCTTCCGACGATGTGTACAATGCCCACAAGAGCCTCCCAGCTGCCCTTCATGCGCTGCGGATGAAACTTGTTCCTTGTCAGCTCAGTCTTGCAATTCGTGTGCATCCACAACCTGCGTCAAGATCGATAGCATTCCAGGCCAGTCATCGCCCAAAAAATCTACTCCAATTGGCGGAATCGTGGGGGGCGTGATCGGGGGTTTAATCTTGCTGGCTGTTGTCATATATTGCATCTATCGTTTTCGAGTTCGCAAGAAGAAGCGCGTGGAAATATGGGATCCCCCCGAGAAACGGGACCAATCTACCCTCCACCGAGCTCATCGTCAATCTACTAGATCTGCGCACTCGATTGCATCGACGGTTCTCACGCGAGCCTCGAATGTCATTCAGATCGCTTACATACCTGGTGTCACGGTTCGATCACCACCCGAGTCACCGGCACTTCTCGTTCCACCTGTTCCAGCCTTACCTGGCGGCGTAGGCAATTCGGCAACGTCGACCCCTGCTCTCGAACAACACTTTTTCATGCCAGGAGACCTTAGGGACTCTACATGGTCTGACGCTGACTCGGTCGATGCCCGCTTTAGTGTAGCACCCAGCCTGGCCCGCAACAGTGTGGCAACCACCATTTATCGAAGCGACGCAATCGTCCCACCAATCCCAGCACAACAGGCATTCCGGGCGCAAGCAAATGTTGTCAGCGTCAAATCTGGCGCTAATACCCCGGGGAACTCTTCCACGCCTAATACCAGAACTCCTAAAATTCCACAGGGCCCTAGTATGGGAAGCTCAACAAGTTCGATAGTGGCAAGAAATGTCACGGCGAGGCCAATTGAAGTAAAAAAGACCAATTCCGGAACAAGCGTTCCGACTTTAGCAAACCTGGCAAAGAAAACGGCCCGTCAAAGCGGTACGCCAATACCCGGCTCCGAAAAGAGCATACCTATCTACAGCGATGAAAAAGAAGTGGTTGCTTCAAAGTCGACTGTGACTTCCCCTATCACTGTTCTGATGGATGACCCTATCTCTCCCATCACAATCCCACGACCTGCTTTTGCTGGCGATCAATCGACACGATCGTCCTCGGTTAGCGCAATCCTGCCTCCTGATGCTCTGAAGCAGTCTTCCAGCAACAATACCATCAATGCCATGATTGCTGATGCGATCAGTAGGGCAAGGGATCCACAAGCCATCGGGGTGACTAGTCCGACTTCACGTCCTGCGCTTGTTCAACATGACTCGGGGCCGTTTTCAGATTCCAACGAGGTCAAAGAAAACTTGTCTTGATGTATATATACTTGATTCTTCTGGAACTCATGTGCCATGAGGCCATTATTATGAGTATTTAAGCGATTTGGGATTTTTTAGATACCACGTAGAGCGATGATCAATCAGACATTGTCGCGAAATGAAAAATATTTCCGACGATCAAAAGTACCAAATGTGCGCAGACTGATGAGTTCATATTTGCAGAGTGAGCATGGTCTGTCTACCAATTAATATCTGCTGAGTCATACACACGTTCTCTGACGGACGCGTCTGCGTGCGCGCGTCGCCCCTTCAACCAGCGACTTCTGACCTCCCCATTTAGTATTTCTATACTTCGTAGTCCGAGACTACTTCTCACTCTCGCATAACGCCAGCCGTTAAAGACTATCATCGTCATGGGAATAAAAATGCCAGAGTCCTCCTCACCGCGCGAATCCTCTCCTGCAAACGGCGACAATGTGACATTGCCCGATGCACCTCTTCTGGCGAATGCTACTGGGAATGCGTTGGGACCAGACATGCAGGATCAATCCAAAGTTGCGCTCGAAGACCTTTTCGATGACGATGATAGCGACCTCGAGGACGAAATTTTGGCTTCCGAGGCAGCCAATCTACCCTCCTCCCCTCCACAGACTGCTCCCAACTCACCAACAAATGCTGCGTCTGTGTCTCAACAAGAATCCTACTCAGATCCTAACTTGATGTTACAATTCTATTCACGATTATTCCCATTCCGGTCATTGTTCCAATGGCTCAACCATTCTCCCAAGCCGGGACCCGACTTTGCCAATAGGGAGTTCGCCCTGACTCTCTCTAACGATGCATACCTTCGATACCAATCCTATCCTACCGCAGACACTCTACGTAAAGATATTCTAAGGCTGAATCCCTCGCGTTTCGAAATCGGACCCGTGTACACCACAAATCCGAGAGATAGAAAGACATTGAAGAAGAGCTCAATGTTCCGGCCGTTGAGCAAAGAGATAGTGTTCGATATTGATCTGACTGATTACGATGACATCCGGACGTGCTGTGAAAAGGCCAATATTTGTTCAAAATGTTGGTCTTTTGCGACCATGGCAATTAAAGTCGTTGACGTCGCGCTAAGAGACGATTTTGGTTTCGAGCATATTATTTGGATATACTCAGGGCGTCGTGGTGTCCATGCATGGATCAGTGACAAAGATGCTCGAGAGCTGGATGATGACAAGCGAAAGGCGATCACTGGCTACTTTGAGGTCTTGAAGGGAGGCGTACAAGGCGGCAAAAGAGTTAACCTCAAGCGTCCCCTACATCCTCATATCACACGAAGCCTTGACATCCTTCGACCATATTTCCAACAGGTTCTCGTCGACCAAGAACCCTTCATGTCGCAGTCTGGGCAGGATCGGCTGTTACAATTGCTTCCCGACAAAACGCTGAACGAAGCATTGGCCAAGAAATGGGCGAGCAGCCCTAGTCGACCCAGTGCTCGGAAGTGGGCTGATATCGATGCTTTGGCAGAAACGGGAGTCAGTAAGACGCTGAATACCAAAGCGCTATTGGAGGCTAAGCAGGACATTCTTCTCGAATACACGTATCCCAGACTCGACGTGGAAGTCGGCAAGAAGCGCATTCACTTGTTGAAAAGCCCTTTCGTTGTGCATCCTGGAACTGGAAGAGTCTGTGTACCGATCACCGCAGCTGGAGACATGAAACGTGCCGAGGCTTTTGATCCCCTTTCGGTTCCTAGGGTCAATGAACTCCTCAAAGAGGTCGACGACTTCGGAAGTGGCGATGATACTGGGACTATCAATGGGTTTGTTGAGGACGGTGTCACGATGAGGAAATTGAGCGATTGGGAGAAGACGAGGCTGAAGTCATACGTCGAATTGTTTGACAACCATATCAAAGCTCTCATGAAGAGTGAAATGGTTCGGGTCAAGCGAGAGAGAGATGATGACGGCGTTACAGGGGCAGAGGGAATGGATTTCTGACACATGGCCACGGCGACATGCACGAAGCTTGTACGAATTACGGAGTAGGGGAGTACCCCAGGCGAATCTCAGATCGATCTCAAATTGAAGGTGATAGATCCCAGTCTTGTGAATATGGGTTTCGTCGGCAAATCGAAGTTATGCTTTATTAATCATGTATTCTCTGCTTATTTCGCACGCCCTTGCTCTTACAATGATTCTGGCTGGTCTCTTCCAACACTAGAAGTTTTGCTGCACCAGCATCATTGATCGAATGGAGGGAAGGCTGAGGCTAACCCGACTTGGAGAAAGTACCTGTAGTGTGAGGATTCGCTGTGGCTGCCGATATTTGTCAGCCGAAGAGGCTGATGGCCTGTCTTACGAAGAGCAAATGCAATCCCTAAGTCTTTGAGATGATTAATTGTACGATCTTGCATCTTGAAGACTCTCGTCTGGACACTTGCCCCACGAACGGTTCACGCGCTCTTAACCTGACACCATTATTAAGGCTACGCAATTGTGAAGCCACCGCCCCTCGGATTGCATCGGAGCTATTTCCTCGAATGGATAAGTACTGCTCTGGATGAGCAAGACCTATCTCAGGCATTGCTGTCCAGCTCTTCGGGGCAAGACAAAAGACCGGTCTCATTTTCTTGAATATGCCGGCTATGAGCGTCCAGCCTGCCAAACACGGCAACACGGTACAGGTAAGCATAATGGCCGACTTTCATGCTCTGTCCACGGCGACTGATACGAGGTTAGGCTTGTGATTTATGTCGATTGAAAAAGAGAAGGTGTGATCTCAAGGATGGCGTGGGGAGGTGTTCCTCTTGTGAAAAGACAGACGCGGTTTGCCAAATCACGCATGTTACGAAACCGCGAGAGAGGCGCAAGAGGTAAGTGGGGGGTTTGGATCTTATTCCACGGTGCCATGGTTTAATCCATCGATAGAAAACAAATTGAGACGCTCCAGGATCGATTGCAAAGCCTGGAAGATCTGATCAAAAGCTCTTTGCTCGCAAAAGCACCATCCCCTCAGCTTCAGGGGCAACCAAGCCCTTCAGTCGCTTCTCCAATGGCTCCATCGCAGCCTGTACTCACGTCTACGTTGACTCCGAATTCGTACTCTGCAAGCCGATCGTCAGATCCTCCGGGGCATGTATCATTGTTTGAACAAAACTCCCACGATCATCGATACGGACATACTTCGTCACTGAGAGGACCCAGACCTTCAGAGGACGTGTATGCTCAGCTGACTTCAGAGATCTCCCAAGTCTTCAACACTCAAGCCTCCGGTGAGACCGGACGAGTTTCTGGTAGTCTTGATGCAATCGACATCGACTTGAACCCCCGGTCAAGGATACTTGGTGTCAGAAAATGCTCCATGCCGCCAGCTCAAGGAGGCTTGTTCTTGTTGCAGGAGTATTTGGTAGACTTCAACACCGCCGTTCCACTGTTTGACGCTGCAACTATCAGCGGATTGTTCTTAGATTGCTACAACGGCCGTGCTGACGGAAGAATGGTGTCATGGCTCGTTGTGAAAATCGTCCTAGCAATAGCTCATCGAATCCGAGCAATGAGTCCTCTTGGTGTTCCTCAGGACACAGAGAATGTTCAGACATATCTCGAAGAAGTGATCGCGGAGCTACCCGCTCTCATTCTGATGGAGCCATCTCTTCTCATAGCTCAACTCTATGTCGGCATTGCAGTTATCTTATCAACATCTTCTCGTCCTCAGCCTACTTCGACATTGGTTTCCATGGCACTGAGAGTGCTGCAGAACATCCGCACCAATGATCCTGATGGGGACCATTCAGCTATGCCAACAGATTTACAGCACCGAGAACGCGTGTTTTGGATTGCTTATGGTATGGAAACAGAAATTAGCCTGCGGACGAAGATATCACCATGCCTGCCCTCGAACCTGATCAGTCTGCACTTGCCCTCTGAGGATGATCCCGAAGGGGCTGGAAGTCTACGGGCTGCCGAAGGCGATTTCACAATCAACATCTTTCGACTGCGAGCTGAGCTTGGACTCTTTCAAGCTCGATTAGTGGAATGTGTACTTGCGCCAGGTCCTCACGAGCGGGCCAGTCCGGCATTGCAGGAGATGGCAGCAAGTTTAAGCAAGTGGAGAGGGCATTTTCTGTTTCGTCTCGAAGCCACAGAACTTCGAAACATGCTACACCGGTCAGATCTCGTGCATATCATCATCCTCGAATCCATCTACTTCATGACAGCCTACCTAGTTCAATTCTACAACTTCAGCGGACTCGGATTGAGATACAATCTGCTCTCAGCCAACGGGCTGTCTGCTGCCATGGCGCTGAGGGACGGCGTCCTACCGGACAGCGACGCCCGACGCTTCGTGCAGTTCCTGAAACTGTTAGCGGATGATGAAATCCTCTGCCATTGGTAAGGCGCTCCGTTCTTGACTTGTTATAGACATGCTAATAGCTCCTGATTTTAGGCTGAGCGTCGAGGCTGTTGCTTCGGCCGTGGTAGTCACCCTAATGCACATCATGCACAATCCGGGCAACACCGATGCTCAAGCAGATCTTGACATCATACGGCCTGTGCTTCACATTCTCTACAGATTGATCGAGTTCAGAAAAGACGAAGACTTCTCTCAACTCCGGTATATCTGCGCCGATTTGTACCTGAGGGTCGATAGCATGGCAAGGTAGACTAGTGTTGCTGCAACAGGAATATAGCGCGACAATTATGCCTGCCATGTTGCACTCGTATAGGTCTGAAGAATTGTCTTGCTCGTGAAATATGAGCGTAGTCGACTTACCAGAGGACCTTACCTTGTTACTGTGCATCAGGTCTATTCGGCTAAGTTGCGCTCCTCCCCGCATTTTGGGGCTACTGGGGATACTATCACTATTTCAGCTTAGTGGTTCTTAGACCACGGCTAAGCCAGAAGATTCCCCTCGCGCTTCGTCCGTTCCATCGCCTTTCACTCACCTTCGTCTGTCCGCTCTCATTAGATTCCCGAGGGGCCGCAAATGCCGGTTGGGGAAAGCCTTGCGATGTGACGCTGGATGCCACACAAAAACACCAATGACTTCCCAGCCAGCCGCGCAGTCCGAGCAAAACAAAGGTAAAGGCAAGCATGTGAGCACCGCCTGCTCGGGTTGCAGACGTCGAAAAATCAAATGCGACGGCATTACACCTAAGTGTTCCAACTGCGTACTGTATGACCAAGAGTGCGTCTTCCAGTATGGCGTGGACAAACGCAAGATCGCTCCTAAGGAGAGACTACAAGCCCTTACGGCCTACTGTCATCAACTAGAGTCTCTTTTGCGCACCCATGGAATTCCATTACCCAGGCCGCCTCCGTTGCATGTTCAGAAAGATGGCATAGGCGAATTCAGTCCGACCCAAGCTGGGAATACCGCCGTTGTCACATCTTCTACCTGGTCAAGCGCTGAGGATCAAGGTGGGTGCTTTCCCAAATCGTCTGCATTCTCTGATATCTAGCAGATCAAAAGACTCACAACGGGCATGGTATCTCCAATGTCTATCTCGTTCCAGATCTAGATGACAAAGACTCCTACCTTGACGGTGGAGTGGACGCAGCAGCCACAGAAGTAGATCAACCGTATCCAGAATCGGATACCCTTGCTGATCAACTATCCGGGCGGATGGGATCTCTGCAAATCGCCGAGGACGGCCAATTACGATTCTACGGCGCGACTTCTAATTTGCATATCTTGCACAATGGTCCGCTATCATTGTCTCGATCACGGTTTCGCTCCCTCTCGCAGGAAGGATCCAACCTCCTCCATGGCGCCGGGGTTGGTCATCTCGTTGACCAAGACCTTGAGGATCATCTCCTCAGGCTCTACTTTTGTTGGGAGGATCCCACGATTCATGTTGTAGAGGAGTCGATTTTCTGGCGCGAACGCAGGAGGTGCCTTTCGGGCCACCACTTCAGCTCCTATTACTCGGAAGTCTTGTCAAATGCAATGTGAGCCTCAATATCTTACGGGAGAGTAGTTCACTGACAAAAGAGCTGGTTAGGTGTGCTGTAGGAGCCACCATGACATCAAGGAAATGTCCACACTTGCCCGAACCGCTACCGGACTTTTTCGCCACCAGGTCTAAAACCCTACTAGACCTTGAAATGGATGCTCCAACACTCTCGACCGTTCAGTCTTTTGCCATTCTAAGTGGCATAGAAGCTGCTCTGACAAGGGATGCCCGTGGTTGGCTCGACAGTGGTTAGCTCATCCATCGTTCTTGAACCAGGGATCAGGCTGATCACTTTCACGTAGGCATGGCAGTAAGACTCGCAGTTGACCTAGGCCTTCATCTGGACCCCGAGCCCTATGTACAAGCAGGTATTATCACACGAGAGGAGCAGATTATTCGGAAAGTCGTCTGGGGTGGTGTCTTTGTCCATGACAGGTGAGCGGAGTTGCCAACATTGCAAATTGCAAACTCGCAACGAGCGAATAGTAATAACAGATTGTTAGGATGTGGAGCCTTTATGTTGGTAGACCGGTTGCTTTGGACGACAAGCACATCACTGTGCGATGGGCACTCCCGGAGAATCTTATGGGGACTAAACCAAAGTATTGGTCTTCTTACACTGATGACGACGAAGCTCCGGACTCGCCCGTTGTTCTTGACCCTATCGATGATCTATGCTATTGGAACATTAAACTTTGTGCCAATATGACAGCAATAAGAGAGACTCTGTAAGTCTGTATGGCGATTATCGATGACCTTATATACTGACTACACTCAGTTACCCTGATGGAATAGGCGATGTGCGGAGCCTGAGACAACTTTGCGATTTCGCAACTGAAATGAGCCAGACGTTGGCACTTTGGAAGGATGGACTTCCCGAAAGCCTCTCCGTCAATTACGACGACACAACAACATACTATCTCCCGCATGTCCTACAGTTACAGTAAGCCAACAACATCTGGTCGTGCGGGCAAGCCATCTTACTGATCCTTCTAGCATGCAATATCACTGCGTGATGATTATCACGAATCGTCCTTTCTTTGCTTCGACAAGGAAGATGATTGACCTTAGTCCGCTGGAGATTTCCAACCGTAGAGATGCCTGCACAGACGCTGCTGATGATATCGCTAGGTTGGTCCATATATACCGGCGTCTATACGGACTCAGAAGAATCAACATACAGGCTGTGCATCTTCTGTTTACTGGCACGCTCATACATGTGTTCACGGCATGTGGTGCCCTGGACAAAACAAAAAGCGACAATGCATGGAAGAATCTCGAAACTTGCTGCCAGGCACTCAGCGAGATGAGCCTCTCGTTCAAAAACGCTGGAAGAGCTTTTGAAGTGATCATGAGCATCAAAAGCGATCTCTTGAAGAGGTCCCGCTCCAGATTAAAGCGATCGAATCCTTGGCATGACGGACAGGACTTCGATGCTGATTCCCAAAGGAAAAGACGCTCGACTATGCCTGAGAGTGAATTATTGCCCTTCGAAGACTTTGGGGCTTCTAACTTTGATCCATCATTTGACTCGGCTGCGCCTTTGAATTTCTTTGATACATCCTACGACGACTTCTCCCTTGACAGTCTATTCTGGACCGGGTTCAACTCATTGGAGTTGCCACATTTACCACCTCAAAATCCACAGAATGGGCCTTGATTTAAAAATCCACAGAATGGGCCTTGATTTATCCTCTTCATCAGTCAATACGCTCTTCCTAGAATTCATCCTCTCACAAACGCCCAGCATGCAATCCTCCAGTCACCAGAATATCAGTACCAGTGGTATACGCCGCAGCCTCGCTACAAAGGTATGCAACCACAGTCTTGAGATCTGCCCTATCCCCTATCCTTTGAAGCGGAGCCGCGGAATTGAACACAGAGAGCAATGTGGGATTCGTCACCGCTAAACGACTCGTCATCTCGGTCGATATATAGCCAGGTGATATCGTGTTGACCCGAATTTTCAACGGACTCAGTTCAACCGAGAGCTGTCTACAAAGACCTTTGACCGCCCCTTTGGAAGCTCCATAGATAGACAGGTGTTGTGCAGGAAGGGCAGACCGCGCTGCGATCGAGGCAATCATGACAATGCTCCCCCCTGAGTTTTGTACTTGCATCTGTCTCGCAGCCAACTGAGCACTCAGATATGTGCCCATCACCTGGCGGTGTTACATTAGCCGGTTTTGACAACTATGATGATGATTGAGAGGGTCACACACATTTACTTCTAGAACATTGGTGCCTTCTTCAGCTGTGGTTTCTAAAAATGGCTTATCGACCACTATTCCAGCCGCAGTCACACTAGCAGATCAAGTCAGTCAAGTCAGCAGGGAATGCCTCAGGATGTCACGAACGTACCAGTTATCTATTCTGCCAAAATCGGAAACGACTTGCTCGAACGTTCGGGCCAATGTTGTCGGATCAGTTACACTTGTTCTGAAGCCGAATATCGTCAGCAAGCGTCACTATCACCGGAAGGAAACCCTTACCTGTAATACTTTGCACGAACACCCAGCTCTTTTTGGAAGTCATGAAATGCATCGCTTGGTTTCTCGAGGATATCAAGTACAGCAACATCGCTTCCGAGCTCAGCAGTGCCTCGGGCTAGAGCGAGACCAATTCCACGGGCGCCTCCTGTAGTGAAAATGAGTTCGGTGGTTTGCAAGAGCCCTGTTGGGTCTTCTGACCTGTGACAATGGTCACTCTCCCTTTGAGCGATAACAGATCCTGCACAGAGTGCGTTCTGAACTTCTCGGTATCAGCTTCCAACGTGAGCTTCTGGCCCTGGGATCCAACAGACTGGCTGGTCAATATCGCTTGCGTTGTTGAAAACGATCCGTGTCTTTGTCTTGGACGAGATGTTGTCCGGTATGGACACTTTGTCCCCAGCCACATACGTCTGGGCCATACTCTGGCTGCAGTGAAGATCTTATGCATCTCCATGGTTGTCAGGGTTATCCAACTGTGGCGATATCGTGCTTGTCGATTGGTCCGCAAAAGCACAACAGGCCAGGGGCACGTTCCGGCAACTACTTACTTGGATGAGATGTAAGCCTCGGGTATGTCTTGAATGATCCCCACAGAAGAAAACCGACTTGCAAGAGACACCGATGTTTACGAACTGTCCTGGAAGTGAATGCCAGAAATCAAAGCTAAGAAAGTGGAAGACACGCGATCTTTGTACAAGCTACCCACGGCTTCTGATTTCCCGCTGAAAGGTACAATATGCGGAAATGGAGAATGAATTGCCTCATGATTTCTGGACAATAGGGGATACTTCTCCAACTCATGTGGCCTTACAATCCAATAAAGGCTACTCGTACTGGTCCATCCTTCGGGGGCGTCTCAGCACGATCTGCAAAATCAGCCTGGGAAACATGGTGAATTGCCTCTCGGGATTCGAAACCCGTGCGGATGTGGGGGTGGATATGACCCTCTAACCGCGACTCCAATCAGATGTCACCATCAGCCTCGCCTTTGCCGGCTACTTGATGTCTGGAGCAATCCTGGGGATATCTCCAGATTACCGAGATCATGTATATATATATGGATCTATCAGACGTGTTTGCTCGTCCACATCAACGGTTCTCATCACCGTGTTTTCTCATCCATCCTCTTCCCATTCCCACTGTATCAGATATCTATCCCGTATACTTTCTTTCCAGTTTCCCTTGTTCGCCATGAAGATCATCACATCCCTCCGAGGGCGGACCCTTTACCGGGTAATGAGCTTGTGCTGCTCATTGGTAAGTACTCTCTTTGCTGAATTTCAGTCTTTATCTCCAACTTTATCAGTCTCATCACTGACGATTCGGGGGATACGAACAGTCCTTTTGCATGTACGGCTACGACGCCGGCGTCCTCGGCGGCGTGCAGACCACCAAACCTTTCCTCGACGCAATAAACCACCCTACAGGCACGTACGTGATTCCCATGATCGCATCGTCGTACACCCTCGCGGCCGCAGTCTGCTCTCTGGCCGTCACAATGCTCGGCATGCCCCTCGGCCGCCGAGGGTGCATCCTGATGGGAGACGCGTTCGTCATCGTCGGGGCCAGCCTGCAGGCATCGGCGTGGTCTGTCCCACAGATCATCATCGGCCGTGTCCTCTGTGGCTTCGGGATCGGTTTCATCTCCTGCTCCGTGCCGACCTACATGGCCGAAATGAGCATCGACTCGAAAGAACGCGGGCCCGAGGTCGCGATCCAGTGTGTCTGGCTCATTTCGGGAGTCGCGCTCGCGTACTGGATGGATTTCGGCTTCACGCGCATGTCGAACCAGGTGTCCTGGAGGTTCCCCATTGCGTTCCAGGCCGCCTTTGCCAGCATATCGATCGTCGGCATGTGGTTCCTACCGGACACGCCGCGTTGGTACTACGCCAAAGGCCGGGAGGAAGAGGGCGACGACATCATTGAGAGGTTGCACGACCGACCGCGCGACGACCCGCGTGTGCAAGCCATGAGAGAGGAGATCCTCGCGTCCATCAAGCTGGAAGAAGAGGACGAGCACAAGTTCAACCCGATCGATTTGATCTGGGACAGGAGTGACCTCAGAGCCGGACGAAGAATCAGGATCTCGTTTATGATCTTGTCGCTGCAACAGATGATGGGTATTGCTTGCTCCGCCTTTCCCTGTCGTCCTGACCTCCGGCCCCCCCCCCCCCCCCCTCCGAGGAGGATTTCTTTTCTGTCCCCGTCGCTGATCAATGTGGTGTGTGCCGTCTAGGAATCAATCTGTCCGTGTACTATTCGACCGTCATCTTCTCGCAAGTCGGCCTCTCGGATTTCCTGTCACAGCTGCTCGCCGCCGTCATGAACACCGGGTTCGCCGCCGGGACGTTTTTCCTTCCGGCCACGATTGAGCGCGTCGGCAGACGGAAAGTTTTGATGTGGTCTGCTGCCGTCTTGACCGTATGCATGCTCATCTTCGTCATCATGATCGGCCTCCCGAACCCTTCGCTCGCCATGCAGTGGACTGCCGTCGCCATGATCGTGATTTATAACTTTGTGTTTGGGTGAGTTGTCTTGTCCTTCCTTTTCCTTTCCTTTCGTCTCCTTTCCGTTGCATGACAGTACACTACTACAAAAAGAAAAGAGTGTACTGGGAAAGAACATCTGTTGAAGAGTGACCCGCTGATTTGATTATTCCAAAAACAAAAGCTATGGATGGATAGGTGTCCCTTGGCTATATGGCCCTGAAGTAAGTTGTTTGCAAACGTCCCTCCTCTCTCTCTCTCTCTCTCTCTCTCTCTCTCGGCACTGGCGACGTATACTGACGTGGTATTGTTCTTTTTGTAGATTGCACCCCTCAAGCTTCGACATCTCGGCGGCGCCGCTGGCGCGTTTGGAGAATGGCTCTTCAGCTTCATCACGGTGTTTGCAGGTGGCATTGCCCTGCAGAATGTCGGGTGGAAGATCTGGATCTGGATGCTTCTGTCCTGCGCGGTTGCCGTGCCGTTTGTGTACTTCTTGTGTCCGGAGGTAAGCTTGGCGCCTCCTACCCACCACGTCATGACGACCAGGTTTTTATTCATGGTGAGATGGTGTTTGAGAGGTTTGACGCTGACCGTGTTGTGAACTACAGACTACAGGAAAGACGCTGGAAGAAATCGACCTCATCTTCGCGAAGCCAGAGATTCGAGACTCGGCACTTGCGGCGAGAATGGTGCATGACCATCGCCCTGTGGATGCGGTGAAGTTGGAAACTGTCGAGTACGAGGAGAAGGAAGACGTGTGAATCTACTTTGTCAGGCTGGCATCCCAATTTTGGTAGGTCATAGACAGAGCAGATAGAACAACAGGACATGGTACACGGCAGTCGACGAGCCCCGTACCACTGTTACACTATGCCTTGCGCACTATGTGCCGACGCCATAAGGGGAGGCATGTGGCCGTAGGAACTCCGTGTTCCAGGATCATGCTCGAAAAATCATATACTTTGGGTTGGCGACAGCCTTCAATGACAACTCCAGGTAATCTGACTACTACTACTACTACTACTACTACAAGGCATCCTCAACTTCGTCCAGGTTGTATTGTCCCATCTTTCTGGGTGGAACGCGATGGTGAAATAGATGGTCGATCTCTTGAAAGGTGCGGCCTTTGAGCTCGGGGACGTAAAAGTAGCTCCAGATAGTACCAAGCAGGCAAGCACCTCCGAAAACAAAGCCGACCTTGCCCTTCAAGTTTGCCTTGTCTGGATTAACCATGTACGGTACGACAATGTTCATGACTGTCCCGAAGACAGCCTGGCAAGCGGTAGCCAGTCCAACGGTCTTCGCGCGGAGAGACGGAGTCGAAACCTCGCCGAGGAGAGCAAATGCGATGCAGCCAATGGTGATCTGGTAAATGAGAGCATACACGACGGTGCAAGACGCTTGTACCCAGCGGGCAGCAGAGGTGTGAACAACGTCAAGAATCCCCATGAGTACGAGCACAATCGTCATGCCGATCATACCCCCAACGAAGAGCTTTCTCCGTCCGAGTGTGTTGATTGCCATCCAGGAGATAATGACGCCGACAACACCACAAGCAGTAACACCGACACCCAGGTCAAAGGCATGACTGGTTTGGATACCTGCTAGTTCAAAGAAGTAGGTCGAAAAGCCAAGGACGAAGACAATTCCGGATAGATGTTGGCAGGCAAAAGCGCCAACTGAGATTGTGGTGCGAACAAGGTTGGTCCCTTGAAAGCATTGAATCCATCTTGCAGATTTGGACAGCTCCATGTCTTCCTCGACAGTTTGGACGATCATGGCAAGTCTCGGAGTCACGTCCACGTCTTGGCCATGCAGGCGCTGAAGTGAGCGTCGTGCGTCCTCAATTTGCCCCTGCCGGACAAAGTGCCATGGAGATTCCGGAGCAAACCATACTCCCACCAGCAGGATCCCTGATTAGACAGGTTAGTGGTGTTAAAAGTCGGTTGTTGCAGTTGTAGCTTACCAACAAACAAGAATTGCACAGCAAAAGGACCTCTGAAAGCCCATCGGTCATCTCTGTCTCCAAATCCCTTGATGACTGCATTGGACAGAAGTTGGCCGATGACGATTGCGAAATTGATGCCGCCAGTGATCATTCCACGGAGGACCACTGGGGCAACCTCTGAGCAGTACAAGGGACCAATGGTGAGGTAGAACCCCAAACCAATACCGAGGATCAATTTGCCGATCAGGAATGCTGGCCGGGTACTCGAAAATACCTCTCCGAAGATGCCGCCCGTGACAAACACTAGGCCCATGAGCAACGACTTCTTGCGGCCAATGCGGTCGGATAGCCAGGAGCAGGCAAAACCGCCAAAAAATTGCCCGACGCTTGAAATGCTGTTGAAGCCGCTTTGCCAGCTCGCTGGGATGACTGGTTGACCTTCGTAAATGTACCTGGAATGTGTTACGTTGCCGCCCAGAATCAAACATTTGCGTGCGGCTCACCCGAAAGTCAGACGGAACTGGGGTACAGATATCATGGCACCATTGACTTGTGCATCAAATCCCCTCAAGCTCAGGTTAGTCGAGAGTGCTGAGATACTTGATGAGAGATGACATACCATCCTACGGCACTGAAGGCGAAGAAAACACACCAGAACACCACGGTCTTGTTCTTGGTGAGAGCCTCCCAGACTGAGAGCTGATGCTCCTGTTCGGCAGCTACTCGAGCTTGTTCGACTTTGGGAGCGATATCCTCAAAGATGGCCTCGCCGGGCTTTGTGCCATCGTGGATTTCACCTGCCTTCTCCATGGGCGAGAGATGATTATTCTCCTGAGAGGCTGGTTGTTGGTGATTTTGAGGACAAGTCACTGACCCCTTGAGGAGTGCTTGGAGGAGTTGTATGAGGACGACGAGCTTTAAATCATTTCACAAGCTTCTCCGCTTCGCAATGCATCGTGGTAATAAGCGGTGACCATCTCCAGATACCACTAGAAAGCCATCTTCATCGAAGAGTCGAGGAGAGACGAAGCCCGGCACTCCGCGGGATCCCAGGAGACAATGACTGTACTGTGCAAAAGCAGAGATCTGGGCAGCAAGTGTTGGGTTGCAGTGGCGCTTGAACTGGACGCATATTCCCCGCCTGAATCTTGCCGCCTCCCGCCTCCCGCCTCCCTAGCCTCATTCTCCCAGGCATGCGACGGCATGTAGTAGCAGAAGTCAAGGGGACGTCGCAAGACAGGACGGTTCCCCCTGCCATTCCATGATGCCGTTGGTTGTCGCTTCCAAGGATGCGACTCGCACATTCAGCTTCAACCCGTTGCCAGAATCTAGCCTCTTGTCTAGCCTCTGGGGAATCATTCCGACCACTGTCCTCTGCCATCGCATCGTCCGTCGTTTTTGATCCTCCACTCGTATTGCGCGATCGCAACTGATGGCGTTGGAATGCTTCTAGAAACCTGCAACCATGTTCATGTCACTAGTTAGAGCGGGTCAGCCCTGCTTGTCGGAGCGGCTGACCTCCCCACCCTTAGCAGACCAGCAAAAAACAAATTCCCAGCACTCCGCTACTCACAGACTTATCACTTCCGACACTCCGCACATCAGCTTCATCTTTCCTCCCCATATCCCTTCCCCAGATCTTGCCCCGTGGTGCAGGTGGAGCGGAGCCCCGTCAGCGCATGGTGAGTCGTGGTCATGGAAAGCTCGCTTCGAAGCATTCTGCATGCTAGCGAGCCGACGTACGAACCAGGTATTCTGCATTCCGGACATCTACCGGAGTCGAGCAACGGCGTCTTCGAACCCCTCGACGGCGCGCGTGGAGTGACTGAGTCTCGAAAGCGGCCTGTTACGCGGATCAGGTCGAGTTATCCGCGGAAAAGAGCCATTCAAGCATGTCAGAAGTGCCGAATAAGGCGAACAAAGTGCAACAATGCACGACCTTCCTGCTCTTCCTGCTCGTCGATTGGTGCCGAGTGTACATATTCCGAAGGGGACAATTCCACGTATGATACGCCAGCGGGAGATCTGCGGTAAAAATCGATTGAACTGACTGGGACTAGTTTCGATGCAGCAAGTTTAGCAATACTTGACAAGTTGAACACCATCGAAGAGCTCCTGAGAGGCACCAATGACCGGGGACAAGCTCACGAGGCAGCTGCTGCTGCTGCCGCAAGCATCGCCGAGACAGATGCGCGCGGCACCTTGTCACGGCTGAAGTCCCTGAATTCTCCTAGCCTTGAGCGGGCTAAAGATTCAGCCCCTTTCCACATGAATATCGAGGGCGTGCTCTCATGGTCTGTGTTTGATGATCTAAGTCCCAACCTTGATTTGAAAGGACTTTTGAATTCCGGCAATCAAACAGCGCCTCCACTTCCATCCGCGGTTGCAGACTTCGATGATCATATCGCAGAGGAGACACTTGTTGCGCGGTTCATGAACAATGTCTTCATATACAATCCTGTTCTTGAGGAAGCTAAAATCCACCGGTACATGCGTGATGCTCGGTACAATGGGATCGGCTGGGACGCCCAGTCCTGTATATTGGTATGCTTTCCCTGACAGTGTGAGACTTCGTTTCTGACCAGGCCAACAGCTTTTGATATATGCTCACGGCTCGATAGCGGGCCCTTTCGATGGAGGCCATCAACAAGAGGCTGCGTCATTCCGCACAACGCCTCAATTCAAGCAAGCCGAATCGTTCTTCTCCGCCGCTCAAAAGCGTATGGGCCTGCTGCTTTGCAGAACTGGCGTTCTAGAGGCACAATGTTTCTTCCTCGCAGGAGTGTACCTGATGGCGACATTGCGTCCCATGGAAGCGTGGAAGATGTTCGTGCAAGCTCTCGCATGTTGCCAAGCGTTCTACACCGAGAAGGAGTCTCCCGAGACCGACAGGGAGGGAGAACAAAGACTCCGCGAGAGTATATATTGGACTTGCTTCAAGTCTGAGCTGTGAGATGTGGCCTGATGCCGTGAATAGTGACCATGTTGACTCGATTTTAGGGAGCTGCGGCTGGAGCTCAACGTGTCCGAGACCTCGATCTGGGATCTGACATACCCTGCATTCTTTCCTTCGCCACCAGACGGCCTCCGATCTCAGAGGGAGATTGTGTGGTACTTTTACCTCGCCGAGATCGCGCTGAGGCGACTAGGGAACAGAATCTTGAACTACGTGTACGACACGAAATCTACCAGCTCATTGGCGGACATCGCTGAGTCGACTCTCGGCTTTGAACAGCAGGCCGCAGACTGGCTACGTTCGCTGCCACAAGCACTCGATCTAGACTCGCCGGTCGATGGTGACGACGGCAGATTGCACAACTCGCTCAAATTCATCCTGAAGGGACACTTGCTTGACTGCTATGAGATGATGTATTGGCCTTTCATTGTATACGCGGTCAATTATGATGCACCTGAAAGAACTGCTACCATATCGAAAGGGATGATGGACTCGTTTGTACAGAAGGCTCTAATGATCTGCGTTGAGAGGATCGAGAAGAACGAAGAAGGCTTTCGATACCGCCATCATGGCACATGGTTGATGCTGAGATCTTGCACGAGAAGTGCTTTCGTTCTTCTCGCAGCCGCACGAATTGAAAAACTTACACTGTTGTTGCCGCAGCGATGGCGGTACGCTATCGAAAAGGTCATTGAGATGTTGAAATTCTGGAGGCGAGAAAGCTGGGATGTAGAAGACAGGCTCAGACTTGTCGAGTCGCTTCTTGATGGTCTGATGAATAGCCATCGAGGGGAATGACGATGCCTAGCATGACAAAGGGAACATTATGAGTTCTCGGTGACGATGATGATACTCGTACCGCTGGCATAAATTGAACGTATGAAAAGTATACATGTATATATTGATTGGTCTCAGGGTATCACGCGTCCACTTCGCGGATCTCATACTCGAACATCCCGTTCGATTGGATACTGCTTTTGTCGACCATCTTCTGGGATATCTCAATCCCAGCGGCTGGAACTCGATATTCAAGCTTCTTACCTGGGGCTGGCTTCTTTCCGTCCGGTAGAGCATGAGGATATGGCAAGTATTCAGGCATGAGGCCAAGTTGTATGAGGACAGATGCCTGGTCCCAAGAGATGTGTTCATGGTACAGACGGTCGCCGCGTATGCAGACCACCGCGGTGAATGGAACTTCGACTCGCTTTCCTGTCGGAGGGATACCTGGAATCCTTGAGGGGCGGTGAGTACTAGTGTAGGCACCAGCATGATGTCCGGTGCACAAACTTACATCCAAGGAACTTCTCTATCATGGGTGAATTTAAAAATGAACTCGTCCACAACTCGGTCTATTCCTAGTGTCCTGCTCACGAGTTGAAGCTCCGTGTCGTCGGGGTTGCTATGGATAAAATTGTTTTGATAGAACCACGTCAGCTTCTCGCGCCCAACTCCACCTGTCATCTGCATACAAGCAAAAGAAGTCAAGTCAGCGTACCGAACCACGAGGATGCGTTTGTTGGTCAAGAGAACGATGCAAGTGCAGCGATAGGGTGGTCCTACAGTGGTAATATGGTTGACGTATGGCTCTTGAACCATGGTACCCATGGTCTTTGCTGCCGACCGGTCCGCGAACTCGTAGTACGTGTGCTCTTCCCAGATGGCTTCGAGGTCGAATTCGGCGCCTTGGATGTACTTCTTCAGATGCGTCAGGTTGCGAGTATGCGCGACGGATTCGTCGGCGCCATTGAAGTCGGATTGAAATGGGAGAGCAAACTTGGAGGAGTTGGACGTCGGGTACGTGTAGATTTTGAAACCCGGGGCGCTTTTGGGGGGTGGTGATGTGGCGGAGCCGGCGAGGTGACATAAGATCGGCAAGGTTGACGACAACGACTTGTGCTCAGACGTCGTTCCGAAGATGACGGCTGCTTTGATATTAGAGTCAAATTGGGTCCCGGAAAGGTATTCGGACCATAGACTCTCGTCGTAGACTGCGCGCGCACACACACACACACATGTGAGATTAGTATCGTGGATGTTTACGGAATAAGGAGTTGTACAAGGGGATGGTAATCATCGGCCTTACCGATAAGACCGATTCCGTCTTTCTCGTTGCAATTGTCACATCCTTCTAGAGCGACGACCGCCTTCGCGAAGACTTCCTGAGCAGTGCGTGTAGATTTGAATGCTGCCTCGCGGATCTCCACCACCGCGAACCCTTCCTCCGCCCATTTTAGAAGCGGTGGAGGTGTTTGGTTGACGCAGACCGTGCCGCCTTCAGGATACGTTGGTGCGTCTGCTGGGAGGACTAGGATCAGACCTGGGCCGTAGCCTCGTCGCGAGAGCGGTGGTAACAGCGAGATATGGTCGTCGACACTGCTGAGCTCGGCGGTGGGTAGTGCCACTTGCGGCTCCAATTCTGTTGGTCCAGCCATGTTGTGGGTTTCGAAGTGCGACCGACCTTCTGACCTTGAACGAACTTGACAATGTACCAGCGTTGGAAGTTGGAAAAGTAGATAATGTATAAATATGGAGGGTATGCCCGGTCTTTGTCGGCTCGGTTGTATGATAAAAGGCTCAGCGAGATACAGAAAGAGGGGCCCCTTCACGCCACCACTCTTTGCATGTGAGGTCTTCGAGCTCAGAATGTAAACTTTGTCTAGAGCAGGTGTAGTTGATGGTATTATTTCGAATCTGATTGGAAACGGTCGTGTGGTGAGGTGTTAGAGGCTTTACTTTGTGGATTGACCCGACTTTGGCGTATCCGTATGGCAGTACTGTTCTGAGTTTGGTAGTGCCTTACCCGTCAAGTTTTGCTAGATAGGCGAAGGTGCGCGGCCCGCAGCGACAAGGCGCGCACCACGCATGTATCAATGCCGTATCTCGACATGTCGTACTCCGTACTCCGTACTCGAGATCCATATGCTTCGGCTCAGTTGCCAGAAAAGTTCCTGAGACACTAGACACTAATACGGTTAGCCTCGTCTCCGTTATCACCGCATAAGCCCGAGTGCAAAAAAAAGTTGCAACCCATACTCGGACATTGACTTCGTCAAAACACAGCCGCTGCCCATCCTTACCTAACAACAGCAACAATGGATCCTCACGGAGAGAAGTCGAAGAAACGAAAGAGGAAGCATGCGAAGTTGGCAAGTACATCAGTAGAGACTGCGGTCGCAGCACCTTCAGCCGCCACGAAGAAAACCCATCCTTCAACAGATCAAGTCAGAGAAAAGAGCAAAAAGAGACGGAAAACTTCACATACCAGCGACGATGAATCTGATGATGGCGAGGGAGGGAAGTCGTCAGAACAAGAAGAACCAGTGTCCACAAAGGTTCCAAACGGCACAGAGATAGAGAATGACGCCAACGTCAGCGACGACGGATCCTCTGCTGAGGACGACACCGCCGGTCCTGAACTCGAAGAAGCCACTGATACGGTTAACAGAAGCACTGAGCACCCAGCTGCAGACTCAGATCTACCCACGGACGTCGCCCCCTCACTCCCTGGCTCTGATGCCACGCCACAATCTTTCAGCGACCTGTCTCTGTCCGAGCGCACTATGAAAGCCCTCACGGATATGAACTTCACTCAGATGACGGAAATCCAAAGACGAGGAATACCCCCTTTGCTAGCCGGTCGCGATGTTCTGGGTGCCGCAAAAACTGGGTCAGGAAAAACACTGGCTTTCCTCATCCCGGCCATCGAGATGCTCCACGCCCTGCGCTTCAAGCCTCGTAACGGCACCGGTGTCGTCGTCGTCAGTCCCACCCGCGAACTTGCGCTCCAGATATTCGGAGTCGCACGTGAACTGATGGCGCATCACACTCAAACCTTTGGCATTGTGATCGGTGGAGCCAACAGATCCGCCGAAGCAGAGAAATTGACCAAGGGCGTCAACCTCCTCATCGCGACGCCCGGCCGCCTCCTGGACCATCTGCAGAACACTAAAGGCTTCGTGTACAAGAACGTGAAAGCGCTCGTGATCGACGAAGCCGACCGGATTTTGGAGGTCGGATTCGAAGACGAAATGCGCCAGATCGTCAAGATCCTGCCCAAGGAAGACCGACAGACAATGTTGTTCTCGGCAACGCAAACGACCAAGGTCGAGGACCTCGCTCGGATCTCCCTCAGGCCAGGCCCGCTGTACATCAACGTCGACCACAAGAAGGAGCACAGCACGGTCGAAGGTCTCGAGCAAGGCTACGTCATCTGCGACAGCGACAAACGCTTTCTGTTGCTCTTCAGCTTCCTGAAGCGTAACCTGAAGAAGAAGGTCATCGTCTTCATGTCCAGCTGCAACTGCGTCAAGTATCACGCAGAATTGCTCAACTACATCGACCTGCCTGTGCTCGAGCTCCACGGGAACCTGAAGCAGCAAAAACGAACGAACACATTTTTTGAGTTCTGCAACGCAAAGGCCGGCACCATGGTCTGCACTGACGTCGCCGCCAGAGGCCTCGACATTCCCGCCGTCGACTGGATCGTGCAGTTCGACCCCCCCGACGACCCGAGAGATTACATCCACCGCGTGGGACGGACCGCACGGGGCTCCAACGGCAAGGGGCGCAGTCTCATGTTCCTGCAGCCCAGCGAGGTCGGGTTCCTGAGCCACTTGAAAGAAGCGAGAGTCCCTGTCGTCGAGTTCGATTTCCCCGCGAAGAAGCTGTTGAACATCCAAAGTCAGTTGGAGAAACTGATTACCCAGAACTATTATTTGAACAAGGTACGTTCGAGCAGCGCACACGATCCTGGCTCCATTTTGTTTTTTCACTTTCCCCTCTCGAGTTGATTTACCCTCGTAGAACGGTCAAAGGTCACTCCGTTGTTGGTGCTAACGTTTTCTGTGCTCCGCTCCAGTCCGCAAAAGACGGCTACAGATCATATCTCCAGGCTTATGCGTCGCACAGTCTGCGGTCTGTCTTTGACGTGAACAAGCTCGACTTGGTGAAAGTGGCCAAGAGCTTTGGTTTCGCGACGCCGCCCAGGGTGGATATCCAACTGGGCGCCAGCATGCAGAGGGATAAGAAGCAAGGTGGTCGGAGAACGTACGGGAGCCAACCGAGACAGAACGGTCACGGGTTGAAATTCAAAAGAAGAAATGGTGAATGAATGATTGGTTGACTAAATTACTGTTGCGAGGCACGCATTGGATGAAGGTGCATGTTGCGATCGCATGTTCTATACGGGTCGGTTCAAAAGTCTTGCATGGCATGGGAGTTTTGTTCTGCCCGTTCCGAGAAGGACAACATCAATCAAGATACCGGGGCCTCTTTACCATAGAGAGTTGATAACTACCACTGAATGTATGGACGTTTTCAGATCCTTAGGGGGCAAGTCAAGAAACGAACAGAAAACCAAACGGAAACCTCAAGCAATTTCTTCAGTATATTCGTGATAACCAAGACTGAAGTTTCTTTTGCGTCAACACATCGCTAGCTAGCTTTCCGTAGCTCCAACCAAAAAAAACTCTTCAATCTTGGAAAGAGAATGAGAGTCCAGTTCAGGGTCTATCGTCTCATTACGCTGTCCGAACCCGCTTGCAGTTCATGTTCGAGGTCATTGCCAACAAAGGAACCAGCCTCCTGGGGCCTGGGGTCTTCAGCACCCTTCGCCCATTGGCCTGGGTTCTCGGGAATTGGCACATTTATATTGGCGCCGGTGGGAGTCTGAGTTGGCTGATGGCGGACGTGGTGGCGGAATCTCATGACTTCATCAAGAATCATCTTCCGCATCTCCTGCACGTCTTCAACCACTTCGAACGAGAAATCAAAGGTCTTGGGACATGCCGGCTCATCCGATGCGTCATGCCAGATGTGCAAATATTTGTGCTCGAGGGCTTCCTCGACCGAGATACGCGACGAGGGATCGAAGGCCAGCATACGGTCCAACAAGTCAAGGGCGTCGGGGTTAGCCTGTGGGAAGAGCCTCTGGAAAGGGATCTTTGGCATGAATGGCAGATTCCGGACGTATTCCTGAGCGCGTGGGGATCCTATTCTCGAAAGCGTCTCCTCACTAGGCGTGCCTAGGTAGTGGAGGATCTGGTTCAACTGATCGACATAGTCGCGGCCTTTGAAGAAGGGGCGTCCGCCTAGCAGCTCAGCCAAGATACATCCCACTGACCATACATCGACTAAAAAGCGAGTTAAACCAACATCAAGCGAGCGGTGAACATGCATGACTTACTGGCCTTGGTGTAACTCTGGAAACTCAACATAATCTCCGGGGCACGGTACCATCTCGTTGCGACATACTCAGTCATGTAACCAGCGTTTTCCTCTGGATCTTGCGAGAATCCTCTTGCCAGACCAAAATCGCAGATCTTGAGCTCGCAGTCAGCATTGACAAGCAGGTTGCCCGGTTTGAGATCTCTGTGCAGAACATTGGCGGAGTGGATATATTTGAGACCGCAAAGAATCTGATAGATGAATGATTGGAAATGCGCGTCTGTTAGCGGCTGGCCAGAGCGGATGATGGCGGCCAAGTCGCACTCCATGAGTTCTGTGGGTTTTCAGCATCATGCTCATACCTGGAGGAAATGGCTTACCCTCATAGATATAGGTCTCGTTGAAATTGTCCGGGCGGGGAATATCCATGTCAAAAAGACAGGTGATCTGCGATGCTTAGCCCGAGGTCATCACTGAAGGGCTACCGTAACCGACATTTCTATGGCCCCGGAAATGCTGTAGGAGCTTGATCTCACGGAGAGCTCTCTTTGCAAGAATCTTTTTGCTGAAGACATTTGTGACCTTCTTGATGGCAACTCCCTCGCCGGTTTGGGAGTTGGTCGCGGCGCTTCCTCCTCGTCAGCTAGAAGCGCTGGGAAGTATGCCACGGAGGCTTACCAGACAATGCCATAAGCACCTTGGCCCAACTCTTTTGTGACGGTGTATCTCTCATCGACAACGAAGTCTTGATTGAAGACTTTGAACACCTTGCGCCCACTTAAGTCCCCCATGATTGCTGATGATTGGCCTGGCGCGAAGGGGTTGCGAAGGGGTGAACAGAGGAGAGGTAGAGACTTGGGGAAGAGTACGAACACAAGAGGGCGCAGGAGGATTGATATGGGACAGAGAGGAAGTGATTTCCTGGCGACTATTGAATCGTGCAGTCTGTGCGGCTGAGGAATAGAGTTGGGCTGGTGCTGACACTGGATACAACTGTGTTACGGCGAGCGAGTGATCGAGGGCAGGTCGGAAGTGGGGGCGACTTTCGAGACACGGCGCAGATCTGCGAAGTAAGACGTGGCCAGCAATCGAAGACCGAAGACGAAGATGAGGGATGCGTTGTATGAGATATATTGTGTGATTCGGGAACCGAGTTTCAACAACCGCTCTAGTGATTTCCTGGCGCTTGTGGCGGGTGCGCAGCAGTGTTTACTAGCAGAACGGGAGGGGCAGATGAAGCAGCAACAGAAGCGCCAAAGGTCCAAAAGGCCCGAAACAAAAGGTCGTAGACTCCGCCGTAGCCACAATGAGGGGATTTGCCCCCGGCCAATGAGAACCTCCTATCATGCCAAGCGCCCATAAAGCCCTGGATCGCACGTGTGGTGGCGTGGGATCTGGGCACCGTGACTGCGCTACTGAGGAAGAATTTATTATTAGCAACCAAGGGCACTTTTCTTGATTGCTGGACTGCTGGATTGATGGGTTGATTGACAGGTGTGAATGATGCCAAAGTGGAATTTCTGAAGCCCAGACATCTCCATGACCAAATATGGCTGACACCCGTCCCCGTAGGCTGGATTGAGGAAAGCCGTTCTTGAGGTTGGTGTGAAAGCGAGTGATCGTAGATTGATATCGTCCAGATCACGCTCCTAGTGCCATAACAGAAACGAGCAGACGACACCATGGAGGAGCTCCTGGCAAAACACCGGAAAGAAAAGCGGGATCTGCAAGCCAGAATCACCCAGAAGAAGAAAAATGCGACCAAAAAGACGAGAAAAGGAGTCAATGACGAATGTGAACGACTGGAGAGGGAACTAGCCGAAAGCCAACAAGCAGAGCTCGATGCTTTGGAACCGAAAGATGACCAGTTAGACTTGACCGTTGATGACCTGACGCTCGATGAGCCTGTCACAGAGGACGCTCCTGCAGACGAATCCGAGGAGGCCCAGACAGCCTTAGAAGTATCCAACGGCCCTCCTACAGGTGGACAGCCACGTCAAAGAAAGCCAAACCGACAAAAAGCAAGGCTTGCTCGAAGAGCGGCCGAGCAGGAGGCCCAAGCAGTGGCGGCAGCCGCAGAAGCACAAAATATGCCTGATCGAAGAGAACAGGAGATCGCTGCTATGAAGACGCAAATGGATGCCCGGAGTCTGGTAGAAACCATGATCCGTCCCGACGGGCATTGTCTCTTCTCCGCGTGTGCACACAGCATGCCTTCAGAACAGGTAGCAAAATCCGGACCCAGACAAGAGCCGTACCAGAACGTCAGATACGCGGCGGCCGAATTCATGGCCGCACATCCCGACGACTTTGCAGCATTCATGGAAGAACCACTCGACTCATACGTGGCGCGGATCAGAGACACCGCCGAATGGGGAGGCGAACTCGAGTTACAGGCGATTGCTCGAGCGTACAACATCAACATCAACGTGCTTCGAGCCGATGGCCGCGTTGAGAAGATCAGCTCAGGGTCGACCAAGTCGGATGATTCGGACGTGTGGCTTGCATATTATCAACACAGTTTTGGCTTGGGTGAACACTACAACGCTCTCAGAAAGAGCGTGGCAACTTGAAATCAACAAGATACTCGCATACGGCGACCTTTTTACCCCTACGAATATGTGCTGAGAATTTGGGCATACCTCCTCCACTCCTCATCATCGATGTCTCCAGACCGAGATCCAGTCTTGCACGTTACCTTCGGCATCTTTGCCTACCTGGTGCGTATCGGCAGGGTGCCAGTGTCCCACTCTCTCAAGGCCTCCTGGACTCGACGGTGCAAGGGGATTCATCCTGACGTTGCCCTCTGCGTCATACTTGACTTCCTCTCCCGGATGACTTAAGTGCTCGAGGTATGCTTTTGGCGGAGACGCAAACGGAGGACCACCAGCCGCGGGGGGCTTGTTGGTGGGAAATTCCAGACAGATCAGATTAGCTCTAGGATCGGCACGCAGAAGTTGTGACATTCTCTTGGCCCAGGCTGGTCTCATGGGTGGTTGCATGGCACAGAAGAACTAAAATTTAGATGTTAGAAGCTGATATGCGAATCTTCAACCAGTCGAGTTTAACAGGCAACAACCGATAGACTTACAGTATAGTCATAGATCAAGTCGAACTTGGTGTCTTTGTCGAGCCCGGCCTTCTTAAGCCATTCATCGGCATAAAAATCACCTTGAACGAACCGAGCGCTTCCCTTGCCCACCTTCTCGTCATTGACCGGATAGTCCTTCTCGTGATCTTTCTGGTATTCTTCACAAGCCTTCAAAGCATCTGCAGCATACTCTAACCCAATCGCATCATAGCCAAAGCTCTGTAGAAGTAGAACATCAACACCCCGACCGCAACCCGGAACCAATGCACGTTTCCGACGCGTCTGTCCGTCCTCTTCGATCAACGCGTGGCCGATCACGTCGGTGTTGTTTGACAGAGTGTCTGCCAGAGCGGGCGACGGATTTCCACGGTCCCAAGGTAGAAAGTCGCCCTTTGACCATAGTTGAGCCCAGCCTTCAGCATACTTGGGTCCTTGGTACGTAGAGAAATGGCTCTTAAGTGCAGCTCGAGCTTCCTCCATCGGGAGATCTCGAAGGCCGCCCACAGGCACAGACATTGTGGAATTCGACCGAGAACAGGGGTCTGCGGCTGGATGCAGATGCTGGCGCCGATTATGAATCTGGGGATGAGTTGGGATCTTGAGTGTGCGTTTTGATTGTAATACAGAGAAGCCGGTTCTTGTAGAAGAACCCAAGAGTAACAGAGAATTACTTTTTAGAGCGCTTTGACGAAAGAAACCTGTGTTCGTGGCTGCACCTCTCATGAGATGGTGTTCAGTAAGCACCGTAAGCACCAAGTTGACCTGAAATGAAGGAGAAGGGTTTCAAGCAATGAGAAGATTAGTGATACGCTTGGTGTAGGTAGCATTGGAGGGATTTGGAAATATTCTGACGAGATGCAGTATGCCATCTGCAGTACAGGGAGCTTCGACAATGTTCTTCCTCCTCCATCCCCGCAACGAAAAAGTAATTGGTCCGATTTCTACTCAGAGGACGACCACATCACACTGCTGTGTCTGCACGTATATCCTTTACGATGATCAGGTTGACCCTGTGTTACTGATATTGGCTGGACAATTGTCGATATCGGGCACATCCATTGAAGCTGCGGCTCTAGTGAAAAATCACTCATCAGCAGCTGCAAAGATGAGACGTGGACGACGGCGTTACGGCTATATGCTACATTCTTCGGCACTACGACCGGATCCAAAGGCCTGGCGAGAATAGAACCATTCATTGCATGCCATATGATCGACCCTCAACCAGGGATTATTGATGCCGATTCAGTATACTCTATGGCCGATACTTCACCGTCAACTATGGACTGCATCTCTGAGTTCAGGTTGCGCTGGAGAAACATCAAAGGTACACGCATTCGAGATGTTGGTACCCGCGTTCACTTGTATCGAGGCCGAGGTACTTGGAGTCGAAATCTTTCCGTCCAAGTACATCAGCGGCTCTCCGACTTTCGCTCTCATCCTCCTCCAATGATCTTCAGGGCTTACGGCAAAGACGGCACAATATCCTCTTTACAAGTTGTCTTCTTCCTCGATTTCTACTCGGTACCTGTGGTTTGACCCCTCCAATTTCTCGTCGTCATTGGTCCTTTAGTTTATTGCACAGTTCCGGTGGGGATGGAGATGTCCTGCTGCTTGCCTGTGGCTATCGTGTCGCGCATGCCGACACGCCCTTTGCGGTCTCCAGCTGCAGTCTTCCTTTCTTTCTTCAGTTTTGGCCATTCTTGAAGACTTACAGTTGCATTGGAGAGTGTTGACGAATGCTGAAATATGCGCATGGCTTGCATATAACCGTGCTTACTCACCGCGCCCTTCAGCAGATTTAATATACTATATACGAGAGTGATGACTCTGGCAGTGGACGACAATCAACTCGGTCGTGCTTATGCGTTTGTGCGCAATCTAGTCCCTACACATGGCTCGAGATAGCCCCGAGAAGATTTCCGCCCTGCCGCAGACGTCCGTAAACCCAAGTACCAACGAGGACAATGAGAAAGAGGCTGGAGAAAAGCATGAGGTCCCCTCCGACGTGCGGTCCATGAACTCGACTCATTCGGCGGCTCCAAGTGAACAATCTACAATCGGTGACAGCCAGGACATTGAAATTGCGGATGATGTTTTGCAAAGAACCATCACCCCGAAAAGTCCTCTCGTGAAGGTCCCTCGCTCAAAACGGCGTGGGCTCTTTTCGCGCTTCGCCCTCGTTGCGGAGGTCACCCAGCCGTTCGATTACAAAGATTCGACAAAATGGTTCATTACTTTCATCGTTGCAGTGGCAGCCGCGGCTGCCCCCCTTGGAAGTGCTATCATTCTGCGTAAGCTCGGTCTCGGTGGCACGACGTTTCCGGCACACTACTGACTGGTCCGACTAGCAACCCTTGACGATGTCGCTAAAGATCTCAATTCGACGCCCACCATAACCAATCTGTCGGTCGCTCTGTACATGCTGAGTATGGCCATTTTCCCGCTTTGGTGGTCAATGTTCTCGGAGGTATTCGGGCGGCGGTCAATCTATATCGTCTCCTTTGCACTCTTCGTCCTCTTTGCCGTGATCAGCGCCGAATCCCAGTCGATTGGTATGCTGGTCGCTATGCGAATGCTTTCAGGAGGTGCTGCTGCCTCTGTCCAGGCCGTGGGTGCGGGAACCATAGCCGACATCTGGGAATCGAGAGAAAGGGGACGAGCCATGGGCACGTTCTATCTGGGTCCTCTTTGTGGCCCCTTGGTGGCACCGATTGTGGGTGGCGTTCTCGGACAGCATTGGAATTGGAGGGCCACTCAATGGGCACTTGTGATTTACGGCGGTAAGCAGACGTGGAAGTGTTGCCAATGAAAAGGAGAGACTGACCAAACCCTAGTTTTGATCTGGGTTTTTGTGTTTTTCGCTCTCCCAGAAACCCTCAAAGCGCAGAAGGAAGTTGTTGACGAAGCCGAAAATGAGACTTCTGACCAACCAGGGGCATCCTTAAGCCGGACCTCGACCCGGGAGATTGTCCAGCAAAGCAGCAAAAAGTACCTAAAAGTGCTCAAAATGTTGCTCGTAGATCCACTGCGGGTCATACTGTACATCAGGTTCATGCCGGTCCTGTTGACGGTTTACTATTCGGCCATCACGTTTGGTTCGCTCTACGTGTTGAACATCAGTGTCCAGTATACGTTCGAGAGGCCGCCTTATGAGTTCTCAACCATTATCATTGGATTGCTCTATATCCCAAACTCCCTTGGATACATGCTTGCCAGCATGTTTGGCGGCAGGTGGATGGACTCCATCATGAAACGGGAGGCGCTGAAGGCACGTCGGATAGACGAGAACGGCAAACTGGTCTTTCGTCCGGAGGATCGCATGCGAGAGAACGCGTGGCTTGGTGCCCTACTCTATCCTGTTGCCTTGATCTGGTACGGTTGGACGGCTGAGAAGGGGGTACTTTGGATAGTTCCCGTGAGTCACTCTCGGGCGCGAACCTCGGATGCAGGTACGAGATACTGACACGTGGTACAGATGCTTGCCAACTTTTTCTACGGCGTGGGGTCCATGCTTATTTTCGCCATGTCGACCACGATGTTGACGGAATTCATGCCACGACGATCATCTTCTGGGGTCGCTTTGAACAACTTTTGCCGAAATATCCTGTCGTGTGTTGGTGCAATTGTTGGGGCTCCCATCATCTCGGGCATTGGCAATGGCTGGCTCTTTACTATTCTGGGCATCTGGACACTGTCTGGCGCATCGGTGATATGGGCCATGAAACGATTCGGCCCTCGGTGGCGAGAGAAGATGGACAGAGAACTTGACTGACGAATGATGCTGATGAACAGAAAGAATTGTGTAGACTGCGCCTCTGTGAACGAATACTCGTACCCAGGGTGAATGAAAGATTAACATGCACGTGATCAAATGCACTCGACCACCGTGGCGTCTGCAAAGTCGGTTACAATCGCCTCAGGGTACAAGGCGAGATCGAATGATATGGTGTTGTGACTGAAAGTGAGGCGACGATAGAGATGGACGGAGGGAAGAGAAGAGCCAAAGAGAGACGAGAAGGCCTGGTAAACTGCGCAACCTACGGGGGGGCATAGGCGCCTCTTGGGCTGTTCCCTCGCTTCGCCCCTTGTGCAACTCTCTCATCTCTCTGTCTTGATCATCAAATCTTCATCCCGCATTTCTTTTTCTGTTGATCAGCCAAGTCTCCCATCACATGTCCTCAAGAACTTACGTCGGCAGAATGCGGAATGCATCATCTAGCGCTGCTGCGGCCAGGGATGGTGCGTTTCCCTCCTGTGTCTCCGTGAACTCCTCCACGTCGCACCACGAACTGGTCTCAAGTGGTCTCGACTGTTCAGGCAGAGTGCTTCACTTGGGGAACCTTGAACGACGGTGACTTGGCCATTCTACAAGACGAACCCCGGCTAGACTTGGGTTTTGCCTCGACTGCGTGTCCCCGTCGAATGAAGCCATGGTATTGTCGTTGGGCATCAACACAAGTGTCACTTCCGGCCACCCACTCGGCCCAATCAACAATGTACTGCTGCACATCCGGTCCAATTGCGGACCCCAGTCTACATAATTCCAGTCCCAGTTGCAGTTGTCTGATCCTGACTCAGTCTCTATCTTTTTCGAGCAACGCTATGTCTGCATGCTGTCCGCATTGCCTTCGCGAAAGACTCCGGCCGGACACTTGCGCAAAAGCAACGGCTGTCATGCTCCAACGTGGCCCAATTGCAGAATTCTCCACTTCTACAATTGGAAGAAGAGGTGGGATTTGATGGAAGATGACTGCCAGAGCAGAAATCGTGCCCTGGCCTCGAGATCTGGTCACTGCTCGACCATCCAGCTCTTTTGCCTCTTGCCAAAGTTCTGAGCCGTTGCCATTCCTTTGAGCTTGCTGCGTCGTCTTTTCTGCTTTTTCCGCCTATGTACCCAAGCGACACCATTCGACCAGGTACTGTCACGTCATCATTGCTTTGCCATTCCTCCGTGACACTCGTGATCCCGGCCTGAAGGTGTGACAGAGAGCCCCGACGCGCTGGGCCACTCGGAATACCATATAAGCCCCCTCAGCTGTGCCCATTCCCCCGTCATGGGCAAAAACAAGAAAGGGAAGAAAAAGAATAAAACCCAGAACAGACACAACCCTCGGGGCCTCGAGCCCATCTCAACTCAGAATGCCTCGGCCGTACCAATTTCAGTATGCTCAGCTTCCTGTGTTTCAATGGAGAACCTTTGACAGAAATACCCTCACGTTTTCTTCCCACCCCATCGTCCCGCCTGAAGAAAGTTTTCCATATCCTCCATTTGCTGACGACTCTCTCAAGAGTTTCGAGGCCCGGCCAGGGTCGCCAGTGTTAAGCGAAAAGGTGGCATCAGATCTGCCACCAGAAGACCTAGAAGGCAAGAGCTCACGTCTAACAACCGTTGTGACGCACACTAACTGTGACCAAGAGATAATAATATTGGAAGACGACACCGGTGTTACTTCGGACGACAGCGCGGAGACAAGTTCAACGGCGAATGCAGTGTTAGACGACTCATTGATCCCCGAAGAACCCTCTGAAGACCTAGGTATGGCAGCTTCTAGTGATGATAAGTCATATTCTTATAGCAGGATCATAGAAGGAACAGAAACTTCTGCACCAGAGTCAGACGAAGCCGCTCAAGAAGAGGCTGTTACAGCCATGGAAGCGTCAGACACGCCTCCAGAGGCTACTGAAAGTAGCCCGGCAGCAGTACCAGACGAGACTGAAACCGAAGTAGCCGCTGATGGTGGTGCTGCAAGTGACGAAACGAAAGACGCGGTGACCGATGATGCAAAGGCGTCAGAGGGAGAAACCGTGGTTGAAATAGTAGAGAAGATGCAAGAAGCAGACGCCCCTCCAGAGCAAATAGCCGAAGTGCTGGAGCAGGCCATGTCTGAGGTCGGCGCCGGCCCTGAGCCACCGGATACGACTGTTATCGATGCGGATCAGCCGGCAGATGATTCCGAGGAGACTCCAACGGTGGCACCGGAGAACAATGGAGACTCATCAGAATCAGCTGATGGAGCCGTCAATACACCTTCAGAGGGCGATGGAGCGGCACCAGGCTCACCTGAAACGCCACAAGCTGAAGAACTAGTCGAATCAGAAGCGTCTCCCACAGAAGTCAACTCCGGGGAGAGTCCAGAGGCAACGAGTAATGCTGAAGAGACATCTCAAGAAGCATCACCCGACGGAGAAAGCGATCCGCCAGCAGAAACCGCCACTGAAGCCGCTGCACAGGAACAGAAAGATGCTGAAGAAGAAAAAGATTCTGCAGACGATGCGGCGACAACGCCTGAAGCTGACAGTACTGGGAGCCCAGAAAAGGAAGCGGATACAGAGACCGGTCCTGACAACGCTGAGGAAGCGACACCCCCTCCTGAAGATGCTCCTGCCGAAAGTAGTAGCCCTGATGCACCGGCAGAGGAGGCTACAGAGCCAACACCCACAGATGAAGCAACCCCATCAGGAGAGGCCGAAGGAGCTGACAATGAACCCTCTCCTGATGCTGTAACTCCTACCAGTGGGGATGAAGACGAAATCTCTGGGGGCGATGACAAGCCTCCAGCCGACGAGGCGGCCCTTGAGGCAGATGCCTCAGCACCAGAAGCGAGCGATGAAGCAGCAAAAGAAGCTGAAGAAGTCGCTGAAGAGAAGCCCAATGAGGCTGACACAGCTAGTGCGGTCGACACCGCGCCCGCAGAGGAGGAAAAGCCCGCTGCTGAAGAGACCCCAGATGAATCAGCCGGGGCAGCTGCTCCTGAAGCGGCAGAATCTACCGAAGCTACGGGAGAAGATGCCCCTACCGAAGAAAATGCAGGTGACAATAATTCATCAGAAGAGGCTCCACAAGAAGACACGCCAACTGAAGAAGTGACTGTGGAAGAAGCACCAACTAGTGAAATGCCAGCTGCTGAAGCGGCGTCTACTGAGGAGCCTGCGGGTGACGTGACTCCCGCCGAGGAAGCACCCGCCGAGGAAGCACCCGCTGAGGAAGCACCCGCTGAGGAAGCACCCGCTGAGGAAGCACCCGCCGAAGAAGCACCCACTGAGGAAGCACCCGCCGAAGAAGCTGCTCCTGAAGAACCTTCTGCCGAAGGCGAATCTAGTGAAGAGCCGGCCGCAGAAGAAGCTTCTTCCGAGGAGGCACCTGCGAGCGAAGAAGCTGCTCCTGTAGAAGATGCCCCAGCAGAGGAACCTGCCACTGAGGAGCCCGCTGTCGAGGAGCCCGCTGTCGAGGAGCCCGCCGCTGAGGAACCTGCAGCAGAGGAGCCCGCCGCTGAGGCAGATCCTGTTGCCGAAGTCGCAGTAGAAGAGCCTACGGCCGAAGATCCTACGGCCGAAGATCCTGCGGTTGACGAAAGAGGTCCTGACGCTGCGGACGTTGCGGCTGCGGCTGCGGTCGTTGCTGGAGCTGCTGGAGCTGCTGGAGCTGCTATAGGCTCTGCTAGCAGAGGCCATAGGCGCCG